GTAATGTTAACAATTGGTTCCCAACTTTCCATCTTTTTCATCAAAAGCTGCATCAAGTAAGTCGTCATATCTATAAGCTTTAATAGTTAGTCTGAGCGAGTAAGACTCGTGTTTGAATGAGAAGAAATTTTTTGTGCTTTAAAATTTTCGACAATGTTTTTCAACTATGTTCACAGCCCTTTGTATCTACACTGTATCTTTATAAACTCATGAAGAATCAACCAAGCAGAAAATGTCCAAACTTGCAATTTAAGCACAGCACTCGCTCAGACTAAGCCGGCTTCAATATCTTATTTCCAATTGTTGAATTCAATTTACTAACGCAATATGCCATTTCCACAGCAACAATATCCGAGTTCCTCATAGGTAGTATGAAATATCAAAAAGCTTATGATGGAGTCTTCGTTTTCTGGTTAGGCTGGTATCCGATGGTTGCTATTACCAATCACAAGGCTGCAGAGGTAAGTTAAACATTAAAATGTAATTCAATTGTAAATTGACCAGTTTTATTGATTTGTTTTATTAATTGTTATTAGGCTGTTTTAAGCTTACCAAATCACAAAAAAGGTGAAGAATATGCATTCCTTGGTCTTGAAGATGGTATTGTTGTCTCTCATGGAGATAAATGGAAAGCCAGACGAAAAATGATTGAACCTTTTTTCAACACCAAAAGCCTGACAGCCTCCATTTCAGGAATGAACCAAGCTTTTAATTTAATGACCAATGAATTGAAGGAGAAACGAATTGAAACCATTGACATGGGTGAAAATATTCACAAACGTTCCCTGGATATTATCATGAAAAGTACAATGAGTGTACCAATTGTGGACAAAATTGAATATAAAAAAACTGCCATAAGTGACATTGAAGCATGTGAAACTATAGCTCTAACCCGTATACTTAATCCTGCTCTGTGGGTTGATGCCATCTTTTATCAAACCAATGCTGGAAGATATTTCAAGAAAGCTACCGGGCGACTTATGGCCTTTATGGAGGAAAAGATTGTTGAAAGGATCAACGAAAAGAGTGAAATGGCCAGCAAAGTTGATGAAAAGGAGCAAAAGATGAGACATGATCTCATCGATCTACTGGTCATGCATCATGATCCAAACTCTAAAGATGTCACCCAATCAATTGATGTTACTGGAATTACAGAGGAAATTCTCAACCTACTGGTCGCTGGACATGATACCATCTCTGCTGGATTAAGATGGACACTTTTCCTTTTAGGTAATCATCTCGACTGGCAGGAGAAAATTTATGAGGAAATTTCAAACAATCTTGATATTGATCAAGATCCTGAAACCTTGGAAGATATCAACAGCTTGGTTTACTTGGATTGGTGTATAAAGGAAAGCATGAGGCTTTTCCCTCCTATTCCGCTTGTTACCCGAACACTAGAGTATGCAGTTGAAACTGGTAAACATACCATTCCGAAGGGTACAGCAATTGTTTTTTCATATTACACTATCCAACGAGATGAGAAGATTTGGGATAATCCTGAATTATTTGATCCGGAGCGTTTTAGTCCAGAAAGATTCTCTAAAATACCCAAATATGGCTACTTACCTTTTGGTCATGGTAAAAGAAGCTGCATTGGCAAGAGATTTGCTGTAACTGAGATGAAAATTTTCATCATTCATTTGATGAGACATTATAGTTGGGTTTCTACTCAGAAAGTCAATCAAGTTAGCTTTGGAATGGATGTAACGACTAAACCATTAGCACCACTAACCATAAGGCTTACTCCGAGAAATAAGTCTCAGTGAAACCCCATTTCTTGTCTTGATACCCATTTTTAGTTTTCAATTATACTCTTATAAATTATTACAATTAGTGTGCTTTTATTATAACAATAATTTTCATTTGATCAAATTTATACAAAATTCGTGCTGTAATTGTGCATTTATGTGTTATTGTTAATAAAGTACAAATTATGTTTACAAATTTTAACTTTAAGCTTCTTCCATCGGATTGAAAACGGCTAATAAAGAGCCTTTTTACGTGAATAATTTCTTTACAATATAAGCATAAAATTATTGTTTCTAGAAAACTTCACTTTTCAATTTTTGGCCATTTCGAACCCTGCTTTTGCTTCTGTTTTGTTGAATCCAACGATAGAACTACACACAAAAGCTTAGACTCAACGGTGTATTTGGTTTCGAACTTTTAAGTCTTTCATATTTGCTTATTTTTGTAGTTATTTTTATAAAAAAGAAACCTTTAAAACAATTGTCACATTTATGAACAAGTTTAAAATGAATTGAAACAAATGGTTAAAAACGAGTGGAAATTATTGTCTTTAAAATTTAAACTCTACTGGTTTGTAGGGACATGGAGACTGAGTCCATCTGTATGATTTAAAAGTTTTTCGGATCAATAGTTTTCGAGAAAATAGAGTTAGAATTTGAAAATTCGATCGGCTTTTTTACAGCTATGGAACCAGGTATTTTCATAAAACTCATTTCGCTGATGTGACATTTGATTGCAAACCAGAAAATGCATTTATTTTGAGAAATAAAGTTTTCGATTTTCTGTGGAACAGATAAGTTCGATTTTCACCTAAACCTGTCGCATTCTGTGACCATAAGCATTAGAGAGCCGAAACTTAGTATTTCTCGATAAAAATTGTTTGCACCCATCATGGATTGAATGATTGCATCAATTTATCAATAGATCTCGTGATTTCGGCCATTTGCCGCAAAACTTTAAGTCTCAATATTTCGAGAATGGCATCACTTACAATCATAATTATTTCATCAATTCAATTCTTTACTAATTCTCAATTTGATTCAATTTAATAACTTTCCATTTCCGTCTTTGAGACATGATTTTTGGGTTTTAAATGTACGTACAACAACTTATTAAACAAAACAAACTCATCTTAACACATATCTTGGTAAATAAACCACTTTTCTGGTTAAACTTGCAAATTGAATGCAAAAAGTAATGTCAAAGTCTGGTACTTTTGAGTAAAGAGTTGAAACTTGGCGGGCTTGTAGAGATATAAAAACTGATTCCATTGGTGCAATCGAATAACTCATCTGACGGACAGTTGTCTAGAAAATCGAGGTCAAAGTTGAAACTTCGATCGCCTTTTGTTCAGCAATGGAAGAAGATTTCTTCACGCAACTAATTTTACTGGTGCAACTTTTGCTGAACAACCAGGAAATGGTCTTATTTCGGAAAATAAAATTTACGGTTTTTGTAAAATAGATAAAGTTCGATTTTCACCTAAATCTGTCGCATTCTGTGACCGTAAGTGTTAGAGAGCTGCAACTTGGTATTTCTCGATAAAAATTGTTTTTACAAATCATGGATTTAATCATTTTATCAACTTAGCAATAATTCTCTTGATTTTGGCCATTGGAATTAAAACTTTGAATCTCAATATTTCGAGGATGGCATCACATACAGTCATCATTTTTTGACGAAACATTAGATTTGATTATGGGCTATGGTCTATTGAAAAATTATTTCATTCAAGATCCGACATAAAAAGTAATAGCATTATATTACTTATGCTGTCAGATTTGAAACTTAATTGATAAAGTTTAATGGTTACCAAACAAAAATCTTATAAGTTAAAAGGATATTCATTATTAAATGAATATGCTCAGATTTTATTCGGTATTTAGTCATATACTGTTATAGCCCATACTGAATTCTAGTGTTGTGAGGAAAAATAATGACTGTAGGTGATACTATTCCCGTAATATTCCGACTACAAGTTCTAAGGCCAATGGCCAAAATCACGAGATCTATTCATAAATTGATGCAATCATGCAACTCATGATGTGTGCAAATAATTTTTATCGAGAAATACTAAGTTTCGACTCTCTAATGTTTATGGTCACAGAATGCGACAGCTTTAGGTGAAAATCGAACTTATCTGTTCCACAGAAAATCGAAAACTTTATTTCTCAAAATAAATACATTTTCTGGTTTGCCGTCAAATGTTACATGAGCGAAATGAGTTTTATGAAAATACCTGGTTCCATAGCTGTAAAAAAGCCGATCGAAGTTTGAAATTCTAACTCCATTTTCTAGAAAACTGTCCATCAGAAAAACTTTTAAATCATACAGACGGACTCAGTCTCCATGTCCCTACAAACCAGTAGAGTTTAAATTTCAAAGACAATAATTTCCACTCGTTTTTAACCATTTGTTTCAATTCATAGTGAACTTGTTCATAAATGTGGCAATTGTGTTAATTGTTTCTCTTTAGTAACAACCTCATAAGCACCTTTTTGCTTTAATAATTTCTTGACAATATAAGCGTATTAAATGGTGTTGAAAATGATTTAATTAAATAAGATACTTATAGATTCTTTGATTTAGGATATTTCATTAGATTTTTTCAGATCAAGAAGGTTAGAGATGCAAATGCTTAATTTAATGAGCTTTTAATAGCAATTTAATATGATAATAGTAATAATTTAAACATTGGATCAAATTGATTTTCTCTGGTCACACTTCATGATTAATTTAATCACTTTGCAGAGAGAAAAGTATTGTTCAATCAACAATCCAATCGTAATTCAATTATAATTATAACTTTGCTCTTTCATTGCAAATGTACGCTTCAACCTCGAGCCTCTCATTTGAAACGAAATTTGCAATCAAAAATCACTAAAGTCAAGCTTTCTCTTCAATCGTGATATCAATTCCGACAATTCAGTTTCAAAATAGAGAAAATTTCGAAGGACATTTCGCTTTCAATGAATGACATAAGTACAGTAAACAGTAAACATCATTAGATGAATTTTTGAAGCTTGATTTTAATCAAATAATAATTAATGTTTAGTTTCATCATCGTCATTCATTTCAAAACCACATAATAATTTATTTCAAAAACGTTCATCCGCCTTAACTGACAGCGTTGGAATAATTTGGTTCAAATTGTCTAATTTAATCCCTTTCGACATGAAAGAAATAGAAACCTGACGATAGTTTAAGTCATTGTATCAAAACTGTTGACTTCAACTTCGAGTCCATCAGGGAAAGAGACGAATGAGTTGAGGTTTGATTACCTATTTGATGAAGTACCGAAAGATTTATTGTTAAGCTCATATTTCACTTATGAATCGCTGTTATGTTCATCGATTTATTACTTACTATGCCTAGGACTTGCAATATCCGATCAAACAAGTGAATCCTTTTTAAAGTGTTTATTCACCGTTTGTTCCACTTCAGCTTTAGCAACTTTTTGATATCATTTTTGGTGCAACGGTTAACCTTCGACAAACGCTAATATGGATTATATTAAAACGCTTTTTAACGCTAAATTGTTGCAAATTGTTGTGTTTGGACCAATAAGTTTACTTCTCTTTGTGTTGATCAGAAAAGTTTACCAAATTTTAAGCTGGATTTTACATTTTCGCTCCTTTCCTCAAAACAGAGGACATTTTATTCTTGGTAATGTTAAACAATTGGTCCCATCGTTCCCATCTTTTGCGTCAAGTGCTACATCAAGTAAGATTTTTTTATTAATTATGTGTCTGGATTGTTTATAATGCATCACATTGAGGATCTATACTAGAATCCATACTTTTGACACCGTCCGGTGAAGAAAACTTTAGGTTGGTCAAATTTGATCATTATTAACCCCTAATACATACTACAAATATTTTGATTCTCTATGTTGTTACCGTTTGGGTTGGATTGGTGTGGTTTTACGTGGGTTCCTCTTGGTTGTTGGCATTTTACTAATAAAAGACACAGCTAACACAATTGTCACATTTATGAACAAGTTTACTAACAAATTGAAACAAATGGGCAAAAATGGGTATAACCTAATTTAATAATTCAAATTCTGACTCTGATAGTTAGTAAAGAAATAAAAATTGAGTCCATTTTTGTGATTACAAAGTTTCTCTAATCCCCAGTTTTCCAGAAAATCGAGGTCAAATTTGAAACTTCGATCGCCTTTTGTTCAGCTATGGAAGAAGATTTCTTCACGAAACTTATTTTTATGGTGGAACTTTTGCTAAATAACCAAAAAATAGTCTTATTTTCGAAAATACAATTTTAGATATTCTGTAAAACAGATAAGTTCGATTTTCACCTAAACCTGTCGCATTCTGTGACCATAAGAATTAGAGAGCCGAAACTTAATATTTCGCGATAAAGATCGTTTGCACACATCCTGAATTGCTTGATTGCATCAATTTATCAATGGGTCTCTTGATTTCGGCCATTTGCCGCAAAACTTAAGTCTCAATATTTCGAGAATGGCATAACTTACAATCAAATTTTTCCACGAAACATTAGGCTTCATTATGGGCTATAACAGTATATGACTCAATACCGAATAAAATCTGATCATATTCATTTAATAATGAATATCCTTCTATTAATTTATAAGATTATCATTCAACTTTATCAACAATTCACAAATCTGACAGCATAAGTAATACTTTAACTGTTTATGTCAGATCTTGAATGAAATATTTTTTCAATATATTATAGCCCATGACGAGATCTAATGTTTGGTCAAAGAATGATGACTGTATGTGATACCATTACCGAAATATTGAGACTCAAAGTTTTAAGGCCAATGGCCAAAATCAAGAGAACTATTGCTAAGTTTAAAAAATCATTCAATTCAGGATGTGTGCAAACGATTTTTATCGAGAAATACTAAGTTTCAGCTCTCTAATGTTTATGGTCACAGAATGCGACAGGTTTAGATGAAATTTGAACTTATCTGTTTTACAGAAAACAGAAAATTTTATTTTCCAAAATAAGACCATTTTCTGGTTCCCCATCAAATTTTACATCAGCGTAATGAGTTTTATGAAAAAATCTGGTTCCCTAGCTGTACAAATGCCGATCGAAGTTTCAAATTTGACCTCAATTTTCTAGACAACTGTCCATTAGATGAGGGATTCGATTGCACCAATGGAATCAGTTTTTATATCTCTACAAACGCGTCAAGTTTTAACTCTTTACGCAAATTTACGAGACTTTGGCACTACTTTTTGCATTCAATTTGCAAGTTTAACCAGAAAAGTGGTTTATTTACCAAGATATGTGTTAAGATGAGTTTGTTTTGTTTAATAAGTTGTTGTGCGTACATTTAAAACCCAAAAATCATGTCCCAAAGGTTAAAATGGAAAGTTATTAAGTTGAATCAAATTGAGAATTAGTAAAGAATTGAATTGATGAAATAATTATGATTGTAAGTGATGCCATTCTCGAAATATTTAGACTTAAAGTTTTGCGGCAAATGACCGAAATCACGAGATCTATTGATAAATTGATGCAATCATTCAATTCAGGATGTGTGCAAATAATTTTTATCGAGAAATACTAAGTTTCGACTCTCTAATGTTTATGGTCACAGAATGCGACAGCTTTAGGTGAAAATCGAACTTATCTGTTCCACAGAAAATCGAAAACTTTATTTCTCAAAATAAATACATTTTTTGGTTTGCCGTCAAATGTTACATGAGCGAAATGAGTTTTATGAAAATACCTGGTTCCATAGCTGTAAAAAAGCCGATCGAAGTTTCAACTTTGAATTCGATTTTCTCGAAAACTGTTGATCAGATAAACTTTTTAATCGCACAGACGGACACATTTTGCATCTTCAATCAGAGTCAGAATGGGAAAGAAATCAGGTTCAACCCATTTTCGTCTATTTCTGTCAATTTGTAAAAAACTTGTTCATAAATGTTACAATTGTGTTAGTTTTGTCTTTTTATTAGTAATTTAAGGGTAACAATTGATTCGCTTGATTGTAAATTCATTGAAATCTCAATAGTTCATCTTTCCTTGTGTTCATCTTATTTCAGCCACTATTTCTGAATTCATATCTGAGTGTATGAAGGTAGATAATGAAGGAGTCTTCGTTTTCTGGTTGGGCTGGTATCCAATGGTTGCCATTACTGACTACAAAGGTGCTGAGGTGAGCTCATTTATTAATTTTAATGCCATAAATCGCTTAATGTTTTTACTGTCAACAATTAACGCATAAAAATGCATCTAAATATTTTCGCTGAATTGTTTTCTCAGGCTGTTCTTAGTAAACCTAATCAGAAAAAAGGTGAAGAGTACAAGTTTCTTGGTCTTCAAGATGGCATCGTGGCTTCCCATGGTCAAAAATGGAGAGCAAGACGACGAATGATTGATCCTTTCTTCAATGCTAAAAGTTTAACTTCTTATATTCCATTAATGAATCAAGCCTTTAGTTTGGTAACCAAAGACTTGAAGGAAGAAAAAGTTGAAACAATTGACATGGCTCATAATATTCACATCGGATCATTGAATGTCATTATGGAAAGTACAATGAGTATTCCTGTTGATTCAATGAAAGACTATAAAAAAGTGATTCTTAGTGATCTTGAGTCTGTTGAAAAAATTGCTTTGACTCGTATACTCAACCCTATTTTATGGTTTGATAAAATATTTTTTCAAACCAAAGGAGGTAAATTTTTCAAAGAAGCAGTTGACAGATTTGATGCTGTTTTGATTGACAAAATAACTGAAAGACTCGACTCTCGAAAATTAAAAGTTGATGAAAAGGAGCAAAAAATGAGACATGATCTCATTGATCTATTGGCCGTTCATCACGATCCCAATTCAAATGATGTTACTCAATCAATTGACATTGAAGGCATGAAAGCTGAAATTGTCAATGTAATTATTGCTGGACATGATAGTATCGCTGCTGGGATAAGATGGACGCTGTTTCTCTTAGGTAAGCTTATTTTCTTTGACTGCACTTTAGGCTTCTATCTATGGATTTACCTCAAATGAATATTGTCTCTTATTTTTACCTCTACTTTTCAGGTAATCACATTGAATGTCAGGAGATACTTTATAATGAAATTGCAACAAGCTTTGCTGATGATCAATATCCTACAACCTTAGATGAAATCAATAGATTAACTTACTTGGATCAATGTGTCAAAGAAAGTATGAGACTTTACCCACCGATTCCCTTAACATCATATCAACTCGAGTACGACGCTGAGGTTGGTAAATACGTTGTACCGAAAGGTACAGCAGTTGCTTTTTCATTCTATACTATTCATCGAGATGAAAAAATCTGGGAAAATCCTAATCAATTTGATCCAGATCGATTTAGTCCAGAAAGATATTCAAAAATACCCAGATATGGTTACATACCTTTTGGTCTTGGTAAAAGGAGCTGTGTTGGACAGAAATTCGCTATGATCGAAATGAAAGTTTTTATTATTCATCTAATCAAACATTACAGTTGGATTTCAACAAAGAACGTTGATGAAGTTAAATTTGCCATGGATGTCTCAACTAAACCATTAGAACCCCTCAACATAAAGCTTACTCCGAGAAATTAGCTTTCAATAAATGTATAACTCAACCATTGTTATAGCAAACCAAATTAAAAGCTCTATGGCATCTATTTAATTCTGCATGCTAATTAATTGTGGAAGTTTTATGATTCTTGACTTTAGATTATTTCGCGTTTAGAAGTTTGAATCTTCTAGTGTTTCAATTTTAACAACGTGTGTTTATTTAATTTACAATAATATAAGAATATATAATATATTGAGATATTCTAACACAAACATTGAAAGTGTAATTAATGAAGCTATGAAGTATGATTGAAAAGATCAAGTTTACATTATAACTTCAGTTTTGTGAATGTCTAAAAAATAAGATTTGTTTGACAAATTGATGATAACTTAAAAAATAATAAAATAAATACAAAGTCAGATGAATGCTAATACAGTCGGAATATTTAAATGCATGAATATGATTTAGTGGGAAATGAAAATGATTTATTAAGCATGAATTGTAATTGTTTACAAGTAAATAAAATTGAAGCGACTCAGGGCTTGAGGTAAGCTAGAGATGATAGGTCCATATCCTTGAGCATTGTCATACAATTCAAATAGCGGTGCAGCTACCAATTTATAATTCTTGGGAACAGCAAATAAAGCTTTCTCCGGTAGTTGTACAAGAAATAGTTTCTTGTGCTCTTTTGGTTTAGTTATGTGAGGAGGAACATAAGGATATTGAGGTGGCTCAAAATTGGGTCTCCACCAATTACCAATTGTATCTTCAATTGTCCATTCATTAGCAATACCATCTTGGCGACCCAATGTTTCAGTAAGTAAACGCTTAAGACCTTCAACCTCATCTTCTCCGGCTTTAAGTTCACCACCGGGTAATTTAAAGAATGTTGTACCCAATTGTAATAGTAAGACATGAGGTAAACGATGTTCGTGAACAAGAAGAACTCCTTCGACTGATCGCCTCATTCCTACTTTTTCAAATTCTTCTTTCATCCTTTGGAATCTTGCTGGAACAGAAGGGTCTTTTTCAAAGAGAGCATCTTTTGTACCAAAAGTGTAATTTGTTAAAGGGTATCTGGTGGAAAAAAGTATAGATAAATATGGACAATAAAGGAAACATAAAGTTTAATAAAGCATATTTATGCATAATGTTTCAGCAATTAAGCATGTTAAAGTCAAATTAATCAGAAAAAGGTATTTTTGAATTTGTTTACTTACAGATTGATTGTCCGGTTACATGTAACCGAGAGTAAATTTGTTGCGGCAAGATATTTCCCAGTGAACTGTGATTGATTTTTTGGCCACCCAGTTGAAGGTGTATTAATGGTTACACCAGTTACTGACATTATTCAATATTCTCAGATTAGTATTTTCCAATCAAACTAACAATTAACTGGTTAAAACAGACAGTATTTTCAGAATCACCCTCGAAAACAGAAAATTTAAAAACATTCACTGATCTGTAAAAATTTGCTTTTGCAAACATATGTTGAATACGATAGATGGAGCTGTATTCGTTTTATTAGGTTTTATGGTAATTTAATTATGATTTAGCTCTTTAATCAAACTCCTGTTCCTTTTAATTAATTATATTGTTGGATTTAATTTATAGATAGTCAATTTAATCAGATTAATTACTTCTTACCGAACTCTGGTTCAACTTTCGTAATTAAATTGCCCTTTTAATTCAACTTTCAGATTATTGATAATTTTTGAAAGGTCCCTTATTTTTATGTTTTGGCAAACTCATCTTGGTTTGGTTTTTTAGTCCACTTGGTTTTTCTAATTAAATTCAGTTTTATTTTTTACCTATTGATCGTCACCATGCCAGAAATGGAGATTGATGAACGTAAAGGTGAAGGTTTGAAGGCCTATTACATCACCAAGATTGAGGAATTACAATTAGTTGTGACAGAAAAGACCCAGAATTTGCGTCGTCTTCAAGCCCAGAGAAATGAACTCAACGCTAAAGGTGAGTTTAATTTGACCATTGTCTTTGTATTGTTCTCAATACTTATCACATTCAATATATATTTTCTAGTTTCTACTCATCTTTTTCCTATAATAATAATTGTAACAATGCTTACTGACAAACACTAATTTTTAATAAATTTTCTTTTTATTGTTTTTTTCTCTGACAGTTAGGATGTTAAGAGAGGAATTGCAATTACTTCAAGAACAAGGTTCTTATGTTGGTGAAGTTGTTAAACCTATAGATAAGAAAAAAGTTCTAGTGAAAGTCCATCCAGAAGGTAAATTTGTCGTTGACATCGACAAAAATATCGATATAAAGGATGTTACTCCAAATTGCCGTGTTGCCCTTCGCAATGACAGTTATACGCTACACAAGATACTACCGAATAAAGTAGACCCACTGGTTAGTCTTATGATGGTCGAAAAAGTACCTGACTCAACGTACGAAATGGTTGGTGGTTTAGGTAAACAAATTCAGGAAATTAAAGAGGTTATCGAATTGCCGGTAAAGCATCCAGAATTATTTGAAGCTCTTGGAATTGCTCAGCCTAAAGGTATGTTATTTCGATGTAATTTCTTGTCACATCTTTTAATCCAAATATTTCTCTTATTATCGACTCTATCTCTTAGGTGTACTCCTTTATGGGCCTCCAGGAACAGGTAAAACACTCTTGGCCCGAGCTGTTGCTCATCACACCGATTGTACTTTTATCAGAGTCTCAGGATCCGAGCTTGTTCAAAAATTCATCGGAGAAGGTTCTCGTATGGTCAGAGAATTGTTCGTTATGGCTCGAGAACATGCACCATCAATCATTTTTATGGATGAAATCGACTCCATTGGTTCCTCTCGTATTGAATCAAGCTCCGGAGGAGACTCTGAGGTTCAAAGAACTATGTTGGAGCTTCTTAATCAATTGGACGGTTTTGAAGCCACTAAAAACATCAAAGTGATCATGGCAACCAACAGAATAGATATTCTTGACCCAGCTCTTCTTCGTCCTGGTAGAATCGACCGTAAAATTGAATTTCCACCTCCAAATGAAGAAGCTCGTTTGGATATATTAAAAATTCACTCTAGGAAGATGAACCTTACTCGAGGAATCAACCTGAGAAAAATCGCAGAAATGATGCCTGGTGCTTCTGGTGCAGAAGTTAAAGGTGTTTGTACTGAAGCTGGTATGTACGCTTTAAGAGAACGTCGTGTTCATGTCACTCAAGAAGATTTTGAAATGGCTGTGGCTAAAGTAATGCAAAAAGATGCTGAACGAAATATGTCCATCAAGAAGTTATGGAAGTGATTTTTCTTGTCTTCGATAATATTGTTTTATACAAATAAAAATGATAACTAATGATTAATACAGTGATTAAAATATTTAATAGCTTACAAGTGAAACTGTTGGTTATCGTGATTTCATCAACAATCTGTTTCCTCTAAATATCATGAGAATCAAACTTTTCAGTTTTCTTCTTTAGACGAGTTTTACTATTGCAATAAAACAATGAATACTATCATTCAAGGAGCTATTCAAGATCACTGCTATTAAATCATTATCATGACATTCAGCCTAATATGATAAAACATGATTCGAGAGGAAAATGAATATCATTTTAGAGGTCTTGAAAAATATGAAAAAATAAGGATGTAGGAAAAACACAAGAGTAAAAGAGATGTGAATTGATAGTTAGATCCTGATCTAGTTCAATAATAAAGTATATTTAATTCACAAGTAAATAAAATTGAAGCGACTCAGGGCTTGAGGTAAGCTAGAGATGATAGGTCCATATCCTTGAGCATTGTCATACAATTCAAATAGCGGTGCAGCTACCAATTTATAATTCTTGGGAACAGCAAATAAAGCTTTCTCCGGTAGTTGTACAAGAAATAGTTTCTTGTGCTCTTTTGGTTTAGTTATGTGAGGAGGAACATAAGGATATTGAGGTGGCTCAAAATTGGGTCTCCACCAATTACCAATTGTATCTTCAATTGTCCATTCATTAGCAATACCATCTTGGCGACCCAATGTTTCAGTAAGTAAACGCTTAAGACCTTCAACCTCATCTTCTCCGGCTTTAAGTTCACCACCGGGTAATTTAAAGAATGTTGTACCCAATTGTAATAGTAAGACATGAGGTAAACGATGTTCGTGAACAAGAAGAACTCCTTCGACCGATCGTCTCATTCCTACTTTTTCAAATTCTTCCTTCATCCTTTGGAATCTTGCTGGAACAGAAGGGTCTTTTTCAAAGAGAGCATCTTTTGTACCAAAAGTGTAATTTGTTAAAGGATATCTGGTGAAACAACCGAAACATAGACATACAAATATATTTGGATGTACAATTAAAAAACAGAAATATTAATAAATTATATTTATGGATGTTACCTAAAAAATAATTGTTTTATTTTTAGTTTGTTTACTTACAGATTGATTGTCCGGTTACATGTAACTGAGAGTAAATTTGTTGCAGCAAGATAATTCCCAGTGAACTGTGATTGATTTTTTGGCCACCCAGTTGAAGGTGTATTAATAGTTACACCGGTTACTGACATTGTAAAATATGATGTGATTTAACAGCTTAACAGATACTTAATTAATTTATGATAAAAACAACACTTAAAACAAAAACAACGTAAAGAAACTTAAAAATGAAAGATTTATCCTCACATTGAACATGTTTACATCAACAATTTGGTAAAATTAAACACAGTTTGCTTAGATGTAGCTTATGTCCAATCTTGTTTCTTTTCATCAGCGCCAGTCGACAATCTTTCTTTTTTAATCATCGATTGCTAATCAATGATAATTTATCATAAGTTATCATTTACTCTTTGCTAAGTAAAATGCATCTACTCTTTATTATCAATATATCGAGTGATTTGTAATCAAGTGGAGATAATCTTTACCTTCATGTGATATTATCAATAAAAGTTTATTTTTCAGAATCTAATGCAAAACATGATCTCTATCAAAAAAGGGCTTTACTTCATCACCCAACAATGAAACCGAATTAAGTAGATGAACCAATACAAAATTTCCTATTATAATCATGTTTGAGCCAAAACAATTCAACAGCTCATTTGAATGAGTTGACCATGTTGTTGATGTAAATAAACCTTCGCATTCAATGTTTTTCAGAAGAGTGAACAAGTATTACTTATCATCTTCATATCTAACTTATCACCCAGAATTATCAATGTGAAATACAAAGCTATCGAATAAGAAGTTTCCTGTGTTGTTTTGAAAGCTCTCATGATTGTCAGCACTTAAAAGTTTTATTTGTTGTCACGTAATTGTTTCACAAATTCATCAAATAATTTTATAGACCTTACATTGACCCTAATAGGTGAACAGCAATGTAATCGCATATGTAAACATGAGCTATCCAAGACAGATTAAAACAGGAATACAAATATCAAGGCCTGGAACAGTAAATCTAGATAAAGAAATGAAGAAAATATAAATTAATAAAGGACAGAAAATCAAGCAAATCAATCATTCAGAATGGCAGTGTGAGATTGTGAATTAAATAATGTACACAAAGAGCACTTGCAAGTTTTACTTTTATCCAGAGGTCGATATTGAGGAAATTTATTTCTCATTTGTAAAGAAAGGAAGGAAATAGAATTGTTTTTATTTTTTTTCATCACAATTATACTTACTTATATTACTGAACTGGCTATTGAAATATGAAAAAGTGGGAGAGAGTGATTAGTAATTACAAAGAGTTTCTTGGGAAACAATGATGTTGGGTCTTTGAACTTGAGTCTCAACCTGTCATTAGTGAAAGTGTAAGGAATGAATTTGAAAAAAGTCAAATCAATCACTTTTCTAAAACTTGCTTTACCTTTTGTACATTCTGAGAATAATTAATAACAGTAAAAAAAGAGGAGAAAAAGCAATTACAAAAGATTTTATCAATTGTAAGAAAACATATTCATAAGACTATTATAAAGATTATTTCTCTGGTTGATATTCATTACATTGCTGATAAATCTAATAACAAATCAAAACAATATAATTTAGAAGATGATGTTGATAAGTTAAAAGGTTGGACAGATTGAAATTGATTGAAAAAGTAGGTAGAAGGACGGCAACCAGGGAAAAAATGAATCAGGATGCATTTTGAATTTTATCAGATAAATATTGAGTGAATCCGTGAAAATGATGATGTTAAATTTTAGACTTTGATAGCTTGCAATTGAAAAATAATAGATTAAATGAAGCACTAAGAGATTTTAAGAAAATGGATGAAGCTCGGTAAATCACAGGTAAACAAAATTGTAACGGCAAAGCATTTGCGGAATACTTGCTATGATATGTCCATAGCCTTGAGTATTGTCAAACAATTCAAAGATTGGAGCTGCGACTAATCTGTAATTTTTTGGAACCACGAATCTGGCGGTATCAGGTAATTGGATTAAAAGTAATTTTTTATGCTCTTTTGGTTTGGTTATATGAGCTGGAATATATGGATATTGATGCGTCTCAAAGTTAGGCCTCCACCAATTACCAATAACATCAGCAACTTGCCAATGATCTGCAATGTTTTCCGCACCAGGAGGAATATCATGTCCAAGCATCTCGTTAATCAATCTTCTAACTCCTTCAGATTCAGATTCACCGATGGCAAGTTCACCTCCTGGCAGCTTGAAGAAGGTTGTTCCCAATTGAAGGAGTAAAACATGTGGTACTTTATGCTGATGAACTAGAAGTACAGCTTCCACCGATCTCCTCATCCCATGGATTGCAAATTCTTCCTCCATTCGTTGAAATCTAGCAGGAACTGACGAGTCTCTTTCAAACAATGGTTTTTTGGTACCAAAAATATAACTCTCCAATGGATGTCTGTGGGTTTACAATTATGAAAAAAAACATGTGTGTTACAATACAAAAGCATGCAAGTTGTGATATAATAAAACGATGAGCTTGATAATCTCATGATCGTTGAATTGTTAAACTGAAAGAAGTTTAAATATGAAATAATACTTACAAATAAATGGTCCGAAGGTTTATACAATATTCACCGAACGGATTGCTGTCTGTAACAGTCCGTACTTCTATAGCCTGAGGTGGATTTTTCTCAGGAGTTTTTTCAGGTTGATCTTTACGCTCCATGAGTAGATAGATTTAATAAATTAACTAATTGACTAACCAACTTGATTAACGTTGGTGAAATTAAAAACAAATGTAACAACATAAATACAATCATATGGCAAACACAAGGCAGAAAGGATAAAGGATAAAATAGATTGCTGTGAAACGTCAAGTGAGTAAACTTACAGTGTAGTTGTAGAGAAGACTAAAGCTCACTTAAAATATCCAATAAGAGTGCAATTTGTTAAAATGCTTTCTTAAAATATTAATTATCTATTTAAAATGTTCAATTTATTAAGATTTGCCTTATTCTAACCACAGGACAATTTTGTGACATTTTAAAATGCTTTTTTACCAATTATGATATAATGTTGGGCAAACATGATCTCAACAGGTATTGATATTGAAATCACGTTAAAGTGAATGGAAAAATGTTTGCTGTGAAAATTTTCAAAATCAGTTGAATCTCCGAATAACGATGCAAGAAATCGACAGATTTCATAATTTAATTTCAGATCACATCTTCTTCCTGGTCTGAGTGATATTAATTGTCCAGAGTAGTGTCAATTATTGCCATAATGATGAATGGTTGATAATGATGAATACAAAGGAAAGAGGGTGTAAGAAGGTGGTAAGGAGGAGAGGGAGGTGGGTAGAATGATCTTGAATGTAAAGTATTTAGTCATTCATTGATTACCTTTCAGATTGTCCATAATAAGGAGGCGGACTTGGGTGAGAATAATAGTCTAAGGTCTTTGAACTTTCGAACAACCAATCATCAAAACAATAATTTTACTGAGATGGACATTTGCTTTTTTTAAACACATTCGACTGTGATTCACACATTAGATAATAACAACAGTGATTAGATCATTTCAGTCCTGTTTTGACAATCAGTGCGAGTGTTTGTGTCCTTTGCAAAATGGCTGTATTTCCCTCCAATCAGGTTGACATTGAATCAGGTGGAAATAGTGCCGTAAACGAGAAAAGATCAACTTCGCGTAACTGTTGTAATTTATTGTTTCAAAGTGTTGTATTTTCTGTCTGCTGTTTCTTATTCATCAGCCAATCCATGATGTTAGTTAAGGTTTATCTAAGCTTTCCCACGACTATAACCACCAATTTAACCTTTGCTGAAATATTTGATTTACCCTCGGTTACTCTTTGTTTTAAGAGTGATCTCAAACCAGGCGCTGTTGAAGCAGCCAATGAGGTGTTTAGGCGCAATTTCAATGCTGATAAGGCCAAAGAGGAGGATATTAAGTGTAATTTGATGATACCAACGATTAACCAAGTAACTGGTACGTTTGAAGTGTCTCCAATTCCTTGCCATGAGATTGTCCCAACACTGGAAAGTATTAACTTTGGTTTGGGTAAAAGATGTTACACTTTCTTTAGTAAATTGGGTAAACCAATTCGATCTTCACGTGATTTAAAGGTTCGCTGGTCCAGGTTCAGTGATGAAGGTGGTGGAAATGGATTGTTGACAACCAAAAATGGTGACCTGATGACTCTTGAAATTGAATTTGGACGTAAACCAAACGTGGAAGCTTTCACAGATGATTTGGATGCTTCAATATCTATTCACCAGTCCAATGAGCTACCCTTGAGTAGTCAAAAGATATCCAAACTAAAACCTGGTTACAATTATTTGATCACATTTGACAAGATAATTGAGAAACGGATGCCTCCGCCGTTCAGGACTGGATGTGATCAATATAAACAAACGATGAACGGCAAAAATGAACAGGTTAACACTGGTAAACTAGTTGATGAAAGAAACTTCATGGGCATTGTTTCACCTCACTTGAAACCTCCTCAATCTAAATACGATTGTGTTGATCAATGTTTACTCACCTTGTACCGGCAAACTTGCAACTGTTTACCATCTGATATCAATGTTAGACGTGACCTGTTACGATCGAACGACACTTTTTGTACCAATGCAAAATGTCAAACATTACAAATCCATCGAGCTGAATTCTGTGCCACTCTACCTCGATGCAAACCCAACTGCGAAGATGAACTTTACAATTTTGTCACTGAAATGGCTGATAGTCAATCAACGACAATGGTTTTAACTCATTACATCAACACTCAAAGACATAGAACCTCATCAAGACCAATCAATTATAATAACGGCGGAGCTGGTTATATTCCAAGGCCAATGGTTCCAAACGGTCAATTTCAATCTTATGGTCTTCAGGTGAGTTTAAACTTTTCAGGTTTTTTTTATCCGATTTACTCAAGTTTCTTTTCTTTATTTACAGGAAGCTGGAACTTATCATGGATCTTTGAGTGAATCAGTACCTGATATCGTCAATGTGCTTGGTACACTGAGTAAAGCTTTTGTTACCGTTCGGAAGTCATCAGGACCTGATGTTGTCTATGAGCATCGACCTCAATATAATTATTTTGATTTTGTTTTTCAATTAATGACTTTGGCCTGTGTTTGGTTAGGTTTCTCCATTTTCTCAATCATTTGGAAACCATTCTATATAATTTTCAAAATCATTTCATTCTGTTGCTGTTTATCTCGAAAATTACAAAAAACAAAGCCTCTAGTCACAATAGATTAAAAATGATGAGAAAATTGGAAAATATTGTTACCTGAATATTGCAATGAAATAAAATATGAATGATGATTCAAAATGATTCACGTTTTCGTTAATGCAATCTTTATTATCGATTTAGAAGGATGATTGGTATCTTTACCACTAACAAGAGTTGAGTTTTAAGTCGGATACAAAAATAATGTAGGATCTCTGATAAAAAATTAGGCTCAAATTTTACATTTCTACATAGTTTATCTGGTCCATAAGATCGTCAATCTTATTTTTCAGGGTTTCAATGATCTCCGGGGAAACAAAAAGATGAGTTGCATCAAGATCTTGGATGATAAACTTCGTACCAAGAGCATTTGTTTCATCCAAATGCAGAAGAAACTGTTTCATTTGAGCATCGCATTCAATAAGAATGCCTTTCATAACATTAACCATCGTGTTCAAATAGGATTTGATTGAGCACTTCAAAGGAACAAATTCAAGGAAATAAAATTAATGTTGAACAAGATAGTTGAGGTAATAAAACAGAACCAGGTGTTTATCAGATGCAAGTGATCGGTAAAAAAAGTAAACAATCAAAACCACAGCAACTCAAGTTAAGTGAAGTTTAGCACTCCATCTATTGCATGAATAAAGAGATAATGTTCCAGAAATTCGTTCAATTTATTTTGTCCTTCTTTTATCAGATTTTTTCAAAACCTTGAATAATTTGAAGCTCTTAAAGTAAAAAAATTTCTTCACGATTCTAGAAATGTAATATCTGCATTCAAAGTGGACTAAATCAATATAAGATCAATTAGAAATAAGGAAAATTCTGATTTTGCATCATCGATGAGCTTGAATACATTCTGTTGTGATGTCGATTGCTTAAAAAAAGTAAGGAACCTTATGAATTTATTCACACGTAAAATTTGAACAACAATTCATCTGAATTCAAGGCTCTTTTGATTGTTTACAAATGAAATGATTAGGGATCACATTTATTGTTCATTTCCCTCCTAAAAGATGGAGTTGCCTTCGTACTGGCAGCTTTAAGTTGACGTTTATCGTTTAATTGAATTAAAGCAAATTTAGATCAATTTTCAATTTTGATTTGTGTCCACAAGCAACCAACATCACACTAGAACCCAACTCTGAACATGGAAACATAAAATGTCGCAAACTAACACGGACTCGAAGGAAGAAACTAAATTTTTATAAATCTTATTCAATTTTTTACAAGCTTGGCTTCACACACAAGGACAATTCACATGTTTTGCAGTTTGTTTTCATTCATTTCTTTAATTTTCCATTTTTCCTAATTTAATTATCTTCGTCATTACTTAAATCCCATAATTTAAATCCCATATTTCCTCACCGTATTGTGCCTCTTTACAATTTATAAACAAGTGAAATCCAGTGAACTGTCATCTTCTTTCATGTGTTTCACTTTTTCATTTCATAATTTTTCGGTTCTTTAGTTAACTGTTTATTGAAATTAATGGCAAAATCACCTCAAACTAACTTAATATCAAATATAATGTGTCATAAATGAAACAGTTAATCAACATCACCACGCGTTCCTGAATAGCAGTTACTAACTGAAACAGAATGAAAAAAAGGTAAAAAAAATTGAAGTTCATTTTCTTATTCAGTATTTTGAAACAATTAATTCGTGAAACTCACCTTTAATCTGACTTTTCTTTTACCCTTCAGGATTATTTTCTATTCCTGGTATCAATTTGGTTTTCAAACATTTTTCAGGTTCATCATAATAATGGATACAAATGTGAATCAAAAACTTGCTCACCTTCCCAAAAATATATCAATACAATGATAACCATCTTGCCAAGTATAAACATCCTAAACTGAAAGTACAAATTAATAGATTCACTTTAATTCAGGTATCACGACAATCATGGTACAAGCAGTTATCACTTTTAATTTCCGTAGGTTATAATTCATCGATCAGGTGTAAACTAATTGTCTAATTAATGCCCAACCATCTAACCTTTCCTTTCTCAAGAAGTACCTGTTGTTGCACTGGTAAACACCATCAATCTCATCGATATCTGCACAGCCAATTTCTCGGTAAATTGTGATTCCCTCAGCAAATAATTGATTAGATAATGAAGCCTATTAAATCCCAGATTTCCTATTAATTATTCAGTAGAGGATAAAATGGATCTTGATACACAAATAGTGGTTACAAAGTAAATAATGTGTATTGGGTTTGTAAGCAACTGGATGCATCTCAATCACATGTTTCAACCTTTTTATTGGTGGACTTGATTTTATTTTTTAGGTTTTTCCTTAAGTTAATTGTTACCTGTTAACTGACACTAACAGACCAGCTTTATATAAATGATTAAAATGGTTACTACATTTGTTTTGCTTGTGTATTACAAGACAATTTGATTTATATCAGATGTTGCCAACAATTATTAATATCATTACATTATCATTTTTAACAGCTTTTATTGTTTATACACGAAACAAACTGAAGACCAATTTAAAGTGGCAAAATGAAAATAAAGATAATCACTATTAAAACCCGTTAAATAATAGCAATAAACAGCTTAATTCTGATGGTAAATATTAATAGTAACATAATAAGTGATGTGTTAATTAACCGTTCAACAGACACTTACATTTCCTAACCAAATTTACATTCAATTGTATTTCCATTTCAAGATTTGTATTCTGTCAACAGCAATTTACAGCAATTTACAGCAATTGTAAAACATTGACTATAAATTTAACTCATTGTTAGGTGCATCTAAACCAGCAATAAATGTAAACAATCAAAGGCTTTGGATAAGGTTTGACCAATTTGAGTTGTTTTCATCATTCAAGGTTTGTTTTGATGAACCTTCAATTGAATTAGAATCAATCCAATATTTTGATTTACCAATAATCAATATGATTAAATTAAATCAGTTTAATACACTTTTGTTTTCAACCTTTCAAATGGTCAATGGTTTTTTGGCTGTTCAAAGACCTGACTTAAAAGCTTTACTTATAGACATGTTAATCTATTGATGTATTGAAATTTATGGGTAAATAATGTTTTTATGTATTTTTTTCATTATTTTCATGATTCCTGAGGAAACTCAAGAACCACGAGGATAACATGTCAACATGTTTAAACCAAGGTTAAGGTTGAACAACCTTATTCTGAGCATTTAGGATTCAACTTGCTTCATTGATCATTGAAAGTGTAAATCAAAATGTATTTCAACTTGAACATTAACTGGTTAACTATTTGAAAATGTAAACATTTAACAATTGATTTCATTGACCAGTTATTCAATACACTTGACATACAGGTTAAGTGTCCATTGATGGTGTCTTTTGAGACTGAATAGTTGACTTTACTGAGAAACAATTCAACATCATTTAGGCATTAAAAGGTACTTGAAAAGATCTATGTTTTATCATTTAACCTTCAAATTGTTGTTACTTAAGAAATCAAATTTCTGAGTAAAATTCTGAGCTTCTAGGAAGTTTGCCTCAGGATTGGGTTTTATCAAATAAATCAAAGATCATTCAAGTTGAATTTTAAAGCCTTTTATCATCGACTACTGATGTTGTTCATTTTTTGTTTTTCATGTTTTATCAATCATTTAATCCTTCTTCATCTTGATTATTAAATAATTACCCAAATTAATTAATTGTACAATTAAATTGTAAGAAACTTTGATCTTTCAAAGGAAAATTTGTAAACAAAAAGATCAACTTTACTTGTTTTTATTTGATAATCATTTAAGTTGATTGAGGTTTGAATTTTGTTTACATCTATTGGTTTCATTGATTGTACAACATCTCAATTAAAGGATGAATTACCAAGGTTGGTTATTATTTAATAGTAATTTGTGATTAATGACTATTAAATAATATAAAGCATTTGGTATGTTGAACTACATTTGAACTTAACTGTGGACAATTGATAAAAGTAATGAATCAGTGAAATTATTCATCGTTAATTTGATTTATACAGAATATTGGAAAATGATTTATCTTGGTAAAAGTGATTGTTAATCATTGATCAATCTGTGCCACTGAATTTACAAAATTATGTAATTGCTCTGCTTTTGTACGCAAAAGTATCCTTTCAATCTAATCTGATTATGGAAATTATCAAGATTCTGTTACAATTTCAACATGGCAAGTTTTCAGTGCAATCGAGTGTGGTTGTAATGATTGTAACCATCAAATTACTGTTGATTTTCCAGAAAATTAGGATCAATTGTACTTCGGTTTCTATTTGTGTTGACCATGGGATGATTTTTTTTCTCCTGGAATTTTACTTTCCTTTTTTAGACTTTTTGTTGAAACGTTCATTTTCAAGGCTGATTCCAATTGTTACTGGTTACTGAATCAATGAATATTTGGACTTTCCATTGTATTGTAAATTGTTGATTGTTCAAGATGATTAGCAGGTTTGATGTCGATCAAAAATTTGCTTCCAATATATGAAACCAAGGGCTTGAACAAGTGGTTAAGTCCGAGTGTGTTTGGTCGCTCTGGTTGTAATAAACTCGATAACTGGTAATGTTTGGCTCCATCAACACCACAGCATTAACCATAATTTGCTTAAATATTTAAACGAATCAAGAATCCAATCAAAATAGTCCAAATAATTGATAACAGCTGGAGATCTGAATTGGAATTACTGACAAATGTAAAGCAATGATTATTAGTTTAGGTTGAATATGCAATCCAAATGACGAGTAATTAACAAATTCAATGTCGATTGTAACGTAAATGGATGAGAATGATTTTGTTGATCAAATAATGAAATTAGAATGAAATTCATTTTCATTATTATTCACTAAGTTAATGCTGTAAGTGTCGTCAAAGTGTTGACCAGAATAAAAAACGTTGCCCATTTGATTTTCAACTGTTTAATTGTGACTGTTTTTTCACCGTCATCATCATCATTAACATTAACACAATCAATCTTGTGATCAAATTGTCAAGTCTTTCAGGGTTGATCAACCTTGGACAATCAACTAATTACAATTAACAAAAAACCATCATCTTACCTTGTTGTGTTAAGCTTTTTGGTTTTGGACTCTTTTTTGGATTCTTAATTTGTGTCTCTATTAAAAGCAAATGTATTTTTGTGGTTCCTTTGATTTTGTTGATGATTAAGCTTTTCTTTGATCCAAAATTTAATGACAATTATGATTAAATAGCAACAACCTTTATTGTTTCCTGTTGATTAAAGCCTTTGTTTCCTTGATTACAACCAATTAATAGACCGTAACAATCACCAAACTTGGGTCAATAAAAGTCTCAACTAAACTGCCAATCTGAAAAAATAATAAACATTTTAATTAATTCCACTTTGATTTAGTTACTTTTCATGAGAATTGAAATCAATTATTGTTTTATCCCATCAAAAAAAAAACGGGTTGTCATCAAAACCACAAACACTAAAGGATTTGTTTTGAGGTTTTTTTTCATTCGATATCTTCCTTCTTCCTGCATGGTTATTACAGTCTTTCCTCACTTAAGTTATAATTTTTGTGGGTCTAAGTACAAGCGTTTTATCCGCAGATGTCACTGTTTGTAGCCACTTTGGTACCAGCAATTCTTAATTGTTTGAGTTGATAAATCATTCCAACTCTTTGATATAAACTTAATAAATCAACCTAACCATGTTGGTATCTAAAAACACACTGACCATCATTTCAATTAAACTATTCAAACCCTATTGGCATTACCTAGGTAGTTAAACTCTTTAGTTTTAACCTTTTAACTTCAAAGCGTCTCAAAAATATCTATAACTTAAGCGAGGCTATAACTTAAGTGAGGAAAGACTGTATCATGATCATTTACTATTGTCATTTATGAATATTGTTAATATTATTGAACAAATTTATTGTTATTTGATCTGAATGAACACACAATTGAGTTAAAATCAAGTCAAGAATCTGAACCAGTTAACGTTTCCTGCTGTCATCAATTCAAGACTTGATTTTCAATTAACCCATGAACTTGTCTCAACCATTTGGACTTACTTGGTGATTTATAAGCTGAACAAGGTCAACAGTTATTGATCAATAGTTAAAATATGTTCAAGTGGCCTTTTCAGTCTGTTTTTACAGATATTATAACAAATAACTTGAAGCTTTCAACATTTTTTAAATTGTAAATAACTGATCACCAACAAAATTATTATTGATCAATAGTTAAACTGTTGAATTGCCTCAGGATCCGTTCCATAGTTTGATTCACATTCATTTTCAAGCTAACAAACTTGTTTTGTCTGGAGCTGTTAATTATATTGCTTGTTTTGTATCAACTGTAATAACAAAAAAAAACAAATAGTTAGTGTTTATAAATATAAACATTTATATTATACATGTTTTGATGTACAATAAAACATATCAAATGGTAAATAGTAAACAATTTGAAATGTAAATCTTTAAGATTAATTTAATTTGCACGAGTAACCCAGATGATTATTAATAAAAATAATTTGGGATAAAAACTCGCACAAACTGAAACTTCATCAGAATAGTAATGATTAAAGTTTGAAAAAAAGCATAACAAAAGTCAACAGTTGAAATGCTGTTGATTCACTTGGAAATAAACCAGAATCAAGAACTAGATGGCTCACGTGGATATCAATTCCTTGAAAGAAGATAAGATGATGATGATGATTATGATAAATATCATGATGATGTAGGCGATGATCAAGATGGTGATGAAAAAAGATCAATGGTCCAAGTTTCTTTAATCGACGGAAACTCTAACCCAAATCTGAACCTCAAACCAACGGATAAGCATTATCAGTTAACCAGCTTAACTATTAGTTGATTTATCCAAATTTATTTTAGCATTGATTCAACTTTCCATTTTTTTTGTATTGACAACTTGAGCCTGTTTAACTGTTTAAACGGGCGATGAACAGTTCTTATTTTGGATTTAACCAGGCGATAAAACCGCAACATCAAACAGGTAAATGGCCTTTTCCAGATCATCGTTCGGGTTATTCATTATCATTATCATCGTAACAACTAATCACTGGCCTTTACACTTTGGGTCAAGGATTATCGATTGAACTGTTAAGAGAAAAAGAAATCAATTGATTAATGGATTGAATTACAAAACTGTCAAAAACTGATCAACAGTGAAGATTAGAGTTTAAAATAAATTCAACTTACATTTCACTGATCATCAAATTTGGTTGCCTTCATTATTAACTTTGATTTACACTTTCATTGCGTTGAAGTTGCTGATTAGATTGACATTAGTTGATGCTCAGTATAATATTCATCTGTATAACATTGAAAGATGATGGATTAGTTTGTAATATACATTAAATGAATGGACGGAAGGAAGAAAAGGATAAAAATTGTTGAAGGAAGAATCAGTATTAACGATTGTTTCAATTAATACACTTTGATTGATCTTCCATGCCTTCAATAAGTGTCTTTACCCATTAATTGATGTTGATTAACATGAAGACACAATTTAAGACGTTGAATAACCTATTTTACAATATTGTGTTGCAAGCTCAAAAATACCAACAGTTGCCAACTAAAAAGTAAGAAGATGTGCAACAGGATTTACTCATAAAGATTAAACCATGAAGAAGATACTTGATTATCCTACAAGAACGAAATATGATCAACCAATTAACTGGATTAATCATGTTAGTGTATAACATTTGTTTATGTCTCGTCTTGATTGTAACAAACTTTCCAAAAAAAAATTCCGTAGATGGTTGACAATAAACATGTTACTAACGCCAACTGGGATATTCAAGTTGAACCTGAAAAGATGTGTATCAACACTAATAAAACATATAAAAGCATTAAATTTATTGAAATAGCATTTTTCTTAAGGCTAAAAGGGATCAATCAAGAGTTGATATACAGATAATTGAAAGGAATGAATATGAAACTAACCTTTGTCACCTTAGATCATGGTGTGATTAATAAAAATTGTATGGGAGGCGAAGAAGGAAATTAAATAAAATAGGAAGTTAGCCCATGTCCGATCGCCTACTTATAATTACAGTATGCCTTTTCAAGTGAAGCGGCTCTTTTTTTACTACAGTTCAATCTAAATATTCTGTATACTTGGAATAACTAGTAAACTGAATTGTAATAATAAATCATCACGCCCTGGTAACATGAACTGCTTTCAAATATTAGATAGAGAAGAAAGGAAAGAGTTGAAGATTGAAAGACTATACTGTATGCTGGTGAATATTAGCAGAAAAAATATGGACGCCCTTTGGTAGGGCCAGAGTTAAGAGACAGCATAACTTTTGATGGTAAATGATGAGAAATATGATGAGATTGATGGTAAAGTTGATGATGATGATATCTGTGTTTAAATAATGTTAATTCCTTTTTCCTTCACATAGTAAATTATACTGAATCACTGTTGATAGTCATGATGAAATACACAATTAACATCAACAGAACGAGTGATTAAAAAAAATTTCGATTAAAAGCGCTTGCTCAGATCAGATAAGGGAAAAATGAGAGGGAAACCACGCGGGAGAGAGAGAGAGAGATAAGAAAACGTTGTTCATATAAAGGTTTTTTCTGGTAACAGGTTTCTTTAATCAAGAAGTGAACAGCTAACTGTTGTCTTAATTTTCTGGTTAACTTTACATTAAATTGTCTTTACAAATTAATTTGAATCTTGTATTGATCAAATTTTGCTTCTCATCAATTTAACTTGACTCCACATTTGATTGTCTCTTGTGTCAGAACTTTTTCTCTGCTTTCTTTTTAATCTTCTTGTTTCTCTTTTTATTTCAACTGTTAACAATTGCTATTGTTGTCATCATGCCTTGTCTTATGGAATCATCGACTCCTCGTTCAAATGACCATCTAACATGTGAACCTTATACCAGTGAAGAGACTATCGTTCATTCTGGAATCGTTGAGCTTGCCTCCGTTAAAGGTAGTCCAAAGGTTTTTGTGGTTATTCATCGAACCTCGACGGAACACTTTGTTGTCTTCTATCCTCTTCGGTTGATTGCCTCTGCTCGTAAACCAATATCTACAATTAACCTGCGATCTTCTCTTGTAAGTTGCCCTGAAATTGGTTTAATCACCATTCGACCAAGAAAGGATATTGATGGAGCATCAATTACTTTACGGATAAATCCAATAACCACTGAAAATATCAACAAATGGCTATCTGCTCTTAGTGATTACAGGTTCACAATTACCAATGCTTATAACAACAATGTGAATAACGAAAACTGTAACCTAACCAGTGATGAAAATTTCAACAGTCCTCAATTAATTACCAAACAACCAAACCCATCATCATCATTATCCACAATGAGCTACCGTCATAGATATATGCCTGGTGCAAGTAATTGTAATACAGTAAGGTTTGGTAATTATCATTTACCTCCATTAGTAGAAAGTGTTGAAGATTAATTTAACCAAATATTTAATTCTTTTTCATAATTGTATCACCTATTCTTATTCACTATTATTTAATTTTCATGATGATTTGCCTTTCTCTCTATTATATAAATTATTATTGAAATGTTCGTAAAATATTAATATACGACCAGTTGGTATATGGATTCCCAATTCTTCGGCTGCTAATAACAATTGACCAATTCTCTAATCATGATCTGATTACACTGCAAATTATTGTTTCATTTGAGGCTGCTTTTCGTAATCATCTATTTACACTGGATCTACGAAATGTTTGTGGAGTAAATCAAACTCACAACAATCCAAAACTGTTGTAGTTACAGATGAAGTCTGTTATCAAATCAACGCTACCAGCTTTATCCCTAACCAACTGTTAAACACACAAACACAAACATCATCATCACTTGAAACCTCATTTCCATCAAAGTTTACCAATGAAAACCACAAAAAATGAAACCAATGTCATTCCCTATCTCAATTATATCTTTATATGTAAATATTTAATGACAAAAATACACAAAAATTGTAACAAAACATGTTTCGTTTGTATGTAGACAAACTACAATAAAAGTGCCAAAGATTTATCATGTTTAAACGTTTATAAATTTGATTATAAATTTATTTCCAAAATCAAACAATTTCCACCAAATCCCAAACAATTTGAAATACAAAATGAAACAAAGGGTTAATACAAGTTTCACTTGATTACCTTATTGATCAAGCTTTAACCCAATTGAATAAAGGTTAAATAATGTTAATACTTTTACTAATCGGTCGATTAATTAAAATTGAAAACAACCCAAAAGTGATAATTAATATCTGGTTAAGTTAAGTTGTGTTAAGTTGTTTCTAAGTCTAACCCAAAAAAGTATATGAAGTAAAGGCAAACATTGATGTTAATGGTACATTATGAAGTAACAGTTAACTACTGTTTTGTTTATTTGATAATCAATTTACTAATCATCATTGTACTGATCATAGAGTTGAATCTTTATATTATAATATATTTTTATCATCCTCAGACGATGACAGATGAAATAATTATTACCATTCATGAATCAAGTTACCATTAAAAATGAAGGTAAACAGACAAAATGAAGGTACGGCGAAAATGATCAAACAATTCTAATGATTAAACAATCTGTGTTTATTGTCATGATAGACGTATTAAGTAATAGCAATTTGCTAGTTGATTGGGTTTAGCTGAAATTTACGTCAATACGGTTTAACATAGCAACACTTGATTGCTGGTGAAGCTGAGTATGCCTGAGTATGGTTGTGTATGGCTGTGTTTGGCTTTTTTTGCCTCATGTGTGTCTGTCCCTGAATTTAATTGTAACTAATCAGTTTGGATTTCATTAACAATTAGTTAGAGAGGCTGCTAGTGAATAAACAGTTATTTTGATTAATAGTCATTTGTCTTAACGGTTTGTTTTTCAAATGTGTAAATACACAGGAAAAAAGGTAAACACGTGAAACACCAGCAAAGCTTGAATTGAGAGCGACTTGAGAAGTACTTAATTGTAAATTGAACCGTTTTTTGTTTCAATCCCTAAGGTAACTCAATTCAAATTGTATTTCTCTGATGCTCTGATTGTTTAAATGTTCATCTCATGATTCCATTGACAAGACACTCATCTTGATCAACTATCATCTTGAAGATTGTTTTTTCCTGTTTCACTTTCCATTCAATTGTCAACCGTTGAATTTGAACAGATTGATTCAACTCTCTCCAAATTAATATTAACTATAGTTGCATTAACCAATAACTACATTAATCAATAAACCATACAAGCTAAAATTAAACCCAACATGAAATACTAAGCCTAAGAAATCACTTGTAAGCTTGAAGAGTATCAAGTCTAAAATTTGGGTTTTAATAGCAAATCTTTTGCCAAATTAATATATTTCCATTAATATTAATTAACCAGTTTTTATTCAGTAAACCCACAGTGATCATAATTTGTGATTAAAATATGACTGGCCATTGAAGACAACATCTATTATTGACTAAGGTTACTGATCTTAACTCTGGAGAGTGACCATCCAAGTCAATAGCCATTATCAAAAATAAATACACAGGCAATTTAATTAACATTAGTATGGACCAGAAATGATAACCAATCTGGGCTCTCTTAAAAATAACAATTGCAATACAATAATCATATTACATGCACCAAAATGAAGGCCTAACAATTGTTACATTTGTTATTGTTACTCATCCTTAACAGATTTACATTTTCTATTGTCACAATCACAATCAATTTAATAGTTGATTATCAACTAACATGTACTCATATTGTTGAGTTTAATCGTCATATAATAACATCTAAGTTAACTTAATGTGAACGCAATTTTATCAACTTATACAATTTGTAGTTAAAACCATAAATTGAAGGATCCATTGAAAGTAAGATTGAAATAGCGAGTAAAAATGACAATAGAAATGACAAATTATCATTTCTAATTTTGGCAAGTTTAAATTGCACTTGCTAACAGCAAAATTAAATTGTAATTATTGTAATAAAAAAGAGGAATTTTGCTTGTTTTACTGCACTTAATTAATTACTGGTGGTTATATAAATTGAATACTTTAAAGGCAAGCCAATTGTAAAGCTAAATTTGTTGTCATTTAATTACAGTCAATTCCAGTTTATTGGGTTACACTGAATTGTTTATTATGAACAAGAAGAAGCTTAAAAGGTGTTTCATTTTCTGGAAATTGTTCATGTAACATGTTTCATGATGTTCAAGCAATTGTAATATACATTGTTTAAATATTACATAATGAATACCAAGAAAAAGTGTTCAAGTCAAGGATAAGAGTAAAGTTTGATTGTGAGCTTGTCGAGTGGTTGGACTGAGCTGGGGGTCACAATTTACTCATAATTCAATCAACTTTGATTCTCGTCAATCAAACCACTATTAAGATGACAATTTGATAGTTTAGTAAACATTAATTGCAAGATGATCATTAATTAGTTGAAACTATCAAAGTTGATTTTCATTGAGAAAAATCAAATTCATTCATGAGCTGACAATCACAAGCATCTTTACACACTTGCTTATCATTTTGTTTGCTTTTAGGTTTCTGGTTACGTCTCTCTGGTACCTTTCCTGACGTCTTTTCTGGTGTCTTTCAGTTTCTTTGATAGTCGCTTTTCCGGTACCTTTTCTGGTATCTTTTTTTCTGGTTTTTGATAAACGGATATCAAACATTGAAGACAAAGTGTGAACATTGTTTTAAGATGTTTGGCTGTTGATTTATTTACTGACTTTGGCCTTAAATTTTCATCAATGATGCTAAATGGTTGTCGACGGATGAAGGACAGTGTTTAGTATCGTCATCGCCATCATCATTATTGAATTGATGAACGTCATTATGCATGTCAATATGTATGATGGGCAAGAAAATATTTGTTGACATATTAATGTAAAAATGACCTCTTTTCATTTAGATTGCATTTTTGTTTTACCCAAAAACTGCAATTAACGCAACTTGACTAGATTTGTGTTGACTGTTGAATGGTTGGAAAAGTAAAATATTTCATTCCAAGTTAATTAAGGTCACAAGTATGTCAATGATGATAATGATGATGTTTGTTGTTGATGGTGGTGATGGTGTTAATGTTTTTATTGTTAATCATTAGCAACAGCAACAACAAAAAAGTAACATGAGTTCAATCATTAACAATAGGATTCTTTTAAGCTTTCAAAGTAATTTCATTTTATCTCTATGTTTGGACTCTGGCTTCATTGTGATTGGAGCCACTTGATGTGACAAACATTTAACTGTAACATTGCATTTACCTGGAAATAATGATTTACTTTTCACTTTTTTTCCCCTAAAAAAAGATGAGACAAATAGATTTCTGTATAAAACTGATGAACAAACGGTGTGTGTGTTTCAATTCAATGGAAATGGGTTGACGCATTAAAACCTTTTACATTGCAAATGAATAATTATTAAGTTGATTGTTAACCAGGAAAATATTGTTAATATGATTAGTTCTGAGTTGCCCGGGAAAGCGATTACTCTTCTTTGTGTTTCTTGTTATCGGGTCTAACGGGTGCCTCAAGTCACAAGAATGCTTTGCTCTGTCAACTTTCAAATGTTAACTTTCATCCTGATCTACTCTTGTTTAGTCGATAGATCAGTTGATTGTGGTAGGGTTACAACCATTGGTAGACAATTTCCACTCAGAAGAATCGGTTATAATAATTATGTGCCATCAAGGATTACCAGTCCTACGATTAGAGGGTTAAGAAGGACCTTGCCCAAGTTGATAAATCGCAACGCTCAAAGTTCGTCATTAGCTCGTTTCTCGTCGTTTTCCAAGCTTTTATTTCCATTTTGGAGCTTCTCATCCTTAGGTCGTCCTTTCTGTCCCTTCCGACCGTGCTACTCCTGTCCTGGTAATGACAACTATGGTCCCATCATTGATCCTGACCAGATAAGCCCTTATCCAGTGGATGATTCACTTGACTCAGCAATAGCTAACAATAAAAAATCTAATCAAAGATATCCCACTAATCAAGGAGATGAAACAGCTACAGTTGATAATCAGATTAGCTTTAAGACTCCCAATGATAAGTTAAACGATCGACTTACAATAAATGGATCCAAAGGTAACAGTACTTCCCAATCAACAGCCCATGAACGTGAAACCAGAATAGATGGTGGTATTAGACGATTGAATCTTGGCCAACAAGCTGTAAGAAATGGGATAAAAATGGTTAATTCAAGTGATAATAAATATTGATATTGATAATTAATTAATATGAAATGATAAACTATAACTTACTTTACTATTATAAACAGAGTCAGTTTTACTGAAACAGCTGTTTATCAATTTTCAGTGCAAATATGATACAAAAGTATCGTCTTCTTGTAATTAGTATTTATCTGATAAATAAATTAATTGGTTTATTTATTTATTGATATTATCCATGTATTATTATGACTTTGTTTTTTAACAAAATTACATCACATTCACAACAATTCAAATCAGTTTCAATCATTCAACCTTGATCGTCTACTAATGTTTCAATGGTTCAACATAAACATGGATCAGTGAATGGATACAATATGGATTTATTTATGTAATTATTGTTCAATTACAAATACATTGAATCGATTGCTGTCAGTGTAAACTCAATAGTTCTGAGAAGAGATTCTCAATCAGTTCAGTTGACATAAACTAGATACTTGTAGATCTAACCATTTCTGAGATTGTTTTGCTTGTATCGTTCAAGAAAACCAACAAAACAAAAACAGTTACATTAGATAACAATGTTTCATCACATAACCTCCTGAATCTTATCCATTAATCACAATTAACCAGCTTCTCATCATCAAATTGAATTGATTTTGCATTCTGTTGCAATGATTAAGTCATTAAACTATTTAACCTAAAGTCAAACCATGTTAATATGGACATATCTTCACCTCTCAATTCAAGGCAGACATTCACAATTCCTCTTGATTAATTTGGGAATTTTTGATTCTTAGTTCCTTGGAATCTTACAAGGCCAATGCCAGGTTCAATATTGAATGGTAAAACAATAAATCTCAGGTGAGTTTATTGAATTAGAATGAAAAAGTTAAGAGAGTTTAAAAAATATTGATCAAAGTACATTGATCTTTAGAGTGAGAAGACAGTGCAACAGTTTTTTTCATTTCTTGTAAATTGTTCAACCAATCAAACTCAAATCAATTACACTTTTAACTTTTATTAACCTTTGATATTAACCCGACTGATACTCATATTTAATTTCATCTTTTTTCATTAAATTGCAGATTTAAAATCTCTGTTTATAACCTCAAACTGACTGGTCGTTCATATTTCAATACCTGGGTTTTGTTTCATCAAAATTTAACCTCATTTTCACTTTTTTTCATTCTAAAATCGAGATCTTTAACCTTTTTCAATTAAAGTTGAACACAAAAACAAACACTCAACAGTCATCAACCTTAACTCTGGTCATTGATCAAGATGGAAACGCGTTGTAAACATTGACAAAAAAAATCCTGATTCCTGTTTTGATGTAAATTCCCTCAGATTGGCTTGTAATTTCACTAGTTATTTCATTTGTTGATTTAACTGTGATCACTTGATTCATCACAATTATCAAGAAATGGTTAGTTCAATGTGCAACCAGTCAAAGTGTCGAGCTGATAAGTTGACTGATTCTTTGATTACAGCATTACATTAAGGTATACATTACCAGTTTTTGAAAAGTGTAAACTCATCTTTATTTACCCTTAAATGACTTAATATGGTTACATTTTTTAATTTTTGATTTAATTTCATCGATTTATTGCAGTGCTTATATCGATTATCAATTTATAAACAGCAATATAATCTGAAAACAAAGCATTAAACAGAAACATCAGGCAACAACTACAACAAAACAAACCAATCTTTCGACTAATCATCATCATTGAATAATACTGTGAATTGTATAACTTGATGCTCATGTGGATTGGGTCTTGATTTTTCTCGAATCGAACTGGATTAGACTTGAATTGGAGAGTAATTTAATTTATTCATTCATTCCCTTTCTTACCATTAAGATGAAGAAACCATTTCCAAGCTTGATTCCTATCTAATGTCTAATGTATTTCTCATGTTTCCTTTCTCGACTTCAAGTTGCTCATCTATGAAACAATCAACTTACCAATATAATTACCATTCATAATTGTTATGAAATGGAATTGTAAATAACTTAGATTAATGATGATTATATCATAATGATTTAACATAAATTCTGTATTCAAATTGAGCGAACCCAGAAAGCCGATTCTCTAGATATTCACATTTCAAGACTTCTTATTGAAACAATTTCATCCTTTTATTGGCATTTTCACTTTTTCATTAAGTAGTATTTGATTTTAAATTTTCACAATGATAGCTGATTTTGATTGCTTTATGGTTAACAACAGCAAATTTGATTTACCTCGATTAGACTGGTTAAAACCAGGAATAAAAATATCTTGATGGATCATCTTTAACAGTAATTATGTTATAAGTTACATCTTAATGGTAAAGTAAATAGCAAGCAATACTAGTCAATTGTGATTATCATTTGATGATAAATAATAAACGGTTAACTTTGCTTGTTGTTGTTTTGTTACTTTCAATTTCACACTCTTTAATACGTTTAAAAGCCTCGACAATCTTTGATATTACAAAGACAATTTGATCAACTTTGGATGCTTTTATTATCATATTAAATTCAGGCTAGTTAAAGCCACAACTAAAAGGTTAAATATGGAAAATGAAAATACATTTTCAATTTGATTACTAAATAAACCGATAACCTAATTAAATATTGATTACATTTATCAGCTTAATCAAACAAAAAGACGGGGATGCATGAAAGAGTCAATAATAAAGTAAATTATAATGAAATGTTGATTATTTGTTGATGAAGGTACGCTTATTTACACATTTTTTTGTTAACCTGCCAACCCTTTCTTTATGTTCATTTGTTAACTTGATTAAAAGATTTTTTCCTTCATTGATTTGATCTTGAAAAAGTTTACTTCTTTGCAGGTTACCACGTATTAGATCCGTTAACTTGTCAAACAGCTGTAAATGAGAGTCGATGAAATTTCGCTGTGAGTTAAAAAAATTTTGACCCAACATATTAATTTTTGTATGAAGATTCTGATCACTTTTATCAAAACAGTCTGAAAATGTTCTTAAACGGCTATAAAGTTGAGCCTCTTCTTCATCTGCGTCTTCAATATGAGTAACGAGATGTTGTACTTTCCAACCATTCTTTCTTTGTAAACCTTCATTGGATAGTTCACTAAGAGTTGTCTTTTTGTCGGGTTTTTGTTTCACATCTGAATATCTTAGAAAATGATATTGCAATGATTTCCAAGGTACATTATATGAGTTAAGGATGGATGGACGAGGTTTCTTGTGAATGGTGATCACACCTCCAGGTGCAGCGTCTTTATTGATATTATTAGAGGTGGGGATGGTACTGTTAATATTACTTGTACCACTTGTTGTTGTTGTATCTTCATTGGTGTCACTGGCTGAGAGTAATTTAATGCTGTGAGATGTTGTCAAATGAAAAGGTTCTAAGAGTTGTTTACGAGGTTTCTTTATAGGTGTTGTATCTGAGTTTGATGTGTCTGGTAAACCAGGATGGGTTTGTTGATCATTGGTCGGTCTTTTTCTAATTAAAATGATTGGCCGAGGAGAAGATGGTATTGTACCAGGTAAGATTTTAACAGGAGATATCACTGGTCCAGTAACAATGCCTGGATAAATAGGTGAATCCTGAAATTAAATATAAAATAAATACTTTAATACATATAATGCTTCAAATTTATCAATACTTACGAGTGCCTTGAAAGTATCCATGGCCATATTTTGTAACCAGTATGTAGAAGGGTATGGGGATAACAAAATACAAGAAAAATTATTAATATGAAGTAGACTAATAATAAAATTAAAGATTTTGTCTAAGGTATGCTGAAACGGTCTCAAAGAGTAAAGTACAGTAGAGAACCAGATATTGTCAGCAACTTGAAATAGCTTATGTACACAGCAAGTGTTATTTATTGAGCAAGTAATGTGAAAATTAATCAAAGTGATCAACGTGGATCAAATTAATTGTCGGACACAGCATAAAGATGAACATAACCATTTATCAAGATCTTAAATGGATTAATCTTTCATAAATAGTCAATTTCTTGATGGAAACATTACAATTCCAATCAAAAACCTTGACTCTGTAAAATGTAAACAAAGAGATTAGGGGACTGTTTAATAATTTACTTACAATATCTGGTACTTCAATGTAAACGAGACTTTAAAGGAGGAAAGTCTTTCGATAGCACAAGGAAAAGCCTGGTTTTCCTCCTTTTACCTGGTTTTGCCATAAACAGTTTTGCTGTCATTTGCTGTTTTTATAATTTACTCGATTCAAATATGTCTTGATACCTCATCAGTTACTGGATTTAAATCATTTTTCATTCTTTACCTAGAGATGGTACCATCTGCTAAACTGTGAGTTTAATCACATCTTTTGAACTCTCAACGGCTGAAGAACCTCCAACTTAACATTTTGTTATCTCCTTTCTGATTTACATGGTAAGTTATGTTTTCAAAGATAATCATTTATTACTGCTAGTAATACTTTTGTTCATTCATCAGAACGATTTTCTTTCCTTTCAAGAACGTATTTCACTGTCATGTAATGAAAGGATTATCGTGGTTAAAAACAATATCTTTCTTATATTTTCGATACATTCTCTCTCTTTTTTACTCTTGAGCATAATTTCACAATCGTTTGAACCAAACATTATTTTTTGGCTTGAATATTTATTTCATCACATCAGTTATTTGTTAACCTTGAATTTATGAAGTTTAAAGATCCCTGATCATGTAAATTTAATATTCAATGTACAAGTCTATTCATTAGATAGGGTTTACAGAGAGTATAGCGTGTAAAACCATAACATTATGATTCCATAAATTGTTACATTGTACATATCTTCAGGAGATAATCATTTGCATCATAGTGCTATCTTATTTTTTATTTTTCGTTAGCTACTAGAAATATCTAAGAATAGGAAAGATAAAAAATTTAAAGTAAAATATTTCTTATATTATTGATGGATTATAATATATTGATAATCTTTGCCAACTTTTACAATAATTTTGTTTATGCAAATCTATGTAATACTTTGATTTTTTAATTCTTTTATTCAATATAACTCATTTTCTTATTTTTTCTTGTTTTTTACCCGAACTGGATTGGTTTTCACAGAATATTCTCCTCAACAATCAAAACCAACAGATGCTCACAAATCGAACATCGTCAAAAAGAGATTGTGAGATGGAAAAGTGTTCTAATCACTAACCAATGGCTGGAAATTATGTTGAATCAGATAGCCGATAGTTTCGAGTATCCGTATGAGCAATTTGAAGTCTATGCATAACAATTGATTAATTTACTCATTCCTGGTGAATTCTTCTAAGAACAAACCAGTGAAAGTTAGACTGGATGACGAAAGCGGACTCACGGAAGAACACGACTGGATAAAGTTGGACACATTTAAATATTTATGGAGGCCTTTACAATGATGCACCTTTCAAACTAATTGTGAAAAAATTATCTATTTTACGAAAATTCGTGAGTTCGTGACTCTAAATGGACAAAAGTGTCAAAATCATAATAAATTCTCATTAAAACTTTGTTTTAAAAAATAAAAAGACTTGGAATAGCAATTTTCGAGGTCGATTTCTCTTGAAAGACGCGGATCAGGCTCTTCTTGGTAGTATTGGCAGAAACTTTCACGATAAGTTTGGTATAAAGGCGAAAAAATAACTAAACATCTCTCAATATACTCCAGGTAAATTAGAGTGCTCAAGACTTTCGGACGAAAATTATATGCAACTTTCATGATGAATCTTATATCAATTGATACGAGAATTGAAGCATAGCCGAAGAAATATTAGACGATTAAATTCAGCATGTTTTGTCAGATTTATCCAGATCAAAAAAGCCAAAAATGAAAGTTCGACATTAAATGAATCTTAATCAAAAATACATGATCATAATTTTAAAATTCTGGAATGCCGTCAAATTTTGAATGTCAAAATTGATTTTGTCCAAAAACTCGCCGAGATAAAAGTTTCGTTGAAGTTTTCCATCGCATGAGAAGTCATCATGGATAATTGAACAGCTTGTTTATAAGACAACGCAAATTGAACATGAAAATATTTTACGTTTTATTGGTTCAGAGAAAAGCGACGATCTAAATAATGTCCATTCGGATTTTTGTTGATAGCACATCATAAACTTGGTTCTTGGCATCACATTCAAAACAAAACCTGGTTTATTGTTGAACTTTCCAATAGTGCAAATGGATTTAATGATGGCAACAGGATTTGAATATAAATAAAATAATCAATGATTGATCGTAACTTAAGATCAGCATTTTTTACTAAAGCCAGCTGTGATTCCGTTAAATCTCAATATGATTTGATATTAATGATTCAACTTGAGTAAAAGATTTTTTCCTACATTGATTTGATCTTGAAAAAGTTTACTTCGTTGCAGGTTACCACGTATTAGATCCGATAACTTGTCAAACAGTTGTAAATGAGAGTCGATGAAATTTCGCTGTGAGTTTAAAAAACTTTGACCCAACATATTAATTTTGCTATGATCACTTTTATCGAAACAGTCTGAAAATGTTCTTAAACGGCTATAAAGTTGAGCCTCTTCTTCATCTGCGTCTTCAATATGAGTAACAAGATGTTGTACTTTCCAACCATTCTTCCTTTGTAAACCTTCATTGGATAGTTCACTAAGAGTTGTCTTTTTGTCGGGTTTTTGTTTCACATCTGAATATCTTAGAAAATGATATTGCAATGATTTCCAAGGTACATTATATGAGTTAAGGATGGATGGACGAGGTTTCTTGTGAATGGTGATCACACCTCCAGGTGCAGCGTCTTTATTGATATTATTAGAGGTGGGGATGGTACTGTTAATATTACTTGTACCACTTGTTGTTGTTGTATCTTCATTGGTGTCACTGGCTGAGAGTAATTTAATGCTGTGAGATGTTGTCAAATGAAAAGGTTCTAAGAGTTGTTTACGAGGTTTCTTTATAGGTGTTGTATCTGAGTTTGATGTATCTGGTAAACCAGGATGGGTTTGTTGATCATTGGTCGGTCTTTTTCTAATTAAAATGATTGGCCGAGGAGAAGATGGTATTGTACCAGGTAAGATTTTAACAGGAGATATCACTGGTCCAGTAACAATGCCTGGATAAATAGGTGAATCCTAAAATTAAATATAAAATAAACACTTTAATACATATAATGCTTCAAATTTATCAATACTTACGAGTGACATCGGTTCAGTTTCCGAGTTTCACAGCCACAAATATATCACATGCTGTACATGACATGCATTACATAAATATTTAATAAGTGTATCCTCACTTATCTCACCAGATGTACACCATTCAACAAAGTTTTATTGAAATACTAGTACATGTACCAGCCATAGATGGCAATACTGATGTAAAATCGACGATAGATATCGATATTTTGGGTTTTCGATACCATCGTCCCTTAATTTGTATTTAAGCTTCTATGGGAATAAGTATCAAGATGTCGATTTTTCATTGATATTGGTGCCAAAAGTGATGAAGAGAGGATTGTTAAGATGAATATCATAAAGTACGTGATTATAAATTACCGTTTGAGGAGGAAATAGGACAAAATCCATCCTATGCAAGAGTTTTTCGTCAAGAAAAGGCCAATAATCTAGAAACAATTGTTAGATGATCCAAATTGAAGGTGATTTGTGAAACGATTGAAGAATGTTGGGATCAAGATTCAGAGGGAAGGCTTTCTGCCAGTTGTATAATGAAAGATTGACGATTATGGCAAGAAACCGAGTAAATACCAGAGTATAACTACAAAGATTTTTCTTCGTTTTTAGCTCTTTTCTTGTTTCTATCCATCTCCTCATTTTCTTTCATGTTATCATTTTTACCATCAACATAACACACTTTGGTTGAAACAGAAGAGATGCAACAAGAATTCAATTTCCAGAAAAAGAAAAAAGGAATTTAAAGTCAGTTTAGTTAAAATTGTTGAAGCATTTCTCGTCATTCTATTCATTTCTTCATCTTCTTCACCGCTATTATATTTTCTCGCTACAACCGATTTGTTTCTTTCTCTCGTCTCCTTATAAGGAAACCTCACTACAAAACCTGATTTCATGTACAATTAATTGCTTCTATTGACGTAAGGGATTCACCTTTGACATTCCATCCGATTACTGGTACGATAACATTGATTGTTACCATCTCTTTTGAAAGTTATTATTTCACCATCTATTCAGGCTATCTTATCGCTATCATTGACCTAAGTTTTATGATTTTGTCTATCTCAATTGAAATCTCAATCATTTCATTCAACAGAGACTTTTATTGCTTCCATTTCTAGAAGCGACATTACCCGTCCAACTCTCGTGTTTGCACAAAATTTAACCTTCCTACCAATTTCAACTATGGACCTGACCTTTCAATTGAGCATCAAAAGCGATGTTTATGTTTTATTGGTGTTTGTTATTCACCCTCAGCACCGAAAAATGTTTTATTGCTAATGTAACTAATATCATCTTTTGGCCTTTATCAAGACATTTGGATGTGTGAATTTTCTCGATTTTTACACTCAGCAAATTATCATTTCAATTATTGTTATACTTTATCACAGTTGTAACAACAAATTATAAATAAATAATCAAATTATAACATCATATGTACCTTATTTTGCTTAACGGGTAGTTGAAATAAAAACAAACGCTACTTTGGTCAGCAAGAACATTGATTGTTAATCGATCTGACCAAAGATGATATCCAATGAAGCCTATGGATTTGTTGAAAAATATCAATAATTACCTTCTTATGAGCACAAAATTTTACCAGAACAGGAAGATATAATCCAATATGTTTTTTCCCGCGGTCTTAGAGGTCCAGAAGTTAAGTTGAAAAGGCAAATCAGTCAGCTGTAGTCTTGAATTGACTTGAACAGTCAAAAAATCGATTCTAACAATAATTAAATTGCAAGATTTAATAAGAAAATTCAAGATTAATTGTCTGCCGATAATGAACTGTTAAATTGTACCTAGAAACCTTATTAAAATTGGCTATTTATTGAGATAGGTTGACCCCCCTACCTCAAGATGTTTCCTTCCTCTTTTTCCCCTCATTTGCCTTGGAACACTCTACAGAGTGATCGGAAAGTTTCTGTGTATGTACTATACAGTGAGACGTTGAAGGTCTAACATCAAAATCAGTTATCTTTCTATCAATCTACCAAATTTGTTTCTTTGGATTTTCAATTAATTAATTAATTATATTCTTTACCTTCTCTATATTTTACTGTGTCAGTGTTCAATAATTCATGAATCCATGTGATTAGTGATCTATAATTTTTTAAAGAAAATCCTTCTCATTGTGTGTCTGTGATCATCTATGTACAGTATAAATGTAAACAAAGGAGATTTTGTTACTTTTCTCTTTCTCTCTTTACTCTGAAAGTCTTTTCATCTATACAACTCTCAATTGCTGATTATAATTAATGATTGTGTTTATTTTAACGCTTCTAACATCTAGTTCAATCACTGACAGAGACGTATCTTATGATTGGAATTGGTAGTCAAATGAAATAATAAAACATTTGGTGAAAAAATACTAAAAAAAAGTCCTCGCTTGTATAATTTGTGTGTGTTTACTTGAGATTGTTTACAACCTTACTGGAAGATGGCAGTCAGCAATTGTGTTGTCATTTGCTGTGTGTATTCTTTACTTTAATCAAATTTAGTTGATCAACCACTAGTAATACTGACTTTTGTACTGTTTTACGACCCTATTGAACAGTCATCGACCATTACCATAAAAGTTGACCGGATTTGTTTGGATAAATTAAACCATCTTCTACATTTTCAACGTATTTCACTCCTTTATTAGAGATGGTAACATCTGAAAGACTCTTAGCTCAATCACTCCTTTTGGAATCAAAGCAAATGGCCGAGCAATCTTCAACATCATCTTCATCTTCATCATTATTGTCCTCATTACAATCATCATCTGTGAATAGTTCAAATCATAGTCCTAATCTGGTAGACGTTGATCTTAAATGCTCTTTTTATAATGAAACTGTATGTGCAACTGGAAATTGTAACACCGATTCAAGTGTTGTCAAATGCGCACAAGATTTAACCAACACTGGTAGTGAGAAATATTGTTATAGTCTTTGGTCCAATTCATCTAGTGCCGGTGAAATCACAATTAAATACAAAGGTTGTTTAACAGGTCATAACTATGATTGTACCAATAGTACAAAATGCATCGCTTCACGAGTCTACAAAGGAATTTATTTTTGCTGTTGCAGTGAAGATCTGTGTAACAATGATGTTTATCTCCTTTCTGATTTACATGGTAAGTTATGTTTTCAAAGATAATCATTTATTACTGCTAGTAATACTTTTGTTCATTCATCAGAACGATTTTCTTTCCTTTCAAGAACGTATTTCACTGTCATGTAATGAAAGGATTATCGTGGTTAAAAACAATATCTTTCTTATATTTTCGATACATTCTCTCTCTTTTTTACTCTTGAGCATAATTTCACAATCGTTTGAACCAAACATTATTTTTTGGCTTGAATATTTATTTCATCACATCAGTTATTTGTTAACCTTGAATTTATGAAGTTTAAAGATCCCTGATCATGTAAATTTAATATTCAATGTACAAGTCTATTCATTGGATAGGGTTTACAGAGAGTATAGCGTGTAAAACCATAACATTATGATTCCATAAATTGTTACATTGTACATATCTTCAGGAGATAATCATTTGCATCATAATGCTAGCTTATTTTTTATTTTTCGTTAGCTACTAGAAATATCTAAGAATAGGAAAGATAAAAAATTTAAAGTAAAATATTTCTTATATTATTGATGGATTATAATATATTGATAATCTTTGCCAACTTTTACAATAATTTTGTTTATGCAAATCTATGTAATACTTTGATTTTTTAATTCTTTTATTCAATATAACTCATTTTCTTATTTTTTTTCTTGTTTTTTACCCGAACTGGATTGGTTTTCACAGAATATTCTCCTCAACAATCAAAACCAACAGAAATACCTGAATCTGGCTCAATTTGGACATGGTCTTATACATTAGCGCCGCTGTTAGTGCTGATATTTGCAATATTGATTGTGCTTTACTATTTTTGGTTTAAAAAGAGAAAAGGCTTGGCACGTTCAAAAAGATATTGTGAAGATGAAGAAAGTGTTCCAATCACTAACCAAATGAATGGACTTGGTAATTGTACAAATATGATTAACGGGAATTTAAGTGCTGGTGGAAATTTAAATGCTAGCAAAGAAAATGGAAACAGAACAATACATCTAATTGAAAAATTGTCAACAGGAAGATTTGGTTCTGTATGGAAAGCAAAGATGTTTTATAATAATAAAGACGATGTAATGAGGGAAGGAGGAACAAGAAGAATTGATGAAATTAAAGTTGATGAAATAGAAGGAGATAATTTAATCACAACTACTGATTATGAGGAGAAAAATAATTATCAAATAGTTGCTGTTAAGGTATTTCCACCACATGAGAGGTCATCATGGATAATTGAACAGCTCGTTTTCAAAACACCGCAAATTGAACATGAAAATATTTTACGTTTTATTGGTTCAGAGAAAAGAGATGATTCAAATAACGTGCCTTTATCTGCATCTCCATCTGGATTCTGGTTAATAACAGAGTATCACGAGCTTGGTTCTTTATGTGATTATTTAAAACAAAATACTGTAAATATTGATGAACTTTTAAAAATAAGTATCGGAATGGCTGCTGGATTGAATCACCTGCATTACGAGATACCTGAAAATAAAAGTGACATTATTAACAACATTGGAAATATTAACAATGGTTCAAATAGTTCAAATGGATTCAATAGTGATAATGGAGATGTAAATTACAACATGAAACCATCAATAGTTCATCGAGACTTTAAATCACGCAATGTTTTACTGAAGCCAGATTTAACTCCTAGGATTGCTGATTTTGGTCTGGCATTAATATTTTATCCTAACCGCACTCCCGCAGGACTTGGACAAGTAGGAACACGTCGATATATGGCACCAGAAGTATTAGAAGGAGCAATAAATTATTCCCAAGACTCACTTTATCGTATTGATATTTATGCTCTTGCTCTTGTTTTATGGGAATTAGTATCAAGATGTCGATTATCCAATGATATTGGTGCCAAAAGTGATGAAAAAGATGATGATCTTAAGGATAATTATTATAAAGTACGCGATTATAAATTACCATTTGAAGAGGAAGTAGGACATAATCCATCCTTAGAGGATATGCAAGAAGTTGTTTGTCAAGAAAAGAAAAGGCCAATAATCGAGAAACAATGGTTAGATCATCCAATTTTGAAGGTGATTTGTGAAACGATTGAAGAATGTTGGGATCAAGATGCAGAGGCAAGGCTTTCTGCCAGTTGTATATTGGAAAGATTGACGATTCTGGCAAGAAACCGAGTAAATACCAGAGTATAACTACAAAGATTTTTTCGTCTTTTACTCTTTTCTTGTTTCTTTCTATCTCTCTATTTCATCATCATCATCACCATCAACATCAACAACCATTACAACCACAACCACAACCACAACAAAAACAAAAACAACAAAAAAAAGTACATCAGCAGATTTTGCTTAATCAACAAACTCTCTGAAATAAATAAGTTAAAGACTCATTTAAAAGCGAAGTACAGTTACAAGAGCTGAGACATAATTTGTGAAAAAGTAAGGGTTCTCCAAGTATGTTTCGCGTTGCATTTCTTCTCAACACATTCATCTTTCCATCAACGCTTATTCATCATATTTCATCTCAACATAATCTGATTCGATTCATCTTTTTATCTCATGACAAACACATCTCGCTCACATATTCACTCACACTGAGTATTTCACTTTTATTACTCTCACTGGCATTCACAGGAAATTATTCAGAATTGACCTCATTCTATTGATTAATGCTTCAAGATTCTTTTCTTACAATGTTAGCTGTGGTACATAACGCAAACATGAACGTGAACATTTAAGGTCTCATGGTTACTATATTTCATATTGAATCAACAAAAACAAAGCCATGTATTTTAACTGATTTGTATCTCAACCTTTTCTGTAAACCATCATCAATCGCAACCGTAAAACCAGCTTAAAACTTGGCCTTACAATCTTCATCTTGTGCGTTCAACTATATAAGCACAATGCATACATATATTTTATAACATTTGCTTACTAAAAAATATTACGTCGTCATTCGCTCCATAGTTTTAATCTTCATCATCAGTTTCCTATTTTGTTCAGTTTTATCAATATCTTCTCCAGTCAATGATCTCACTCATTCAAAATGTTGCATGTAATTTATTACTTCAATGTAATGCTTATAATGGCTTTAATGACTTTTCGATTTTTCCTTTTTTGTCAGCTTTCTTCTTCTTCTTTTGAATCAACCACCAAACTTTGGATCGTTTATTGTTACAGATTACCGCTTATTAGCTAATGGAAACAGCTTGTATAATAATTTAAGTTGATACATGTAGCCATAATTTGTAAAATATGATTTGTTAAACTTACAATAATGATAAAACAACACTAAATACAAGTCCAACTTCTCACAATATTTGTTTCTCCATTCATTATCGTTCCAATTTTAACTTTATGCAAAGAAATGACAATGAACTCACATTCAATTGACTCATCAAATTTAAATTTATAAATTGAATGTTTTGTAATGCAAGAATCAAAAAATTTTAATATATCAGCTGTAATTGAGTTTCATGGTAAACCCTCAAAAGATAATTGCCTTTGAATGAAAAATGTAAATTCCAGAACGAGTTGATTTTCACATGATTAACATACGCTTTAGTTTGATTCAGCAAATCAAGGTTAAGAAATACTAGGCTTCTATTTTTACTCAAGAGGTGGTTTTCCGAGCCTGGAGTGGTTTATGGGTTACATAGGCGCTAAAGCTCTAGTAACTCTGTCTTGAAGCTTTGCTTTTATCGCCATAGATACAATCAAAACAAAACAATATTTTGATATTCCTTGTCATATTAATAGCAATATAAATATATCATTTCTAATATGTTTGTTTCAAATTAGTTTAGCTTTCATTATTTGATTTTATGATTTGAAATGTATCACCTTCATTATCAATTAAAAGTAGACTTACATTATAAGTGTTTAACCGTCCATATTAAGCGATCCAATTGAACTATCCGTGTTGATGTTTTTCAAGTGAGTAACTGGTTTCTTGTAATTTATTAACCTTTTGTTTAGCAATTATTTCAATAACTATTATAATAATATATCATGATAATATGCATTATTATAATAATATTTTAATCAGCAAACTTGTTTCTCCAAACAGAATCATTATATGGTGTTGTAATAAATAATGTTACTATGATCTTATGTCTTGGTTAGTATCTACTAAATTTAACATTCATGCCATGATATTAATATAATGACTCGTTTTGCTTGTATTTCAATGCAATTAATTCAAATTATTCGTTATTCTCTCTCAACAGGATTACCTAATTCAGGAAAAACCCTTTTACTCCGATCTCTGTCTTCTTACCCAAAGCCTATCGAGAAATTTGATACTGTGGCAACTGTTGGAATCAATGTGGCCCATCTTAACCATCTAAACTCCAACCAACCATTCACTATCAGGGAGATTGGTGGTCAAATGAGACCAATCTGGAATACATATTTCAATAAATCTGTGTCAGCAATTTTATTTACCATCGATTGCTCCAATCCTGTTGACATTGGTCCAAATGTAGTGACGCTTATAGATATTTTTCGATCTCTCTCAGCCCAGTCAATTAAACCAAAAGTCTTGATAATCCTAACTAAATCAGATTATATTGGACCATTGAAATTGCGAGAGGCGCTAGACGGCTTACTATTAGATGAATTGATCAACTCCAGACTTTTGGATGCAAATTCAACGAAAGTAATTCAATGCAGTTCAATTACTGGGCAAGGATTGAATGATATTTTTGAATGGCTCTCTAACTATGACAATAAGGCTACTTAAGGTCGCACAGTGTTGATAAAATTCATGCTACAAAATAATCGACTTATATTTTATGCGTTTCGAATGCCTTTTTAATCTCAAAATTGAATCATTGCGTTTTTTCATGCTCAATGTTGATTGCATTAATGAAAACCGTCTTTATACAATGTATTTTCAAGCTATCAACTGCTAAGTTCAACCTTGCTTACTGTGTTCAAGAAAATATGAATTTAATTGTTTTTACAGTCAATTATTAAAATATTATAATATTAAAATTTTCAAAATAACTTCTGATAAGCCATTATTAACAACACCAACAGAGTAACGCATGAACTAGCATTGAAAATTGAAAGTGATTAGGAATGAAACTTGGTTTACTAAATATTTTCTTAATGGCCATTCCCTTTATCAATAAACTTCCGATTTAAATTGTTGATTAAATGAATTTTGAAAAGGTAAAACTTCGCATGGAATGTTGGAATATTTAAAGTAACGATTTTAAGCGTCATTTTATTACCTGACTACAATAGAAAGTTAAAACAATCAAACAATCAGCTGATAAATTGGTGTTTCTTGTTTTCATTTATAGCCAATTGCTGGTAAAGATGCAATAGAGTTTTAAATATTACATAGTAACGAGAAAATCGTTTTATGTTGCATTTTATCAAATATTTGAATAATCAACAAAATAATTTCCAAGTTAACAAGCTTAAAATAAAAGCAAGAAATAATAGCCATGATAAAATTAATAAGTATTAAACTTAAATATATAGATAGTTAAAAAATTGTTTTTTTGTCAATCTTAGTTGATCGTTTTCATTTGATATTGTGTTATAATCACGATGAATTATAGTAATTTACAAAATTGTGACTGATTTTTCTTTCCCTGGAAAGGGGAGAATAGATGAAGGAATTTAAACCTCAAAGCTCAATCCAGAGTTTATGGGTTTTCACAATTGCAACTAGAATAGATACAAGACTTGAGTAACTTGTAAGTTTTTTTTGTTGATGAAAGAAGTGGAAGGTGAGTCAGATTAAACAAAACCAACACTGAAAAATTTCTGAAAAATCAAAATACCACTTCATTCTAGTATTTCTGGGTTATTATGATAAAGGAATGTGTCTCTCGTATTTGTAAATTGAAATAATCTTGCCGATACTGAACAGCAAGGACAAAAAATCTTGAATGATTGGTAGGAAGATGGAAAAATTCCAAAAAGAAGGTTAACAGCAAAAAAATTTCAGCAAAAAAGTCTCTTTGTTTCCTTGATAATTCTCTTTTATCTGTTTTGTTTCCAAGTTTGGAGAAAATATGGGAAAACAGGGAGATCTCATCATTTCACTGAAATTGGCTTCTTGCCTGCGACTTGTCCATCTTTTTCTTTCTCCAATTGTTTTCCAAGATATTCCCAGTTATGAACGACCAACTTTTGTACACAGAGCAAAGCTTCATATTTCACGTTGGGGTCAGCATCATCCATCAATTGCATGATGAGATATTTTCCATTCAAATTTTCAATAACTGTTTTACCTCGGGGATAATAACGAATGTATTCACCAATATCGTGGATTGCTACACTCAAGACTAGAGAATCTTTGGAGGTTTCCAATATTTTGATCAATATTTTTAACAATTCATAATTCTTTTCATTCAATCGTAAAGCATTTTCTCGCCAAAACTTTTCATTGGAATGAACAGGACTCCATTCTAATCGTCCAGATTTAACTTCGTTACAATATTCATCAAATGAGGACAGGTCGCTAACATATGACTGTAATTTTTCATATAAAAATTCAATATCCTCTAAGAGATCAGGATCCTCGTATTTATTACTCGCTTGCTTGAGAATATCCAACTGTTTTAGAACTTTACCTTGAACCATGGTAATAGCATTATCTCGTGACACTTCAGGATCTTCAGGCTTTTCAATAAGATTTCTGAATGTTGCCAAAATTATTCGGGTTACTTTTTCTTTCACTGATTCATTAAGAATATCAGCAAGAGCAGGAATAGCATTGTTTTTTGACATATTTTCTGAGGTCGATGGGTGGAATGACAAGAGCCAGAGGCAGAAAGTAAGCTGATATTGTATTTGAAAGTTAACTCTGTTGGACAAAACTGAGATGATCGTTGGTATACCTTCAGTTGATATGAATAGCTTACGATACTCTTCAATTCTCAGCATCATCTGAAGACATCTGGCAATTGAACCTAGATATTCATTATTAGGTAATTTCAACTGTTCCAACAACCAACAAATGTAGAATTGAAGATCAGTTTCTCCCATCAGTTCTTTAGACCAACATGCAATCTTGGTAATTATTCTGGATGCCATGTTTTGGATTAGACCGTCACTTTTCTGCAATTGATGTTCCATATGACTCCAAATTGTTCTCTTTTTCTTGGCACCACCTATAAATGATAAAAAAATAAAATGTAAATATCAATCAAAAAATGGAATATTTGACTGGAAAATTGTCCTTTTTACCTTTTTTCCTACAGTATTCTTTGAATATCTCAACTCTAGATTTGTCTTCATTCAGCATATCATCGATAAGGATGAGAATATACTGAGTAGCTTGATTCTTGGACAGTTTTTCCAATAAGCTTAGGAATACTTCAGCACAAAGCATAGCATCTTTCTTGAAGAATTCATCTCTAGCTTCAGCAGTCTCCAAGCTTTCATATTTAACAATCCAGTCAAATTCTTGTTGGGAAATGAAATCACCCGATCGATAGAAATGCCAGTTTACCCGAACATTGCGAACCTCTGCAGCCTTTTGCTGTATCACTGAGGTAGCCGATATTACGCCTCCCTTTTCAATATCGTCAGGAAGGTTTTGAAGAACAGAATCTAATTTCAATGAGCTGATATCAGATGACATTTTGGCAAATAAAGAAGAGGAACCACTGGTTCAAATAAAGGTCGATAGAATAGCAATTAGTCCAAAAAAATAATAAGCAAATCAGCACTCAGATAAATAAAACAAATTTAGTTGTGAAAGCAATTGATGTTGATCAAGGACAGAAAAGGAGATTTGTTCAAATATTTACTGTAATTATCTTTATTTTTAATGTAACATTAAAAAGCATACAATAGAGGGAGCCACGAGTGAAAATGAACAATTTTTTCTCGAATTAAATTAAATTTAAATCAGTTTTTATTTTTAGATTGTGATTAAATAATGTTTTCAATTCTCTGTACAACCGATGAATCAAGCAAAATGCGGTTTACGTCTTATCCGTTCTAAATAACCAAGGTCTAGGGTCTTTCAATCTGTGATCTCTCAGGATATAAAACCACATTTTATGAAACATTTTATTAATTATTTATTAAACAATCAATTTACTGATGGAATATTTAAAAAGCCATTGAACAATTAGGAAAAAAAGACTTTATCCACCTCGACCAAGAAGGAAATAGCACATGGAACGAAGAAAAATAAATTTTGATTACCAAGCCCTATCAATTGAAGCAATAAAAACCATCGACAACCTCAAAAAACATGAAAACATTATTTGAAACTAACAAGAACACGAAGAAGCGAAATTTTTCTGAATTTACATTGAATTTTTCTCGAGCCTAGCATAATATCTTATCTACAAAATGCCCTCCATTACTTTATATATTTCCCATACATTGTTTCTAACAATTAAAACCTTTATTTGCGACCTATCATTTAACTCCTTGCTATTAATCAAATTTCCAATGTTTTTTTCAGACCAACTTTTTGTAAAATCAAATTTATTGTCACTGTTTTTTAATTGTCGTGTATGCAGTTCTTGCAGTACAGAGTTTAACTGTTCGGATTTACAGAGTAGTTTCCATCAGCTATCCTCTATCATGTAACATGGTGAAATAATCAATAAACGTTTTCCTTTTTAATGAGATTTCAGTTTTAATTCAGTTTAAAGGTAACCTAAATAAATAAATCGTTTACTGATGGTTGATGTTGGCATGGCTAATGTTTTAAGTCAATCAAAGATACAAAATTTTGCTCGCAAAGAGAAGCAAAAATGTAAAACAATTATCTGTCTTTTCTGAATTATTGTGTAATTATTACCAATGAATTCACCTTGAAGTAAGGCCAATTAAGACCAGATGATAAGGGAAACATTTGAATGGCAGTAAAGGTTGTCAATATGAGCGATACAGAAGTGATTACCATACATTACCAAAATAGAGAGGAAAGCAGCTGAATCATCTGAGTATTATAATCAAGCAACTTTTCAATCCTTTTCAATTAAACATCTATCTGTAGGTTTATAATAATTTATTATTTGCTAATAATTTTCAAAACCTTGCTAACATAATCATTGGCAATTTGAATCTAAAACATCTACTCCGAGCACACAAAGTAGAGCTTCATTTTGTCAACTGTTTTTTCCAGCTCTTTTCAAATGCAAACGTAATTATTGGAAATCTAAACATTCCCCTCTCAAATCAACATCATCATGAACTTGTTACTCTTTTATTGCAGATGAAATCAAATAAAGGTTGACTGATAACGTTTCATCAATTCATTAGGAACTCTTATTTCCAATCCATACATTAATGATCTCACAGTAAATTCAACACTTTATTGTACAGCTACTTATTTTGTTTTATTTTGTTTCAACGCCAAAATCATTGAAATCAAGCAAACAGATGGTCAAAGCAGGACCAAGCTTCCAATCAAACAGCTCTAGTGGACCAACATTTATTACAAGTATGTTAAAGGTAAGGTTATCAGTACAGTTAGTGAAATTATTTGAACGTTTCCTCTTTTTTAGATATTATTGAATCACTAGAGATCACAGTCAGGAGCAATTTCAAATATGGATAAAGAACAGCATCAATCAAAAGACGAGTCAATGGCGCACGGATCATCAAATAATAGTCCCACTCAACCATTTGAACCATTAACAATGAACGAAAGCAAACGCGTTCCCAACCTGCGATGGTTTGTCATTATTATGTCACATTTGGTGCTTTTCTCTGTTACTGTTGTCGTTTCTAGTTTAAGTTTAACGATAGTGGCCATGGTTCGAGTTGAAGCTAAATCAAGTGAAGAAGCAGAAGCTGAGTGTATGAAGTACTGTAATGGGTCTTATACAGCAATGATATCAGAAATTTCATCGGAAAGTTTGAAGTATCACGTATCATGGAGTGAAACAGAAAAGGATTATATGCTTGAAGCAGTATTCTGGGGTGCATTAATCTCATCACCTATTGGTGGACGGATTGGTGAGCTTCTGGGTCCTCGTCGAAGTGTGTCTCTCTGTTTGATTGCCATTTCTGTGTTGAATTTGCTGTTCGCTCCGGCAGCTTTAATCAACTATTGGGTTGCCTTTGTGATTCGTTTGGTTCAAGGGATAGGCCAGGGTATTGTGATGCCTTCACTTTATGTCGTTGTCAGTCGTTGGTCTACTGATCATGAAAGGACTCTAAGTAATGCTGTTGTTCAAAGTGGAATAGCAATGGCAAACATTGTAGTTCATCCTTTTGTTGGTTTACTCATCTCCAATGAATCTGCAAACAACTGGCCATCAATTTTTTACTACATTAGTCTACTAAATTTGGCAGTATTTTGCTTCTGGTATCTAATTGTTTACGATTTCCCTGAAACTCATCCTTATTTGAGCAAAGAAGAGCTTGATTACATTGCTCTTAATCGATCCTTTAAACCAGGAGTTTCGGTAAATACCAGTTTAAATTAGATAATTTTATAAGAGATAATTGAATGTAAATCTTTACCAATCAACGTCAAATAATCTTCATTTTGATCTCAGAAAATAGTTCCATGGACTCGTTTAATGTCATCGCCTCCTGTTATTGCTTACCTTTGTGTTTCATTCACTTATGGTTGGTTAATAAGTACAGTTTCAACTCAAATACCATCGTTTTATAAGGAAATTTTAGGCCTGAGTTTTGAAGCGGTTAGTATCAGAGTACAATTTGGAGGATTTCAAGCAATTATTTGAACTCAATTTCTTTTTCCATGTTTCCCTTTTCAGAATGGTTTACTCAATGCATTGCCATGGATTTTATCTCTTATAATATCACTTACTGCAGGCTATGCAGCTGATCGTGTTTGTCGAACCAGTTCAGTATCTTTGACGAAATTAAGGAAATTATTAGCATTTTTAGGTATTTCTTTATTATCGTCTTGTTTAACTTGCTTTTAAAACGTTCATTTTTATGTAATTTTGAAATGAAGGATTAGGATCTGGTTCAATTGGAATACTGTTGATCACTTGTTATGATTGGGATAAAAAGTCGATCGTTTCATTGGTGACTTTATCGAAAGGCTTTGCCACACTCAACATTGCTGGACCTGGAACATCTCATCTTGATATTAGTCCAAGTTATGCTGGAACCTTAGCCGGAATATATAATTTATTTTTCAATCTATCAGCTTTAATCATGAACCATTCAGTTGCTACAATTGTCGGTGATTATCCAACACAACAAAAATGGTTCACCTTCTTCCGTCTAACCTCAGGTCTAAACATTATCGGTCTTATTTTATTCATAATCATGGGATCAGCACAAGTTCAACCCTGGGATCCATCATATGAACCAAGTCCAGTCAACTTCGCAACTCCTTTAAACTTGGATTTCAATTATCAAGCTAACATGAATACTTTTCAACATACAAATGAAAACTAAGTTCTGGCTGTAATTTGATCTAAAATAACATTATTACCAGTTTATTATATTAATCACGTTTTAATTGTCATCAGTTATATATTTAATATTGTATAATATTGAATAATTGTTAAATTATATTGTATTTAAAATCACTTAAATGAACATTAAATGACTTTTATGATTTTTACTCAACACTTGATTGCATTTTCACAACTAAATATTTGAGACAGAAATGTTTAAAATATTGGACTTCAATGATAAAAAATTAACACAAACTGAAATGAAAATATCAATATTAAATTGATATCAAACTTAATTCAATAGTTAATTACTTCATTTCCGAGAATTGATTAAGCCATCTCTCAATATTAAAAGTCATTTGGTCTATCTGCTGTGTTCGTGCCTTTGAAACTAAATGGCGTCAATGTGATGATTGTCAACTTATTATTAATTTATTGAAAACAAAAATCAATTTTCGTAGTACTTTTGTATTAACCTTTATCTGCGATTCCTAAATATTCAAGACATAAGAAATTATATCGAAACATATCTCTAGTTAAGACTAGTTAATCTTTCAAGGGTTTTACGGATTCGTATTTTTATTTGTTGTGATTCCATGTGAATCAAGTATTCTCATCGCACCAATTTATACTTTTTGTATTGAAATATGAGATAAATATTAGATTATATTTTTTTATAATGGCTGAATGTCAAAAATCGTTTGTTTCAATGTTCAATATTTGCGAAGATTCGCATTATAACAAGTGACTCCAGCTAATCAAATGGCAAAAACAAAAATAAATTCAATACATTGATCTAAATCTAAAGATTATTCAAATAAGAAAGAGATTAATGAACAAGAATGATAAGAAACCAAAAAACACCTAAAAAGCAGAGACTGAACAAAACTTATTTATTTGAACAAACAATCGGCAAACACAATTGAAGTTTCCTTGTTACAGTTATAAAACATTGAATTTTATATGTGAAAAGAGTTACCCTAACAACCAATTAACACTAAAATGGACCGTACACGAGGTAACAGTGTTACTTCAATAAAATCAGTGATCAAAAACGTTGCTCGATTCCGTTGGATAATATTCATTCTTGCAAATGTTGCCGTTTTCGCCAATTTCATTGTTCTTTCAAGCTTTAGCATAACAGTAGTGGCTATGCTTGGTAAGAGCAATGAACACACAACAACAATTGATGCAGTCAACTCAACAGTCAACGTAGCAATAACACCTTTAAAACCTGGAAGTGACCATGTTGATTGGTCAAATGTAGATAAATCCCGAATGCTTTCAGCCTCTTTTTGGGGAAGTCTGGTCATGTCTTTATTCGGTGGTCGTATTTGTGAGCTATTTGGTCCAAGAAAAGTCGTATCACTATCGCTTTTGGTGAATGGCCTAGCTACTCTTTTATTCCCAGTTATATCAGTCAAGAGTTTTGGTGGAGCTTATGTTATGAGGATAATCAGTGGAATCTGTACAGGAATCGTTCAACCCTCGTCTATTGTAATTGTATCTAGATGGGCCATAACCTCAGAGCGAACACTTGCAAATGCTGTTGTAACGTCTGGTGGTACGCTGGCTAATCTTATTTCATTGCCTCTTGCTGGTATTTTAGTTGATTCCAGTTTCCTTGGTGGTTGGCCTTCAGTGTTTTACCTCTTTGGTGGACTTAATTTGATTATAGCCATCATTTGGTTTATTGTTGTTTATGATACTCCAGAAGTTCATCCATATTTAGGTTCTGAAGAGTTGGAAGTGATATTGAAAAATAGATCAGTCAGTTCAGGAGGTTCAGTAAGTAATTGACACTGTACATCGTCATCAATAACCGATTGATAATGTTTTTTATTTGTTTGGTCATTTTAAAAGGTTTCAATTCCATGGGGCAAAATGTTTACTTCGATTCCCATTATTGCTTACTTGATTCCTGCATTCACTTATGGTTGGGTTGTTGCAGTTGTAACTTCACAGGTTCCGTCATTTTATGAAGAGATCCTCAGCTTTTCACACACTGGAGTAAGTTTTGATTTGTTTTCGATGAATACTGATTTATTTGTATAAACATATCTTAATTAACTGTTTAATTTCAGAATGGATTTGTAGCCAGTCTTCCCTGGTTGTTTGGTATGGGTGCTCAACTGATTGGAAGTGCAGTTACAGACAGAATTAGGAAAGCCAACAGATTTTCATTAGCATCTATTCGTAAAATTGTCACTGTTCTATGTAAGTTTCATTACCTTTTATTTATATTCAAGAGTCGAATTATTGTCATTATCATTTGATTCTAACTATTTTTTCCATTTTTTTAGCTCTTGGTAGCTGTTCAATCGGTTTAGTAGCCATAACATTGTTAGGAAAACATAGGATTCCCGTTGTCTTAACATTAGCCCTCGCTAAAGGAATGGGTACTTTATCTGTCGCTGGAAGTGGAGTTAATCATTTAGATATTGCACCTTCATTCGCTGGTACATTAGCTGGTTTTTATGGAGTTATGCTAAGCTTAGCTTCATTGATTGCTAATGAAGCAGCCGCTCATATTGTTGGTAAAAATTCTGGTAACAACAAAAATTCCCAACAAAACTGGTACCATTACTTTTACATATCAGCTGCAGTCAATATAGCCGGTGTGATACTGTTTTGTCTTATGGGCTCTGGAGAGGTACAAAGTTGGGATCCAGCATCATCGGCCAACAGACAAAATGTAAAATCAGAAACTCAAAATGACAGAGCAACGACTCGAAATAATGATGTAGAGCTTGCAACAGTCGAACATTAAATTTAACAGTCAAATATGTCTCTTTGATACTCTTTTTATTTTGTTTGTTGCATGTTGATTTGATCTATCAATATATTAATATATCGATAAATTGTACATGTATTATTAATTGTAACTTGATCTTGAATAAAGTCTGTAAAAACTCAATTTCCCCTTCTCTCGATTGATTAGAATTGTAAGTTCGAAGCAAAAAAGACAAACGATTCCAATCAAGATGTCTAAATGGATCAAGGCATAGATAGCAATGTAAGGATTAATGAAATGGGAATAATGAATTCATGTTTGATTGGTGTTCAATGATAGAGTTTGCAAAACAAAAATAAACTTTGGTTGCAAGATATTAATAATATCATGAGATTTATGAATAAAATAAATGTAGACATAAATAAATATCAATTAATCTTTTTATAACAATCGTCTTATTAGCACCAAACTGCATCAGAGGTTTATTTTCGTGGTTTAGATTGAAAAACAATTGCCTTTTGACTTCAAAATGAAACATTTTTTTAATTTATTTTGGATATAAACGAATGCAATTAACAAATTAAAACAACATTATGCATAATGTTAGCTTAAGAGTCAATATGATCTTTGTTTGAATTATAGCTTTCAAGAGATTCTATGACTATTTGATTATTATTTTCTGTATTTCCCTTAGTAATGTTTTGTGACTTTAAACTTGAATTATTTGTATTACTTTGCTTAGGAACTGATGAAGGATCCCAACTTTGTGTTTCTCCTGAACCAAAGAGGCAAAACACGATTACTCCAACAACGTTTATGGCTGCGCTCAAGTAAAAGAAATAGTACCAATTTTGAGCTGTTGTTTCATTCCCAACGATCTGAGCTGCACCTTCATTGGCAGCCAATGATGACAAACTGTGTAACACTGATGCAAAGCCACCCAAAGTCCCAGCAAATGACGGTGCAATGTCGAGATGATTTGCACCAGCACCAGCAATAACTAAACTTCCCATTCCTTTGGCAATTGACAAGGTTAGTACAACAGCCGTTCGTCTTTTACCAAGAAGGGTAATTGCAACCAGTCCACAAGATACTGTACCTAAACCTAAATTAATAGATGATGGTTTACTTTCCAAAAGTATATATTGAGCATAAAGGTTTAACAGTTTAACCCAGAAGCTTAATCGTGGGTTAAGAAGAGTCTTTACTTACCAATAAGGGTAAAAGTTTTTCGAATTACTGCTGTAGAGAAGCGATTAGTTCGACGCAATTTATCAGCAATTGTACTTCCAAGAATAGAAATTAACGTTGATAGCAACCAGGGAAGACTCGACAAAAACCCATTCTGAAATCGAAAATATTCTTCGTTAAAACAATTATTAAGCAAACAGCTATTACATTATGGATTAAACTAAATTTTACTGTTTTGTTTAAGTCAAGTCCAAATCAACATTTTCTGTCAAAATTTAACCAAATCAAGAAACTAAATCATTTAGCTGAACTGGTGAAACAATTTGTTATAATAAACAAAAATGGAATGATAGTTTCCATGAAAAAACACAAAGCGTCCATCCAAATCTTAACAGTAACACATCTTAATATTTTATCGTCTTGCAAGAAGAAAATTGAGCTAAACTTACCGCTGTGTGTGAAAACCCAAGAACCTCTTCGTAAAACGAAGGAATCTGAGCGCCAACAACAGCACTAATCCAGCCATAAGTAAAACTAGGAACAAGATGAGCAATTACTGGTAATGATGTCAACATTTTTCGCCAAGGTACATCAATCTAAGGGAAGAATGAATAAGAGAAATTGTTTTTAATTAAAGAAAATTTAACGCATGAAGTGTAAAGTAATATAATAAAATATGGTACTAACTTTATCGCTTGATTTGAGTGTACGGTTGGAAAGTATTTCTTCCAACTCTTCAGCACTTAAATATGGATGTTCCTCGGGAGTGTCATAGATGATAATATACCAAGCAATGGCTATGATCACATTAAGTCCACCAAAGAGGTAAAAGACTGAAGGCCAACCACCAAGGAAACTGGAACTAACCAAAATACCGGCAAATGGAAGGCCAACAAGACTACCAATCGCACCACCAGATATTACCACTGAGTTTGACAAAGTCCTTTCACTTGAAGTGGACCATCGAGAGATCATCACAAAGAGTGAAGGTGGAATCAATCCAGCACAAATCCCTTGGATAACTTTAACCAGGTAAGCACCAAGAAAACTGTGCTTTGCTATCAAGGGAAACAGCATGTTGGTAAATCCTACGAATGCTAAAGCCAACGATACAACTTTCCTTGGACCAAATAGTTCACAAATGCGACCACTAAACAATGATATCGCCAAAATTCCCCAGAACCCTGCTTGAAGCATACGATCTTTATCCACACTTGTCCAGTCAACATGAATTTTACCCGTTGATATTGGCGCAATTTTGACTGTTGATGTACCATTTGCATCCAAGAGTTGTGTTGAGTTGGTTGGATCTTTCTCAATCATAGCAACGATTGTTAAACTTAAGCTTGTTGCAATCACAGTATTGGCAAAACTAGCGATGTTTCCAAGCATGAATATTAACCATCGGAATCGGGCCACATTCTTAATCACTGATTTAATTGAAGCAATGCTGGCTCGACGGGAACTGAGTCGTGATACAGTCATTTTTTGAATGTTTACACAAATTAAAAGTCGATTGTTACGAAAGTTTTCACAGTTTATTTAAAAGCAAACTCTATCAAAAACAATTGATGATTGACAAGGTTCGTTCAATTTGAAACTCTTTTATATCGTATTATATCAAATAATCGTCGAACATAATCTTAATCTTGTTGTCTAACTTTGTTACTATTAATTGCTAAGGATTAACTGCTGAACTAAATCTCCATGGCGTAAATTCCCCTGAATCCTTGCATTCGCTTAAGGATGGACATTTGCTCTTTTCTACGTCACAAGGTCCATCATTTTATCATCCATGGATTTTGATTAAATTATCATAATATTGATGTTTGGTGCACGAATTGTGAACAAAAAAATGATTTCGGTCGATTTGAGTTCAATTCAATACAATTTGCACATTTGAGCCAATGTTGGTTTGATTGATCAATATAGATATTCCGTGCATGACTAATCGTGGCTTAATCGCATTAATCTGTGAAAGATTGTATCAAATCAAATCAATTCATTTTATGAATTTTATGTGAAGGTGATCTTACTAGAAATGGGACAAGATATTATTATTTTCTGTATTTCCATTAGTGATGTTTTGTGACTTTAAACTTCAACTATTTGATCTATCACTTTGTTTAGGAAATGATGACGGACCGCAACTTTGTGTTTCTCCTGAACCAAAGAGGACAAACACGATTCCTCCAATAATGTTCACATAATAATGTGCGATCGAATAATGAATAATACATATTTCGCCAATGGATTGGGAATGATGATCTGATATTAAAAACACCATAACAGTTTAACACGATAAAACTTTGTACAAAACGGTATGGCGTTTAGTATGGTAAAGTGGTTTAAATCTGTCCGATATCGCTGAAGAAAGTTAACCGAAGTTATGAAACCAGAAACTTTGCAAAGAAAAACAAAAATTGAACCTTGGTTGCAACTATTACTGTAAGTATTAAGATGAATTATGGAAGAAATGAATTGATCTCGATTCATGTAATCATCCAAGCTGAATGAGAGTCTTGTTTTCAGTGATTCAGATTAAAAACATTTCACTATTTAACTGTAAATGAAAGATTGAGAGTAGTCATTTTACCAAAGTGCGATATTAGACTAAACAAAACTTATTCATTTGAATAACTCTGCAACTTTGCAGTTCCATTACTTTCAGTTACAATTTATAACAGTGAATATTATGAGCAAAAAGTTAGTCACATTAACACTCAATCAACAGGAAGATGGACCGTTCCAGAGGTGACAGTGGTGCTTCAATTAAATCAGTGATCAACAAAGTTGCTCGATTTCGCTGGTTGATATTCATCCTTGGAAATATCGCGAATTTAGTCATTTTCATCGTTCTAAATAGTTTCAGTTTAACAATTGTGGGTATGATTGGTAAACACGAAGAACAAATTATTTCACTTGCACCAGTCAACTCATCATTCAACGCTTCAAGCTCTTCCGTGGTATCACCAAGAAGTGTCCATGTTGATTGGTCTAATGTAGATAAATCTCGAATGCTTTCAGCCTCTTTTTGGGGAAGTCTAGTCATGTCTTTATTCGGTGGTCGTATTTGTGAGTTATTTGGTCCAAGGAAAGTCGTATCACTATCACTGTTGGTGAATGGCATCGTTACTCTTTTATTTCCAGTTATATCAATCCACAGTTTTATTGGAGCTTATGTTATAAGAATAGTCAGCGGCAGCTGTACAGGAATCGTTCAACCCTCGTGTATTGTTATTGTATCAAGATGGTCAATGGTCTCGGAGCGAACACTTGCAAATGCCGTTGTATCATCTGGTAATGCTTTCTCTAATCTTATATCACTGCCTCTTGCTGGCATTTTGGTTGATTCCAGTTTCCTCGGTGGTTGGCCGTCAGTGTTTTACCTCTTTGGTGGACTTAATTTGATTGTAGCCATCATCTGGTTTATTGTTGTTTATGATACTCCAGAAGTTCATCCATATTTAGGTTCTGAAGAGTTGGAAGTGATATTGAAAAATAGATCAGTCAGTTCAGGAGGTTCAGTAAGTAATTGTACATATCATGATCAAACTTCAAGTTTATTTATTCATAACAATATTTGCATTTTCGGTCATTTTAAAAGGTAAAAGTTCCATGGTGCAAAATGTTTACTTCGATTCCCATTATTGCTTATTTGATTCCTGCATTTACTTATGGTTGGGTTGTTGCAGTTGTTACTTCACAGGTTCCGTCATTCTATGAAGATATTCTAGATTTTTCATATACTGGAGTGAGTTGACAACTGAATGCTGACTGTTTTGAATTAAGTATATTTAAACAACGATTGTGAGGTGATATGATGGTTATATGCACGAGGGCGAAGCCCGAGTGTATTCACTATCATATCACCGAGCAAGAGTTGTTTAAAAAGCTTACATAATGAAAGTAAAAGCTGAAGACACAATTGGTCAATTTATGGCTAAAAAATTTTATCTCTTCTTCATTGATAAGATTTGTGAGATTTAACCAAAAATTGAATTCAATTATTTCATTTAACTCTCTATGGGTTTGTTAACAAACCCATTCAAATAACTAGTGCTAATAACCAAAAATATCAGTCGCAATAACTAGCGGTTATCAAGCACTGAGTTATGTAACACATCTAAATTAACTGCATTATTTTCAGAATGGATTTGTAACGAGTCTTCCTTGGTTGGTTGGTATCGGAGCTCAACTAATTGGAAGTGCAGTTACAGACAGAATAAGGAAAGCTAACAGATTTTCATTGGCATCTATTCGTAAAATTGTCACAGTTCTATGTAAGTTTCATTACCTTTTATTTATATTCAAGAGTCGAATTATTGTCATTATCATTTGATTCTAACTATTTTTTCCATTTTTTGCAGCTCTTGGAAGTTGTTCAATCGGTTTAGTAGCCATAACAATGTTAGGAAAACATAGGATTCCCGTTGTCTTAACCTTAGCCCTCGCTAAAGGAATGGGTACTTTATCTGTCGCTGGAAGTGGAGTTAACCATTTAGATATTGCACCTTCATTTGCTGGTACATTAGCTGGTTTTTATGGAGTTATGCTAAGTTTAGCTTCATTGATTGCTAATGAAGCAGCCGCTCATATTGTTGGTAAAAATTCATCTCAACAAAACTGGTATCATTACTTTTACATATCATCTGCAGTCAATATAGCCGGTGTGATATTGTTTTGTCTTTTGGGTTCTGGAGAGATTCAAAGCTGGGATCCGGCCTCTTCTACCAACAGACGAAATGTAAAGTCAAAGACTCGAAGTAATGATTTAGAGCTTTTATCAGTCGAACATTAAATTAAGTTAAATGAGTTTTTCGGTGCAAATGGTTTCGACTTGCATTGTTCTATGATTGTACTGGTTTTGTCGAATGGACACTAAACTTGACAAAATCAAAGTAGGTATCAACTCCTCAAAAGGGACTCTTGAAAAACGATGTGCACTTTCTGGATGGTGCAGTTTCTGAATGATCACTGTATGTGACGATTAAGACATAAATCTACGTCAAGACCTAGGAACGATTGGGACGACTAACGACATAATTTTTGATGCATAAATAGTTATTGCAAAACCAACATGTATAAATACATTTATATCTCACTCGATATATGTATTTAGTCCTACAAGCTGAATAAGAGGCTTGTTTGCAGTGATCAGATTAAAAGTAATACACAAAATTCATAATTGAGAGCTAATTCGTTTTATTAATTCCGTGTTTTAATATCACAAGTATCGAAAAGTTATGTTGTTTTTATCACTGATGATTTAGCTTCGATTGCAAAGTTTCTGATTATTCAATTGGCTCAATTAAGATATAAAATAGCATTAGCAAGTGCTTGCAGGCCATTTTTAACTCGATCGGAGTTAATTAACTATAATTAACTAGGTAACCAAAATGTAGTAGATGAAAAAGCAATTGAAAAACTTATTGATGTTTCTCATACAAAAATTAGTATAAAACTAAAGCTTGTGGTCAGTATAATCAATCGGCAAAATCCGAATGCTCAAATAATTATCTGAATAATTTAATAATGGTTATTATTAGAAAATTCAAATTTCGCTCATTAAGTTTAATTTTTTCATCCATATATTGCCTTTTTATAAACAAATCTAAAGCAATTGTACTGATTTCAGGATTCATAGCGAAACATAATTCTAATTCTAATTAATACTAGTTAATCTTAAAAGGGTTTGGCGGAATCGTATTTTAGATTCTCTGATTCCATCAAGCATTCTCAACGCATCAATTTATAATTTTTGTACTTATTAGTAATATTATAAATATGAGATAAATATTAGATTATACTTTTTAATAATAGATCAACGTCAGAAATCGTTTGTTTCAATGTTCAATGATCACAAAGATTTGCATCATAACAAGCGATTATAATCAAATTGCAGCACAAAAATAAATTCAATGCACTGAGCTAAATCCCGGAGCTTATTCAAATAAGAAAGAGATTAATGAAGAAAGATGATGAGAAAAAGCACCAAATAGCTGAGACTGAACAAAACTTATTTATTTAAACAACAATCGGCAAACGTTATAACAACATTTCCTTGTTGAAGTTATAAACATTGAATATTTCAAGTGAAAATCATCAACTCGCAACCAATTATAACTAAAATGGATCGTACGAGAGGCAATAGTGTTACTTCAATCAAGTCAGGGATCGCAAACGTTGCTCGATTTCGTTGGTTTATATTTATTCTTACAAATGTCGCCATCTTCACCAATTTCTCTGTTCTCGGAAGTTTTAGTTTAACAATAGTGGCTATGATTGGTAAGAACAATGAACACACAACATCAATCGACGCAATCAACTCAACAGTCAACGTTACAATTACACCTTTAAAATCTGGAAGTGTCCATGTTGATTGGTCGAATGTAGATAAATCTCGAATGCTTTCAGCCTCTTTTTGGGGGAGTCTGGCCATGGCTGCATTCGGTGGTCGAATTTGTGAATTATTTGGTCCAAGAAAAGTCGTATCACTATCGCTTTTGGTAAATGGCTTGACGACCCTTTTATTCCCAGTTATATCAATCCACAGTTTTATTGGAGCTTACATTATTAGGATAATCAGCGGAATCTGTACTGGAATTGTTTTACCCTCATCTAATGTCATTGTATCTAGATGGGCCATAACTTCGGAGCGAACACTTGCAAATGCTGTTGTAACGTCTGGTGGTACACTAGCTAATCTTATATCACTGCCTCTTGCTGGTATTTTGGTTGATTCCAGTTTCCTCGGTGGTTGGCCGTCAGTGTTTTACCTCTTTGGTGGACTTAATTTGATTGTAGCCATCATCTGGTTTATTGTTGTTTATGATACTCCTGAAGTTCATCCATATTTAGGTTCTGAAGAGTTGGAAGTGATATTGAAAAGTCGATCAGTCAGTTCAGGAGGTTCAGTAAGTAATTAATACTCACATCGCTTCATAATATGCAATGGATATTAATCTTTTTATTTTTTCGGACATTTTGAAAGGTCGCAGTTCCATGGGGCAAAATGTTTACTTCAATTCCCATAATTGCTTATTTAATCCCTTCATTCACTTATGGTTGGGTGATTGCCGTTGTATCTGCTCAATTGCCATCATTTTATGAAGACATCCTCCACTTTTCACACACTGGAGTGAGTTTTAATTTGTTTTCTAATCAAATAACGACTTTTTAAACAAAAATCTTAATCAATTGTATCAATAACAGAATGGATTTGTAACGAGTCTTCCTTGGTTGGTTGGTATCGGAGCTCAACTGATTGGAAGTGCAGTTACAGACAGAATAAGGAAAAACAGCAATTTTTCATTAGCATCTATTCGTAAAATTGTCACTGTCATATGTAAGTTTCATTACTCTATCATCATTTGAACCGTGATTTTTATTTCCAATTTGTTTTTGCTACTTTTTTAGCACTTGGTAGTTGTTCAATCGGTTTAGTAGCCATAACATTGTTAGGAAAACGAAGGATTGCCGTCGTGTTAACCTTAGCCATTGCTAAAGGATTTGGTACTCTATCTGTCGCTGGAAGTGGAGTTAACCATTTAGATATCGCACCTTCATTCGCTGGTACATTATCTGGTTTTAGTGGCGGAATGTTAAGCATAGCTTCATTGATTGCTAATGAAGCAGCCGCTCATATTGTTGGTAAAAATTCATCTCAACAAAACTGGTATCAATACTTTTACATATCAGCTGCAGTCAATATAGCCGGTGTGATATTGTTTTGTCTTATGGGCTCTGGAGAGGTACAAAGTTGGGATCCAGCGTCATCGACCAACAGACAAAATGTAAAATCGGAAACTCAAAATGACAGAGCAAAGACTCGAAGTAATGATGTAGAGCTTTCAACAGTCGATTGTTAAATCTTAATTTATTTATTGCTTCAACGGAGAGACATTTGTAAGCTATCGGCTTTTCCTACATGATTTTTGTGTTTCATGCAAATGTGAACGAAAATAAATGATTGCTGATAATCAACGTTCAAATTCAATATAAAATTTGTCTATTTTTTGCAATTGTCGATTATAATTCATCAAAATATACATAAATGTATGTATCTATTAATACATGAATAATATGAATAATTGAATCCTGATCTTGCATAAAGTTTGATTATTTTGGACCGCCGGATGATCGATCTGATCAAAATGTCAAACTATTAACTAATAACTGGATCAAAACTCAGATTTTAGAAAATACAGAAAATACTAAGCTGATCTACCATAAAAGGTAAACATTACTGAAATTTTAAACAAAGTCAATCGAAACAATTTGATATTTTAATCTGAAAGTGATTTTATAATGAAAGATGAGACGAATGACAAAGATCCTGAATATTATAAATAATGGAAATTAATGGATCTGATTCAAGGAACTGAAGGAAACCAAATCAGAAGGAAGGAACGAATAGGTGACTTTATCTTCATAGCATCTCTTCATAATTATAATAGTTTGTTTACATCAATATCAGTGAATAAAATGGATGAAACAATGAATCTCAATGTTATTATATCTAATGTCTATTTCATGGTATCTTATAGTATCTTATGTCATTTATTATAATGAAATTCAATATGATCTTTATTCGGATTATTGTTTTCAAGAGATTATATGACCATTTGATTATTTTCATTAGTGATTTTTTGTGACTTTAAGCTTGAATCATTTGATTTATCACTTTGCTTAGGAGCTGATGAAGGATCCCAACTTTGTGTTTCTCCTGAACCAAAGAGGACAAACACGATTGCTCCAGCAATGTTTATCACGGCGCTTAGATAAAAGAAATAGTACCAATTTTGAGCTGTTGTTTCATTCCCAACGATCTGAGCTACACCTTCATTGGCAGCCAATGATGCCACACTGCTCAACACTGATGCAAATCCACCCAAAGTTCCAGCAAATGACGGAGCTATGTCGAGATGATTCGCACCAACACCAGCAATGATTAAACCTCCCAATCCTTTGGTAATTGACAAGGTTAGTACAACAGCCATTCGTCTTTTACCAAGGAGAGTTATTGCAACCAATCCACCAGATACTGTACCTAAACCTAAATTAATAGATAACAATATTTACCCTTCTCCAGTCTTTATATTGAGTGTTAAAATTATACGGTTGTTATACTCACCAAGTACGGTAAGAACCTTCCGTATTGCTACAGTAGAGAAGCGATTAGTTCGACGCAATTTATCAGCAATTGTACTTGCAGTTATTGAACATAGCGTTGATAGCAACCAGGGAAGACTCGATATAAATCCATTCTGAAATTGACACACAAAATATTTTTGTTTTAAAAGTGTTATCATTTATTAGCTAGATTTTTTTTCTCTGTCTTGTGCAATAGTGAATTTCTCGAATTAGTTGAATCCTTAATACATTTTGTACATGTTGGATAAACAGAATCATTTTTGAGCAGTAAAATTTTACGGAATCAGCTACAGTTATATTTATATTGCTAGGCTATTTGTATCAATTCAATTAGTTTTACGGCTATATTTACGACTACATGTTGTTAGTAAATGTTGATCAAAACTTACCGCTGTGTGTGAAAACCCAAGAACCTCTTCATAAAATGAAGGAATCTGAGAGGAGACAGTAGCAATTACCCAACCATAAGTAAAACTATGAGTCAGATGTGCAAATACCGGTAATGATGTCAACATTTTTCGCCAAGGCACTTCAATCTATGGGAAGAATGAATATTTGAATATTTTGAGAAGTTGTTATAAGAAATATAAAGGTAAAATGTACTTACTGTATTTCCTGATTTGAGTGTACGATTGGCAAGTATTACTTCGAGTTCTTCAGGACTTAAATATGGATGCTCCTCGGGAGTGTCGTAAACAATGATATACCAAACGACAGCAAAGATTAAATTAAATCCCCCAAAGAGGTAAAACACTGATGGCCAACCACCAAGGAAACTGGAACTAACCAAAACACCGGCAAGCGGGAGGCAAACAAGGTTACCAATCGTAGCACCAGCTATTACCACCGAGTTTGACAAAGTCCTTTCACTTGAAGTGGACCATCGAGAGATCATCACAAAGAGTGAAGGTGACACTAGACCAGCACACATTCCTTGGACAATTTTAATCAGGTAAGCTCCAAAAAAACTGTGCTTTGCTATCAAGGGAAATAGCATGTTGGTCAATCCTACGAATGCTAAAGCTAAGGATACAACTCTCCTTGGACCAAATAGTTCACAAATGCGACCACTAAACAGTGATATTGCCAGAATTCCCCAGAACCCTGCTTGTAGCATACGATCTTTATCCACACTTGTCCAGTCAACATGAATTTTACCCGTTGATATTGGAGCAATTTTGACTGTAGATGTACCATTTGCGTCAAAGAGTTGTGTTGAGTTGGTTGGATCTTTCTCAATCATAGCAACGATTGTTAAACTTAAGCTTGTCCCAATCAAAGAGTTAGCAAAATTAGCGATGTTTCCAAGAATGAATATCAACCATCGAAATCTGGCCACATTTTTAATCGCTGATTCAATTGAAGCAAAACTCGAGCTGCGGTGAGATTTAGACATTCCAGAACTTATTCAAAAAATAACAGTTACGAATGGATTATTTTGAACGTTGATAAGTTCAGTCTCGTTAATGTCAATCTAAATCAAAAACGAGTTTTCACAGTTTATTCAAAACCAATCTTTATCAAGACAATTGATAACTGACAAGTTTTGTTCAATTTGAAACTCTTTTATATCGTATTATACCAAATAATCATTGCACTGATTCACACTTTTATATCCGCACTTGATTTAATACAGCTAAGGATTAAGAAGGAATCAAATGATTTTTCTATGCCTAATGATTTAATGATATCGAGCTAATGATTCTTTGCTTAAAAAATGCTGTTACTGTTATTAACTTATTATATTATATTTGCTTGAAAGGTTAAGATCAATTTTATACTAGCTAATAAAATTATTTCCAAAAATTTTATTAATTTTTATGATGATTTTTATTTTGATTAAATGATTATTATTCTCTATGTTTACTAATCAATATTTCTTGTCAATAATCTCAAAAAATTCAGTCTCATTCATCATTTAAATCAAATTAACTTAATCAACTACATATGTATATATTAACCGCAAACCAGCCGAAGGAACTAAAATTACTCGTTTTCAATCATTCTTCTGTAACTATAACCTTCCAAAAAGGACAATCAATGGCGAAACTCTTCATCAAAAAGATCTCGATGCCAGAGCTTGAACAAACACTCGAAGCTAACATCTTAAGAGGACAATCACCTTGATGACTATGACAGCAATAATTACACACGAAGACATTAGTGCAATTTGCAGTTTTATGAGAAAACATACAACACCGTTCACAAACAGTTAAACCAATGCTATCATAGAAAGGGGTACAACCTTGTCTCCAACTAATAAACCCGTCACGCTCAAGAAGTATGTCGCGATTCTGTCCACTTATCTGCATAACAACACGGGACAAGTTTGTATTGGTTGAGATCACACTAACAACTCTTGTTACCTCGTCCGTGTTCAAATCATTCTGGAAAATCAAATCTTCACTTAATCCAGCAAGATCATCTTCTCCATCTCCAAGACGAACAAAGAAAATCCTTTCACGTCGAGGCGGACGGTCCAAAACGAAAAATCAGGAAGATGTTGCTCGATAACCCGACAAACCTCTGTTTTATAGTGATTTCGCCCTAATCCTATGATTACACGATCCGCTTTGTACTTTAAATAAAATATTTTGGCAGGCCAATTTTCAATACTTTCAATAACAGGGGTTAGCAAATCACGTGTGTTTACCTCTGGGTCATGCACATTGTTAGGCCGGTTGAACAAAATTAATTCCTCTCGCCTTAGAACACCTCGACAACTTATCCAACCTCTCCTTTTGGCCTGCTGTTCACGCTGTATAGAACTGAGAACTTCTCTGAACTGATACATGAATAATTTTAACAATGAAAAACACAATGGCACATCAAAAAAATGAAACTTACAGGACTAGATACAAAAACAGAAATAACAACCCTTAATTTACATACTGTCTCAAGATCTGTGACAAAACCCAACTCGGTTAATGAAGGCCTTATTAATGGAAAATAAATTGAATAGTAAATATGAAAGGGTAAACCAAATCAACTAACAAGCTTTAATTAACGCATCTTGAAACGAGAAGAAATGTAACAAAAACTGGATAGAAACAAAGTAAAGCTATCTCATACCAAATTTCAGTAAAGCAATAACAAGTAATAAAAACTAGTAAATAAGTCGCAAACAAAGAAATTGACACTTACTTGTTACTAAACTTCAAACTAAACAAAGCAATATAAAGCAGATGTGTTCGCTAAAATTCACGTTCAAACAGCTAAGATAAAGACTACTTCCATTACTGTTACTAGTCAACACTAACTAGCACAAAAGCTTTGATCCCTGCCTTTACAAAAGAAGTCGTAAATCTTCTGAAAAATGACAAATAAGATTACATAAACAACCCAAACGGTCATAGCAAATCAAACGTTTGCCGAGTTGATACTACTAACTAGTGATAACGGGTAAAGTCGCTTCTCACAAAACTTGGAACCAATCACAAACGTAATCTCTTTGATGTTACCGCTAAAAGGCTGAGAGTTGCATTATATAACCGAAGATAAAGACAAAACTTATAACTGAGAACACGTATATAAACTCAATTCGTGTGAATATTTACACATTACGATAAATTACAGACATCTTGTTACATCAAACTATTGAACTAAGTCGAAGTTTAAATAAAATTTGATAAAAACAAATATCATCACTTCACCTATAATGAATACAAACGAAATTAAAACTCTTAAACAACTGTTAGATATTCTAAACGTTGAAAAAAACCCGAATGATGCTTACATAAACGAAAAATTATCCTCACTTAATCAAGAGCGATCGAATCTAATCACTTTACTTAGTAAAGCTGCGATTCATACTCGTGATCCGAAACAGAAAGGTTTTACTCCATCATATATGGCCAGAATGGACAGAATAAACAAAGTACTCTATACAAATGAACCGATCGTTATAGCTGACAACATTCTTGAACCACTGACGCAGTAAGAAATCGAAATTGAAACCTTAACAAACGAAATCTACGCCTACCAGGAGACTCATCAGCAACAAACCCAGGTATACGAACCAATAGCCTCGACCTCTGCCGATACGCAATTAGTACTGCTCCCTAATATTGCACGTCAACACACGACATCCGATACAAGAAATGAAGCCCATTTGACTGTCTCGAGCCCAACAAAAAGACCTATGGTAACTGTCGCAACCGATGACACTTTTACTGTTACACAACCAAAAAACATCAAATTCAACTCGGTACAAATCAAAAGCCCACACATTTACCCGTGGGCTGCTACTGGTGACAGAGGTTACAGTATTCAAGTAACTGGTCCTGAGTTCAAGAGAGGAATGTTGACGGAGTACATTGGTAACATAGATGAGTACTTCGGTCGTCTAATATCGCTGAGTGAGAACGATAACTCTGCTACCATAACAGTAGACAGAGAGGAAGGACAACGAAAATTGACCGAACTGATAAACTCATCAAATACTGGAATGACCGCATCAATCAATCCATTAAGATTTTCAATAATCAAAATGTAGATCGACAAACGTCTAGCTGGCAAAGACTGGAAAAAAACAGTTCAACAACTCAAGGAATTTTAAAGATAAAACATTTGAGTTCTGGAAATTGTTTGGTTCTCAATTTGCAAATTTCTGCCTCGTTGCGATCACCGTTGACCCAATGATAAGAGACCATATATTACGAGTTTTAAACGGTAAATTGTGGTTTAAAGGAAAACTTATTGAAGTTATTGATCACTTCTCATTACGAAAGAGCTATAATTGTGGCTCTTGCAGACATTGGATTTGTACAGAAAAACAAGAGCGATGCCTAATGTGCTCAGGTCCTCACAATTACAGAACCTGTAAAGCGTTTACCCCTAAATGCCCGGTTTGCAAAGGCGAACATGAAGCTTTTGACATTAATTGCCCACAAATGAAGGAAGCAATTGATCGACAAATGGAGAAAGTTGACTACACATATACTGAGATAATGTGGCAGAAAGGTTTCTAACCTAATATCAAACTGGGAGCTTCTATATCCACGTATTTACCCTATTTCACAAACACTTAAACATAATTACCCATCTATACAACATCTAGACCCACCCATACCCTAGCTAAAGATAACCGGTAAAAAGGCTTCTCTTGAACAAACCAAAATCCAACCACTTGATGCACAGACAAGCAACAGGTAACAACAAGATGTCAACAACCGTTTCTAAACTATTAGATGACAAACTTGAGCTGTTGTGTAAAAGGGAGTTCACTGTCCTAGGTTTCTCAACCGAGTTGGAAATTGAAGAATACAAGAACTTAATTGAAGAAACAGTGACGCTACAACCAATGGACATCATCAAGAAGTTCCCGTTCACTCAACGAATTAAAACATCAATACTAATACTATCTCATATATTACAGGACCAAAACAACTTTACAACTCGCAACCATATAACCAATCTATGTTCATCACTTAACCTTTTGGATGCTTCACGAACCATTGAAAACCGCATCTCAACATACCTGGACATACAGATTCTACTAAATATTTACAACCAAATTTTTAACCCGTATGACTGGCTAGTTCCATATATAAAGACAGAATACATACATCTTTCGGGTAAGACTAAACGCCAAATAATACTTAACTGTCCAACCCCGAATACACTCTTGGAAAAACTTAAACAGGGCAACCCAGAATATCAAGTGGCCATCACAGATTGGTACTTCCTAAATCAAATAGGACAAATAAACACAAGTGCTGAAAACGTCAGAATATTTGTCAATACCATTCAACAGGAAGAGTAACTTTATGCATTCTACAAAAATATTGGAACGGAAGAGTTCAAAATAACGATATTCATGCGTACACCACGTCAATACACATTATTCAAGCAAAACAAATTCTTGTTTGAAGTGGCTGGACAACAGATCCAATCTTCATCACAGGCAAAGTTTCGTATCTGCTCGAAATGTGGAAAAGGATACTCAGGGGGTCACCCTATCAACACTTGCGTTTAATAACACGAGCCTTAAGATCATTAGTTTTGAGTATCTCCTGACCTTGGTTCACATTTGTTCACCCTACATTTTTGGATATGTGGAATGCCTCGCGAATCCACCGTTCTTTTACTCGATAATCATTAGATGTCTTGTGTCATGCTAATACAAAAAGTGGAATCTACAGATAAATCCATTGATGGATTGCCATCAAAATGGAAAGCCTTTAAAATGCTCATTTTGCATCAAAGTCATCCTAAATTTTCCCTATTCTTGGTTCCATACTTTTAATTATTTGAGGTGAATTTCCGATTAATTTTAAATTCACTTGGTTTTCTTGAAAAATATCGGTGACAAGTCCATCTATCGCCTGAAAAAATATAAAGATTAACATTTTTTACTTGATCGGATTTAGTAAATATGATTGATTAGCTAATCAAAATGTAGTAGATGAAGCAGTTAAAAGATGCCAGAACTTATCGATGTTTCTCATACAAAAATTAATATCAATCGAAAGCTGTGCTAATATCATATGCTAATCATATATGCTATCATATAATCAATTAGCGAAATCGCAATTTGAAAAATGAAATAATAAATAATAAACTAAACTAATACTAATGATTAAAATTTCAAATTCATTGATTTTAGTATGTATTTTATCCATATACGGATTATATAATATAAACAAATCTGATACAATTGTACTGATTTCAGAATTCATAGCGAAAAATATCTCTAATTAATGCTAGTTAATCTTAAAAGGGTTTGATGGATTTGTATTTTTAGATTCTTTGCTTCAATCAAGTATTCTTAACGCATCAATTTATAATTTTTACACTTAGATATGAGATGAATATTAGATTATAATTTTAATAACAGATCAATGTTAGAAATCATTTGTTTGAATCTTCAGAAATCACAAAGATTTGCATTATTACAAGCAATTCTAATCAAATTGCAGGACAAGCTGCACTGAGTTAAATCCAAAAGATTATCCAAATAAGGAAGAGATTAATGAACAAAGATGACAACTAAAAAGTACCTAAAACTTAGATTGTTTGATAGGATAAACTTATTTGTTTGAACAAACTGAAAAATAAATCTGCATACGTTAAAGGATTGTAAAAAGGTGATAATGAAAATGATGAAGATGAAGATGAAGATGAAGACGAAGATGAAGACGAAGATGAAGGTGATGATTAAAGAAACAGTGTATAAATACAATGTAGACTGATTAGTTTCAGGCATTTGTCTGAATTTCTATTTCGTAGACATTTCTAAGACAAAAATAATGCGATAGTGCAATTTACTTTTGATTATTAAAGATGTATTTTATAATTTGTTTGAATTCGTTTTAATTGTAAAAAGTTTGCAATCCTGACCTGTCATCTTTCATTGTTATTGCTACCTATTTTTGTTAATCATGTTAATTTAATCATTGAATCAAACAACTATTTCATTAATCGCAGATTTCAATGAATAAAAATTTTAACCCAAACAAAATAGAAATACATCAGTCATTATACATGTATTATTTAAGAGTAAATATAATCTTTATTTAAATCATTGTTTTCAAGAGATTCTGACTATTTGTTTATTATTTTCTGCATTGCCATCAGTGATATTTTGTGACTTTAAACTTGAATTATTTGATTTATCACTTTGTTTAGGAGCTGATGAAGGATCCCAACTTTGTATTTCGCCAGAACCAAAGAAGCAAAACACGATTGCTCCACCAATGTTTATCACAGCAGTTAAAAAAAAGAAATAGTACCAATTTTGAGCTGTTGTTTCATTCCCAACGATCTGAGCTACGCCTTCATTGGCAGCCAATGATGCCAAACTGTATAAAACTGATCCGAATCCACCCAAAGTCCCAGCAAATGACGGTGCTATGTCGAGATGATTTGCACCAGCGCCAGCATAACTAAACTTCCCATTCCTTTGGCAATTGACAAGGTTAGTACAACAACCACTCGTCTCTTACCAAGAAGAGTTATTGCAAACAATCTACAAGATAATGAACCTAAACCTAAATTGATAGATATCGGTCTTTACTTTCCAAAGCACATATTGAGCGTCAAGGTTTCAGAGTTACTATACTTACCAAGTACTGTAAAAGACTTCCTTATTATCGCTGTAGAGAAGCGATTAGTTTGGCGCAATTTATCAGCAACTGAACTTCCAGCTATTGGAAATAGCGTCGATAACAACCAGGTAAGACTTGACAGAAAACCATTCTGAACAAAGATTATTAAAATAATATTATTATAATAACGTTCTCTCTAGTTTGCTTGAGTCACAAGACTTGGGATGCCTGGGATATATTTATATTAGTAGGCTATTTATCAACTAATAAAATTTTACAATCATATTTTTAAAAGGCAGAGAAAATGTTGATCTAAACTTACCGCTGTGTGTGAGAAATTGAGAACCTCTTCGTAAAACGAAGGAATCTGAGAGGAAAAAGTTGCAACTACCCAACCATAAGTAAAGGTAGGAGTCAGGTTGGCTATTACCGGTAATGATGTTAACATTTTTCGCCAAGGCACTTCAATCTATGGGAAGAACGAATAATTTAAGAAATGTTATATCAAAAACAAAACATAAGATAGAATGAGCTAACTGTATTTCCCGATTTAAGCGAACGATTGGCAAGTATTTCTTCAAGTTCTTCAGCACTTAAATATGGATGCTCCTCGGGAGTGTCATAAACAATGATATACCAAACGACAGCAAAGATCAAATTAAATCCACCAAAGAGGTAAAAGACTGAAGGCCAACCACCAAGGAAACTGGAACTAACCAAAACACCGGCAAGCGGGAGGCAAACAAGGTTACCAATCGTAGCACCAGCTATTACCACTGAATTTGACAAAGTCCTTTCACTTGAAGTGGACCATCGAGAGATCATCACAAAGAGTGAAGGTGACACTAGACCAGCACACATTCCTTGGACAATTTTAATCAGGTAAGCTCCAAGAAAACTGTGCTGTGCTATTAAAGGAAATAGCATGTTGGTTAGTCCTACGAATGCTAAAGCTAAGGACACAACTCTCCTTGGACCAAATAGTTCACAAATACGACCACTAAATACTGATATTGCTAAAATTCCCCAGAAACCTGCTTGAAGCATACGATCTTTATCCACACTTGTCCAATCGACATGAATTTTACCCGTTGACGTTGGTTCGATTTTGACTGTTGATGTAACATTTGCGTCAAAGATTTGTGTTGAGTTGGTCGGATCTTTTTCAATCATGACAACGATTGTTAAACTTAAACTTGATCCGCTAACACCATTTGCAAAATTAGCGATGGTTCCAAGAATGAATATTAACCATCGAAATCAGGACACATTTAGAATCGCTGATTTGTTTGAAACAACGCTGCTTCGATGTGAACTAAGGCGAGATTCAGTCATATTGGACTTATTCAATCATTACAAATGGATTATTTTGAACGTTGACAAGTTCCTCGGTCTTTTATAACGTCAATCTAAATCAAGAAGAGTGATTCTATGAATAACTATTGATCCCAATTCGTAGCTTTTTTATAGCTTCGTATTATATCAAATAATCATTGAATTAATTCTTTATCTTATTACCACCCTTAGATTAATTTAGCTAAGGATTAAGCTATACTTTCGACGAAGTGCTGCTTATTATGAACTTATTACACGTATCACGTAAAAAGTTTGGTACAAGTTAGTTAATCCTTTTCTCAGAAATCATCTGTTCAATAGATCCGAAATTTTCGATAAATCATTATAATGGTCAATTCCATTTCAAAAAATATTTTGATTATTATTATTACCCGTGTTTCAGCAGCTTAAATGCTGCAGTATTGAATATACTTCATGCGTTAAGTCATGTAATTCTAATTGCGTTCATGAACTTCTTTCTATTAAAACATTTTCCAATTACCGCGGGTATGCTAATAATTTTTAGGACTTGTAAATCCTTTGGAATCAATTATTCAGGCAAATTAACTTTTGAAAAAGTTCATGAATTGCACCAGTATAATTGCTATCGCTGGCTAGTGAACTTTCATCTTTGTCCCAATCAACATATTTTTTTGTTCAATGAAATGATTTTTTTGGAGACGTTGATTCCAGAATAAATCAAAATATAATCTTTTGCCTATTTTATGATTTTATTATTTCGCTAAATTCTGATATTTCTATTCATAAAAAAGTAAAGAATAAAGAAGATTGAATAAATTTGATTTTCCAAAAATTTTAATCTTTGTTAAACAAACATTTGTAAATATTTAAGATTTTGTGGTCAAGAAATCGGAATTGAGAAAATCTATTTCTATGGGTTCGATCTATTGTGAGAATTCCATGATCTCAATATCTGGGTCCTCTTCAATGACAGTTGCTTTCTTGATTTTGGCAAATAAACAGTTCGATATTTCCTTCAGTACCGCAAACTTTATTTATTTCTAACCCGGTCTAAATTTCAATTAATTTTAACAAAAAGTAAAATATGTCTGATAAGCTCTTTTGATCATTTTGGTACATTTATGTTCTGACCCAAAACAAGATAATGGAGTATTTTTACAGATCTTTGGCTTTGAAAACATTGGTTACATTTATTATACATTGGTCTTTATCACTAATTGAATCAATCAATCCTTGAAATTCTGCCATGTTTATCAGAAAACAATTGTATGCAATTTCCACTTCTCTAATCTACAAAATAAGCCTAAATACGTCACTCTATGTCGACTAGAAGAAGAGTTATTACGCTAAAAAGTTTCCCGCGATAGCGTGAGACTGCCTAATACTAGGTGGCAAAGTTAACAGGGAAACTTTCGAAACTTAACAGTCCGCGATGAGAATCGATATTTACAATATTCGCTCTCGGCCATTCCATAGAGAAAATGTGAATTTTTGTTTAGCTTTCTTTGATTGATATCACGACAATTTAATGTTAGCCACTCGTACTCAAAAAAGAGGAAATATCCAATAAGTCATTCAAAATTTGAAAATTAAGAACTATTTTAACGAATAATACGTAATGGAAAACTTTGCAAGGTACCAACCGACTCAATTAAGAATCTTCTTTAATATGGCGATACAAACGATTCAAATCAAATTAATTCTGAATTTCATGATGCTTACGATCGGTTTCGAATGGTGAATTCAGCAACTTTGAACGCAAATTGCAAATGAACGAAAACTTGAACAATCTTTTGTGATACATCATTGTATAAAACATTATTGAAATGAGGCTATTTTTTACTATGAGTACTATCGATAAATTGTTGTCGTATGCAGGTAAATCAAACTAACACCAAACAATCTATAGAATGGCCGAAAAAATATTTGAAATATCTAATCCCATCGTGGACTGATAAAACTCCCGATAGTTTCACTATTGACTTTGACACCTAGTATTTAGATCAATATAAGGGAATAACATGAATGAAATGATGCATTGATCTCATTTAATCTCTTTATTGTAATCTTCTTATTATAATAGCAAAACCTAAAGAGACGATTGATTCGTATTCAAAAATAATTATCTGGTGACTGCAAAATGAGTTATTAATCAAAAAAACATTTAATTTTATTGCAGATTTCAATGGATTTATAACACAAATAACAAACTAAAAATTAAAAAATTGTTAATTTAAGAAACATCTTGATTCGGATTATTGTTTTCAAGAGATTCTGACTATTTGATTATTATTTTCTTCATTGCCATCAGTGATGTTTTGTGAATTGAAACTTGAATCATTTGATTTATCACTTTGCTTAGGAACTGATGAAGGATCCCAACTTTGTGTTTCGCCAGAACCGAATAGGCAAAACACGATTGCTCCACCGATGTTTATCACTGCGCTCAAGTAAAAGAAATAGTACCAATTTTGAGCTGTTGTTTCATTCCCAACGATCCGAGCTACACCTTCATTGGCAGCTAATGATGCCACACTGCTTAAAACTGATGAAAAGCCACCCAAAGTCCCAGCAAATGACGGTGCTATGTCGAGATGATTCGCACCAGCACCAGCAATACTTAAACTTCCCATTCCTTTAGTAATTGATAAAGTTAATACAACAGCCATTCGTCTTTTACCAAGGAGAGTTATTGCAACTAATCCACCAGATACTGTACCTAAACCTAAATTAATCGATAATAATCTTTACTCTTCTCTAGTCTTCATATTGAGTGTCAAGATTTTACAGTAGTTATACTTACCAAATAAGGTAAAAACCTTCCGTATTACTGCAGTAGAGAAGCGATTAGTTCGACGCAATTTATCAGCAATTGTACTTGCAGTTATCGAAAAAAGCGTTGATAGCAACCAGGGAAGACTCGATATAAATCCATTCTGAAATTGACAGACAAAATATTTTTCGTTGTGTTAAACATGTTATTAGTCATTTAGCTAAATTTTGTTTTTTTGTCTTAGGTTGATCTGGTTATTGTTTCACTTACATAATTAATTTATTAAACTTCGATTAGCTACAATTGTAATTTACTTAAAATAAAATAACTTGAATAAAGTATTCTTTCAACCTTTGGTTTAAAGTTATGTTAAAAAAATTCAATTGTAAATTTCTCGAGTTAGTTGAATCCTTAATGTATACAAAAAGTCATTTTGATCAGTAAGTTTTTCAGTATCAGCCACATTTATATTAATATTGCTAGGCTATTTATATCAATTTTAATAAATTTTATAAACTGCCTTGTTTTAAGAGAAAAATTTGGATCTAAACTCACCGCTGTGTGTGAAAACCCAAGAACCTCTTCATAAAATGAAGGAATCTGAGAGGAGACAGTAGCAACTACCCAACCATAAGTAAAACTAGGAGTAAGATGGGCAAGCACCGGTAATGATGTCAACATTTTCCGCCAAGGCACTTCAATCTATGAGAATAATGAATAATTCAAGAAATTATTATAATAAACATAAGTACATTTTGTACTTACTGTATTTCCTGATTTGAGTGTACGATTGGCAAGTATTTCTTCAAGTTCTTCAGGACTTAAATATGGATGCTCCTCGGGAGTGTCATAGATAATAAAATACCAAACGACAGCAAAGATTAAATTAAATCCACCAAATAGGTAAAACACTGAAGGCCAACCACCAAGGAAACTGGAACTAACCAAAACACCGGCAAATGGTAGGGAAACAAGATTACCAATAGCACCACCAGATATTACCACTGCATTTGACAAAGTCCTTTCACTTGAAGTGGACCATCGAGAGATCATCACAAAGAGTGAAGGTGCCACTAATCCAGCACACATTCCTTGGATAATTTTAATCAGGTAAGCTCCAAAAAAACTGTAGGTTGCTATTAAGGGAAATAGCATGTTGGTCAATCCTACGAATGCTAAAGCTAAGGACACAACTTTCCTTGGACCAAATAGTTCACAGATGCGACCACTAAATAATGATATTGCTAAAACTCCCCAGAAACCTGCTTGAAGCATTCGATCTTTATCCACACTTGTCCAATCGACATGAATTTTACCCGTTGATGTTGGTTCGATTTTCACTGTTGATGTTCCATTTGCGTCAAAGAGTTGTGTTGAGTTGGTCGGATCTTTTTCAATCATGGCAACGATTGTTAAACTTAAACTGGATCCAATCAAAGCGTTAGCAAAATTAGCGATGTTTCCAAGTATGAATATCAACCATCGAAATCTGGCCACATTTTTAATTGCCGATTTGATTGAGGCAACGCTGCTTCGATGTGAACTGAGGCGCGATCTAGTCATTCTGAACTTATTGAAACACTAACAGTTAGTTACAAATGGATTATTTTGAACTTTGACAAGTTTCTCAGTCTTTTTAACATCAACCTAAATCAAGAAGAGTGATTCTATGAATAACTATTGATATTCAATTCGTAGCTTTTTTATATCGCATTATATCAAATAATCATTGAATTAACTCTTAATCTTATTACCACCCTTGAATTAATATAGCTGAGGATTAAGAAGAAATCCAATGATTTTTCCATGCTACCGAATAAATGCTGTTTCCATAATGAACTTAATTATATTTGCTTAAAAGGTCAAGGTCAATTTTACTCTAGCTATCAAAATTATTTCAACTGATCTCTTCATTTTTATCAAAGATCAAATGTTTATTATTCCCTTTCTTTACTGATCAATATTTCTTGTCAATAACCTCAAAAAATTCAGTCTCATCCTTTCTTTAAATCAATTTTATTAAAGATATTCCTTAATCAACTATATACAAAAAATTGAATTCTACAGATAAAACTAGATTCTAGCTCTAATTTTTGATTCTTCATTTTTACGAGCGATAACTTCTAAGGTCTTTCTGACGACCCACGGTTCAACATTATCAATAACATAGCTTCTTCTGATAGCTTTCCAAAATTCTTTAGGGATGATTTTCCTCGCTTCTTCGATAGTTAGCCATTGAAAATCGTTAAAACGGGATTCATCTGACTTTATTGATGCATTGCCATCAAGATGAAAAGCCTTTAAAATGAAAATTTTGCATCCAATGCTTCCTAAATTTTCCCTATTCTTGGTTCCATACTTGTAAGTATAAACAGCAAGAGGTGCATTTCCGATTACTTTCAAATTCACTTGGTTTTCTTGAAAAAGATCGGTGACAAGTCCATCTATCGCCTGAAAAATATAAAGATTAACAATGAATAATGATAGTTCTATGAGCAAAATATAAACTTAAAACAATCCATCAAAATTTTTCCTATTTACACTTAGATTCATCTATAGTAATTTAAGAAAATGATCTATTTGATCAAAATTTCTCTAAGAAACCAATGCAAGATTGTTTTAAGAGATTTAGAGACTTTTCATGATATTTACTTCTCTTAATGACGATTGATTTTCAATTTTAACCATAGGAAGTGTCCATTTATCACTGTTTCCAACTTTCATGCTGGTAAAAAACAATAATCTTCGGTCAAGACATCGATTCAGAGATTTTGTATTATTGGTCTCGTCATCTTCTGTATATTTACAAGAGAATGAAAAATTAAAATATACAATAATAGTCTTCTCGTAAAAATGGTGCTTACTTGTCTTTTTAGGGTAAAATTCAAGTTTTTCCAATTCACTAGCAAATCGATCTTCAAACTCTTGAGCTGTTTCCAGCGATGCCTTGTCAAAATCCTCAGAGGAAACTTCAACACCTGATGCTAACCTTTCCTGTCTCTCTCTGAAAAAAAAGAATGAAACAAATGAACATTTTATGATCAAATTAACGTTAATACAATTAATACATACTTGTCACGGATGATACGGACTTCATGATCACTCAGAAGACTTTTATTAGCTTCATATTTAGCCATTAAATTGTACACCGCTTTTTCAATCATGTTCATTTCTGGAGCTATAACAGGCCTCCTTTCCATGCATAATGCAGCAAAAATGTCCCACTTTGGAGTTGAACTGCATCTTCTGACACTATTAATAATCAAAGTATCACTAAATAGGCACCTAATTAATCTTGATTGCATCCTAATTGTATAAATTATAAACACAGCTTCTAATCAAAACACAACATTGTTTTCACATTTGTTTGCTGCGTTACCATGGAAGCAACACACATGTAGCAATAGATGGAGCTAGAGGCAAATAAACCGCGATCTTCGTTACAAAAACAATAAAATTATAAAATAATTAATAATTTTTGTTTCTTTTTCTGTGTATAAAATTTTCTCTATTTTCTCTGTCGGATCAAAATGCTGAGTAATTTGCGTATTTGCTCATTTCAATGAAAACGATGCTCAAGAATTTAAATAAAAAAATGGTAAAGCCTTTATTTAAGTTACGATTTGTGAAATTCAATTTTTCATCATAGTATTGAAAGTAACAAAATTATGAACATTTCATTATTTTATTATGGTCATTAAATGTTTAGTAATTAAAACCGATCTAATAATAGATGAACAAGCATAATGATAACTGAGATTTTATCCGTAAAAGGATTGAATACAATAATTTTGGTTCAATTGACACTTCAATGCTGTTCATAATACATTTTACAATAAAAATTTAAGTGTAATATTGCATCTTTTAATTTTGTCGTGATATTTATTGTGAATCAATTTTGAACAGCCTTGTACTTGAATTTAAGAATAATTTGTGATTATTATAACTATTGATTTACATGAATACATTCATGTTCTGCATTTATATTTGATCACCTTGTAGATGAATAAGAAATAATCAGAATGTTTCAAGTTTTGAAGCTTCTTAATCACAGCAATTTACCATTAAATGTTTACCTCCTTTTTTTCAATAGCAAAGATCAACAATCAGTTATATAATTACTTAACAGTTATGCCTTTTGATAAATGATTTTAAAAATTGATTTCTATTATTTTGCCTCCAAACCATCATCAATCAAGGAAACAAGAGCGATGATGGAATCTAATTCAGTAATAACTCTCAAAATGCGACTCTTTGGTTAAAGCTTCTTCTTTTATTTTCAAGGCAAATCCTTTAGACGCTATTTCGTTTGTTTTTAAACGTGTTTTTCGCGATTTCATAGATTTCTTAGTAATTAAGTTTGTTTTAATGTTAATTTGCGATTTTTTGAGTTAAATTATATCTAGACTTTCAAAAGATTTTTCGGCTGTATGAATAGACCGTTGAGAGGATCGCATTTTGAGAGGATTGCTGTAAATGAAAACAAAATGTAAATATCAAGGTGGACTAATACTGACCTTGGGCTAGTTTCACAATTTACTTCTGGTTAAATTTCGTTCTGTTTCCTGATAAATGATTGGTTCAAGAGAGGAAATAACAAAAGTTAATCATAACTACCATCAAAACAATCCTTCATTTCCAGGAAATCGTTGCTTCTATTAAAGCTACCTTACTTGAAAAATAGCGAAGAAAACTAAATTCTGTTGTTTTGATCAGATTCTGAAGCGACTCTTTTTTTCCGCAAAACAAGTCAGAGTTTTTTATCTGGGAATTATCTAAATGGAGTGATATAAATGACTTCCATGAACATTGCGAAATGGTGAAAAAAGGAAAACAATTTTAAAATTCTTTGAACATTTTGAAGTATAATAATTAATCTTAGATTACCAAAATAGAAATATAACCAAAATAATAAGTCACAGCATTAAGAGCAGAGCGTTTTCTTCAATTCAACTGGAATGCTTGGAATTAGCACTTTGAGGTTTTATAGTCCACAGTATGGTTAATAAGCTGAAGTGATCAAACAAATAAACCACCAGAGATTTGAAGAGTTATCCCGGTTATATAAGAAGCTCGAGGAGAGGATAAAAAGCAGATTGCGTCTGCTATTTCTTCAGGTTTACCAATTCTCTTTAAAGGTATTTGAGGAATGATTTTGTCCATGACTTTTTGAGGAACCGGTGCCAAGATTTGAGTATCGACAAAACCAGGCATAACACAGTTACAGCGAATATTGTGTTTGGCTGCTTCTTTGGCGACCACGCGAGTAAATGATTCAATTCCGTGTTTGGCAGAAGCATAATTACATTGACCAATGTTTCCAATCTTACCAGAAATACTTGATAGATTGATTATTGACCCTTCTTCAACTTTACCAGCAACCATGGCATCAACAGCAGCCTTTATAAATAATGATTCATTTCACATGAATCAGCAAGTTGAGATAAAAGAAATGAAAGATTCAGATTGATTTAAGTTTAGTCAAGTACAGTCGAACTTATTTTTATCAAGAGAGCAACAAGATTGATGATAAAAAAATAAAGAAAATCAATTGATATTATTTTGTTTTGAACACAAAAATAATTGAAATTAATGGGATTAATTGAAAAGATCAAAGGTTAGTAAGCTCGTTTGAAAAGCAAAGGAAATTTACCTGAGTAGTTAGAAAAGTTCCTTTCAAATTGACATTGATGACACTGTCAAAGTCTTCCTCTGACATTTCCAAAAGAAATGAATCTCTAATAATTCCAGCACAATTAACGATGATACTCGGAGGTTTAGGATAATTTTCCTTGATAAAAGAAAATAATTTTGTCACAGATTCTTTAGAGGACACATCGACCTGATGATGTAAATGAGTACCAGAAAAAGTTTCACATTGTTTTCGCGTCTCTGCGGCATGACTTTCATTCAAATCAACTGATACCACAGATGAACCCTTTTGTGCCAACATTAAGCTAACAGCCCGGCCAATACCTAAGGTCAAAAATAGACAAAGATTAAGAAATAAATTGAATAATTTAGATAAATTGTCAATCTTAAGATTTCATAGCAATTTTGGTTACCTCCACCAGCACCTGTCACCAGAGCAACTCTACCAGCAAAATTTTCAGAAAGACACCGTTTAATCACAGTTGTTGCGAACATTATTTTAGATTTATATTAAATTCACTTTTAATTTAACAATAAAAATAAAATTCAACAGTAATAGAAACTAAATCAATCTAAAAAATACTTTTATAAAAAGTTATGTTACAATTGCAACCAACTAGACATCAAGTTGTGCAACTTATTAAGCCTATGTTAAACATCTGTTGATTTGAGCGGTTCAATTGAAATTCACATTAAGTGTATTTCTGACTCTTCATGAAATACTAGATTCATTAGATTGAGTGTTAAAAATTTAATGTGTTCTCAATTGAGAAATGATTAGACTGTTAATTGGACTGATAATGTTAATACCTAAGGAATAATATCGTAAAGCCTTTAATGCCACTATTTTCAAACCAAATAAAATGGTCAAATTTTCCAGTAAATCATTTCATTTTGAATTATTAACAAATTAAAATTTTATTAACTCATCACATAAAACCCATTAATGATTGTACTGTTTTTTAACGATTTACATTTCCGTAAAAAATTAACAATCCTTTTCAACGTTCATAGTAGCTACTTTTGTTTGATTGTGATGAATATTGAAATATGCAATTTATTAAACACAATACACGCTCAGCGTACAACAAATATATCAGAGATGTTCAATTGTCAACCAACAATCAATTGAATCCATTGTTATCGGTCCACAATTTAAACCTCTTTTCCCATCCATTGTAGCTCTAATAAAGATCCGATCAACAGGTAACAGAAAGCATTTCATTTTGTTACTGCTGTTAAATCTTCCAACTAATCATCAAAATGTATTCCAAGCTTAAGCTGCAGCAATACCGATAGATTTAGGTGAAGTTAAATCAACCGATAAACAATAAAGTGGCAAAAACAACAATCTAAATGTACAATCAAGATTAAATATCAATTAGAAGACGCTTGACGCTATTCCCATTGTAAACAAAGCAAGTGAAAGCAGAGTTAGATGTGAAAAACATTACAACCTAACATGTTATTATAATTGAAGGTCCATCTTCATTATTTAACACTTTGAGCCAATCTTACTGTTAATCATTGATTATCCGAGTTGCCGGAAGGTATTCAATATTCAACATCTTCAGAAACAAAAAAGCATTTAAAACATGAAGCAATTACATATCATTATCAGCAACCATGTTAAACTGTTTTACCTGTTTTAGTCTTTTCGATTTCAACATTTTTCCCAACAACAAACCAAAATGGTTCTGTATCAACTAGTTAGGTCAAGGTTAATCATTTTAAATTGTTTCACTATTCAATTTTATTCTTTCATTATTATTATTATTATATTGCTATTATCGTTAACAAACAACACTCACACAATCATAACAACAACAGTAACAAGATATAAAATGGCTTTTGTAAAAGCTTCAACCAGGAGCTTTTGATTACTGTCTGATGAAGACAAAAACAATTTCTCCAATTAGGCCAAGGTTAATCTAAATTATCTTACATCAAGTTACTTGAGGGTATAACAATGATTTAATAGATTTACTTCATCACAATTTAGCCATTTAACTTAGTAACTGTTTCAATCCAAACCAAAAAGTCTTGTCGATAATGTAACGCAATTGGTAAACACGTTATTGGCCAAGTTTAAATACATTTCCTATCAAAGGTGTTAATGGTGATTGTCTTTAACAGCTGAAGATTTTCAACCAAACACTCGTCCAGTGCTTACCAAATTGTTAATACTTTCAGATATTCAGGTTTCATTAAAGTTGACCAATTTGGTTAGAAACAGCAATAAAAGGTGTTGGGTTTAATCAGATGCAGCAATCTCTAACCAGAATTTAAAAAAATAGATGAAGATGAAGATAAAGATGATAATGTTCATATGATGATCAAAATATTGCGTCTTTTTAGTCTCTTCATCCTAAAAATCATCAATTATCTTCATCTTTATCTCTTTTTCAACATTCTGGTTAGAGATTGCTGCACATGATAAAAGCAATACTGTTTGGTTAAAGGATTTGAATTGGGAACTAAGGCAATCAGTGTCTATTAGTTAATCACAAGTGTCATAATTAAATGATTATCAAACAAAGAACTGTTATATAAATGGAAATTAAGAAACTGGTTAATATATATATATATTGGTTGAAGTTAAATCTTATTTGTTGAAAGGAAAGATGGTTGTTTGTACGGTGATTTTCAATTTTTTTGATAATGAAATGAAGTGATCAGGGAAATATTGATTTATGATTGTTTGTGTTCAATTATGAATCTTGTTCACGTTTCAATTGAAGATTAAATGAATAGCTGGATGGAAAGATTTAAAAGTCAGAGAGAAAAAAATTCATGAAAAGGGCCTTGACACTCCAAGATTATCAGATCAATCAACTGCGACCAAAAAAATTAAGTTGACATTTTAAGTCCAATGGAGGTCAATTTAGAGTGTAAAGCAAACATTTCCACAATTTGAACATTAAATCATTACACAAGCTTAACGTCAACCAAAAGAAATGATTTCAGCATTTTAAAGTCTGTCAAAAAAGCCAGTGTTCAACAGATGATGTGTTTGCACTGAAAGTGAAAGTGATTCACATTTTGTGTGCAAAAGGGTCAACGTGTGATAATGCATCGGTGTGAAGTGGATGAAAGTTGACTAAACTGGTAGTTTGGTGAAGAAAGAACCATGAAAAAGTGATGAAGATGAGTATCTGGTACAGTTTACTTGATGATCATTTGTTTACAATAATAAATTGTAATCATTAAAGGGTTTCCCCGTTCAACGCCATCATCACTGTGAAGAAAGCCAAGCTCAACATAAATTAATCAGCCAAATAATTTAACAGCAATTGATAGCAGTTAGAAGGTCTTCTGATGTTTTTCCCAAAAATTTTTCAACTTCTCTCAATTTCCATGTTAACCATTTCTTCTGGTAACCATAAGACTCGTTATTTTTTGAGTAAAGCAAATGATCTGGTAATATTGACAGATGAAGGATATCACATAGTGAGTGTAAAATGTTTACAGACTCATCCAGTGAGAAAGAAAATAATGAATTCATCTGATTGGAAACGCGTAGTAGGTTAATTAATTATGTAGCTTAGTCTTGTTAGTTTTTGCCTCTCATTACCAATTATTATAGATGTTGGATAACTCAATAGATGAAAGATGACGGTGATCTTGAGACTGGTGATAGGGAAAACGATTAGCGTAATTTGCTTGTTCTTTGTTCTGATCCCAGTAAACATTAGCACGCTTTTTGATCGCAAATTTATTACCGGAAGGAAACTGCGAAAATATCGTCTTGTATTCATGTTTGGATGCAACTGTGGGTAAAACTTGGGTAAAACGTACCATTGTTCCGACCTTGTAGAGATGAAAGAAAAAATTGTTTTAAAAATGAGTTGATTATATTAAAGGAGAAGGTAGAAAAGGATTGATTTAGACAATTTGGTTTTTCTTGGGATCATTATTTTTGGAAATTTTCCAATATTAAACATGGTAAAAGCTGAGATAATTACATTACTCTTACTTTGCAGCATCTACGTAGTATTACCATTATCATTATGATCATCGCTTTTTTTAGTTCTTCATCGTTTTCCCCTGTGTTGGATCCTAAATAGCCAAGAAGGGTTATTCACCGAAATCCTATTGACTTCACTGTGTACCTGCAACTGATTTCAACTTGGTCTGTGGTTAATGCATTGAAATCTAGTTTAAAAACCAAATAGTTTCAGGACAAGTTGTTAAGACAATTTGAAATGCAATCGTCCAACAAATGAGTTGTTGCAAGACTGAAAACCAACATTTTTCATCACCTTTTACAGGTTTAGAGGTTTTTTGATTTTTTTGCACCCAATGTACCCAAAAGGTTAACTTTTCAATAGAAAGTTCATCTTGTTTTGATAGCATGGTAGTTGTGGGAAGAAAAGTTCAAGTTTTGCTTTCTTTGTGATAAACTGTAAAAAATGTGAAAAGGAAAGATTGAAATTAATAACTCAGCAACATCAAAGTTATATCAACATCATTATTCTTGTTTACTTTTTTTTGCCTCAAGTTCATTTTGATTATTTGACCAATGATCAAGAAAACGGGAAAATTTCATCACCATAAGTCAATGTGGATTAACCTGATATTTTATTGTTTTACTGGTTGTGTTCATCTTATGTTATGATTTTCCCTCCTCTGAACATTGGTGACTTTTGATTTTACTTCTGTTTTTGATGTTCACTCAGGGAATCTTGTTAATATGTATGATTAAATAAATTGATTTCTAAATGGTGCATTTCGATAGTTAAATGGTTAAGTAAAAGTTAACAGTAACCTACCTAGTAATAGACAAAAAAGATAGTGATGGATAGATTTTACTTGGACAAATCAATACCAGAAACAGGATCAACCAGTTGAATCGAAATCAAGATTAACTGATATTATATCTTGAATGTTTCCTTTGAAACCTTCTAAGTTTTGGTTACGTCTAAAACAGATAAAGAAATGAAAGAAATAAAAAAGTTCATTAGGTAACGGTTAAGTCAAGTCAGATAAATCATGTTATGCACATCATATCAAGTTATTACAGATTTTAAATCAGGAGTTAATTATGTAAGGGATAAATTTAACTATTATAATAGTTAACTAATATAATGGGGAAAAGGACATAACTTTTTTCCAATCATGAATCGTAAAATCAGTCGATGGGTTGAAGAAAGAAAATTGAAATTATGTTTCAATGATATTCCTTACAAGTTGATTAGGACTAAAATAAACAGATTGAAAAAACGGTGTGAATAATCAGAGATAATCTTACTAACATTAACCTACACAGTTAGATGTAAAAATTCTTAGTACCTTCTTATACAAAAGATTAATCTGGACTTTTGTAAGTGATTTGAAAAGATTCAACTCGTAGTTTTACCAATTACATGATGTACAGCAAAAATGTGATGTAAAAGGTACACGAATCTGAATCAAAGGATTAAGCTCTATTTCAACAATCATTACGCTTTAATCTCATCTTGACGTTAAGGCTAAGATGACCGTTGATTCCTGACCAACGCAAAATCTAGTTTACTTTGAGTGTGATTCATAAAAATAACATTTAATAACAGGCCTTCGAACGAAAGCTTCTAACCTTGTTACTGTCCCTTTTTGTTCGTTAGCAATCCGAATTATTATGGTTCTCCTTTTCCTTTGCGATTAATTTTCATCTATTTTTCTTGATTAACTAAATAAAAGGGTTGCTTCTGTAAAGTGAAAGTTGGTATAAAGATGAATAGTTAATGAAACCATATGGAGTCCAATGTTTATGTTTAAATTTGTAAATTGATGTCCACTTGACTCAAGACGGGATATGTTAGGAAATGATGGGGAGTAGGAGGATGATGATCGAGAAGATGAACCTGAAAGAGACAGGGAAAAGGGGAAAAAGAGTAAAAGTAGTACCCATATGCTATTCTTGGAGAAGCCAATTTATCTTGGGGTTTGTACTGATGGGTTGCTGTTCAGCAAACTCGTGAGCTCGAAAGATCTCACATGCACATAGACAAACATAGAGATGAGTTATGCTGAGTTGAGCTAGACTTGGGTTAACTGTTTACGCATCATTAGACTTAACCATCGACAAGAACACCAATCAACAGGGAGTTGGAGACAACTCTGGGAGAGTTGAAAAAAACAGGAGGGAGAAATAAATTCAGAGAGGGAGAGAGAGAGCGAAGAGTCAGATGAAGAAAAATATTACAGGGTTAGGCCTAATCACATGTTGAACATTGAACATTGCAATTTTTTCTCCCTTTTATCATCTTATCGGCATCATTCAAGTCTTTTTTTATATCAAATTGGTTGAAACAGTTAAACAAGACATTATCTTATTACACTGTACATGTGAATAAACGTGTCCAACCGGATATATTGCTTTTTTAATTGTCAAAACGATCAAACTTAAAACTTGTTTCCATCCAAATCCGTCAATAATAGGATAGAATCAGTTCAAATCAACTTGGTTGACCATAAGAGACAGTGTAATTGTGCCAAACCAAACGCTTAGTTGTTCTTCTTCCTCCCTTCTTCCTCTTCTTCCCTTGATCCTTTCAATTCTCATTCGTATTCTGTTTCTTGTGATTGTGTTTCATCTGGTGATTACAACGGATTACCAATTGACAAGTCTTTTCCGCAACACCATCTCAACTATCAGCATAATCCAAATAATTGTTGTGATTCACAAATCAAGAATCCACAAGTCAAATACTGCAACGCTTGTTCTATCGGTTGACTTTAACTCCAAACGATTGTAGACCATCTTTTTGATTTTTAACTGAAGAAATCTCACTCGGTGAAAAACAAGTGTCTAAGAAAGTTATCCACAAGAAGATAGATACAAGGATACACTCAAATACAAGAAAATAACAATTAAAAATAATAATCACACAACAGAAAAGGATTAAAGGATTACAAGTGAAGTCATCAGCTGAAACAAAAGTCAAAAAGGAGGGAAAAATAGTGATAAGACAAAATCAAATATTCAACTTGTTAGTAAGCCAAAGATTTATAAAAGAGAGGCAAATATAAAAAAAGAGTTAACTAACATTGCTGTTGTGATGACTTTTTCTCCGATCAATTGGTTATCTTTCATGGCCTTTCAAGTACTTTTCTGTTACCTTTCACCTTTTCCAACCATCATTAGTCTATCAACATCTCCAAATGATCTGACAACTTGGGAAAACATCTTTCAAGATCGAAGTGATGATGAATGGCGAGCTTTATGGCATACAGAGCGTCATAGAAGATGTTATCAAGAATTGGAGTCTCACATGAAATGGGTTTGTAATAAGGATATTTATAAAGTTAAAAAATCAGACTCTGAAATTGAAACAGTATCATCACCACATAGAGAACCTCGAGGTATATGTAAGTACAATTTTTTACCAAATATGTCAGTTTTCAGTCAACAACGAGTCCGAACAATAAAAGATAACTTTGCTAAACAAGGAAAGGATTTAAGTTTTTTTCCAAGCTCAATTGAATCTCAGTTTTTCCGGGTAATCTTAATATTCCAGGAATTTCAGAGCTATCTTGATTTACACCAAGAGTGCGATATAACAAAACTTTAAAATAACCATAGCTTACATTTTAATGAAGATATCAGTCAAGTTAATAATCTTGTGTTGAAAGACTCGAGTAATTTATTTTTCAACACATATTTAGATTATATTTCTGTAACAGCATGATGGATGATGTGCAACAATTTATTCATAATTTTCATCTTTTCTTGCAAATTCACCATCAACACAGGCATAAATTAGACAATGTTTTCACCTTTTAGTTTTCAATATCATCTAAATTATATATTTAGTGTAAATTTATTGTGACATTATGGTGTTTGCAGAAATGTTGATACAATGTTACAACAGTTTTAGTAATTGTCCATGTAAATGTCATTAATAACAGTTTAATTTAAAGAAGATAAAAAGTGATACTTTTATTGTTGATGTTGATTTTTTACGCACATTCGTCAATGTACACAAAGTTGTAACAAGGTGACCTACATCATTTCCGCTTTTCAAGTTATCTAGTTAGATATACAGCTTTTTTAGCCTATTTTTTGGTTCGATTTTTATCAACAGCTTCAAATTAGTTGCATTAACTATTCATGTTGATTCTTTACACAACTTCCTCAATAGCATAGACAAACTCAAAGAGTTTGTCTCCGGAAACAGCTTCAAACAGAAATGTCAACACAATTAAGTAAAGTGGAAAAATGGCAAAAGTCTTTTCAATATATTGCTACACTAATAATAGACATTCAACCTAAAATCATTTAACTTAATTTTCCCTCGGTTAAGGTAAGGCTTTTCAAATATAACGTGATAATCCTCAGATATGAAGCAGCAATTGTTACAATTTGTTGATTCCAATTTTATTTCAGCTAATGTCTTTGTTGATTAGCTTTATAACGATAGATGGTCCATGATGATCACGCAAATATCCAAAATGACCATAAAGTTGTTATGTTTCCCTGTCGTCATGATAATTTAATGATAGTGACAATTTTTCCGCCAAAATAGAAGAGTTATTGAGCAAAAAGATGAATTGGTCAGATGAGGGGATAAAATGGTCATCAATTGATGAAAGGCTGGCCAAGATTTTTCCTCAATGAATATGATTTGAATCAATAGTGTATAAGATTAATGTTTTCCTGTATGGTTTCCAATAATTAAATGATCCTTTCAATTTTCATGTTACTCCAATGACCTTTGGTTGTGTAAGTTATCTTAGCAAAGTGTAAAATATCCTTCCATGTGTTGACCATTCTAAATAAATGAGAGAGGAAATAATCACTTGAAATGTTCATCTTAATCTCGTTTGGTTGATTGAGTTACATTTGAATCTAACGGATTCATTAATAATCCTTTTCTTATCTCTTTTTTTCAGTCGAGGGTCGTCATTATGATGCATTCATAAGTAAAGAGAGAGCACTCAATCTGTTAGGTCAAACGGCAACTTCAGTGCGTCGGAAAAGAGGAATCATCGATGAATGCTGCCATGGAGCCAATGGATGTTCCTGGGAGGAGTATGCAGAATATTGTACTCATAATAATCGGATAAGAGCTTGAAATATACTTTCATGAATAGATGATTAAAACTGGGGTAAAGGAGAAAAATAAAAAAAAAGTTAATTACATAAAATAAAATAAAAAAGTAATTTTGAAAAAAACTGTTCTTTGTCATACCATGTTGTTCAGTAATACTATGTTTTCAGTAAAGAATACAATTTGAATATAACTGTCCTTATTACTATTATCACTATTATAATTATTATAAGTATTATTATTGATGGTTATTATTATTATTATTGCCATTACTATTATTGTGTTATTACCAAAATGGGAAATATTTATCTTCATCTTAATCATTGTCAACTCAATTCTTAAATTGGGTAATATCGTTTTCTTGTTCAGTTGGTCAATTATTTAATTGTCTGATATGTCCTCTTTTAACAGCATTGCCATGCTCTTGTTGCTTTATACGATTAATTTCACTTTTGTCGTAGCTCTGACCACCAATAATGGACACTAGTTTACTCTTGACTGGATCCGTAATTAAAGAGCTTAACAATCAATGGACAGCAACGTCTTTTTTGCTTTGTTTTTCATCCAACATCAACTTGTATTATAATTATGATTATAACTTCTATCTTAAATCTGCATTGATTTTCTGTGTTCTTTTTTACGAAGAAAAAAAAGAAATAATTACAAAAAAATTACATTCCAATCAATTGTTCAGGTCATTATTTGATCATTAATATCTAAAATTTACGGTTAACGAATCAAAAAAAATTATATTTCCAAGTAAAATCACACTCTTCTAAAATATAATGGACATCAACGATTGTCCATATATACTAATGGTTATTGAAAGCGAGAATATTTTTTTATCAATCAGATCTCAACATTATCCGAATAAATCAGAAGAACAAGAGAAAGAAAAAGAGAAATAAATGAACGTGTCAAAAAAACTATTATATTCACGGTGATAATGATAAGATGAGGTGGGATGGAATCACTGGTTCACAATTTGTACAATTTGTATTTGTAGATAAAAAAATTTGCTTGAAGATCAGATTTGACTATCATAAAAACTTGAAAGCACAGTAAGCAACTAGGAGAATAATGAAAATCACAGTCATTACCAAGAAAAATAATTTCAGCTTTGTCCATCTAGGATTTACTCTGGCGATTTCATCCGGTTCCAAAGGATACCACCTGATTGTCTGTCGCTCGTTAGCTTCCTTAGCTACTGATTCACTAACTGGCAGAATATGAGGACAGTCAAAGTCTTGATGGCTTCTTATCATCACTAGTTGAGGGTCATCGATGATTCTCATTGTTGTCTGTTCAGCCATGATTGATTTGATTTTGACAAAAAGATGGAGATGTTTTATCAAGATTATGGTAAAAAATCAGGAAAATATCTGTCTACTTGACGTTGAAATTGGTGAAAATGACGATGGTGGTGGCGATAATGATGATTATGAGGAACACACCCTTTAACCATTTGAATTTGAATTTAAGACTTTAACAAATTGATATGTTTTGTAATGGTAAATTGAAGAAATGATCCAATCAATGGTAATTTTAAATGGTGATCTAATAACCGTTGTAAGTTAACTAACATTCCTTATCCTGAATAAGTCCATATGAGCAGCTATGATCCAATTCTTGCTTTTATTACAGTCAATTAAATACTGAAAGGTAATACCTGTAGATAGAAGATGAAAATAAAAATCAAAATCAAAATCGAGAGTAAAAATGACTTGTTTGCTAAACAAATAGAAAAGTTAACTTAATAATAGACAAGAGAAGAGTTATCGTCGTACTAAAAACATAAAACAAAAACATAAGGTTAATCATGGTTGATTTTTTGTTAATCTGACAATCAAATAAATTATCAAAGGGAATGAAGAGATGAAGGGGGAAAGATAGAATCAGTAAAAGAGAGAGAGAGAGAGAGGGAGAGAAAAAGACAGGAAGAAAACTCATCATCATCAAACTGTTACATCTTGTTATTACTTTTCTGTAGTCAGTTAACCGCTTTACTTATAAAAAAACAGCAATATCATCATTCAATTCATCATTCTTATGATCACTGGCCATGTTTGCTAAGAATTTATCATAAAAAGCTTATAGCCAGCATACGACAAACGAGCTCGTGAAAAAGCATATCATCAAGTTTAATTCAACAGGTCATTAGTGACTCCAGAGTTGCGACAACAGGGTTGGGTAATGAAAATTTTGAATGCCTATTGGTGGAAGAGTGGTTATGGAATGATGCAGAATACTTTTCACTAGAAAATTAGTTTGAATAATTAAACCAGAATGTCTTTCGGGTTACTTTGTTTTAATTATAATCTTAAAATCAGGATTGCATGATGATGTAAACATTTCATGACACTGATGAAATAAAAAACTTGTTGTAAGGGATTCTATGGTGAAACAAGAATTCAGCTGACCACTAAAATAAAAAGTCTTTACCATAAATAACTAAAGTTGAGCAACCAGTTTACAGGATTGTTTTTACTTTTAGAGTTGGGATTGTTGGTTGAGATTGTTGCTGGGTAATAACCACCAATAGAAGGGTTAAAGAATCGCATGTTTAAAATAAAGGATTAACATGGAAAAACTGAATTGACGAAAATTGAACAACACATTTAAAAAAGCCGTTAACATGGTTGGTTACACAGAGTTTGAGAGAAAGAGAAGGAAGACGATTTGATATAAAAAAGAGGGAAATTGAAAAAAAAACAAAGCAACAGGTCAAGGTTAGCTGAAAAAGAAACGGTAGAACAATAAACAAATTTTATTAAACAATGTCAATTAAACCTTTTTCAATTGATTGTTGATCAATCTGGAACAAATAGAGATGTTTAAAATTAAAAATGTTGAAAGTAACGGCTAAAAAAGCGACACAACCGACAAAAAAGACAAAGAGATTGATTCATAGTGTGAAAAGGCTAAGTTTAGCAATGACTAACATTTTGCTAATTGATTGTTCTGTTTCTTGTTTTTCTCATTTACCATTTTTTCAAATAATTAGGTTTTTTTGTTTGCCGCTGCCAATTGAATTATCAAGTTGATCTTGTGACACTTTACACAATCTAAGAGTGATTAAATATTTGCCATTGGACACAACAAGTGGATGGAAACAAAGCAGACAAGTTGAAGTGAGTTACTGGTAAACCAGGATAATACCAGAGACATTTGCTAAACAATCAAAGTGAATGGGATGATGATAATGGTGATGGTGAATGGCTAATTAATGTTATGGTAATTATGGTGTTTAATTTGATGATAATTTAAATACAACAACTGTACCAAGATACAACACTCATCTGGTTTTATTTGAATAGACTTGGAAAGGTATGAAGGAATGATTTTACCAATAGATGGTAAAATTTCTCAGGTAAATAAGGCATTTTTGATACATCAATTTTAGTGATCATGTAACAGGTTGATGTGATTAAGTACCACATTATTCAATCTAATCAACAATTTACAGTCAAAATAAACACCAAATAATGGCAAACAAAAATTATCTGCATGTTGAGGTTGACGTAAAACGTACCATGTTGGTAACATATTGCTAAGCCTTTTTTGCACCAAACAAAAAACTATGCCTCCAATTTTTTGGTTGTGTTTGTCTTATTCAATTCCATTCCTTATTAGTTCATGACTGTTCATTTTAATTAACACCAAAATTGAGAACATCAGGACATTCCATTAAAATTATATTTCTTTGACTGGCAACTTGGGCTATACAAACAAAGCTGGTTTATGTAACCAAAGACCTGATTAGACATGCAAATGAGGCTTTCCATTTTTTTGGCTGAATACATGTGAGTAACACAGGAAACAGACTAATCAATTTGTAAATTAATTATTTCTCTTGATTATTAAATATGCTAATTTTAATTCTTTGATATTTTGACAGAATCAATTGAAAATTTCATACTGCTTCATGGAGATTCCACTGACTATGTCTCACTGTTGGGAGGATTAACGTGTTGGTGACAAGGATAAGGATAATGATGGAAATGGCTTCAATTTTAAAATCTCACCTTTCTTCGTGAAATGAATTGTTAATTGTTGATCTCTAGTTCACTCAGGAAATATACTCAACGGTGATTTGATCATTCTGCCCACGCCACTGATTTCCAGATAGACTGTACGCAATGAACACAATCACAGATTAACTATCGACTTAACACTGCCTTGTGAGTTAAAATTGTCTCCATAATCTTTCAACCAAGACTTAATCAGAATTGATGTTGACTCTGGTTCAAGATGAAATGAATTCGAAGACTGATCTCATTAGAAGTACGAGTTGACGATAAGAATTGTCGATTATCACTAATGTAACATTAAAGTCACATCAATTAACTCAAAGAGAGATTTTTCTCTCATAAAAATTATGAGTACAGTAAAGGCTGAGATAATGAGACGCTGAGATAATGAGACAAAATTTATAAACGGTCCCTAATCAAGGAGGAGTTTATTCAATGTAAATTTCATCAAATTTCATTTTGATTTCTTTAATTATCAACTGACTTAATTCGATTTTCTTTCGTAAAATATTAATCAAAAAACTCTAGGAATCAGGTTAAAAAAACAATTTCTGTTGAATTTGATCGATTAAGGAAGATTAAAATAATGAAAATACGCTGCCCGGTGAATAGTGCGAATAAGCTATTCCAAGAGAGTCTCATTATCTCAGCCTTTACTGTATTTTGTTTTCATTGTATTGATTCAATTTAATGATGAAAACTATCGATACAAAACCTTTTTTTTCTCATTCTCATTCATTATTAAGCTTCTTCAACAAAATCAATAAGACTTGAAAAACTCAAGGTTTTGATAACTTTATTTCAAATTTTAGTTGATAGATATAATTTAATATCGAAAAATCATCAACAACCAGGATGAACAATCTCTTTGATAACACTCATATTATTAAACGCTTTATAAACATCAGCAAATCTTTACAATAGATAATCTATTAATAATTTTTCTTTCCATTTCTCTATTATTTTCATTGCTAGATCAATCTTTAATCATGGTAAATTCATCTGGCTAATCGAGTGATCTTTATACATAAAAGATCAAAACAATAATGCAAATGGATTCTTATAAACCTAATCATGGGAAGAACCTGTTAGAATTGTTAAATCAGTCTCTGTATCACAAATAACTGTCAGATTGTAAGTTGTGAACTGGAATTGACTTTCAACTTGATACCAATTTAGGGTTGGTTTACAAATCCAGGGGAATTCTGATTCGAAACTGAACAATTGAAATGGTAATTCCAATAATCATTGAGATTAACATCTTTAACGATTTAACTCACTAGGCAAGGATATCCCTCTATTGGCTGATATTGAAACCATTGCCATTGGTAAATGAAGCGCATGGATCAAGAGGAATCGAGTTAATTACTAATTTATATTAGTGTCAACTGGAGTCTATCAATGGAGTTTATGTGGTTAATTAAACGTTGAACTGTTGCTGCTTAATATGGCCACAATTGGACACCAATTGGACAACAATGAAACATTTAATGGGACAATCAATGGAACAGTCAATGACATTGATGTGTATAGCAAGTGTTTGACTCAGACGTTGGAAGAGACATTGTCAATCGCATCAAAATTTGTCTCTTAATCAAAGCTAATCAGTTGAAATCGTCCAATTAATTGTTCAACATTAGCCACATTATATCTAAATCTTTAGCCTGACAAAGCTTTGATTACATATAATATAAATTGTTACCGAGACAGGTTTAAATATAATCTAGTTTTTCCTCTATTTTCAACTTAGCATTTTTCAATCAGTCTCAAACGATTCAATGATTAATTTTGATTAGAGATTGTCTTTTATAATATTTTGTTGATTGACAATTCCATGAGTGTTTCAAACTTGTAAAAAGCAAGCAAAGCAAGCTTAATTGTTACATGTTAATGATAGTACATGAGAAGTTAAATTTGTGTAATTAATCATGGGAACCTGATCTTGAAAACGAAAGGTGAAATTTGTTGAAACAATTAACTCTCACTATCAATTGTGTAGCACATCTAATCACCAACCTTTTAACTGGACAATTGACTAAACACGAGAGAAAATGTTTAAGCTAAAAAGGTAAGCTGACCAAAGTAATTAACTTTGATCAACTTAACAGATCAACAAGTAGTCAACCTATCATTATTACTAATACTTGTAAATGTCATATTATATTTTTTCACAGTAAAATGATTAATAATAATGATACTGAAAATGAAAGCTTAAATTGTCTAAATTTAATGATTCAAATCATTGATATTACAATAATAAAAGCATAATTGTAATAAAGTTGATCAAAGGAAAAATGTTGGTTATTTTAATTTCTGAGCAATTTTGATGGGAAATGTTGAAAATTGTTACCTTAACAAATGTTAACACTAATCTATATGGATAATTAAATTGTTGATACAATTAAATGGAAAGCCTAAATTAATATGCATCAACAATCAATTGAACAGCAGCAAATTAAATGTTATTTAATCACATGATAATTGTGTGTTAACAACAAACATTTAAAGCTCTCAACCCAAGCTGATTGTGAGTGTGTATTTGTGTGGTTAACTTGATTAGTAAAGTGTTAACCATTAAAGATACTTAATCATTGTCCTTGACCCAGTCAACTTGAAAGTGAATTGAACGTTTCTGTAAATTTCACGGAAATATGATTAGCTAAATCGTTCTCATCTTCAATATCAACCTTGAAACAATTTGAATTGCAGCGCAAAAAATAAAGAGTGAAAATATGAATCCAAAAATGATTCCGAATTGATGTCAATTGCGCTGAACGGATAAAAAGGCATTTCATGATGATCTTCAATTGAACACATCTTTCAATCTCAACCATTCAATCTAATTAGTTAATTGAATCTGGTTAGATTACCAGAGTTACCAGTTAATGGGAAAGAGGAAAGAGAAACAAAAGATCAACTCTTAAAATGCAATGGTTTTTGCTGTTGATTTGCCACAATTAGTCTGATTACCATTTATATTTTCACTATTTAGTCCGGAAGACAATGGAAAAGTTTTGTGCACTTGACCCAATTTTTCAACTGATTTATCAGTTCAAGGATTCATTACGTAAGCAACTCAAGCTATTAATTAATTAACACTTAAATGTAAATGAATGAATGATATGAAATCGCATGAGAAATGATAGGCAAAAAAATTGCAGATGAAATGTATTCCAGTATTGAAATGATTGGTATCAAGACTCTGGTAATATTTGCATTTAGGTTTAACCAGAGAAGGTGAAAGTTGTCACAATTTAATAGGAATATCAATTTTTAACTGTGCATCAAATTGTTTGGGTAACAATGAAGAGAGAGAGACAACAAAAGATGTAACCAGATGATGGTGATTACAATTGAAGGCATACAATTTTAAACAATCAACTAATGTATATTTAATATCAAGTTGATGATGTTGATGTAGTGAAAAAAAAAGTGAGACGAGAAAGTGAAAGCAAGTTACAGTTGAAAGCAAAAAACAGGTTAAAACGACAATGAAAATTGAGAGTTGACCCAATTTGCTTCTTTTTTTGGTGTTAATCTTTTATATTATTTGAGCTATTTACACTTAACTTTTTTTTTATCAAAAATATCAATTTATCTGTGTCAAAGGAAACCTTAATTCACATTAATTAATAATCAACTACCAACAATTTACCATATTTGCATGATTTACATTGATCCAGTGAATCTTTTTCCCTTACATCTCAATGTCATCGGTTTTCAATGCAATAAAAAACTAGCGATTCATTTTTACTGTACCTTTATTTAGATTGACTTGTTACATTGTTATTACATGTGATCTAATTACAAGCCAATATATAGTTTATTCATTATCACGTTAATTGTAATCATCATCATTAACCAATATATATTAACATGATCAGTGGTTGACACAAAATGTTTCAAAATTCATGTCGACTTAACCAATAAAACAATTAGGTAAATTGTCAAGGGTGGCTTTGTGTCTTTAAACAAGACTCCTACATTCGGGTGATGATCAACTAAATCAACTTTATTTAGATTGCTTTTCACTCTTTTAATCCAAAATACTTGTTTGCCAATGTTTTGGTGCTTTTGGTGTGTTGTGTGAGTGTTTACATGTGTGTGTGTGTATTTGATGTGTGCTTTTTTGTGTGGTTAGTTATTAGAGTAGGATGCTGTTAATTGATAAATTACAGTTTTCATCATTTTGTTTTAAGTTGTCTCATCAGTTTGATATGCAATAATCAAATTCAAGCTGATTATCAACCAACAAGGTAATTTGTTTGATTTTTTGTTTGTGTGTGTGCTGTTGTGTTCACTTACAAATGACAAACAATTAAGTAAATGTGCTTTTTTTGGGCGATACAAGTTATTCATTAATTATTTATTTAATACATCAACAGCTAATTTATTGAAACCAACGTTATTTAGGTTGATTATGCTTGTTATGTTTGTTACTTGGTCATGACCCACTTTTAAACATTAACACAAACCTATTCCTTGTTACTGACGTTTTTTTTATGCTGCATGTATAAGTACACTGTATATACACTGTATGTATTTGGTTACTTGATTGTTCAACAATTGCCTTAAATAAAATTGATTTTCATGATTTAACCATCTAACCTTTACCTTAACACCATCTTGAGCATCATTTATCCAAAAAACACTGTTACCATCGCCAGCCAGCGAGTTTAACTGTTGAGTTACACCAGCAACTTGGTCAATCAGTCAGCCAAACGATATGGTTTACAGATTTGGTTGTAATTGTTAGCTGCATTTAAATGGCTCCTCAATATTAACCACAATTTAACGTTTCTGTAAATCATGTAATTACATAAACTAAGTGTCTTTTGTTGCCATTTCAATTACTTCCTTAGGCCTTAGATTATATCTGTACAAGAGAAAGTGTACATTTTTGTTTTACCCAAAAATTTAATAGGAATTGCTTGCTGTTTGCACAGTTTAACATTTCAAGGTTAGCCAAGGTTAACAACTAAATGCCTTCCTGCGTTGATGATGTTTATTACGTTTAAACAATGATCGCCATGATTATACATAGTTAACCATACCAATTCAGACTGGAATGAGATAAGAAATGTGATAAAGCGAAATGTTTCAGATTATCGATATGTAAAAAAAATACATCACCATTGATCAATTCAGTCAATAACAAAAGTCAAATGCACAATCAGTTGGTTAAAAGTAAAGTTTCATCATAGACTAGTTCGTAGACAATCAGCATAATCGATAAAATACAAAATTATAATCTAACAATGGTGTATGGATGAACAATAAAAAAAGGAGCAACAAAAAGAAGGAAAAGTGGGTCACAAATTTAATTGATTGGTATTATTAGTGTAATGGGAAATAATAGAAGCAAAGTGAAATACTAAATATAAATCAGCAATCTATATTTAAATCACAAAATGTAAGAAATCAAAAACTAGAATTAAAAAAGCAATGGTTAAAAATTGAAAAAAACAAACCAGTAAATGAAATAAAATCACCAGAAAAAGCTAAATCGAGGGAAATTGAGGGAAAGTTAAGTAAGTACAATCTGGTAACTCTTATGTGTGTACAAAAATTACTCAACAAGTTTGCCATTTTTTTTTCTTTTGATTGTTCACTAAATAAATAAAAATAAATTACAATTAAACACTTTGGCTTCCTGCAGGTAACCTGTTTCAACTATAATCAAGTTAAATGAACAAAATCAGTCAAGTGTGATGATGATGAAAGTACAATAAGTGTAAATTACTGTACCATTAATTTCATCGTTAGGCTGATATTTTTTTTTCTTGGTTACACTGCTTAAAAAGGAAACCAAAAATGGCGCTCAAAAAAACCAAACTCTTCTAGTTTTATCTTATTGGTTAAAGGCTTTTACAATGATAATATCAGATTAAGTTACTCATTGATATTGAAACTCTTGGCTTTTTTTACCCACTTTTTCATCTCTTTTTTCTCTTGTCTTGTTATTCTTGACTAACCTGAGTTTTACCAAGATAACCTTGGAACTCAGTGAAACCAGAATTTTTGTTTTATGTGTATTTATTCATACTGTGAATGGTTCAAAAAGATAAGTATTACTCTTTCTTGGTGAGTTGGTGTTTCTATCCTTTTTTTATGCTCTTACTCTTCATATTTCCAACAAGATAGACTTTGTTGTTGTTTTTGTTGTTGTTGACGATGATGATGATGGTGGTGATGATGATGATGATAATGATGACGATGATAAAGAAGAGAAGATGATAAGAAGATGAAGATGAAATAAACTCAAGGGTAAACAAATAACGGGGATTTCCAGCAAGTAAATAAGCACTTCATCGCTGGTTCTAACGTTTACAGTGAGTCAAAGTGAGTTAAATCTTTATAATAAAAGTTAACTCTTGAATTAAGTTTTGTTAAAAGTGATTTCTTTTCGTTTCGATTAAGAAAATTGGTTAAAAATAGATTGCAGGTAATCATTCACTAGAAAATTAATATAATAGACAAGTAATCATCAAAATCTATCTTTCACATCACAATCATTATCAACATCAGCATCATCCCTTTATTTTAACATTCATATGAAATAATGACCAATTAAGCATCTAAATTTTTTTCAGGCATCAAATCATTTAGACTTTGCTACCTTAATATCGTTTACCTGTTTTATCTATATTTCTTCTGGTATTACAATCATTAGCCAAAGATTCGCATTCCTAATGGTTGCAACAATTATTATCACGATGGTCACTCAAAAATGGTGGGTATAACTGAATTTCAGTATTAATTGAATTAAATTGTTTTTCTTTCTCTTTACAGTTTATTATTTCATCAAGAATTATCATGATTTTAAATTACTCCGTTCCTGGTTATTCTGGTTCTGCACCAACAGAGTTTACAAAAACAAAGCTCATTTTGAAACATTGTTTCTTAAAGATTTAGAGGTTTTCAACAATAAGATATGCAAAGTCTTGGTCAACCGGAATATTTAGGACAAAAGTGATAGGCAATTTGCTGTAAAACAAGTTTGAAATGGCGATTAAGACAGTGTTATCCGAGAAAGGCAGCTTTTATTGTTATTTTGTTTCTGGGTGCGTCAAATTCCATTGGTGTTGGAAGGATTGAACCAGAGTTTTTGATTGAATAACAATTGAGATGGACAAATGTAAATGCAAATTACCAAGTAAATTGAAATGGATTGGCAGTACATAATTGGGAAAAAGACAGGAGAAAGAGTCTCAATTTTTCATCCTTGAACTTGATCTTCAAACAATACACTGTGAACTTGATGAAGGAAGAGATAGAAACGAGTAATCAACGCAAAAAGGAGAAAAAAGGAGAAAATGAAAGGAAAGGAGGAAAGAGAAGATAAGAAGAGAAAGGAAAGAAAAGAAGAAAAAAGTTGGTTACTATTGAAAATACAACAAATCGTTATTTCGTTATCATTACAATTGCTCAGTTACACAATCAGAATTATTATTATTCAGCTGAATGAAACAAAAGTGAATAAGAGGGAGAAATGGAGAGACAGGCAAGAGAGGAAAAAGGATGATAAGAATGATGATAAATATTGCAGAAAGTGAAAGTAAAAAAAGTTGTTTGAAAGAGAAGAGAGAAAGTGAAATTTTTCTTTTGCGTGAGTCTCAGTTGAAATTAGGACAGCAAATACGTTGATTAAGGTGAGAAGGAAAGTGAATAGGATGATGATGATGATTAAGAAGGAGGAAAGCGGATTGTGAACACTTGAATCTGTCTAGGTGTGGTTCCTAAAAATGGATGAATTGTATTGAAAAGTGAGATTAAAATGGAAACAACAAAAGCATCAATTTGTGTGTTTGTTGATCAACATTTGGCAAAATTGCGGTTAAACAATTAACAATTTAAATCAAGGTGAAGATGATAAAGATAATGAATAGTAAATAGTTAATGATAATGATGAATAACGATGATTAGGTCACAGTTTATCTGATTGAATATCTGATAGAAATGAAGAAACATTCAATGTTCAAATGTATCGGAAAATTAACATTCATATTTACATTTTACAGCCAAACAAAGCAGCCATTTTGTCAGTCATTTTTTCTGTATATTTTGGTTTTCACTGTTTAAGCAGCCATCTTTTTAATTGTTGATAATAATACTTACAGTTAATTATTTGGTTTATACCAAGTTCATAATTAATAGCAACAACTGTATCACAGTTAAACTACAAATGATTTAAATAATCGCGTAATGAGACAAAATTTTGAGCAAGGTTAACTTGCAGTAAAAGTACAGTTTTTTTCATTAATGGGTCAATTGAATTGAAGCTTATCAATGTTAAGGCCAAGTTTACCTTTGAATGGCTCATTACAATCAAGGTAATTGAAAAAATAATCAAATGCAAAAAACACAAATTACTATCAACAATTATTAGACTCTAATAATAACTCAAAAATATAAATCCTCCCTTTGTGATTAACTGATAGACTTAAAATTTAAATGATGGATAAAGTTGATTTAAAATGAAATATTTGGCAAATTGTTAACCGAAAAACCAGTTTTTTATTCAACAATTTTGAATAAAAATTAAAACACTTCTAAATTTTGAAGCACAATCAATTTAATTGAATGTTTCATGCCTGTAAATGTTGGTAAATGGCTTAACAAGAATCAATCTTTCAAAATTATACGATAAATTAAATTGTTGAGACAATTAAATGAGCAAAAATTGAAACTGTAAGGTTTAACAGCTGAAGATGATTGGACAAGAAAATGATTTGTATGGCGATGGATTGATTGTGTTGGAAACATTGAAATATTTTTTGGGTTGAAGCAAATGATTTTATGCTTATTTTTGAATGTTAAGTTCAACTTGGAGACTAAGGTTAAAATTGATTGTCTCACACAATTGTAACAATCAACTGGTTGAAAAATGATTAATCAATCAACGTTATTAAAGGCATTAGTTTTTCGCATGTTTTTTAATTGTTGTACCAAAACTAATTGATGTAAAATATTTAAGTTAAAATGTTAACAGGACAAAACAAAGCAAAAAAGATAATGTTAAGCCTAAAAAATGCTGTTGAAACCTAAATTTTTAAGTCTAAAATGAAGGTTAATTAGACTGAATTGCTGTATTGAGGAAAAAAAAGTGAAACTCAATTTAAACTAATCAACAATCTCTCACAGGTAAATACAAATAATGGTTTTATAAAAATAAAGATAATCAAAGCTGAAAATTGTGGCCATTTTTACATATGAAACATTTTTGCATTACATTTTTGCTCACTGACACAGTTAATGGTTATAACAATTTGCTAATTATTAATCATTCACCTGATTGTTAATTGTTCAACTTGTATGCATTTGTGAGTGTTAAATAACAATTAAATTGTTTGCACGGGAAAAAGTGTAAGATAATCAATGAGAATCAGCTTTTAACATTTGAACTTGTTTTTTGCTTTGAAAGCTGTAACATTTTGAAATTTATATATAATTGTAATATAACTGAAAGTAATCAAGTTAATCAACGCGTTAACAATTGTTAAATTGCTAAAAATGAATACAAAAATTGAATCAATGTTACCGAAAGTTGAGGTTTTCAAATCAAATGACCAGAAAAAAAATATCATTTTTTGCAAACAAATATTATTATTATTATTATCATTATTATTAGAGAAGTGAAAGGGAAAATGGGAAAGAGAAGATGAGAGGATGAGAAGAGAGGAAGATAGAGAAAGAGAGAAAAAAATAATTGACCGAATTTCAATAATAATAATAATTCTAATGATTATGGTGATGATGACAATTATTTTACTGGTGTTGGTGGTTGTGGTGATGTAATTGATGTTTATGGTTTCCTCTCTCATGATGATTGAATGATGATGATGATGATGATGAAAATGATGGCAATGATGGTGTTGGTGATGTGATCCTCTCTTTGTGTGTCTCTCTTTGTGTTAAGTTTCTTTGCAAAAAAATATCATTATTATTATCATTCAATTGGTTGATTTAACTTTCTTTTGGCAATTTTGGTGTAATTTGCTTGTCTTGGGTCTTTGTTTTTCACTTGGAGCGGGCAAAAAAATATCATCATCTCTGTCAATACTACATATTGATATATATATGTATTTTTTATAATAATAATATTTGCTTTATATAATAATAATAGTTATTAGTTAATTATAATTAAAATAATATAAGGTGTCATCTGTGATTCTTTGATAATATAGTGTGTTCATCTGTTCAAGTTTCCAAAATTATCATCTTTTGTCTTTTGTTTGTTGAATAGATTCTCTGTGTTTTGTTTGACAATAAAATTAACTCTCATTAGTTTCTTATTACATTTTACCAGGGAATTAATCAATAATCAATAATAATAATAAAAGTCAATAATAGTAATAATAATGATCAACAGGTTAAAGGGTTGAAGGAAGAGAATCATTAATAAACAGGTTTCAGGTCAAAAATTAATTCACAATTAAGCAGCTTCGTTTACAATCAGGCATTTTTTGCTTCTTTGTTTTTAGTCAAATATATCCTCTTGTAGAGTAGGGTTTATTTTGTTGTTGTTGTTGTGTGTTTTTTCATCCAAAATATCTTATTTTACATTTTTACTTTAAATAAGATCAACTAAAGCATTCTGGTTCTTTGTTACAATGATTGTGATTAATCAATTGCTTATTTCCAGGCTCTTCATGCCACAAGAAAGGAAAGGGAAAGAGAGAGGAAGAAGATGGAGATGAAAGTGATGAAAATATGATTTTTATATACACTTCTTCAATGGCGTATATATCCTAATGTACTAATATATCATTTGAATGGATTTTTGAATGTGACTGATGTAGCTTTTTGAGATACTGTGCAGAAAGAAAGAGAAGAAAGAGGAAAAAAAGAAGAAGAAGGAAGAGAAAGAGGGAGAAAGATTCGTTTCAACGAGCCGTTCCAACGAACAATGCTGATTATTATTTTCACTAGAAAAAGAGAGAAACTGGTAAATATAAAGAAAGGGGGAAAAATGATGAAAATAGAAAGAGACTTGTATTTATAAATGGACAGAGGAAGAGAGAGAAGAAAAGGAAGATAATATAACAGAAAGAGAGTGAGAAAATGAAACAAAGAAGAAAATGTTTTCTTTCTCAAGTAAAGTAAATAAGAAGAAGGAAAAAGAATGATGTTGATGATGATGAAGATGCTCATGTTGGTGGTTGCTGTCTTTGAATGATGACGATGAAAAATAAACTTTTATGTAATGCTAATTGTTGTGTGTGTGTGTTTTGTTGTTAACTTGGAGTTGATTTGTTGGTATTATTGATATATTTATCTATGTTATAGTTATTTTCGTTTTGCGTGAAGCATTTCCATTAATAAGGTTTGCGATGGAGCGTCTCCGTTAAGGTGTTTATAATAAAGGAATTCCTCTCCTCGTATTGTTAATTGTCTTAGTGCGGGTAATTGTGCCATTAATTGGTGAAATTTATCGTTAATTTGAGGATATATTTCAAGACAATATTGGTGTAGAGCTTGTTGGGTTTGCTCATGAGCTTCAGCAACTAATTTATAATTTGATAGACCTCGTACTTCAGGATTTAAGAGTAACAAAAATTTGACACAAAGATAGTCAACTGAATCAAATTTGAGTTGCTGTAATTTTGCTTGACATTGAATCAAATTATCAGATGCGGTTGGAACACCGAGCAAAGCTAAACCTAAGAGATCAAACTTTTGCCCATTGGGTAATGTTGTTTCATCGGGTAAATCATTGTGCATCCTTTGATGAATGTGGTCTAGTACAAGCATATCACTCCATGCGTGTTGTAACAGTTTCATTTGATCGTCCACTTTTAGATCTTTAAAGAAAATACTATTCCTTGCCCAATCGACTTGAGCAAAAAGTGATTGATCAATAACTTTGCACATCAATTCAAATAGATCAACTTCACATTGGTTATACGTTTGACTGTTAAGAAGTCCAAATAATTGGCTTCTCCATTCATTATCATCTGGAGCTGTTGCTTGAAGTTCACGAACAATTATGGGAATCTTATCACGACCACCACCGCCGTGACCAGTTGACGATGAATTAAGAGATAAACCAAGTAAACCTGAGCCACTTGTTTCATTATTTGTACCATTATTGTTCATTAAAGACCCTTGGCCGCCACTTTCACTACCTCCTGGACCATGACCACTACCATAATGGAATGGTAATCCATTGTTTGGTCCATTTGCGGTACCATTATTGATACCACCACTACCACCGCCGCCACCACCGCCGCCACCTGGACCTCCAGGACCATTGTGACCGGATGGTGAGGATGTTGATGAGGTAGTCGAGGAGGATGATGAGTTACCAGTAGCTGATTTGGGTAATCCTGTTGGTGCAAGGGAACCATTTGAATTAGGAACCCATTTAACCATGTCAACATGTGATCCACCACCGGCTGGACCTCCAGGGTTACTTGAGGCACCACCCATGGAGCCAGGATGTGAGACTGAATGTCCTTGGGATGAGGATGAACCAAAATGATGACCTGGGACAGAAAAAACTGATGATGTAAGAGTGGTAGGTACAGAGGTTGGTGAAGAGTCGGGGGATGAGGTTGATGATGATAGTTGAGGAATTTGAATAAGTTCTTGCTTGATCCCGTCCGGTGTGTAAATTGAACCACCTCCCAGTCCACCGTTACTGTTGGAGGCTACCATGGCAAGTGATGGTGAACCACCAACTTCACCAGGACTATGGTTACCCGAATGACCACCAAGTGAACCGCCACGCACCATTTGACGTTGCCTCATCAACTGTAATCGTCGAGCTCGATCTCTTTTGTACATTGGCCCAAACTTATTACGACCTCCTCTCATACGATCAGCACGTACAGCTATTTAGCACAAGTTATCAATTTGCCAGTAAATAATTTTTTTCAACAGCACAGAAAAAAACAGCAATAATTATCCACAGTTTCAACAAGAAGTGAGGAAAAAAACAAGTTGTTACGAATCATTTGAAACCATTTAAACCATGTTTGAAATTTAGTGAAGTTCATCCGAAGCAACAATAATGAAGAAGGTGAAGAAGAAGAAGAAAGATGAAGATGAAAGTAAAAAAGGAAATGGACAAAGAGAAGAAGAAAAATATTAATACTTTTTTTCATAAGAAAGTTAAGTTGAGCAAAAAAAATGCTCAAGTGATTAGCATATTAATCAAGATAAGCAAAGTAAAAGATGAAGACAGCAGAGGGAAAGAGACAACACACATGCATAAAACCTGCATAAACAGGATCGAAACGAGAGAAAATCGAAAACATCATCATCATCATCATCATCATTATCATCATCCTAATCAAGCTGAAACAAAGAAGCAAGATTTATTCGGCGGTTTTTTATTGCTATTCAAGTATAAACCTACTAATGTTTTAAGCAGTAGATAAAAGTTAGTTAAAATAATGTATTATTTACCTTCTAATTTCATTCCAACTTCAAGGCACTTTTGAAATCTACAAAATGGACATCGTTTCCTCTGGGATTTGTCAATGTGACAACTACGATCAGCAACACAGGTATAAACCTTTTTATTTTGTACAGTCCGTTTGAAGAAACCTTTACAGGATTCACAGGTTAATAGTCCATAATGGTAACCTGAAACTTTATCCCCACACACGGGACACAATTCATCCATACCTTCCTTGGTATCAGGTGTTTCAGGTGGACAGTGTGGACCAGCAGCACTGGTTATCGATGGGACTGCCAAGGATAAAGCAGAAGGTAAATGATTATGTCCATAACCGGTAGGTCCATTTGGTTCATTTGAAGAAGACCCTGTTGGTGGCATAAAATATGGTTCAATGTGATGATCACTAAGATTGGACATCATCATGATGATGATTTTTTGTATTTATATAAATCGTTTATCGAGTGAATACAAAATTTATCAAAGAGAATTGAAACAAAGAAGAGAACAAGAAAAAAAACAAGATTGGAGAATTGGTCTAACAAGAAGAAGAAGAAGACAGAAAAAAGTACCAAAAAGGACAAATTGGTAAGTTCTTATGATTCTTAGGTTAGGTTAAAGGAAGCAATGCGAAAAGTAATGCTTTTTGGGGAAAAGAAAGGTGAGAAAATAAAGTCAAGGTAAGTTTTCGATGAAAACAAAAGTAGAAAATAAGCTGCAATTGTGATTTAGTTAAAAAATCAGGCTGAACTTTAGGTGATAATTGATATTGATGGCGAAAAGGCAGTTATCTCCTTGTAATAAAGGCACAATATCACACATATAAACATGCACTGTGGAACAAAAAATTCACAAAGTTCCAGAATTGGTAATGATGGTGATTTGGATTTGATTTTGATCTTGAAAAGTAAAGGCACGAAGAAAGAGGTAAATCAAGTTAAACGTTAATCTCTTGTTAATCACGATGAAAACCAATCAAGTAAACGGCAAAATATTGTCTTAGTCCAAAAACACAAAATAACCATCGAAATGAAGGGAAGAAAAATGGCGAATCGAGAAGAACAAAAAAAGAGTGAAAATAAAAATAAAATGGTCAAAAATTATGGTTGTTTAAGGCACTGGTACAAATACACAAGAGGCACAAAGTTGATGAAAATGATGGGATAGCTGGTTCTTATAATTTCCTAAGTTGATTGCTATTATTAATAGACTGATGGAAGGTGATGTTTGATAATGATGATTATAATTATGAACAAAAAAAGTACGTTAATAGTTTGTTTAAATGGGAATTGTCGTGTTGATTGTCGATGATTGATAATAATCCGATGGTTAACACAAATATAAAAAAAAGTCAACTTTTATTGAGGTGACTCTTATAATCACCAATGTCACTTAATGGTGAATATCAACATATAAACAATACTTTCTCTTTTTTTCATCCAACAATTCGTTTTTCAGTTTCTCTCGCTCTCTCTCCCTCTCTCTTTCCCTTTAAATAATCAACAAATAATAGTTGCAAAAATTGTTAAATTGCTCTGTAATGTAATAGACGGCTGTGTTGTTGTTTATTCCTGACGACTGTGTATTTGTTGACTGAAATATTTGTTTACACCGTTATCATTCAACTAACTACTCGATAGTAACTGACTTGACTTTCTCTGTCTATCTAATTCTCTATCACTTTCTCTTTCATCGTTCGTTCTCATTTTTTTGTGCAATAGGAACAAGAGTGAGACAACGACGATGCTAATGACGATGAAGAGAAGTGCAGACAGGCAAAAAAGAAAGTGAAAGTGAGAGGAAAGAGAGACTTAAAGGGGAGTGTAAGATAAATGAAAGACTCTGAAGGGAGTCTTTGGTGAATGGTAGAGAGAGAGAAAGTGTAAGAGAGAGTGGGAGAGAGAGAAGATCAAGAGAGGGAATGAAATTGAAGGAGGGTGTGGATAAAAGAGAAAGTGAGAGTGAAAAAAGAGGGTAGACAGAGACACAATTCTCAAAAATATAAGATGATGAAGGAAAAAATAAGACACACAGAAAGATGAAGATAAAGAAATGAAATAATCAACGATTCAATGTAAAACGAAAGGGAAATAAAAAGCTAATTTAACAAGAGGAAGAAAGAGAAGATAAATTGAGAAAGTGGTAAAGAAAGAGTTGAAGGGAAAGTAAAAAAAATAAAGTGAATATTGGTTGAATTAAAAAAGAAAGGGAAGACAAAAATATGAAAGAGTCACATGGAAGAGGGAGAGAAAGTGTGAGAGAGAGAGAGGAAAAAGGGAAAGGAAAAGAGATAGCGAAAGAGAAATGTAGACAGAGGTGAAATGAATGAGGAGAAACTCATGATGAGGAGAAACTCATGATGATAAACATATATAACAGAAACTGGTTTTCTGGGTTAGATGATAAGAAAGAGAAGAGAGAAAGAGGAATGGATGATTGAAGCAAGGAGGAGTTTGGGTTACAAGAAAGAGTAAGTTGTAAGTAAGACTAAAGTTGGTGAGTAGGTCAAGGTGGTATTTTTAACAAGGTCATAATCTTAACATTAGCAAAGGTATATTCATACTAATGTGTGCATGGTGAAACAGAACAGAACCAGGTCAAGGTATATGGATCGCTATTTATGTAGTTATCTAACTAGAGAAAGCAGAAGAAGCTATCAAACCGAAAGTATGAGTGAAAGCTTAGATTGGAAGAAATAAATAGATAAAGAAAAGGTAGAGAATAGAATGAGAGAGAGAATAAAAAAAACAAAAGTAAATGCAGAAGGGGAAGAAAAAATAGAAATAAATACCATGTATTATCTGAACAATTGAATCTATTAATTTTCACAGCAATCTAATTGTTGTTATTTTGTAAGCAATTTGTAATGTTTGGATAATAGATGGTGCTCATTTCTGTTTATGTTTATCTTTGACTGTTTCTCGTTATCAAAAAAACCAATTCCAATTCACCGATAGAGGTCAGGGTAACAGAAATACAGATTTATGAGAGTAAATTTAAGAATAACAAATTGTTATTTAGTTAACTTACCAGAAGACACCAAATCATTCTGGGCCATTTTAGGATCTGATAGGGTTGACAAGGTTTCCTTTAATTGGACGGGTTTAATGCTGTTGTAATATATATTTATATATCAGTGTATTTATGTTGTCTGTGTATATATAAATATATCTCCTGTTTGATAATTTAATGGTTGGTCTCGTTAATAGCACAGGTATATATAGATGATAAACACTATTCAATAGAGTTAACAATTACACAGGTTACATTCGGTATAGTAGAATACAGTAGATTACAGTAGATTACAGTAAATTACAACACTAATATAATACAATAGATTAGTTTAAAATATGAACTTTATGAACGAAAAAAAAATAGATGTTCAACTCTGGTCTCGCTAAACTTCACCATTGCAACTCAAGACAAGTATAGAGAGAAAGCCTCTGTAAAAAAGTCTAGAGAGGTCGCTCCAACAACTCCAATTTGAGTGAGAATGATTAAGTAAGAGAAAGACTCACTCACTTTCTCCTTATTTATCTTCTTCTCTTCTCATCATCATCTTCTTGAGTCTATGTACAATTTAATGAAACAGATAATGAAGAATAGCTTATTCTTACTATTCACAGGGCAATCAATTTCGTGATTTTAAAACGAGGTTATTATTACAAAAGATTGACTTCAATTTTTATCAACCAAAAAATCAGTTTCATCGATATTTCCTAGTTGAAACCCAATTGAAATTAAATTGATTTTTTCTTCTCTTCTCTTGACATGAAATTAATTGTAAACTGGCTGGTTAAAGAATGCATGCAAATCTAAATTGAAAATCTGGTTCAATACTATATAAATGTTGCATGTTGGTGTAATTTTAATATCGATAATAAAAGATATTGGAATATCGATATTTACATGGGAAAAGAGAAAAAAGAAAGGGAAGAAGAAAAAAATAAATTGAGCTGCTTCTACGAATTGACGTAATGCAAGAAAAGAAAGGGAAAAGGAAAGGAAAGTCTTCATGTATCATAGCAAGTATCAGTGGAATATGGAACAAAAATACTCGATATCTATCGAGTATTTTGATATTTCATGAAATTGCAAAACATTACCAGAAACCTCCGTCTTCTCTCTCTCTCTTCCTCTCTCATGTAATTCTTAATCAATTATTTTCCTTTCTTTTCCAGTCTTAAAAAATCTCGTTCTTTCTCGACTTACTTTCCTTCCTTCCGTTCATCTTATATTGATACCAGTTTTATCATTCAATCTGGTTCTATGTCTGTTGTTTTTTATTACCTAATAATTTTCATTGTCGCTATTCAGTTTCAATGAAATCACAATGATGGGTGGGGTTAGTCACTATACATGTAAAGTAGTATTTTGCTAATGATGATGATGATGATGATGATGATGATGTTAGGCTCAATATGGAGGTCACCTTAAGGCACAGAGATGATGAAGATGATGATGATGAGAATTAGAGAGAGACAATGAGGGAGTCTAGGTCTCTAGGTTAAGGACTCAATCGATCATTTCCTGGTAACATAGAACGAACCAAGCGAAAAGAAGATGTAAAGCAAAAAGAAGCTGAAAAGAGAAAGATTACTATTTTTGGATATAAGTTGACCCAGTTTAAAGCTGTGGCCACAGTTACACAGTTTCATTATTGCACATTATCTTGACAGTTAACTTGAAATAATTATGTCAATAAAATTAACAAATGAAAATAAATCTGGTAATTAGGTTTGAAAAGGAATCACAAAAACGGGTTTAAAATTGAAATTGTAGAGCAAAATTACAGCAAAAGCAAAAACTGGTTAACAAGAAACATGTGAGAAAAATTTGTCTCTTCTCTGATTGGCTTTTGTTTCTCGCTCTCTTTTCCTTTCCCTCCAATTTTTCTTACCTAACACATTTTTTGGGTTAAATTTTTATGTCAAAATTGTTTTCGATTTAGTTAATTATAATCAAATGATTATTTTTTTTCAGTGTGTCAATCCATTAATATTTAAACACTTCGAGCATCCAAGAGTTTCATCTGCTAATTGAATTTTTATCGATTTTTAAAATTAATTGAAGTACCAGAAATACAATGTACCTTTTATGAAGAACGTGTTCCTTGTGCTTAATGTTTTTTTACCTTAACTTTAGACAATTTTTGTTTGAATTTATGAAAATATAATCATGGACAATCACATCAGTTGGAATAACATGGTTTATGTGTTTACTTGTGTTACGTGATGAAAACGATCATCTTTAAAACCTTGGCTTTGGTCAAATCTAGGCTAACCGTTTTGGTTCCAAAGAGGACAGCAAAAGAAAGCATGGAAATGGCCGGATAGCGGAATGGAGGAGAACAGGATAAAGATTCAATTAATGTTAATAATGAAACTATGTATATTTCATGTAATTTATTTTTTGTTGCATAGCTGAATCAAGCATGGAGACTTAGCCTTACTACAAGCCAGTCAGACATACGGATGGCTTTACAGTAATCCCTCTCAAAACTCTTTGGTTAAAGCTATTTTCAAGGCAAATTCAAGACGCTATTTTGGTCGTTTTTCATGTGTTTTTTTCGCGACTTCACAAATTTCTTAATATCTAGGCTGTCTTAATGTTTAATTTGTGATTTTTTATTTAATTAAGCTATATCTAGACTTATTTAACCTGAAAGATTTTCGGCTGTAGGAATAGACCATTTACCTGGTAACGTCACATTTTGAGAGGGATTACTGTATGTACCAGAAAGTACGCTTGACAATAAATAACCCAATTGTTTTTCTTTTCCTTTGCTTTTTATTGTATTTTTTTTTGTTTATTACTTGCTATTAAAATTTATTAAACAATAAGGAGCTTTAATTGCAATTAATAAATTGTGTTAACGTCAATATGTGTGTTGTCTTGATTAAACAATTGTATTAATAAATTATGCCTTTTTTCTGGTTCAAAAAGAGGCTACAAAATGATTATCCACCAGGAGGAAGCAAAGAAACCCATTTCTGATGTGAAATTTTTTCTAGTTTTACTCGTCGATGTTTCATCTTTACTCAATCCTTTTCACTCATGCTTTCTGGTAATTAACTTTTTCTCTAATGACAATTTATGATCATTTTTGTCTGGTCATCTATGCACCAACATTACCAGATAACCAGAAAATTGGTTACTTCAAGTGTGAAAGTGTTATACAAACAGTGTGTACCGTTTACGTAATTTGTTCAATGCCTACAAGATTTAGAGAGTGTATTAAAAGGAATTGGTGTTCGGTTAGTGATTAGGTTAAAGTGCTTCTATGACAATGTAAATGTACATAATGATAACAAGAAAAATGTGATAAAAATTAGTCTAAATTGGTTGACACTTTGTGAACAGTGAAAAAAAGGAAGGGGAATTTGGTGAAAGGAAAGACCTTTTTTCACAACTTATTACAATTTCATAGAGATTAATATAGTGTAACAATGACAATTATTCATTTGCCAATTTATTTGACTACCAACAACAAAAACACCAACATCAACAACAAAGATGAACAAAAAAGAGGGATGATGATGAGGTGAGGAGGAGGTGGGAGTGAGAGGGAAGTAAATAGAAAGGCTCATTATTAAGGTTATCATGATTTATTAAGTAACACACTCACACATTTGTTTACACATTTACAAAGAAAGTCAGTCTCTTTTTTTTCAGAACGAGTCTCAAGAAAATTTCATTTCATCCTGGAAATGGCCTATTTTCTCACTTAAAACATGAAATTAAATGGTTTAACAAAACAAATTAAATAAAACAAAGGTGTTTAACCAGAAAAATAAAACCAAGCAAACCAGAAAACCAGAACTAGAAATTATAAAACCAGAAAAAAATACATGAGAAAAGAGCAAAAAGTGAAAACCAGAAAACTAGAAAAACTGAAAAACTAGAAAACCAGTAAACTAGAAAAATGAGAGACAGGTCAAGTTGAGAAACCAGTTTTTTTGTTTAACCATTAAATTACAATTATATGAACCAGAATTTTAATATCTGTTCAAATTTAACGATAATATCACCATTTGAATGGCTAATAAAATACACACTTTGGATAACAAAAAAAGACAGACAAAACCAGAAAAAATACCAGTTTTTAAAACAAAAGGGAAATACACAGAAAAAGGAGAAACAGAGTTAACCAGTTTTTTTTCATTCTCATTCATTTTCATATAATTATAATAATAATGAGAAATATGGTGAATATTGTTGATGGTCTGATTGATTCAATATACAAGTAAAGTGAGAGGAAGAGATGGAAACATCATCTTGTCAATGGATCAAGAGTGAGACAATAAGTGAGTCAGTGAGTAAGTGATTGAGAGAGGATAAAGTAGGTCACCAGTTTTTTTCTCATCACTCAAATGCAATAAAAAAATAAAATGGATTCTCTCTTTTTTTCTTGGTAAATGGTTGCTTCTTTCAACCTCCTATTCGTTGTTGATAACCAAAATGCTTGTTTGCCTCATCATCCTCTTACTCGTCATCATCTTTCTCTTTCTCTTCTTCTAACCTTTACAGGTTAACTATTCGTGATAAATTCGGGTGCGATTTGTGCGCTTTCCCTCTCTCTCTCCTCTTACCTCTTAAAATGATTTCCCTCTCTGTTACTGTCCTTACCTTTCTCCATCACCATCATCATCTCCATCTCTTCATCATGATCATCACCATCTTCATGCTCATCATCATCTTCCGATGACCTGTTTTCCTCTTCTCTCTACTTCTGATATTAACCAGTCAATCTACTAGTTTTTACATTCTTATACATTTTTCTTCCTTTTCTCCTCGTCCTCATCTTTTCTTCGTCTCACCCTCTGTAACGGTTCGGCCTTATGCCCACAAATTTTGACCTAATTTCTTCCGCTTTTACATCATCTTCTTTTCCTTTTCTTTTTTCATTCTTCTTCTCCTTCTTCTTCACCATAGTCTTCATCTTCTCTAATTCATTACATTTCTTCTCCTTTTCACATAACAGCCGATTCCTATGATTATAATGATGGTGGATTTAATAAAAGAGAAACACTTCCGTTGTTATAACCGTGAGAAGAGTTGATAAGATGCAATATGGCGTTCGTTTTACCCGCTTGTTGTCTAAGATAAGGTAAGAATCAAATAGAAGGAAAAAATAAATGTTGTGAAAAAGGGAAAGTTAACGGTTTATTTCTTAAGGATAACGGGAAATCTGTTGGGATGATAAAGATGGTAAGGAGGAAGAGATCAAGGACGAGAAGAGTTATTCAGAAGAAAGTGAAAAGAAGCGGGAAGAAGAAGATGAAGATGAGAAGAAGAAAACAGAAAGAGAACCTTTTTTTACACGCATTTCCAAGGTAAGGCTTTTCCCTAGTTGCCCATTACGGGTCAAAAGGGACTTGTTAGGCTAGGAAAGCGCAAAAATAACTCTAATTTCTTGGAAGTTGAAATTAAAAGCACGAACCTGAGAAAAAGGCCAATAATAGAAACAAAATTAAAACCATGAATAATTAGCCGGTAAATGCTATTAAAATGATGAAATGTTGTCCATAAAATCGTCTTTTCTCTTCAGAAAATCTCTTCTTCTCAGGTATTTTGACTCCACTGGAAATACGAACAGAAAAACGGTAAATTTTAGGTTTCATGCAAATTGAAGGGTTATATGGAAGGAATAAAGATATTCTGGTATTTCTGGGATTGTTATTTCCAAACGGGATTGGTGGTAATTTATTGTTTAGATGATTGTAAATTGTTTGACTTTTCATTTATTCTGATTGATTTATATTTTCACAATTAAGGATTAGATGTATCGGTCTGGTTAGATTATTTTTTATCTCAATCTTCATCTGTACAGTTGTTTCCAGACTTCATGAATATCAAAAACAGAAAAATCTTATAATTAAATAAACTCTCGATCAACTTGCAAAGTATTCACTTTAATCAGTCAGCAATTAATAAGTTAACAGGCTCTAAAACTGATAAATAAATGCATATAAAGAGCAAAGTTAAACCAAAATAGTAAATAATTTACCTTTCACCTCAAGATATTCAACTAACAAGATACTGAAACTATCTGAAGAAACTCCAAGATGAAAGTTACAAAATGCATAAAAATCACGGTCAACTCCAACACTTTACTTTGATCAGGAAAAGTGTGCAAATCAAATTGTTCATTCCATACGGGATTCAATGTTTTAGGAATGCACTGAAAGCAAATAAAATAAACAAGTTGAAAATTAAAACCAAACATGATTCAAGTAAATGATACAAGTGCAGTTAATCAATGAAATTAAAACAATCAAATCTCACCTTACTTTTACGCTTCTCCTTACCCAGTTGAAACTTAATTTAGCGATCTGACAATCCATTCTCATCAGTTAAATTTTAATTGAATTGTCACCAGAAACAGTTAAAGTCACTTTAAAAGAGGTTATCTAAAGATCATGATTTTCTATGTTCCATTTACGTACTTCAACATATTTTTGTACAAAAATTTCACTTATCTTCATGTAAAAAATGGGTTCAAATTTCTGCATGATTTTGACGATAGGAGCTAAAGACGATCATCAATTATCAAAATCAAGGTAAAATAACAGAGAAAAAACAGAGAAAGTTCTTGTTCATGCCTCTAGGTAAGTGTATTACCAGGTCGCCCATTGAGTTACCAGAAAAAAACATTTCATGAAAAAATCTGGTTCCAATGTACAAAAAGCGGTTCACTCATTTTAGTCATCTTGAAACATCCTCAGAAACACCAGATATATCAAATAAAATATGGAATAAATTGTGTTAGGTTCGTGGAGATGAAAAATGCGTCCCTTTTCGCGGTAAACTCGTTCCGATTTATGGTTTGTATTGAATGTTTACTTACATTTGGATGGGTAAATGATGAAATTTGAAGAAACCGCCAATTGTTTGCGCATTTGAATGTTCCACCCACTATCAACACCCACTATTAGAGACCAGTTGGTTACTGGTAACCGGTTACTTGGTTAGAGGGGGAAAAAAGTAACCAAGTATGGTTACTATAACCAGTTACTATAACCGGTTACAAAATAACCGGTTACTTGCTGGTTACATGGAGAGGGAAATTTGAAAAGAAAGTAAAGAAAGTAAACAACAGATTTCTAAATACATTAATAGATGGCGCTGATAAAAGATGGAAAATCAAACTTTTCATTTTTGAATTTGGCGGTAAGAAATTTGTAACCAGCAAGTAACCGGTTATTGTAACTGGGGGTGAAAGAACCACAGTTACTGGTTATACTAACCAAACTAGCCTGTAACCGACGTATCTCTACCCACTATTAACACCCTCTATCGACATTAGCGATACTATTGTAACTAAATATCGATAAGTGTTGTTGTTTTTGACTGTACCAAATTGTACCAAATATAATATTGTTGCAATATTAATTTATGTAATTTTATTTTCTGATTTATTATCATGGCTAAACAAGTTAAAAATCTTGATTCCAAGAAGATTGTAAGTTTGTCTTTTGCTATTATCTATATCTTTATGCTTTTGTTTTGACTTATGTTTTAATGTATTTTTGAATTTCATTTTTACAGAGTTCAGATCTTTTTAGCCTAACCTATGGTTCGTTAGTTTTCCAATTGATTAAAGATTATGAGAATCCTGAAGATGTTAATAAACAGCTGGAAAGAATGTAAGTTTTCTTTGTGAATTTTGTATTTACATTGTCTTCATGCTTTTGTTTTGCTTTTCATGCTTACAGTGGTTACAACATTGGTTTACGTTTGATTGAAGATTTTCTTGCTAAAACAAACACTCCTAGATGTTTTGACTTTAAGGATGTTGCTGATAAAATACAATCTGCATTCCGAATGTACTTAGGAATAACGCCTTCAATAACCAACTGGAGTCAAGGAAATGACGAATTCTCCTTAATTCTAGACGCAAATCCTCTGGCTGAGTTTATTGAACTGCCCGATCACCTTGTTAACCTGAGATACTCAAATATACTGCCGGGAATCATCCGTGGATCCTTAGAAATGGTAGAGTATTTATTAGTTATTTACCTTATTCTATTGCAAGTTTGATCATTAAATCTCACATCTTATTCTCTTCATTCTATTCTTATTTCCAATCAGGTTCAAATCGAAGCAAAAGCATGGTTTATGCAAGATTACCTGAAGGGTGATGCCACTACAGAATTACGAATTAAGTTTGTTAAAAAATTAGAAGATGTAATGCCTCAAGGAGAAGATTAATCATGTATTGAGTCTCACCAGATGCATTCTACTTATATTCCTTTCGTATAATAAAACCGTATCTTTTTTTGTTTTATCAACTCTTCGCCATGTAGAATTTTCTCTTTCAACTCAATTTCCATCGTGATCTTCGGAGACTGAAACGAAATCCAAAAAACATTCGGATCTTTCACTGATCTTAGAGCTAATAAACTTAGTTCAACAAAGCTCAAAATATATTCAGTCAACAATTTATGAAATTATAGCTAAAACGGTGCTTTCTTTTATTCCATAGATTCACAGTTTCGTTTTTTATTTGTCTTTCTTTAATCTTTGATATTTTTTAAATTATTGGTTAGGTTATTTAGGTTTTTTGGTGCATACATAAGAATATGAAGCACACAAAATTATCATTATTGCTTACATTGGGCGATGTTTGTTCAGTTTGGCTAAAAGTCGTAAAATCCTTTCTGTGACTTCTTTGATAGTCATCTTTAAACCAAATATATTCAGCAAATAAGTAATTAACTGTAAATAATTCAACAAACCAGTAGATCAATTTTTGATTACCTAGAGGCTTTTTTTGAAATGCAGAAATAATCTAATTGGCTAATAATTTAATGCTATTAAAGTGTCAGTTGTAAATTTTAAAGTTAGAGGTGTTGATGTTGATGGACTAAAATTGCATCCATTTTAAATTTTCCTTCAATAAATCAACAGAAAACACAGTCTTCTCCAATTTACTTCAATAACCTTGTAGTACACTAATTGGCACTAAATTATTGCGCTTTTTAGCTGTGTTTTACAATATTCAGAGTATTTCTAGAGTATAATTTATTCGAGCTTTGATTGTTTCCATTGTGCAACTGAAAGCCAACAATTAAGTTATGGTGTTAAAGAACCGACGAAGTCTTTTCAACGCGGGTAGGTCAAACCGCCTTAAACGTCATAGACCATATCAAAGTGAACAACATATAAGCCTCTTTGGTTCACCTGAACCAAGTTACGGTAAGTCAATCCATGAAAAAATAAACAATTATTCCATAGAGTAACCATGATATGAATGATTGTTGATGTTTCTTTTGTAATCCGTAACTATTGCAACAATTACGGTTGATATTGAGACCATTTACATTGTTAATACCAAAGTTGAGAGTGGAAACAGGATAAAATTGATCCTCATGGCTTTAAATATTCAATATTCACCAGAATATAATCTCCAGATGTCGCCAGGACAATCAAATGATGAAAAGTTTCAATGAAGCCAAGAACACAGGAGCAAAGGTAAAGAAACAAGTTACTGGTTCCTATTGAAAGAGAGACAGAGGGAAAGAAAGACAACTCAGAAAACAGGGAAGCAAACAAGAAACAAATGAATCGACTCACCAAAAACAGATAAAAGCAGACAGAGAAGTAGAAAGAAATGAAGATCAATAGAGAGGGAAAAAAAGGCGAAACAAATGGCGAAACATGAAAAGAAAAATGAGAGGGAATGAAAAATATTCACAGATAGGTAAAGATGAGATGAGTTTATCATCTCTTTCTACTCACAGGTTTTTTCGTTGATGACCCAAAAGCAAAACAGGACCACATGAAAGTTGGAAAGAAAGGTTTGATGGAAAAACATAGAGTTGAGTTTCACCTTCTGATTCATTTTGCTTCTTCTCTCCTTCCAAATAATAAAACCTTTCCTTTTTTTTGTTTTCAACTCTTTGTAACATTTTCTCTCTTAACTTAATTTCCATTTTTCTCTTTTCCCACTGTAAATAATCCTTACAAAACATTCTGGTCTTTCAGCAACTTCTCTGACAATCATCTTAAACCCGTAAATGTTGAACAAATGAGTAATTAACTGTTACTAATTATTCAAACTTGGATTCAACTGACAAAATATTTAACCGTCACAATCATTTCTACCAATTTAACCATTAATATACGTATTTTATTGCTCTTGCCTTGTTCTTTTGCTGTTCTGTCTGCTTGTTTTCATATAATTTCCTCGTGTTTCTTTTCCTTAATCATTTTCACCCTTTCTATTTTCCTTGTCCTCCTCTCTGTGTTTGTGTGTACTCTTTACCTGTAAAGTGTTAACTGTGTTTGTGCCATTGTCTTTGTGTTAACCATCTTCACCGCGCTGACCAGCACCAACATTTCTGCTTCACATGTTTTCCTTTACCATTTCAACATGATAGTCTATTGACGCATAACGAGATCTTTTTTACCTTTTTCAATTACTTTTACCCAGAATCCTTTATTCCAATTAATCAAACCTCATTCCTATCCATTTCTTATCCCTCGTTAATTTACAAACAATCATCTTACCAACACCTTAAATCGACATTCATTTGTTAATGTTATCGACTCTCCAAGTATTATATTGATTTCAATATAATACCATGTGTTGGTGTCTATCGCCATGTCGATTTCAGTATTACCGTAATGAAATTTGCTCGGGAGATTACAGGTAAATTTAAACTTATTGCAATAAAAATTGATAAATTACCAACAGTCTTCCTTACAACTTGAAATATTTAAAATTAAATCAGAGGCAAAGAAAAAAGCTTCTCATCTTTCACCTTCCTCTTCAATGGAATCCAGTGTTTTCCAACAGTTTTTCATGTTAATGAGAAGAAATGATAATAATAACAATATAATTATTAGTTGCTTTATTATAATCAGCATTATCAATTTTCATCATCACTGTTTTTTTGTTCATCATCATTATCGTCACCATCAAACATGAAACAAATGTGTTTCTAGTGAGATTGGCACACATACAAAATACACTTCTACAAGAACACATCTGATTGTCAGTTATTCAAACAAATCACCTGAGAAGTTAATAAATATTATTAGCATGATTCACACATTGACACACAGTAACAGTAAAACCTGGAGCTTGAAATAATAGATTAAAATCAATCCACCTTGCATTCAGATCATTTTAATTGCCAATCAAGGCAGAGACAACACACAAAAACAAAGCGAAACAAAAACACCAAAGTCAATTTCTCATCACAATCTTTTCTGTATTTGTCTTTCTCTCCTCCATTTCCCTCTATTTACCAATCTGTTTCAATCATCATCATCAACACCCATCGACACAACCATCACCATTGAATTGGCTGTTGGAAAAACAAAAATTCAGATAATTCTTCCAGTGATCGGAAAAGTTCACCTCTTTTAGGAAAATGTTTACGACGTTCATCAACCGATGAAAGTGGAGCCTATTCACCTTGCTCAACTCGGATCGGGATTAGTGGCAATCGCAGTGGCAGTGTCGATAACAACGGTAACAACAATTGTGATAAAGATAGTGATAATCCTAAGTCAGATAAAACCCAACAACAGCAACATCAACAATCAATCTCATCAACCCCAAGTAATAAATGTCTTCATCAAATAATATTGATAAAATTTGCATCCCAGCCAATGATAGTAATAATTGTCTTGCTTCAATTCCCACAATTGAAACTTGTTCAACCCTAAATTTAAATAATAGTAATAGCTCTAGTAATCCTTCAACCCCTTTCCATAATAATCACTCTGTCCATGAAGATGATGATAAATTTCTCAGTTATTCTGTACTTGATTTTTCATTGCAAGATGGCTCCAGTTCCAGTGGCCAGTTACACCATCAATCAGCCACCCTAACATCAACCACTTCAACCCTTGCCAACAACACTCCAAACTCCTCTCCAAGTCGTTTAATCCGATCTTCTGGTCGTCGCCTTCAATCCATTTGGACTGCAGTCAAACGATTTTCACCTCGATTGAAAACAGGTTCACCCTTGTTGGTCAAGAAACGGAAAACCTTAGAACAAGCTTCAAGAGTTTGCCTTTCCCACCCTGACCTAAGTGTCCACGATCTATCCTCTGTGTGTAAACCTCGATCTCGAGATGATCTCGATATACTGGCAATCAATAAAGCAGCCAATGCAAGTCCATCTGGTTTAGGAAGAGAAACAATCAGCCCTAAAGATTCAAACGATTCCTCCGACCAATTTGACCTTATACCTCGTACAATTAAACGTCGTCACTCATTTACCCGAGATCGATCCAATTACGATTTAATCAGCTACGTTGACTCCGAAACAAAAACTGGTTCATTAACCAAAAAATTGGTAAGTTTAATCATTGCTTTCCTTTACCAAAACTGATGACGCAGTACAGTTGTTGATCAAGAAGACAAACACAAATTCACAATTAACAACACATTGCTATTAGACTTTAATTTTCTCACTAATCATTATAATGACCATTAAACCAGTGAATGAAACAAGTCTCGTATCTCTGGACATGTTTCATATTCTGGTATTTTTGTCCTCAAAGGACATGAAAAGCGTTTATCCTTTTCTGGTAACATTTATGATTGATTGCACCTTGAATCTCTTTTTACCTTACAGCCAATTTAAATTGTCACCAATTACCTAGTCACTCAATGATCATCTTCAAATGTAAAATAATTGCCAGGATTTACATGCAATATTATAATTCCCTTGATAAATCGTTAAACTTTCCTGATGAATCAATCCGATAAATTTTGATCCTTTCAACAAACATTAACATTGATCCATTGAATCAATTGTTATTATATTGAAAGTTTAATCTAATTAGGTAATATCAAGCTGACCAGAGACACTAAAAGCATAATTTTATTGATTATTGACAAACCATTAAATCTACCGTTTTTTTGTATCCAAACCAAATAATAACAGTCAACTTCACGAAATAAGTTCATTTCATAAATGCATTTCCTCATGAACAATGTTCAAATAATTATTCAACTGATGAAATAATTTTAATTGATCCATCATTAATATTTATACGTTAAGTCCACTGAATATACTTTATCATTTGATCAAATTGACCTTACACTTTGTTTCAGTTTCACCGATATCATCATTCATGTTTGTTATGAACTTTTTCCTATTCTTTACCAAAATACTTGACAATTTTAAGGTAACCATAGAGACGTTCAGTCAATCATTACAAAATTTTATCCAAAATATCAATATAACTCAGAAATTTTGACAACATGTTTCAAATCAAAAAATTGAAATGTTTAGTGTTAAAATAAAACATTTGAATGTTGACAGATGAAAGACAATATCTTTCAATATTAGCTTTGAAGCTCATAAATATTGATTGAAATGTTGAATGTTTAAAACTTACATTTGTAATTGGCTAATTAGTTGATTATTTTAAAAATAATTGAATTTAAATAATTGATTCTGCTTTGAATAAGCTTACAACGAAAGGATGTTAAAGTTAATTTTATTCATAGTTGCATACTTGGTGTAACCTCTCAACTCTGAAAATAATGATTCAGCTTGTTCAGTAATAATCTGAATCATTTTTTCAGTACAATCACATAAAAATAATATTATCATCACCATGTTCATCATATTTATCTTGATCTTGACAATGTCAAGTGAAAACGTTGCCTACTTACTAAAATATGTAATAACCTCTTTACCTTGCAATCTTCAACCTTTTCCAGTTTCACTTCAAATATTGATATTCTCATCATTATTTCATCTTTTTATATTAACTTCTGTTGCAGTATTTCACTCCCTGAATCACCTAAATATAAAGACTCGGATAAATAATGGTAAACAACAAAAAAAACAAAACAAATGCTAAGATGAACAAAAGCCGTTCAAGTTTAGTTTTCATTCCAATAACATTATCACAATAAGTTTCTGAGTTTTTTTCGTCTTTATCTTATTCGTCTGCAGTTTATCATCAACTCCCACTCCAACCTTCCCAGTTCATTGTCAGCTTTTTCAAACTATTTAATGATTTCACCTTCCATTGTATTCAACATTCAACTCTTGCCAAGCCATTTCAGCCTGAAAATTGAGCAAATTTCATAAACTTTTTTTTTGTTTTCACTTTTCACAATTCAATTCAATTTCAGCTTTTAAATTGCATTTAACCTTTTAATCATTTTTATTTAATACAATTTTACACCAAAGTTGAAACGATTCATTGATCATCATTTATTTTATTACTGACCTGCAATAATGATTGTTAATTAATGTAATTTACTTTAAAAAGCTTTTGCTTTCAACACTTTAAAAAATCGATCAAAATATCCTTTTAAATAACTTTAATCTCAAAACCTTGACAACTGGGAATGGAAACATCATTAACATGATCACAGTTAATTGCGATTTTAATAGTCGCTTTATCACCAAATTAATAAACTGTAAACATCTTTGAAATCATTGAGTGAATCCAAAATAATCAGTTTAATATTTAAATGCATTTTTGATCAAATAAATCTAAATGCAACTGAGTTCAGAGGTTATGATTTTGACAGTTAAATTGATTTGAAGATAAAAATGATAAAAAAGTCGATACCAAATGGTCAACCATATTATTTGAAAGTTAACTCAAAGTTTCAACAACAGAATGGAAATGATATTTTTGCTGAACAGAATCAAGAATGATGGAGGAAAAAAACTGATGAGACTCGAAAAAATGGGTTAAGCTTGTGATCAATGGAAGGAGAAACTAGGAATTCTGATTCTGAGTATCAAGTATCAGTTCATGGTGATGATGAAGAATGGTTATTTCTTTCTAATATCTTTATCGATGAAACTAAAGATACAAGTTGTGATAATTCTCAATAGATTTTCACTTTAATATTATTATCAATTTGATATTATCAGAGATTTGAAATGAGGCCGAGAAAAAAAGGGAAACGATGAACAACTTGAAAAGTTTCCATGGTTACTATTGAACTTTATTGAGACTCTCTCAGAATTTCAATAACTCTTGATAATTATGATGATAAGAAGTGAAAAGACACTTGAAAATGTGATCAATCAATTGGATCAATTTGATTGTCCAATTAATTGTGTTAATATTTTTTTCTCCTTCAATCCAAATCAACGTTAATCGGCCATCTGGGATGCTCATAATTAGCGTATAAATTGCTGACAATTTAAAACTCAAATTTCACATGAAGTTCTGGTTAATAATTTATCTTTATGATTAAATATTTTCTTACATTTGTTATCGTCTTATGTTGCAGCAACATTTATTAATAATTCAATTTGTATAGCAAGTTGTATTTTTCATATCTGGCTTAAACTCCCAGTTTGCACCTGAAACTTTGATGGATTCATTTTTCATTCATTTTTCATGAGCATCTCAAAAAAATGAATTCACCTTAATGAATCTTTTCCCAACTCAGCTTGATGCTTGTTTACCTCGTTTGCCTTTGTCATTGACTAATGCAATGGAAGGATAAAATTGTGTTATTTCATGATAATTTCCTACTGTTAATGCTTCATCTTGGGAGTGAAGATTCAATCACTTGGAAGGATTAACATGGCTACAGATTATTGACAGAAATTTCTACTTCTGTTCACCATAAATCTGTTATTAATATTCCCTGTTAATTACAAGTTATTATAATCAAATCTTGTATCACAAGTTATAAATTATCAAGTTGGTTAATAGTTTTGCTTACTTGATAAATGAGGTTCAATTCAATAGCAACTGAATTTGACTTTTTGCCTGATTAACAGTTTCTTTTCATTTGATCAAATTAACCCTTTTCATCAATATAAACAAGAACAAATATTATTAATTAAACTAATTAACCTTGATAACATGAGTTATAGACTTGCTGTCTTAAGGTAACATCTGTATTTACCAGGTTATAATACCTTTTCATATTTAACCCAATTAGCGCATTTTTAATTTGATCATTTCAATCAATTCTGGTTTGTTGTCTCATTAATTCATTATTCAGGTAAATGCCATATTTTAGGTGAAAAAAAACAAAACAAAAATCATTTATTCATGTTTAGCTTTCTCAACTCATGTTAAATGGTTAATGATCATCTTGTAAGCTTCAATGGTTTAACTGAAAATTAATCTTTCGCTTTTAACATTCCCTTGTTGATTAACTTGATGGATTAAAATTAATGACAATTGATGAACAATCAAGATCAACAAAGGTCAGTTTCATCTGTTATAACAGCGCCTAACATCAGGAATTATCATGAAATTAATTCTGTAATAATCATTTGATGAAAAGGTTTAATTATTGTTTTCCGCTTTTCAATATTAAACTAATTTCAATGCATTTTTACCTTTACTTTTGATGTTTAATTTCCTCATTCAATGTTTAACCAAACTTCAACTGTGACATTAAAAAGTAACAATTAATTGAATTACATCTTTAACAAAGTTAAACACAAACATAAATTACCTCTAAATTGATTACTAATTGTTTAAAAACATTGTCATCGTTGGAGTGAACATTTGACTCTAATTGTTGTTCAAATTGGGTTTGTAATGACAACAAAATTAATCAATCTATTTGGTTATAAACAATTAGCTTGAGGATAACCTTTAAAGTTACTGAACATGCAGGTAATCATTTGAACAATTATAATGGCATAACATTTGATTAATTAATCAAATGTGTTATAAAAGCATGTTAATTTCATTGAAATTATACCATTTAAATCTATTAATCATTCACAGTTAATCATATTTGTCATTTGCAAATAATTAACATTAATCTTGCCATTACCATTCAACTGTTTTTTAGATTGTTTACAATTCCATTTAATTGTTCCATTAGCTATTAAGTTAACTGTCGTTTCATCGTTTAATTGTTGAAAGCCTTTGGAGAATTGATTTTAAGTTTTGATTAAAAATCTTAATCAAGAATCTTAAATTAACATGAATTAAGTCTCCTTTAATTGACAAGTAAATAGTCGACAGTTAATGAGTAAACATTTTGCCTCTTTTCAGCTTACCTTTTGTGCTTTAATGACAACAAAAACAATCAAGTTTATTTTATATTCACTGAATCTATTCAATTTAACCAGATAATACATCATGAGAAGCTTTTGTTTGTCAAGTTTCTCTGATGAAAAAAAGAACCTTTTTTATCTTCATTTTGTCATGTTAATGATGATGTACTGAAACAAAAGGCAACAATCTTTATCCCGAATGACAATCATAATGAAAATAATAACCTAAAAACAACAATAAACGCGATAATCAATCAAAATCGATGAACACTGATAGAGAGATGAACACTCGAACTGTATCAAACTGAAAAAGTTTCACCATTACTCAATAAGAATACAGTTATTTTAATTCAACCTCCAGAACCTTAACGTCTTTCAATAAATCAAAGTTTCATTATAATGATTACTTTTGCTTTTTATTTAATGAAATGTTACTTTAAGAAAAATTTCATTTCGATTGTTATTTGCAAAACATTTCATTTCATTCAATTCTGGTAATGAAATTGACTTTTAATTGTTATTTATTGCTTGGCTGTTCATTGTATTTTAGATCGATTTCAATGTTAATTTAATTTTAATGAAATGATTTGTCCATTTGAAGACAGCATTAAGAAAGGAATTATTATTTGGAAAAATAGCTTTTGTTGTTTCTTGACCATTACTTGATTATATTACTGAAATTGATTGTCAATTGAGAAGTCATTTTATTAGCAGATTATTGCAATAATAGTAACGATGATAATCATAATGGTAAACAATAATTGATTAAAGGACTGATGATAAAAGGAAGTTAAGGAAGTTTGATTTTGATTCATTGAGTGGTTAATGTTACGCATGATAATATGAAATCCCTGACATTTGGATTAATATGGAAGTTGAAAATGTACTGAATTGGGATAAAATTATTACAAGATAAAATTGATTTATTAAACTGCTAAGTTGTTAATTGTGTGTTTGACCTACTAGTTGATGGACAAGTGATCACATTATGTGACAATTTAAACACTAATTGAACATGAAAATCCAGTGCAACCTCAAGCATAATGATTAAATTTTGAGTTAAGCAGAAACATGAAAAATTACAAACTTGATTATGATTTGAACAAAATAGTTATATTCACGTCAAATTATTGTCCTTATAAGCAGGTTTGTTCATTACCGCGACATCAATCATCTAAACATTATCAACCTTTCCAGTCAATCTAATAATTAACTCATTAATCAACTATTCATTTTTCCAGGATGAAGATTCTGAAGAGGAACGCCAGAAAATCTTTACACTCCGTCAATATCCATTTTATCAACTTGAGCTTCATCTTCAATCAGCTTCTAATTTACTAGCCAAGGATTCTTGTGGTAAGTTAATCAACCCAATTCAACCTAAATCAACTGCTTTAAATTAATTGTCTTTCCTCAGGTACTAGTGATCCTTATGTAAAGCTCAAGTTTGGTAACAAGCAAGTCTACAAGAGCAAGATTATACCCAAAAATTTGAACCCAGTTTGGGATGAATACACAGTTTTGGCCATTGAAGATGTGTTTCAACCTTTGTCAATTAAAGTTTATGATCATGATTTTGGTTTAACTGATGATTACCTCGGAACAGCAACTCTCGACCTAACTAGATTAGAGCTTAATAAGTAAGTCAATTGGTAAATTATTTTCATCTAAGCTTGAAAATGCTATTATATTAACCAATCCAAATGCATTAACCTTTGGTTTAAATGTCAATCAGCTTGGATTTCACGTTACATTTAATGATACAAAATTAGTTTTTCAATTACACCTACAAAAGTGAGCTATTCAGTTTCAATTAAATTGTTCAGCAATTACATTTGTGATGAAAAAGTATCGCAATCCACACTAACCAGCTTCAGATCTGGTTGACAATTAAGTTTTAATCAAAATGGTCCAACGTCAATCCAGTAAATTATGAGAAAATGCTTCACAATTAAAACTGTGTAAGTGCTCTTAAGGGATAAATAACAGAGTATCACAAAGAAGCAGTTCAATTCCTGGAAACAATTCACCATTTAATGGAGAGACATTATTTTAAACCAAATTTTAATCAGTAACAATTGAGAGCAAACACTCCTCATCACTACATAACAATTTATTAATTGTTGAGAAAACACAGAAAACACAATCGCTATTAAAAATACAAAAATAAATGAAAAACTGCAGGAGAGGAAAAGTGGAAGTCTGTTTTAAATTGTTATACTCTGGATGTTTTTACCTCAGTTTAATATTATGGAGAAGGCAAAATTTAATCATTATTAGTGTTATTATTATAATGAATTTTTGTCTTAAATTCACTGATTTCATGCTTTTGATATTCATTGTCAAGTGTATAATTTGGCAAAGTAATTTTTTTATAAAGGTTACATTCATTGCGAACTATCAAATTTAAGGAAATTGTTTATTATTCAAGAAAATCAATAGCAAGAAAAATCATAAAATTTTGATTAAATTATCCATGAGTTTGCTTTGTATTATTTAACTAACTGCTACGAGAAGTTATATGATTTACTATCGAGGGCGAAGCCCGAGATTGTTTTATCATATAACTTCGAGTCTGCAGTTAGTTAAAAGATTTACGTCACGACCAATTGATAAAATATCCAAATTGTGATTTGATTGGTGACCACAAAGACTTATCAACTAAAAATTGTAAAAGTCTAGATTGATAAGAAATTATTTAGTCCATTTTTATCAGACCTGTGATGTTTCTTGATGTTAACAATTGATGTTAACTGTGCTGGTTAAATGTGCTGTTAAACAAAATAACAGTTTGATTAAATTGCATTTAACCAGCACTGAGTGATGTAAGAATTGTTAAATTATAATTTGGTTACAGTTATAGTTACTTCGATTATATGGTTTGCCTGTTAACACTAATATTAATGATGTTTTCAGCTCACAATCCTTTTAAATATGTTTTAAATTTAAGATAATTTATCTTTAACAGTCATCACCATTATCATCATGTTATTGAGCAGTTTCAACATATTCAACTGGAAACATTATTACCATTGAAATGATACAAATGATTTCCTTTACTTTTGTCTACTTTTCAATGGATCATTATTATAGACTTGATTTTCATCTCAATGTGATTGTAATAAATAAAAAGTCAATTGACTATTCTTGTTAACCAATTGAGTATCACATCAGATGAAAGGGTTAACATCAATGTTCAGTGTTCATATAATATTATTAAGCTGACACAGCTCAGAACTCATCATTTGATCTGTAATGTTTATCTGATCAAGCAATGAAAAAGACAAGACATTTCCAGTCTCAATGGGAAACTGAATTGAAAAAGACTGTTCACTATCCAAATGGCAGGATTCCAAGTCAATTAAACAAATCAAATTGAAATGGACAAAATGAATGTAATAAAATGAGCGACAATACATGATACAGAATTGATTATATTTTCATCAACAATCTTCTTCTTCTTCTCAATTTATCTTTTCCCATTGATTACTTGATAGTTGGTGATGATTATGAAAATTGCATAAAGAGCGTGACTTGATTTGTATTATTTCATTTTTAAAGGTAATCATCATTCGTTTGATGGTTATCATTGCCTATTAACTATTTAAATTGTGATTACTTCGATGTCTAACTCTGTTAACCAGTCACGTAAATAACGGCTTCAACCTAATTGCGAATGTAAATATCAAGTTACGATTTGTATCATTCATCATCCACAGTATTGAATCCATTTTTTGTTTACTATTTACATTACCAACTTAACCAAAGCCTAAATTAAATCATTCATAGTAACTGACCAATTGTAACGTTATTGGACTTTTCATTATAATAATATAATATAATATTTAATAGCATTTTGTATAACATTTTGAATTTTTGAGTCTTGTTTTTTAATGGATTTTCTGTTTATTTTGTTTTACTTCTCTATTAGAACCACTGAATTGGAGTTTAATCTGACTGAATCAGGATTAGATGAGAGTGATCCAGACAAAATTTGGGGTCAAATATATCTTACAGTAACTCTTATACCTAAAACTCAAGAGGAAAAGGAACAGGTAAAGCGAATAGCAAAGCTGTTTTCTTGGGTAAACATGTTAGCCTTTTGTTTGATTGATGTTTTTTTTCTGTATCATCTTTTTGTATCATTCATGACATCTTAAGTTGTGCCGAAAGCCTTTTCGTAATGTAAATTTGACTGCTTCCGGTGAAAATACAAGCAAGAAATTAAAGACTCAACAATGGGACAGTGTTGTTAATATAGTCTTGGTTGAAGGTAAAAATTTAACTCCCAAAGATGAGAATGGATTGTCTGATCCTTACATTAAGTTTCAACTGGGTAAGGAGAAGCATAAAAGTAAGGTGAGATTTGATTGTTTTACTTTCATTGATTAACTATTATTTACTTGAATCATGTTTGGTTTTAATTTTCAACTTGTTTATTTTATTTGCTTTCAGTGCATTCCTAAAACATTGAATCCCGTATGGAATGAACAATTTGATTTGCACACTTTTCCTGATCAAAGTAAAGTGTTGGAGTTGACCGTGATGGACCGTGATTTTCATGGAAGAGATGAATTTATGGGAAAAGCAATCATTAATTTAAATAATTTAAAGCAAGAGGAAACCCATTCAATTTGGGCTGATTTACAGGACGGCCAAGGATCCATTTTGTTGATGTTAACAATCAGTGGTACACTTGGAACTGATGCTATCTCTAATCTGGTCACTCGATCTGAAGATACAAATCAAATTGGACAGTTGAAAAATCAATATGTATGTCATTGAATAGGGAATAATATTGAGGTTTATCTGTAATCAAATCTACCTTTTTGTTCATGTAACTGATCTCTCATTTGTATCTCTTTCTGTCTGATGTCTTAGAGTCTGTTGAGATCGTTCCAGTATCTCAATAATGTTGGTTATCTTGAGGTTAAAGGTAAGTTAACTTGTTATTTTTGGCTTCACTTTGTTTCTAATATACATTTATTTATCAGTTTTTAGAGCGGAAGGTTTAATGGCTGCTGATCTTGGAGGCAAGAGTGATCCATTTTGTGTGATTGAACTTGTAAATGCTCGAGTTCAGACTAATACTGAATATAAAACTCTTTGTCCTGAATGGAACAAAGTATTCACTTTGTAAGTTAATTGAAAGTGTGAATGAATGAATATCAATTTACAATCATCTAATTAGAAGATTTTTCTTAGCACTGTTCGTGATATTCATGAGGTCTTGGAAATAACTGTCTATGATGAAGATCGAGATAAAAAATTTGAATTCCTTGGTAAAGTTGCCATTCCTCTTCTCAAGGTAAATCATTGATTCTCATGCTACTCTTATTTTATTTCATGATTAATGGTTTGATGTATAATTTTCTGGCAGATTCAAAGCGGTGAGAAAAAATGGTTCCCTTTGAAAGACAAGAAGCTGTTGAAGAGAACCAAAGGTCGAATCCTATTAGAAATGACTGTTTACTTTAATCATGTAAGTCAATTTCAATCCATTTTTCATTCTTTTTCACTTAATATTTTCTTATTTCTTATTCAATTTTGTTTCTCTTTTTTCACAGGTTCGTGCTTGTATACGAACATTTAATCCTCGAGAAGCTAAAGTTATCTCCGAAATTCCTAAGTTTAAGAAATCCATTTTCGTCCGTAATGTTTATCGAGTGAAAAGCCTTGCCATGGAAATCCGTCAGATTTATAACTGGATAAACAGTTGTTTCCAATGGGAAAATGTGCCTCGAAGCATTATTGCATTCATTGCCTTTTTAGTTATTACCTATTATTTTGAGCTTTTCATGGTTCCTTTATTTTTATTGCTCATCTTTTTACGATATTATATTTGGAACAAAATATCATCTTATTTTAATGCTTATCCAAGTGCAGATGAACAATCAGAACTTCTTTTAGAGGGTGATGAAGATGACGATAAAGATCAAGGTGTAAGTTTACCATTAATTGTTCATAATCGCCGGGTTGACCGATTGTCTACAATTATTGTGTTTTATTTGCATTTAAAAAAGTGTATTTTTCCTTGATTTATATTTCTAATAATTTACAAATTGTATCTTTCAGGAGGAAAAGAAATCTTTGATGGAAAAATTTCAAGCAATTCATGAAGTCGGTGCTACAGTTCAAAATGCTCTGGGTATGATTGCATCCTACATGGAAAGAGTTAAAAAGTAAATTCATTTATGATAAACTTAATTTGATATAAAGCATAGCATTGTTTAAACTTGAATAATTAATTTGTCTTCTTTATTTCCTTCCTTCTAGTACATTTAATTTCAGTGTGCCTTTTTTATCATGGTTAGCGATTGTGGTTCTAATAATAGCAACAATCATCCTTTATTTTATGCCATTGCGTTACCTTATTATGGCTTGGGGTGTGAATAAATTTACTAAAAAATTAAGAAATCCTAATTACATATCTAACAACGAATTGATTGATTTTCTTTCACGAATTCCTGATATTGATGAACTTGTAAGTCTTAATTTTGCATGTCTCTTTGTGTGTCATTACTAATTATTTTTCAATGTTTTTCTTTCTTAGGCAATGTATCGAGAGTTAAATGATGATCCAAATTCACCAAGTGAATCTGTTCGAAGATCCAAGAAACGCCAATGATTGACCAATGGGAATGATTTTTGCTGAAATTTGGTCAACATTTGTGGTTGGCAAAGTGATCAATCGTTTATGTCTGTCATTGAATAAGATAATTTTGAATTTAACTTGTATTAAATTTGCTTTGTACTAAATTTGTATCTTATTTGACATTCGAGTTCTATTGTTCTTTTCGTTATTGGATTCTATTCTTGTTCATGATTTGATTTGTTGATTAAATGATCTATCATCAATTAGGTCAATTATTGGACTTTGAATTTCATAAATAAATTGCTCTTCAACACAATCAATTTAATCTTGTTTCATCAATAATTTACGGGCAATTAATTATTCATTTGACTGTCTTTTGGTAATATTTTCCGACCTAATAAACTCCAAAGATCTGATCAGTTTAAAAACTGATATTTTCATTAGATTTGGTTCATGATTTATTAGTCAATTTGGATTTAGTGAGGTCATTGTTAAAAGGTGAAGCTTCATTGATCTGATTACCATTTGTTTCTTCTATTTATTGTCATTGGATTTAATAATTCATTAGCAAATTAAATACAAAGAGATTTACATTTTTGTATTGATTATTGATTTAATGATAATTATTGCTTTAGAGTAAATCTTTGCTTTCATTTTATGCGCTTCAATTCAAACAGTTTTTAGAAAAGTTAACAGGTGGCGCTGTGTTTCGCGGAACCGGAAACCTTAAGAAATAAAACTTGCCTTCGGTTTATTTCATTTGAGTTTAAAGTGTGTCTATTAAGTTAACCTTTTGATTTTAGTGTAATTTAATTAATCTAGTTTAACATGGCCAAGAAACGGGCGTTCGAACTTGTTGTTGGTCTTAAGAAGGGACACAAAGTAACTCCAGTTAAAGCTAAAGTTACTAAGAAAGCTCAAGTACCAAGTGTAAGTAAAAAATCTTTCATGTCTATAGTTTATTTCATTTACGTATTGAATTTTTAATTTAATGTTTCCCCTTTGTTCACCTTTTTACAGAAAATTGCTAAGCAAAACAAATTTGTCAAGGATATTGTCAGAGAAATCAGTGGACACACACCTTATGAAAAGCGGTGTTTGGAATTGTTGCGTATTTCTAAAGATAAGAGAGCCCTTAAGTTCTTGAAGCGAAGACTCGGAACACACGCTAGAGCAAAGAAAAAGCGAGATGAATTATCTAACGTGCTTATTCAACAAAGAAAGGCAGCTGCCCACAAATAGTTTCTTACTTTGTAGGTATTTGTCACTTATTTGAAAAATAAAAAACTTGATGTTTCATCTATACCTGTTGTAGTCAACATTTATTGTGTCATTTATTTTAAAACTGAGGTGACTTTTTAAATTAATACAAAAATGAAGTGTAAAGATTGATCGTGATTTCCAATCAATTAGCGATAAGTACCAAGTTTTGCTGCTGGTGAATAGCGTCCACCTGAACCTTGCTCGTTTTCCCTTTTATACACATAGTAGCAAAAAAATACGGTAACCCCAAGTGCACAGAAACCAGCGAATCCACCAACAACAATTCCAGTCAATTCACCAGGCGTAAACGAACCTGAAAGATAAATTGTTGTTTTCATGTATGATCTAATTTTTAAACAAATGTCGATAGCTCTTGCAATTTTGTTACAAATGAGTAATATTAATTATTAATCTTAAATTGAAGTAATCGCAACGGAACTTACCTTTTCTTTCTCCTTTGTAGTTTTGATACGGGTCATATGCTCCTTGGCTCATGGCTTCTTTAATTAGCCCCATAGCTGTTATAATCATGAAAATTGGCAAAATAAATTAAAGCATATCAGTTGTTTTCATAAAGATTTTCATATTTTTTACTTACCCAGAATGAGGATTGTGAATCTGGCCAACATCGTGTTTATTTCTGATTTTGATAACTTTAGTTAACTTTTGATCTTTATACAATATTTAAATTTTTACTCGTAATTAACAAAAAAATATGACAACGCCTAAACAGTATAATGGATTCAGTTATTACTAATCTCTAAGAAAGTCAACAAATTATTCCGTTATCTACCTTGAGTTTTGTTTCCTTGTTAACCATCGATAAGAAGGCCTTACTATCACAGGTTGACATCAATTCATTTTAAGTGTTTACACTCTACCCAGGAAAAATCATGATTGGTAACCAGAATTGTAAACTATTGAGAACCACAACAATGGTGATTCAATTTTTAACGAATACTAAGATTATTGAATCAAAAAATTAAGAGACAGATTATTAATATTTAATAATTTTTTTGGTGCAACTTTAATAACTTTGTAATATGTATAAACTGATATATGTTTGTAAAGTGTCAATAATAACTAAGGCTTTGATTGACTAAACTTAAAATCCCTTCGTCAGCCCATCCAAAAGGGTTTATTTTAAGTGAAAAAATGTGAAATAGAGACAGATTACAAACATCACAATAATGCGAATGTGAAATATAATTTAAATTTTGGTGAAAATACTTTTGATTAGCCAAATTTGGACGTCGTTAGCGTTTTGGTGTACAATTTGTTTTAAGGTTATCATCGATGATGAAAGTGTATCAGAATGAACGAAGCAACCAATTTTTGTTCAACATTGTATTTGTCAAGTTGAATGTAGCTTGAAAAGTTTGAGCGCAATTATTTAGCCAATAAAAGGGCGGAATGATTTTGAATCGATTTGATGGTTTTCAACAATCTTTTTTTGATATAATTGTGGCAGTAATAGTATAATGTCGAGGAGTGATTATGATAGCTATAATGAGGATGATAGAGATGAAGTCAGGATGCATTTTTAAAATTTTTTGTTTATATTAACAATATCATTAATCATCTGAAAAATAGCTCAACTCAAAAACAGCTTCCGACACCAATTGGATCATCACCACGATTAACCAGATTAACAAAATATTGCGATAACATAACCATTATTCAATTTTAGATGAACCGTAAGGTTTTTTCATTGAATAGATTAATGTTTGGAAAAATGTTTTTAGATCAATATATTAATAATTACTAAGGCTTTGCGCTGCAAAGTTTGCAGGGCTGAATTTGAAATCACTTGATTAGTCCATTGAATTTCTAAAAAGTTACCGCCATCAAATTGGGATATAAATTGATTAAGGTTGGGATTGATAAAAATCTCTTAAAACGCTCCAAGCCTTAGGAGCCATAAACCCGTCGGGTGGTGTTTGTCCATTTCTAGCTAAAGCTCTCATCCTTGTACCCGAAATAAAGAGGAATTTGTCCTTCTCATTGGGGTCATAAAATTCCATGCAACCTTTTACAAGGTTATAGGCAGCTACTTTAAAAGGTATCACTTCAAATTGACTTAAACCCCTTGCAATTTGTAACAATTTGGCTCCATGTGAAGGATCATAAAGGTCATCACTACCATTAGGGTGTTGAATTCCGGCTGGATCTCGACCAACTATGTAATAATTGGCACCAGTGACTAAACGAGCTTTACAATGCCATTGCACTTCAACGGGTCCGGCGTAACTCATTGGCGATGGGAAAATGGCTAGAACAGTTGATTCTGGATCTAAAACTTTTGCTTCTAAGACGGCTTTATGTTGTTCAATTCTCACTTTTAAAGGCACATCATCTTCTTTGGTCCAACCACCAAGAGGATGCAATAAAAGAACTGGATTCTTGCAATTCTTGTCCAATAATTGTTTCTTGGTTTCTTGCATCAAAAGTGCATGACCATTATGAATTGGATTTCGTAATTGGAATGCATAAATGGCATCAGCCTGTGGACAAAATGAAGAGAGAAAATCATTTAGTTTGAAAAGTGAAAATTAAGTTACAACAGTCTTAATGGCTAAACAAGTTTCCGATACTGAAATGATTTCAAAAAGGATACTCAATATAAATATACAAAATTATTATTAATGATATTTCATTTAACATTGCTACATTTATCTTACAGTCGATTCCCATTGGAAGATCCATAGTCAAAATGAAAAATTGCATGATATTAAAATTATTTACTTGCTCAAAGTGAAAAAAAACTCGAATCACTAATTAAGATTTAACACTATTTAATTTCCAATAATTTGATTCTAAGATAAACCATAGCAAAAGTTTTCTTCATTTTGATGATGAATCTTTTCATTATGAATTTATTTCAATGTGAATTGACTGTAAGAGCTGAAATAATGCGTCAATAGCGGTTCAACATTATCTTCATTCTCATCTTAACCAAAACAATACATAAGCAAAAAGTTTGTCATTTTGACAGGTGAGTCATTTTTATAACGTTTATAACGTGAAGTGGTTAAAATGATAATTTAGTAAGAATGCACTTGATAAAGATCTATTATTTATGAGGGAAATTTTGTGGAAAAATAATTGAGTTTGCACTCATTTCAATTGATACTTACTCCCATTCTTTTGAATTTCGTACGAAGCTCAGCCGGTGTAAGTCTATATTGATCAAGTCCATCTTCCCATGTTATCTTTTGAAGAACAGATAAATCTCCTCCAACTAAATAATCGCCGCTTTCATAGATCATTTTAATGGTTGGATGGCCTATATTAGTTGTTCCGAAAATTTTTGCACAACGTTCTTCCTTCCGATGGATGAAAAATTCAGCAAAACATTTATTTTCATACCAGAGACCAATTTCCTTTTTATTTTCCAATCTTTGTTTATCAGCATCAGAAACAGAACAGAAACAGAAAGTACGATAGGAATCGTATGATTAACAAGACCACCTATTAATAGAATCACGAAATATTTTCAATAAAAAGACATAATGAACATTAAACTAATAATTTACTCGTAATAATTTACACTTACTAACCTCTGATAGTTCCTTTATGGATGCACTCGAGATATTCAACTTCCCTCATGAATCCGGTTAAAGGAGTAGCCCATCCTTCACTTAATACTTGGACCCATTCAAGGTCTATCCGGGAAATGTTTAAGCGAGCAATTGCACTATCGTCATTAAGTCGTTCCATGATACCAGGCAGTAGATCAGATGAAGTGAAAAGTTCAATAATTCGTTTTTGAATACATTGTTTATCTTCAAGTAAACGTATAACATTCTCAATAGATTCTTCGATGTTTAAATCCATTGTACTTAAAACTAAATCAGGATTTTCAGGTATCTCATAAGGTGCATCAATACCAGTGAAATTTTTAATTACTCCAGATCTAAACTTTTTGTACAATCCTTTTGGGTCCCTTCTTTCACACTCTTCTACGGGTGTATTGATGAAACATTCGAGAAAATCAATTTGTTTCTTATGATGAATCGATCTAGCTAAAGCTCGATCCTCTTTGAATGGACTAATCAAACTGACAACCGGTAAAAGATTTGATCCAGCGAACATGGTAGCTACCTCTGCAGTTCGTCGTAAATTTTCTTTTCTATCCTTTGAACTAAAGCCCAAATCACTATTCAAACCAGCTCGTAATTTGTCACCATCAAGATTAACTGCATTATAACCTAAAGATCTAAGTTTAGCAACTACACCATTAGCAATTGTCGTTTTACCACTTCCAGATATACCTACAGACCGTAAAATATAAACCAGTTAAATTTATAATCGAATATGACAAAATAGATAATTAACAATCATGAATCATGATACTTACCAGTTAACCAGATAGTTACTGGGCGAAGAGTACGGTTATCAGAAGTCATGTTGTTTATTGTAGATATGCGGTTGATTTAAAAAAAGCGTGAAGAGATGAGTTTGGTTGGTGAACAGGTAAATAAGTGAACAGTTGTGAACACCTCAACAAAAAAATGTAAACAAATATTGCAAAAAACCAGGACGACAAAAATCAGGTTTAACCTCCATCTGCAGCCATCTTTTGACATTTGCTTTAATTATCATACTGTTATCATTTTCTCGGAAATTATTTCAATAAAATGTTACCTTTACGTAAGGGATTCAAAGTCCGATTAATATAATTGCACCGAGAGATGAGCCAACAAACGTTAACATAAAAAAATAATAATGTTAACTAAAGAATTTAAATTTTATGTTATAATATCAGTAATCGTATTTATACAATACAAAAAAAATCAATCTTAGGTATTTCTGAGATTGACGAAATGAAATGACTTAATCTAATTTTTTTGCTATTTCAAGTTAGAAAAATTGCTAAATAATCAGCAAAGTTAGGATTTTAAACTAAATGCTTCTAAATGCTTTGGTGCTATTATTGTTGGTAGTTAGATCCGTCTTCCTCTCTGAACCGGGAATCATAATTGCGACGTCTCTGATCTCCATAGTTATCATTTCTCCTATAACCACCTCCAGAATTTTGATTTCCACGAGGTCCCCGGAATCTGTTATCTCTCTGCTGATCATAATTATTAGATCCTTGTCCATAACCTCCAGCCCCTTGTCCATAGCCTCTAGACCCTTGTCCATAGCCTCCAGCTCCTTGTCTGAATGGTTGGTCATTTCTAACTGTTCTTTCGATTGGATTACAAATGATTGGCTCTAATGAATTCTCTTGAATCAGTTTGTTTTCTTCAAGCGCTCTCTTGATATTTTCCCAATCATTTCTCAATTCAGAATTTTCTGAAGCTTCGACAGCTGAATCAACCTTTTCAACCTGTACAAAAATCAAGTTCATAAACATTATAGTTATCTGTTACCTTTAAAATTAATGACTAAAACTTACCGCTTCTGCGATGATAATAGCTCTTTCGATTGGACGACCGCGATTGATAATATTTCTGATAATATACAGAATATCATCAATTCTCTTCAGTGAAGCAAGAGCCATGATTCTAATACTCAAAAGAACAGCACTGTTAGGTGGAGCATCAACCAGAGTGAGACTTTCGAGTGCAACTTCTGGGTCATTTTGTTTCAAAGCTAAAGCTGAAAAAAAGGAGATCGCTCGTCTTGTCAATCGAGTCTTCGATTCTCGAATCTCAACAAACAGATTCAAACAGTATTTAAAAGCTTCCGGTGTATTCTAAAAGAAGGAGAAAAAGATTAGTGTGATAAAAATTGAGATGAGGGTTGCAGCCATAAACATTAAACTTACCAATTTGTAGCATGCTGCAGCCACTAAAGTAATCACGTCTCTAGGATATTTATTTGGCCTTCCCTCAAGATTTCGAAATCGGTCATATAAATCTAATATTTGCTGGTACTTTCCTTGCTCCCAGCAAAGATCCATAGTTATCAAAAAGCTTCGTTCTTGATTAAAAAATTCTTTGTACTTCTGCAGAATCGGAATAAGAGTAGATTGAGTGAGAGGAAGTCATAATGAACGCACTAATAAAATGAAGTAATTTAAACTTCAGAATCTTTTAGTATTGAATACTTACATCATCCATTAACATGTTATAAGCTAATTCAGAGTCTCCGAATAAATATAACAGCCTCATAACCACAGGTCCAAATTGATAGGTAGAAAAATTGATGTCATTAGTCTGTTCAGTATATCTAACATTTCAAAAAATAATGAAAATTTTATTAATATTTTAATTAAAGGAAGAAATAATGATAACTTACTTTGAAATAACTTGCTTTAACAAAGCAACATCTTCAGGTTCATTAGATACCAGAAAAATGGAATTTTTGAGATCTTCCGAAAAGATCATCTTATTTTTACCTTCAATAGTAGACTTCATACGTTCAATCAAGTTGTCTTTTAAATGACCAAATTGACCAGAGACTTTGGTTCGTTGATTCTCAAATGTATCAACACCTAAATAGTTGGCAGTAAATAAGAACCGTTGATTAACGGGCGTCATGTAAGAGCCATTAATCAAAGAACCGTTGGATTTCAATGTGGCACCGTATTTTAAAGAAGTATTTTTCAAGCAAGAGCTTAAAATTTTTTGATTGATTAAATTAGACATGATTATAGAGCAAATGGGAAGTCAAATAAATTAAATGACAACTTTTAGTAAACAATTAAACCTTAAATTAATACTCTTAAACACCAAAAAATTAGCAAACAAATTAAAGGACAAAATTCTCGCTCAATAACCATGTGTTTTCAATACAAAAAGGAAAACGTGATTACCATGAGTGACATCTACAGATTTAAGGATTAACCATTAGATTTATATGGGCATATTTTAAATGAATCGTACTTAATTTTTTTTATTATTTCGATTTAACAATCAGAATAAAACCTACGTGCGTATTTTTTGAATAAATTTTGAAAGCTTCGTAGTAAAATCGATTTCCCTTCCAAAAAAGAAAATTGTTAAAGGAGTTTAAAGTCATTTCTATGATGCTTCAAAAAACGATTTTATAAATAATTACTTATGGTAAGAATTCAGAAGAGTAACGAAGGCTTATTTTTCACGGGGTACCAGAAGTTCACAGTTTTTGAGAAGCCCAATTCTTGCTCCGTGCTTTTGGTGCAAACAAAAATGGAATCATAACCATCAGTTTAATCAAATGCAACTGAATTGTCGGAGGACGAAAATTCAATTATGCTGTTTAAATGAACAAAGCACCAATGACACGAAAAGAGCTTGGTAACTTCGTCGGTAAGCAGAATTAAGAAGCCGAGTAGCTCATGTGTTTTATCGATAAATAATAAGTTTCCGCTTTCTAACTCTTATGGTCACAGAAAACGGTCGTTTTAGCTGAAAATCGAAGTGACCTGTTGTACAGAAAACTAAAATATTAAATAATAAATGCCTTTTCTGGTTGGCCATCAAAATTTACATCAGAATAATAAGTTTCATGAAAAAAGCTACTTCCATAATTGAAGCAACGGCGATCGAAGTTTCGACTTTGACCTCAACTTTCTCGAAAACTGTCTGCCAGACAAATTTTTTATAGCACTAATGGACTCAGTTTTTATGACCCAGAAACCCACAAAGTCACTGTTCTTGACTCGAAAGTCAAAGTTTTTATTCCTTTACTTACTTAAGGTAGTGCAACTAAAAATTAACACATTCATATTTAATAGTTCAAATGAAATTTTAGACAGAATGTCTAGACTTAAAGGCACCATTTTTTCAGGTATTGAGCCAACAACCTAACACAAGCTAAATATGAAATTTGAAGTCAATTGGCCAAACATTGATCGACTATGTCTTCATAAAGTGAAGCATCAAGAGGACAAAATGAAACAAAAATTGAAGACAAAACAGCTAGCTGGTGAAAAATCCCATAGAAAATAATGTTAAATATAAAAACTTGAAAAATTTGACAAAGATTGCTCTGATTTTTTCATGAGATAAAATGAACATAGCAACAGTAGCTATTTATGGTATATTAGCAGGACTCAATTAATGAAAATTAAAAAAAAAATAATTCTCTAACTAATCTGATTGTTGAATAATTAGCTAAACAATTTATGTTTCAATTTTTAGCTGCACTACCTTACATAGTAAAAACGTCGATAAAAATCTAAGTTTAAGCAAGCTTAAGTGTAAATCGTTTCTAGATTTTATTGATTTAAGCCTTTGGCTATTTTGAATTTGTTTCTTTTGACTGCTTTGAGTATCGCCATGTACATTTAAAACTTGTTATAATCGCTTAACGAACTACATGTATGTAACTAATCGTATGTATCTTTTTCAGAAAACGAGTCTCGAAAAAATTCAGAAACGTTCACATTTTCACACGTTTACATTCACTTAAAAAGTCATTCAAAAAGTATGGACGAAAGCCTGTACTTGATATGCTGATATTTAAACGCTCTGTGCATACAATAAAATGACTTAGGTGGCTGAACTAGAAATAAATAATAACTAGACAAAATAAACTATTTGAATTAACACACAAAATATTAAATTTGACCACAATGAATGTTGGACAGACTGTGCACCTAGTGCATGTGTTGATGCTTCAAGGATGAAAATTTTGCTGATATCAATGATTGTGTTTTCTGAAGGCACTTTCCATTACAGGTTTGGGAGTGCTCGATATTGAAGATAAGCAAAACTTTTACTTTAAAAATTAACTGAAGACTATTTTAACTTGAAAATAAAATGTACAGATGGAAGATTAGACTTGTAGCCTTAAATACTCAAACTGGATCGTGGACTCTGATCGCTGTCTTCTGATACTTGAATATTAGATGATAAGCGAACTACAGAAGTATTCTGGACAGAATAAGATTATTGCTTACGATTCGTTAGATTATTTGCTTGTGAAGTGCAATCTGAACTTGAACAGGATTGATGGGAAGACATAAATCATAAGAATAATTAACATAAGCCATTGTCAATTAAACCCTATTATGAGACATGATTCCGCCTTACGATAGATAAATATTATGACACAGATAAAGAATATGGAACTTAATTGTTAAACAAAGCGCGTGGATCAATTTTGAACCAGGAAAATAATGGATAAATAATATGGAAAATATGGAAATTTAAAGCATTAGAAAGAAAAACAAATGATTGTAATCTGTTAATGTGTCAAGATGATGTTTAATCAGATGGAGGAAATTACCGAGAATAGGTAGCTTTCCAGGTATATTACGAATGATCAATCAGTGACTGTTTTCCGTCACTGACTTTCCGTATTATGTTAAACTGTCTTTATTGATCTTTAATATTTACATGTATAGTAATGATAATGATTTTGGATGAAAAACGAGTTCGAAAATTAAATGTTTTTATAAAATAAATTTATAGTCAATGCAATGTTGACAGTGTTTACGATTACCAAAATAATTTCATTCCAGACTGAAATGAAGCCATTTTTCCTTTGCTTTTGATTCATTCAGATGAAATAGGGAAACAAGATTTTCTGAATTTCATGATTTTTACCTTTATCAAACCCTTCAAACTCCTCCTATGTCGAATTGAATTGGAATCTTGGGTTGAATTGTCAGTGGAAAAATTAATCAAGCTTTAACCAAGTTAATGCAGTGAACCATATTCAGTCTTATTCAAACAAACAGTTTTCAGATAAACAAATTTTAAAGTTTACTCATCTTCTAAAACTCAAATCATGACACCAAGAAATAATGAATCGGAGGACAGTTTATTAGGTGATAGTATTGATGATAATTTGAAATTGAAAATAACCAGCAAAGATCCTAATTGGAAGCCGTTGAATAATATTGTATGGAGAAACGTTATTTGGTATTTGTTGTTACACATCGGCGCAATTTATGGTTTTTCCCTCGCTTATGTTCAAGCAAAATGGTTTACTCTAGTTTATGGTGAGTTTTTTGATTCTACAAATCATTGTTATTAATTACTGTGTTGGCCAACTTTCCTTTATTACTCTTTATATCTAATTACGTTATTCTTTCAACAATGTATAGCATTGATTCTTGGTCAAGTGAGTTTTATTGGTGTAACTGGTGGTGCTCATCGTCTTTGGTCTCATCGATCTTACAAAGCAACATTTCCCTTTCGCTTGTTCCTAATTATTTGTAATACAATTTGTGGACAAAATTCAATTTATGATTGGTGTCGAGATCATCGGGTTCACCATAAGTATTCTGAAACTGATGCTGATCCCCACAATTCGAATCGAGGATTCTTCTTTAGCCATATGGGATGGCTATTGTGTCGTAAACATCCCCTAGTAATTGCTTGTGGTCGTAAAATTGATTTGTCCGACTTATTAGAGGATCCGCTGGTCGTTTTTCAACGTGAACATTATCTGAAACTTTTCTTCATTTTGGGTTTTATTGTTCCAGCTTTGATTCCTACTCTAATTTGGTCTGAAAGTTTGTGGACATCTTTCTGGGTTTGCTCGGTGGCACGTTACTGTAGCCAATTACATCGTACTTGGTTGGTTAATTCGGCTGCTCATATGTGGGGATATCGTCCCTATGATAAGTCAATCGCTTCAGCAGAGAATGCAATTGTTTCTTGTCTAACTTTAGGCGAAGGTCATCATAATTATCACCATACCTTTCCATGGGATTATTCAACTTCAGAGTGGGGTTGGTCACTTAACGTAACCACAATGGTTATTGATTTAGCACAAAAAGTAGGTTTCGTTCATGATTGTAAAACTGTTCCTAAGGAATTTGTCAATTCTAGGTGCAATAGAACTGGTATTAAACGTGAGTAACATTTTGCCCTTCTTTGTATCTTCTTTAATCCTGTAAATTAAAAATAAAAACATCAATCAAAAATATTTTTACTGAATTGTCGCCTTTAAAAGTTCTTATCTTAATAGGAATATAAGAGGGCCAAATTTTCGACTCAATTCGTTTTTGATTTTTCTAAACTTTAAATAGCTGAATGTTTACTGTTTAACTGTTGTAAGATAACGACTTGATTGCGTCCGGAAGATAGATAATTTTCCATAGATATCTTCAAAAGCTTACAATTGGAATCGCCTTTCATACAAGTTCACCACAAGACTTGATCAGAGTTTGGAAGCTTATTTATGAATTTTGGTTGATGCCTTATGCAAGCAACTTTAAATTAACGTAAAAAGATGTGACCCAGGCAGAGAAATATGATTAAGGTTTTTTTACATGAGAAAATAAATTTCAAAAATTGAAATTATATAAAGCAATCAATAAAGTTGGGAATAATGTTTATTACTGTTTCTTTGGTTCAACTGTTTAAATATGGCGGTGTACAGGGATGTAACATTGTAAAGCTATTTTATAAAGAGAGTGCGCTGTTTTATGTGTTTATGAAATATTTTGAGAAAATATTGATTTATTTTGATTTTGATTCTCACTTTTAATCAATTGTGACCGTCAATTGCGCTATTTGGTTACGTTGATACCTTATTAAAATTAACCAAAACTTTATTGGTTTAATTATTTATTTTGAAAGTACGACCACTTTTGGGTTATTTTTATTTGTCAGTAATCTTTTTTATTAAATGTCTACATTGTTTCCTTCTTGGCCAGTAAAACAAAGAGTTGAACCGTTATTTATACATGTAATCAATGGAATGCTCAATTTGTCTTGAAACCTGTATTCAGCCTGTCCAGCTTCCCTGTAGCCACATATTTTGTTTCCTATGTGTTAAAGGTGTCGCTGATCGTTATCAAAACTGTGCTATCTGCCGTCAACCGATCCCTGAAGATTACTTTGATCATCCGATTCTTGTTCCTTGTGATCAAACACTTGATTCACCTGAATTTGATGGAGGCTACCAGTGGTTTTATGAAGGTAAAAATGGCTGGTGGCTTTATGATCCTCGAACGAGCGCTGATCTTGAAGAAGCATACAAATTAGGACAACCAACATGTCAGTTACTGATTGCTGGTCATTTATATTACATTGATTTTAATCGAATGATCCAATATCGATCTGCTGAACCACGGAAACGTCGTAAAATAAAACGAGATGCTAGAAGATCCACCGTTACCAAAGGAATTGCTGGACTCAAATCTTTTGAATCACTGAGTGTAAGCTACATCGATAAACCAAGTGCTCCGCCAATGTCTCCGCCATTGCCATCATCGCTACCACCGGTTCCTTCTTCATTTCTTTCTCCTCCTCCTCCTCCACCACCACCGTCTCCAGCTTTACCGATTGCAACCTTTTCATCTTCGATATCATCCACTTCACCATCAAATGGACCTAAACATCATCGTAAATTGTTCAACTATTCATCTGCCTCCCCACAATCATCTTCATCCAGGTTATCTTCATCTTCTCACCGACCACCATCGCCTCCATCTCTTGTCGAGTTAATGAGTAGACTTTCGTTCAAACTTGGAAATGACGCTAATCTTCTACGGTGATGGCCATCAAAAACTGTCTCTTTGAATAACTTTGTTTCATTAGATTTTCATTGTAAGCCGGTAACCGGTTGTCAACAGATATTTTCATTTTTAACTTTCATAATCTATTACATGTACCTTACATTTTGTTTATAAACTATTCGTGAACAAAGAAAACTCGTATTGCAAGCCTGGTCAAGACGTTTATTAGCCTGAAGTTTTAATTTGATATCAATCTTATATTTCAAAATACCAATCCCTTAGTAAACATAAAATATTGAAAATAAAAATGTAAAAACGTAGATTTTTGAGTTTTATTGAAAAATCGTAATTTTGAGTATAATTGATTGGGTGAAACCCGATCAAATAGATATATCTTTATCATATATGAGAAAGATCAGTTGAGTAGTTTGCGCTTTATCTAGCATAGAAACATCATTAGATGATTTTTCAAAAGTTTTATTGTATTACATTATTATTCTTTCTTCTGTGCTTACAAATCTTAGTCCGATAAGATAAAAAATTCAACAAATTCCGTAACTGTACAAACCACTTTTTCACACCAGATTAGACAATAAACAGTATTTACAATATTGTATTGTGCTAAATTAGCTCATGGATCAAAATCATTAACTAGAAAGTGGTGAATAAAACCGGCGGATATTGAATTAGATTTATTATTATTATTCAGATTAATAGATCCAATAACTCGAATTGCTTATTTACCTTCGATGAGCAATTATTCCAAGTTTTGTTTCCTAATTTCTTTGTTTTTCACCAAAAGTTTCGCTTTATCTTTTATCCATTGGATAATGTTAAGATTTTCATTTCGAACAGCTTCCCTTGCTTCAAAAAAGCAAAATAATTGAGAAGCCAAATTACATGGTTGGAAGCACTATCGAGCAGTGTTTAATTATTCTTAAACTTAAACTAATTCCTATTAATATGATTAAATTAAATTAAAATTCAAAAGAAGCAAAAATTTTTCGAGTTTGACGACCACGCCATCTCTCGATTTGAAAGCGCACGATAATCCAGAGAAAAAGTCTCTTTTGTTCCTTTTTGTCTGTCTGTCTGTTTTAAAATCATGTTTACTCAATAAAATCGAGTTGATTAAATTATCAGGTAATTATAAATGTCACCTTAATTTTGACTTGAATTATCTTTAACCTTGTTAATTATTGACCACTGTGACCTACAAATGTTTATAATTTTCTTGATAATCTCTGATTTGTCTTCATTTAACTAATCTCTTGTTTTTCTCTTTTTTTCTCTCCTTTTCTTTTCTTTTCTTTACTTTCTCTTTTTCCTTTCCTTTACTCTTTTGTGCTTCACACCATGATTTCTTTCTTTCTTTTTATGCAATACCAATACCTTTAAATTGATTACCACTTCATCTGTCCCATCGGATTGTTATAATTTAATTTTTAATCAAATTTAAATATCACCATCACCACTACTTATACTTTTACTGTTTTAAAATCATCATTCACTTCGAATCTTTATTTGGCTCGATCTTACGGTCTTTTCTTCTGCATCTCTCATCTATTGCTTGTTTCTTGGTTCACTGGTTCCTTCTCTCCTCCTTTATCTTTCTCTCTCTTTCTGTTTATTCAGTTTTCTTAACATTATTTAACAGCTTATCAACTTGGTCCGTTACATCTAATTATTTTAGGTAAATTAAAATCATCAATTTAGCTCCTGTTAAAATTGGTTAAAGAATATACCTTTTGGAACACTGTTTTTGTCCGTCACCCTGAAATCATGTCCTCTGCACAAGCTTTCTGTCTCCGACGTAATAACCATAGTTCAGACATGTCTGAACATTTTGAGAGAATGTTTAAAGAGGAATCTCTAGTCGATGTCACTCTCTCCTGCAAGGATGGTAGTATTCGTGCTCATAAAATGGTCTTGAGTGCTTGTTCTTCCTATTTCAAGAACATTTTCAGCAAATTTATCAACCCATATCAATATCCTGTTGTCATTATGAAGGACGTACCTTTCGCAGATCTCAGGGCTATAGTTGAGTTCATCTATAGGGGTGAAGTTTTTGTACCTCAAGAACAGTTGGCGTCAGTGCTGAAGTCTGCTGAATCTCTAAAAGTTAAAGGTTTATCCGATGTCAATGTAAACAAGAGCCAATTGATCCCTCGACAGCAGCAGCACATTTCTGGTGAGCACAGCGCTGGTCAACGTGAGTTGATTGACCAATATTTAAAGCTTTCTTTGTTTTATTAATCATGCTTTTTCTATCTGTAACACAGTTGGTGCTAACGTCCCTCTTCAACATATTTCTTCTGGTGTTCATGGACAAGCCGAATTTGCAGCCACCCAGCCTCATAACTTCTTATTGACTAAACAAGGCTAGCTTTAAAATCACCGTGGAAATTATATCCTTCAGGTTCCTGTAACTGGCAGCTATCTATTGGCATGGATATATTCCCTTTTCTCATCTCTTCAGCCCTCTTCCTCCTTTTTTCATGTAATAGGTCGCCCTTTTTCCGTCTCACCCTCGCGTTATCTTTCTCTCCGGAAAACATTCCTGGAGATTTATCGCTCCTATATTTCTAGGCTAAACTCTTCAATAACTGCAACATGGACACGAAATTATTTACATCCTCTCATTTACGATAAAACACACACGTACATACTTACGAACGATTCTTAAGCTCCTCTTAAACTTTTTGACTCAAATTTTCAATTGTTTTCATCTATGGGCATAACCGTTCATCCACTAGCATGTTCTTGATTATTTTTGAGTCTCTTCGCACGCTGTGCTCTTTTCTCTAATTTTTCCTCCAACTCTTGGCAAATTATACTGCAAGGATAATCCATCCAACTGTATACTGACTTGAAGCCATCAAAATATTGACTTAAATAAAGACTGAAATAGAATCGTTTTGCCCCTTGAAACGTTTTCTATCGCTTAAAATTAATTGTGACCGTCAATTGTTAGGTTACGTTGATACTTTATTAAAATCAACCAAAACATTTATTGGTTTTATTATTTATTTTGAAGACAAATTACGACCACATTTAGGTTTATTTTAATTTGTCGGTAATCTTTTTTATTGAATGTTTACATTGTTTCCTTCTTGGCCAGTAAAACAAAGAGTTGAACCGATTTGATGGAGGCTACCAGTGGTTTTATGAAGGTAAAAATGGCTGGTGGCTTTATGATCCTCGAACGAGCGCTGATCTTGAAGAAGCATACAAATTAGGACAACCAACATGTCAGTTACTGATTGCTGGTCATTTATATTACATTGATTTTAATCGAATGATCCAATATCGATCTGCTGAACCACGGAAACGTCGTAAAATAAAACGAGATGCTAGAAGATCCACCGTTACCAAAGGAATTGCTGGACTCAAATCTTTTGAATCACTTAGTGTAAGCTACATCGATAAACCAAGTGCTCCGCCAATGTCTCCGCCATTGCCATCATCGCTACCACCGGTTCCTTCTTCATTTCTTTCTCCTCCTCCTCCTCCACCACCACCGTCACCAGCTTTACCGATTGCAACCTTTTCATCTTCGATATCATCCACTTCACCATCAAATGGACCTAAACATCATCGTAAATTGTTCAACTATTCATCTGCCTCCCAACAATCATCTTCATCCAGGTTATCTTCATCTTCTCACCGACCACCATCGCCTTCATCTCTTGTCGAGTTAATGAGTAGACTGTCGTTCAAACTTGGAAATGACGCTAATCTTCTACGGTGATGGCCATCAAAAACTGTCTCTTTGAATAACTTTGTTTCATTAGATTTTCATTGTAAGCCGGTAACCGGTTGTCAACAGATATTTTCATTTTTAACTTTCATAATCTATTACATGTACCTTACATTTTGTTTATAAACTATTCGTGAACCAGATACTGTCAGTAACTGGAAATAGCTTATATGCACAGCAAGCCTATTAATCGAGCTAAAATTTAAAATTACAATGATTAATAAAATTAGAGTCAGTTGCTAGAAAAGTCTAACAAATTAATGTCATTGTGCTGAGGATCGTTAGTTGAGTTGAATTTGTCAGACATATTCAACTTTTTTTTTGATAATTTCTTTATAATTTCAATAAAAACTTTCCTTATTGGGTCTGTAAACAAAGGGTTCGAGGGCTATTGAATAATCTACTGACATTATCTGGTACTCCACTGTATTTCAAAAATACCCTTAGTAAACATAAAATATTGAAAATAAAATGTAAAAACGTAAATTTTGAGTTTTATTGAAAAATCGTAATTTTGAGTATAACTGATTGGCTTTCATCCAATCAAATAGATATATCTTTATCATATTCGAGAAAGATCAGTTGAGTAGTTTGCGCTTTATCTAGCATAGAAACATCATTAGATGATTTTTTAAAAGTCGTATTGTATTACATTATTATTCTTTCTTCTGAGTTTACAAATCTTAGTCCTATAAGATAAAAAATTCCGTAACTGTACAAACAAAAAGAAAGTCTGATCCAAGACTTTCTGCGTGATTAGATTAAAGTAAAAAATCATCGCTCATTAACATCTTTCGCGGCTTAAATTACATGATGAAACATCCCCTTCAATGATGTAGGCATTGTTAATGATAACGGTGAAAATTTGAATGAAGGTGTACGAAAGCTTTCACAGGATGAAAATTAATCGCCAAGCGACAATTGATTGATGGTTGATTCATAATTTGTGTAACCACTTTTTCACACCAGATTAGACAATAAACAATATTTACAATATTGTATTGTGCTAAATTAGCTCATGGATCAAAATCATTAACTAGAAAGTGGTGAATAAAACCGGCTTTTTTCTTCTCGATTTCCTGAATATTATTCTGATGATTTCCTTTTTGATTTGGTTGTGCCTGTTGTGGGGCTCTTAAAATTATATCCCCAAAAATAGAGGCTAAGAGAAAAGAAAAGAAAAATTATTGAATCAATAAAAAACGATTAAACAAAGTCTTGTAATTGTTAATTTCTTACCAAGCATTTTATTATCAAGGTTGTTATATTTTGAATGCCTTAATAATTCACGCATAAACGAGATCAAATAGTAAAAAACTCGTCGATGGGTATCTCTCATCTCGTTGATTACCTATTGAGAATGAAAAATCAGATTGAAACAGAGTGGAAAAATAATTGTGATGTATTTTTTGATTATTTACCTGTTTACAAGCGATGAAATTATGGTAATTTTCAAGGGCTCTACTATATAAACTATGAGGTATTAAAGGTTCAGCAAGTGCTTCCAGGAAGATTAATAGAGCTTCAGCCACCGAATGAATACTTGCAGTGAAACCTTCTAACGATCCCTTATCTAGACCTTCACGAATTGTTTGGAAATGTGTATCGAGTCCTGGTTGTTGAAATAAGTCTTCTTGCATGAGACCGTATTTGAATAGATGATCAACAAGGAGCCAAATTTCTTTGGGTATTCCCCATGAAACTGGAGCCGAGGAAAATTCACCCTTCTGTTGTAGTTCATGATATTCGTTGGCGGGCATCTCATCGATAGGAATTTTAAGTCGAACTAGTGTTTCAATTGAAGAGCCAAAACTTGAAGGTTTATAACTTCCTTTGATTTCAATGAACAGATCTTTTCCTCCGTCCAAATGTAGCACCAAAATATCATAAATCTCTTCAAGTCCTGAGTTTAATTTTTGAGCAGATTCAATGTCAACGTATACTTTTAGTTCTACGTCTAGTTTATCTCCTGGTTTAATTGTTGATTCGTAAGGTTGAATTTGCAGCCAAGGCTTACAAAAACGAACTTCATTAGGTTTTTGAATGAATTCAAATCGAACTGGAACTTGACCAGTATTGGCAATGCTTAAGTAACGCTGCACAGATTCACGGAAAGTTACACGACCGAAATTGATTTCACTTTGATCGACCGAAACTTGTGGTAAAAATTCATTTTCAATTTTGTCCATCTTTTTCATCACCTCTTCATACACTTTACGGAATTTAGTTGGATTTTTTACTTTAACTGATGATTCGAAAAGAGCACTTATTGGTTTATGGTCACTGAGCTTTAATCTTGCATGACTTCTATAATCCAGTAATGCTATTGAATCACCTCGCCAAAGACAACGATCACACCAAGCTGGCGGTCGATTTTTCTCACTTGAGTCCCAATTATCTGTTCCTGGATCGTATTTATATGTTGGAGGATGCTTGATTGGTCCTTCTTTGAAATTATGAAAAATACGTTTTAATCTCCACTGGTCCCTTAATTGATCATGTTTCAACAATTCATCAAAAGCTTTTTCCTCTAACATTCGTTTCACTTGATCGCGATTGAGATCCATTAAACGATAATTTAAGTCTCCGAACCAATAAACTTGACTGAAAAGAAAAGGAAAGATATTAGTAACTGCATAAGCTATAGCAATCATATAGTTGAATGATTTGAGTAATTAAATGAGTAAATGTACTTAAATATGGAGAAAATTAGTTCATGTCAATTTTGAAAATTAATTCTTCAAAAGAGAAGTTGATATAAAATCATTTCACTAGATTTGAGATAAGCTTCAGATTCGGTTGGACACTTTCAAATTGAAAGAGGGCAAGCTTTTCAGCTCAATTAATTTTTCTGAACTTTAAATAGCTGTAATGTTTACTGTTGTAAGATAACGACTTGATTGCGTCCGGAAGATAGATTATCTTCCATAGATATCTTTAACAGCTAACAAGTATGGACATTACCCGAACGGAAATTATTTGAGTGTTTGAAACAATTATTGCAAAGGAAGTAGAAAATTGAGAAGTAATTGTCGATAACTTACTCATGATCTTTTATATACTTTGGGGGTTTGAATTGACTGAAAATCATTCGATTACAAATATCATTGTAATCTTGATTACGTCTTTCGTATTCTTCAACGTGAGCTGCAAGGTGAGAGTTGACAAAACACATCGAAGTATTGTAGAAATCAAATCTAATCGCAACACCACCTTTGTTACCCTAAGACAGAAGAGACGAAAAAAACATGAAACTAAGCCGAGTAAATTAAAATTAGCAGCAATATTATCAACTAACCATTTTACCCAAAATACCTGTACCCACAGTCTCTGCAGCAACATTTGATATATGTTCTTCGAGCTCTCTTTTAACAAAAACTATGAGCATCATCCCGATTAACCGGACAAGCTTTACTTTAACGTAAATAGCACCAGGATGTAAACTGAGCGTACATGCTTGTAACCATTCTTCTTCTCGAGTTGAATCATTGAAAACAAATGCTTCTTTAGATAAATCCAACTCTTGAAAACCAATGGCATAGATATCAGGAGGAGAAGGATCACAAGCAAGCCAATTTTCCCCTAATGATACTGAACAATTTTGACCATTCACATTCCAAGATCCGATGAAAAGGTTGAAACTTTTTAATTCCATGAATTGATCTTCTAACATGGCCATCTTAAGCCGTATGTTTGTCTCACGGGCAGCTAATGACGCTCCTCCCATGGCCACTATGTCTCGAGGTATGTTACTCAGGTCATCTGGAGATTCTATTTCGTTTACGTAGAAACTACTTTTACCGATTTTACCACTTCCATTTCGATCACTCTCCTTGCCATGGGCAGTTGAAGTTGATAAAGTGATACCGGTATTGGGATGGTTGGATAGGAGAGTATTAAGTGTTTCTGATGAAGAGGTAAATTCATTATTGTTTTTGGTATTCTTGGTTGATGAGTTCATTTCCTCTTTAATGTACGGCTTTTGAGCAATATTTGATGATAAACGTTCGTCTAAATTCGAAGGGGCTGCACAGTCATAGGATCGATATAACCAATCAAATGAAGAGTTAGTTTTACACAGGAAAACTGGAAAAACGAGATAGAGAAAGCAAGAAAACAGTTAATTATTAGAACAAGTTTGTAAAAGGAAGGAAAACACTAAGTGATTTTCCATCAATTTTATCAAAAGGTTATGATGCACAGTTTAAAATACCATCTTGAGCTTTATTGACTTCGGTGAAAAAATGTCGATTATTCTCGGTGTATTTTAACTCGACGATAAACTTGTCCTTCCCATGGATAATTTTAGCTATAATATTTTCACCAGCTGAAAGAAAAGAGAAAAGAAACAATTGTCAGTTAAATGAAACAATAACAACAGAAGAAGGATTGTAGGTAAAGTTGATGGAGCAGAAAAGTAAAGTACATCTAGCAACAATAATCATGATAAGTTAAGAAAGTAAGATTCATAATGGCAGAGAATGGAAAGATGATTATGATGATTAAGAGGAGGAGGCTGAAAGATTGAGTAGGAGATGGAGAAATAAGAAGTAGAGGTAGAAACAGAAAGATAGAGAGGAGGAAAGATCAATCAAGGGTGTCCAAACTAGTTACTTACCACCAGTATTAATGCCGGAAGAGCCTAAGACACATAATTAGTAGAGTTTGATGAGTTAAATAAGCCATTATCCAGCCAATGTTGACAGGTAAGAAATTGTTGTTTGTATGTGAATGTGTATACCAAAAATAGAGGGAGGAAAAGTGAGTGAGTCAATTTGTGCATAAAAAGCATGGGTTGTAGGTAGACAAAATGAGAAAATTGAAAGAGAGACTAATTAGTATCTAAAACTGACATAACGTTTACTATAGTTGGACCTGAGATTCTTACCGAATTCACACTTGAAACGGTCGTCAATTGGTAGCACAAAATCCACAGTCAGCTGTTTACTCTTTTCAATTGAATTGTCACACCGGTTGATAACAAGTAACCTAGAGAAGATGGAAAATAATAGGATTTACAATTAGTTGAAAACAAAATTAAAAATTGGATATTAGACAAAGATGACACTGAGAGGAAATAGGGTAGGAAAAGAAGAATCTGTATCATCAATAGCTAGAACTGGATGGTAATTTATCCTGAGTAATTTCAGAGGCTAATACAGCAGTGAAAGAGAAAAATGATGAAAAGATTTGTCCTTGGCTCTTGTTTTCAACTTGGCATTCAAATCTTTTAATTATACAGGAAAACTGATGACTTTTAAGATATAGATGATGATGATGACGATTAAGATACCAAGATATTAATCTTTCTTGAATTTTACAGATTTACCTTGATCAACAACTAACCCCTTATGGTTTGAAGCCAAATTAGTTAATCCGTTGCCTTTTGATACACCTATTAATTATTGCTGTATATTAGCACAACATAAACACAATATAATTATAAATTAGCTGTGAAGTAATTCAGTTTTAAGTGTGTGTTGAGAACACTGAAGATAGGAATGACTTTAACAGTTGTTTACAACAATTTTTTGATTTCAACAGTTTGTTAGCAAGTGATGTTTTTTTAAGATGAATGTTGGTGATGCTGGTAGTGTTGGTTTGATATTGGTGTTGTTGATGATGTTGGTAGTTGCAGTAGTGACAGCAAGTTTCATAAGAGCCAATCAACCATTAACAGCAAAGAGAAAAGAGAGCGATGAACTTGAGTTAAAATAATAGCTAATACAATGGAAAACATTCAGCAAAAAAAATAACCACAAGAATAGCGAGATTAGCAAGAAAGTTTAAACCAAAGGAATCAAGTAATTCAATAAGAATGTAAATTTAAATGTAAATAAATGTACTTGGTCTGACTCAGCCTATTTTTGTTATAAAGCTTGTTATATTTTGTTTCTTGCCACAATAGCAAAATCAGAAAATAAACTTGATAACTTGATAAAACAGATTCATGATATAGAGAAAGAGAAATGGAAAAGATATCATTTGAAATCGCACAATTTTGATGGTGACACCTATTCAAGTAATAGCCCCATTCACGGACAAAAAGGATCACAATCTCGAGACAATATGAATTGTATAAGTAAATAGGAGATAAGAAGCAACAGGATGATAGTGGTGATCTTCAGTATAATCAAGTAGATAATGATAAGACTAACAATCAGGCATACCCATAATTCTGTTGATATTCAACCAGAGTCAATATTCGTTTGGTAATGACACATTCTTGGAACAGACCAACGGAGATAGACTGAAATAGGTTAAAGAGAAAGTTAAAGGTTGGTTAAATTATTAAAGATATCATTATTATAAAAACATTAAACGGGAAAATGGTTGTAATAGAAAGTATTTAGAGTAAAGATAGATGTTATGAATAGAGACAAATGATCATGTTGATAATGAAAAGCAGAAAAATAAAGGGATATGAAAATGGGTATCAAAAACAAACAGTTTAAGCAGCAACTAAAAAACAGATGATGACAGAAAGACAGAACAAGTTCAATGTACACAATCAAAATCAACCAACCTGAACATTCTTATGTCCGGGAAGAATGAAATTGTTAACCAATGAATTAATTGAATGTTGATCCATCGTAAAGATGTAAACAATGAGAAACTTTCAAAGAGAAACCATTTTGTTTACCGGTTGCAGTTAAGCATAAGGCTAAACCTTTTTCTTTCTTGGTCACACAAATGAATCTCCGCTTATTTTTAAAATTTTAACACAATTTTAATCAAATTACTCATTGACACTCATTTATATAGTTAGTGGGTAAACTAGTAATAATATTAAATGACAAATAAATGGTTAAATTGGGTCTGATGTAATATTAGAAGCAGTGTTGAGTTTAACTATGATGGTGGATTGAAGCTGGTCATAACATAAGATGAAGAAAGGGATTGTATATTTACCCACAGAGAGATTTGTTCAGCTACATTGTAAACTAAAAGGTATAACCATGGAAACAAATATTACATGAAATGATATAAACTCATAATCTCCATGCAAATATAACTGAACAAATCTCCTTTAGATTCCCAGATATGATTATTGATTGTTTTAATAAATTTTTTTCTCATCAATTAACTCGTTTTACAATCGCTTCATTAAGTTTAAATTCATGACTGAAATTTGAAATTGCCAAATTGTAGATAAATTGAATCGAGTTTCTTGAATTTTTCGTTCAGTGAGCTTTTTCATGTTTGATTATCAAACCTTTTACGACACAAGAAGCTTGAAATTTTAAAAATCTTGCTTTTAACGGCAAATTGTGCTTTAAAATTGAAATTTATTGCTTGTATTTATCAAAATAAGGTAAATTAGAGTAATTACAACAAGATTGATCGTTCCAATTTTTCTTTCCCATTGTGTATCACGCAATTATATGATCAACCATTTGATGTAATCACGGCATAAATCACATTATGAATCAAGAAATAAATTTGGTGAAATACTGAAAAAATCAGTGAAATAAATTGAACCAGAATCAATGTAATGATTTCATTGCAATAAAAATAGCGATAAGCTTCAAGCTGATCTTAAACATTGCTTCAACATGATTGCCAATTGATGATATTAGACATTCATGGACTCAGAAAATGTTACATTTCAGATTTAACAGAATATTTAAAACAAGTGAATTGCAGGTTATGATTTGGACCCATCAGCAATTAGGCTGTTGCACCTTTGTTGACTGAACAATTGGATTTAACTTGTCTTCCATTATTAATTAGTGGAAATCCTTTCTGTCGAGTGATTATGAAAAATGGATTAAGGTGAGATAATTAAGCAGTTAAGAAAAAAAGGAAGTAGGAACAATCGAGTTGGACTTATTTCATTGACTACTCAAACTCTCGACAAGTGTATTTATCAATTCATAATGAATCCAATTTGAATATTGATTATATCTCTTTTTATCAGCTTTAATATTTAAGTGAATAGATGTGTTACGGTAATCGAGTAATCGGGAAAATTTAACATAAATCGGTTGACAAACTTTCCATTTTAACCATCATCACTATCACTCCTTAATCCATCAACCATAACTTTTTACCAATACAGTTAAACAGTAAAATAAATTGTAGTTAAAGTCAATCTTTTGCCGAGTTTGCTGCCTGTTTCTTGCTTGTTTTATCAACTTGTTTACTCTATTTGATAGTCAGTATAAATCTGGTTACCATAATTTGGTCAATGTAATTACAGAAATTAGTGTTTCACTGTTCAAGTTGTTACATTGAAATCCTAAATCTGCCTCTTCATAGTTGCCATGTTTCCATGAGGATTATTTTTGTGCCCATTAGCCTGATTTACTCAGGTGTTAAGGATAAGTGTTTATGAATATCATTTAAAATGAAGGTAAAATCATAAGATATCATGGATCAACAATGATTGACTATGGTTATGATAACAGGAATGATGCTTTGTTAGTCTTTAATTGCGATTTTCGTAGTTTACAAATACGATTTGGATTTGTCTTTTATTGGATCCATTCCCTTTTGATGATTTAAGTTGATAATTTAAATACAACATTCTCTTTTGGTTCTCTGTAGGTAATATTCATCCAATTTGTTGTCTTTATGACATTTTCCATCGTTAACTGTGGCATGCAACTCAATTTTGGTGTAAATTTGCCTCCATTTGTGTTACGTCTTCCTCGCTTTAAACTTCCACCGGTACGGATGTCTGTTACATTTAATCATTCTCCTGATTCAGCTCCACTGAAGATTCACTTTCCTGGAATATCAATTACAAACAATAATCAACAACACGATAGTTGGAGGTAAGTCCATTAATTTGCTAATTGTCAAGGTACAGTGACAAAACATAAGTTTCATCAATATGAGTTTATTCAGGATTAAACTGTTTTTTTCTAAAATCAAAATGTTTTTCAATGAATCGAAACTTACCCGTGTTGATAGTTAAATTTGTAATCCTAATTGTTTTGTCTTTATAGTGACAACTCTGTTGCCGCTGAACCTGAGCCTGAGCCTGAATTGGACCACTTTTCTCACCCCGATCCAGAGCCAGAATCTGAGCATGATACATTACTAAACAATCATCACTATCACCAGCATCATCAATATGATGATCCAATTATTAACCATGGTCGCAGTTATGATCATCATATCCATTTTGATAATAAGCTTGTCAACAAAGAAAATAAAGTTGGGTCATATCATTTGCAACAAAGATCTCGTCGGGACTCAATTAAACAAATTCATCAAACAAATCAGTGTACCAATTGCCTGAATCAAGGGCACCATTGGACAGCAACACACCAATACAAAGTTAGGCAGAGCTCTAACCAAATACCAACTAGTAAAGCTAATAACTTACGGCTCACATTAATGGCACCTCCAAAGTTAACATCACCACTTCCATTGAATTGAAGAAAACCTAAAAGGATCAAATAATGAAAGACTTTTATTATAAAAGATAAAATAATATTTTGTACACAAATTTTGTTTCCTACAATAGTTGTTTAATTAACTTATTACATTTAATAAAATGAAACATTTAATTAAAGTGTAAAGGAGGTAAAATTGCTTGTAATCCAGCTGCGTCTCTATGGCGATCTAATAGCCAACCAATAAGATTTGACTGGATTAATCTTGAATCAGTGCAAAATTATAATTTAAAAATACTAACAACTTATCCTCAAGAGCTAAAGCAATTCATGTTCATAAGTTAGGAAATTAAATTATTAGCAAGTTGGCGATATTCTACCATGTTTATCACAAATCGCTATTTATAACACTGATGACAGATTAACACACTATGATTCGAGTTGGAATAAAATCAATTGATGGTACAAATTTTAATCTTTGAATGACTACATTATCATTAAAGATCATAAGCTGACTGTCCTCATAATTTTTAACTCACATTTCAGTCATATTAAGAATAACTTGACGGCTTGAGCAGAATAAGCTCGTTATCGCAAGTTTGTCATTAGCCAAAAATAGACAATAACCGAAACAGCTTCTAATTGTTATTGTTTGCTATTTGTAAAATGAAATAAACGCTGTTTGTGACAGTTTATTGATTGTAGATATTGAATTAAACTTTGAAAAAACCCAGCACAAGTTCACCGTTAAAGTAACCATTTTAGTATGTAGTTCCAGAGATGAAAGCTATTCCTCTGCAGTTAGTTAGATAACGTAAATCAATTTTTAAAACGTAAAGCGAGTTAAGCACACTTGTTTAATAATCAAGTACAAGAGCTATTTCCAATTAAGGAGAGACAAAATTTTAATGACATTATTGAGCGTTAAATTGATACAGATATAGATGGAAATAAGATACAAAAGCTGAAATGATCAGGTGAAGGTTGTGAATATTTCAAGATCAGATCATTTAAAAAACTGTTGAAGATGACAATCAGTATACAGTTTGAAATGACAGTTAAATCATTTGGATATTTATTAAAATCAAAATAATTTTCATATTTTTTATCATCAGAGGTACTGCTATCTACCGGGTTTTTGATAAACAAGAGTAACTGGAGAAAAATCAAACCAGAATCAAAATGGTTTCCATTTGACGTAAAAAGTTGTCAGTGTAATTTTTCTCTTTAAATTGTCGATTTGTTCAATTTTATTTAATTAAGTGTCCGTATATGCAATTAATCAGGAATATCAGTGTACTCTAGAACTTCAAAGATAAGTGGATTCATCTCATCATCCTGGATTTGTTACCTACCTAAGTGAGAAAAGGGTCAACCTGGAAATAGACATATAATCAGAAAGAGAGACAGAAAGAGAAAAAAGAAAGAGAGTCAAAGAAAGAGACTTACAGGCTGAAGAAAGAGATTCTGAAAAAAAACCTAAGGTTTATAAATATATAAATATAAATAAATATATATATTTTGACATTAAAATATATATATGTTTGTGTTATTTAACACGATATAATTTTGTGTATACCTTTTCTATATCTGTAAAAAAGTTTAAGATTGTAGATGTTCGGAAAAAGAAGGAGAAGAATCAATACTAACCAAAACAATAGTCATTACCCCTTTTTTGTTTATTGTCTGGTTACCAATTGACAAAGTCAACGGAAGTGGAACTTCTCTTTTCATCTCCCTGAGGATCTGTCTCCTCATTTTACATAATATTAGCCTAAGATCATCTTTGTGCCAGCTAAAAGATGAATCCTGGGTTCGATATTAATTCATTAGCTGGCTGTTCCAACTTAAATGAGAGTAATGCAACTTCTGGTGTTGTGCATGGTTTTCCTTTACCTGGACCAGGACCTGGCTCTGGTCCACAAGCTGTTCCTCAATCGTCGTCAGTACCACCATCTCCAATATCAATCCCAACTGCAGCATTAGGTCAACAGCCTCCATTATCGATGCCACCACAACAATCAATGGGAACCATGGGAGGACCAGCTATGAGTGTGCCAACCAATGTTCTTAATACTTGGGCATCATCAGTAAACTTATCATCTATCCAATCTTTGGTTGATGTGTTATTAGAGTTACCTTTGCCTTCAGAGATTGAGCTACCAAGTCAAAATCAACCGTTAATCTCTGTAAATCAGGAACAACAACATCTTAGCAATAACATTGAACAAGAGTTGGTACAGCAGCATCACTTGTCTCATCAATTATCTTCATGCCTTTTACAGGCTAGGCAGCAATTAAATGAACTTAATCTCAATTGGATTAGCAGTCCGGTGAACGAGGGAAATCAAGAATTCTCTCAGAATCTTCAGGTTAACTCTTATTTACTCTCACTCCTCCAGAGACAAGATATTTTTGGTGAAGATGTTAGACTACCGCCTGTAATTCATGCACAGCCATCTGTATCATCATGTGTCTCATCAAGTCAGCCTCAACAACATCCTCAATCATCCCACCATCAACAACAGCAACAGTACCAACAGCAGCAACAACCTCAGCAACAACCTCAGCAGCAGCAACAGCAACAACCTCAGCAGCAGCATCAACAACAACAACAACAACCTCCTCCACCTCAACAGCCTTTGTTATTACCACCTCCTACTCCTACCACCCCATCTGCACAAAGTGGCCCTCAAACTCGATCCCACTCTAACCCTTATTGGAATCCCTTTATCAATGAACAACAATCAGCTCAATCACCCGCTTCGGGTGTACCGAATCAACAACAACCTTATAGCCGACATCCAAATCAGATGTACAGTAATGAAAATAGTAATTCTAGTGGCTCTTTTCCAGATATTGGATCGGCTGCACCGGGTACTCCAAGTGCGCCACCCAATCATAACTCAGTAAGAATCTTCATTCCAAATTTAAAATTGGATAACATCTTTTGAATTTTTGTTAACATTCTTTGTTTATCTTTTGTACAGGCTAAAATCAAGAGCCAGTCTTATAATGAAATGACTGGTAAGCATCCCCAAGGAGTTGTGTTGGAATCGCCTGATATGAATAATACATCCTCGTACTCTCCAACATCATTCGAATCATTTACGTCTCTCGGGGAAAGGGTCAAGAAAAGACAAAGAAACAATTTACCCACCCCAACTCCTCCAGCTAATGCAACTCCCGTTAGAGAACCCTCATCATCTACAATTACTCCATCTTCATCAAGTGTACAAAATGAAAGAACGGTTCATCAAAGTGAAGAAATCATCACCCCTCCTCCCAGAAAATTATCGAAATCATTATCATCCACAACTGTAAAATCTTTTCATACGATGTCCTCTTCTTCTTCAACCTCTCCAAGACTTATTTCTTCCAGTAGTTCAGCTCCAGCTCCTGAAAAATTTGAAGCCATGTTAGATGAACTTTTTGACATGGACAATGTAAAGAAACCCGCTGCATCATCAGATGAGAGCTCTGATTCTGAAGATGACGGCAGGAAACGAAAAACACAAAAGAAAACAAATGGTGACAATTCAACGTCTAATAAGAGTTTACTCTTTGATATAACATTGTCATCAACAACGTTAACCACCTTCGTTTGTTTGGCAGCCAAATTAAAAAGAATTAATGCCATGCAAAATATACCTGTTGAAAAATTAGGTAAAATTTTGAACGTTTTGAACCAACAGTTGGCTATACAATCAGCTGGACTTAAAGATAAGAGAAGGAAATCAACCGATACTGGTGATCCAAATGCCGAAGATGATGAGGAAGAGAGTATAGCCAATTCAGCATCGCTTATGTCAAAATTTGAGATGTGTTGTGATTGTTGTTTATTAGCTTTGTATATAATGACTTCCAAAGGTATTTATAATATTTTCTTATCAATTCAACGGGAAATCGTTACTCATCGTTACTCATCGTTATTCATTTTTTTCTTTATTTCATAGGAATGTCATCTCGAGTCTACTTAGAAGAATGTATTGAACATATTATTGCCTTTCTAAATACTACTATTCAGCAATATACAACCATCGGGGGTGCTCCATCAATGTTCGCAAGTCCCAAAAAAGGTGGTAAATCTCCAAAAAAGTCGAGTAATTCATGTGTCTCACCATTTTCATCAGCTAACAAAAAACTTCTCTACAAAATGTACGTTAAGTGGAGTGAATTGATTGGTTGCCTGGTCGAGCTGTTGAATGCTCGAGCAGGAACACTCACTGATACCTTAGTATTATCTGCTACACGGGTTGCCCTAGGAGCCTTCTTCCTTGAAAATCTCAATGCTTCCGGCTCCAATCAATCAAGCAATGAGATCCAATTAAACGCTCTTAATCTAACAACAACCATATTCTCACAATATCATGCACATCGTCCAGTTATTTTAGAGGAAATTCTGCATTCTATTGCAAGAGTGTCCACTTGTAAAAGAGGTATGTTTTGTTGCTTCATTCAAATTCTGATCTCTTAAATCATAACATCTAACCCTTGACAATTTCAATTTTCTTCTTAGGTCGAGTTTTGTACAAAGTTGAAAGTGATGATAAATCCGCAGCTTACATCTCAATGTTCAGTGCATTATTACTGCGTCTGATTCAAAGTTTATTCATACCGGAAAGAAGAAAAGAAGATAAAACAAATGAAATGAACGAGGCTGGCGATAGCAAGGATAAAGAGAAAGAGAAAGTTATCGATAAGTCTAAAGAGAAGCAAGATCAAAGTCAAATACTCCGTAAGCAATACGATTCTGCTCTTCTCACGGCTCTCTCCTTCTTAACAACTTTCCTGAAAAAGTGTCATGGTTCTTCAGGGGGAGGGTCAGCTTCCTCAAGTGATGCCGACTTTCGTGTTATCTTCGAAAATCTTGTGAATGATTTAATGGTAACTCTTTTTAAACCCAACTGGCCAGCATCACAAATGTTAACTAAAGTGTTGATGCGAATGTTTCTTAATAATGTGAAAGCAACTAATAAAAGCCCGGCTAAGGGAAGTGGTTCAGGTAACATGAGTGCAAATCTAAACATGAAACTACACAGCCTTGACCATTTGGGAAACATTTGCTCTCGTTATGCAAAAGAATTAAATTCAGTGGAAAAAGTGAAACTTGATGTACAAACTAGACTTCGGAATCTTTTGTCGGGTGGTGGAATTGAAATGAATCCTCGACAAAACTCGGATGATGAAGAAGACGCGGATGACGAAAAAAGGCGCAAAGATGATGAAGATAGAGTAAAAAGTGACGGAGAAGGAAACGACAGTGGTGATGAAGAATCCAGAAAGGCTAATAAAAATAAGAACAAAGATAAGAAGAAGAAAAACTCGAAAAAGAAAGAAGATCGTCTATTGAATGATAACATTCTCGTAAGGGAAATGTGGAAACATTTATTCAGATACTGTGATGAAGAAAAGTTATTAGAAGAGAAAAATTTATTCACCGCAAGTTTCATCAAAGAAATGGACAGAGAAATGGAATTAAAAATCAAAGATGACCAATATGAAGAGGATAAGATCCGCGAAAATTTCAACTTGAGGGTGAAAAAGTTTATGGACATTTATAAATCTGCTTCTAATCAAAATGCATCTGAAGAAGAATATCATGTCATCGATTCCAGAACAGCTGAACAAATCATCAGATATTTGGACAACTCATTAAGTTCAACAGAAAAATTGTTTGATGTCGCTTTAGCTCACATAGTAAGTACCCTTTCTGGTACAAGTAACACCACCATGAGATCTCGAGCAATGAAAGCTTTGTCAACAATTTTGAATAATGCACCTAAAAAACGAGCAATCACGCTATTATCTCGCCCCGATGTACAAAGAGCCACTAGAGCAGCACTTCTTGATACAAGTACCTCAGTTCGAGAAGCAACTATTGATTTGATCGGTAAATTTATTTTAAATGGTCAATCAGAGGAGCTTATCGACAAATATTATGAGATTTTAACAGAGCGAATTTTGGATGCTGGTGTATCTGTTCGGAAAAGAGTTATCAAAATATTACGTGAAATTTGTATCGTTTATCCATCTTACAAAAGAGTGCCTGAAATTTGCTCAAAAATTATTAAACGTATTAATGATGATGGCGAGGGAATCAGAAAATTGGTAACTGAAACATTCACAACCATGTGGTTCAAGGAAGAAAAAGATAAAGAAGCGGCAAAAATGAAGGTTAAGTGCATTAATCATGTTGTAGCGACTGTTATAACCGAAAGAATTGGTACCGAGTGGCTTCAACAATTATTAACCAACCTTTTCAGCTCGGGTCCCGATGGCAAGGTCAAGAAAAATGTTATGGACGATGATGATGATGAAAAGACAACTCCTTCAGCTGCTCAATTACAGCAAGTGATTGCAGCATCAGCCCAGATTGTCGATGTCTTAGTGAGTGATGTTCTTTGTGGAAGTGGACCCAATTCAGATGATCCTCAAGCTAGTCTTGATAATAACAGTAAAAGTACTTGTTTTGCCACCATGACAACCATCTGGCTATTCAGTAAAGTTTGTCCACAACTGTTGGTCAATCACATTTCCATCCTTCAACCTTACTTATCGGTCAAAATCACCAGCGAACTTGATTCACTTATTCTTATCAAAGCTGTTCAAACTATCGAACATGTCCTGCCAAAGTTAACCAATCCATCTGATCTCCTATTATCAAGTATTGAGGAAGGGTTGACCAAAATAATTTTACAAAGTAATCCTCAAGTTTTGGTTGTTTGTGTTTCCTGTTTAAGCTCATTGATTCATAAGCACACCAATAACAAGCAACTTGCCCAAGATCTCTTCAAACGGTTCTTCTCTTTATTAGACTCGTTGTACAGACTTCCACAGAGTGATTTTAATAGTCCTATTAATAGGCCTCGACTTTTACGAGCTTTATTCACCTGTGGACTTTTTGCCAAACATTTTGAATTTTTGGCAGAAAAACAGCAATTATACCAACTTTTTGTACAGTTTGTCGCCAGGAACATGCCTTCAGAAGAGAATGGTTACAAAGTTGGAGATTTATCCATCATAAACAATGCACTTTCTGGTTTAGGATTCATGTTTGAACGCAATCCAGCATATACACTTCAAATGCAAACTCAAGACATTTATAAAAGTATTTTAAGTGCTGCTTTAAACATTTCTGATTGTAAACCATTGGAAACCTATTATGAATCAACAATGATCAGTGTTCTCAAAAATTTAACGAATTATTTATCAGATGAACTGAATGCTGAAATAGCTAAAACACTGGATTGGTCCAAAGAAAATCTTAAAACTATGTCATATGAAGATAGTGAGGAAGGTGACAGCAACTCTATCCAATCTTCAATCATTCAAACATATCTGCCAGATATTGTCAAGTGCACTCTTTGTCCATTAACATCCGTTCGTAAAGCTGCAGTTAACCTGATTCACATCATACATCGAGGTGGAATTGTCCATCCATTGCAATTAGTACCCTACCTCATTGCTATGTCTTCTGATGATGATACAAGCATTCGTTCACGTGCCGATCATGTACTTCACGAAATTGAACGTAAATATCATGGTTTTGTCTCAATGAAAGCCCGTCAAGGTGTACAATTGTCATTCCAACTTCATAACTTCTCGGGTCGTCGTGGTTATAGAATTGAAAATATCATGCAATCATCTCCAGCCAATGTATCATCACCAAACTCCTCTTCCTTTGCAGCTTCATCAAATCAACCAGCTCCTGAAGATCAATTGATTACCGGTAGATTATCAACATTGTACAGTGTCATCGCTAGTAATAGGCAATCAAGAAGAGCATTTATTACTGGACTGCTGAAATATTTTGACCTCATGTCTGAACCTCATTCATTTTTTTCATATGATCCTATGTCTGTTGGTATTATCAATTTATACGATGGTAGCAACGCTGGAATCGATTTAGTACCTTTGCAACAATATGTTTCTGATAACTTAATCTGGTTGCCTTACTCAGTTCTTGATGAGCCTTTGTATATATTGAGTCAACTTGAAGTTAATATTAGTGTTACTGCAAGTCAAATTCAAGCTCAATTTAAAGACTTACTGAATCTATCTCATGATTATGATGATGAAGATGAGGAGGGAAATCAAAAAATTGTAAAAAAAGAAGAACATAAACCTGATGTAACAAGAATGGATGAGAACGGTAGAAACTATGGAGAAGATGAAGCCAATGAAGAAAAGTTGAATTCGTTAGAAATGAAAATGGACATTTCAATGGCATCAGCTACGTCCGAATCAGATATGAGGCTGGATATGTCTACCGAGCCCAAGACAGAAAATGGATTTGTTAACCCTTTGCCTGTCTCATCTAAAGATTTTATTTCCTCAGCAGCTGTAGCCGAATTGATTCGTTGTTTAAAAGCATTTTATATGCTTTGTTGGTGTAAACAAATGATCAGAGAGTTATTTAATATCACCGATGCCAAATTCCAAGATTATTCACCAAGTGAAAACCAGAAAGTTTGGGACAAACAAATGCATCGCCGTCATGTAAGTAATCTTTTCAAGCTTAATCTTTTTTCCCAATTTATATTCTCCGCTATCTAGTATTAATTTTATTTTAAGAGTATTTTGAGACTAATTTTATCAATTATTTTGAAACAGGTCGATCCAAGATTGTTACAGAAACTCATGGCATATCCAGCAGTCAATATTGATCTTGAAAATTTCACCAGAGAAACTATATTACTTGAATATCAAAGATTTAAGAATCTCCAGCTCACTGGTTTTGACGAGACTTGTAAAAATGTGGCAATTCTTCTTAAAGAACCCTTACCAAAAGAAAAGAAGGAAAAGGAAAAAAGTAGCCGCAGTAATCGTCACCGTATTGAAGAAGAAGACGAAGAAGAAGATGAAGAACCATCAATTGAAGAGGAAGAAGAAAAAATTCCGGTTGTTTCATCTTCCTATAATCATCAGGCTGATCTTGGATTGCCTAAATTATCCGAAGAAGAGAAAGAAAAGTTGATTGAAAAAATCAAAATGTCTGATTGCCAAGTGAAATTAATTGACATTAATGCTTCCATAAATTCTAATCAAATTACAATGAACTCAAACAATACCGATGAAAGTGATGCTCGATCTGGTTTAAAGATGACCATTTCAACGGCCAACATGAACTCTCATAGTGCAGATAAAATTAGAAGTTCTTGTAAGAAGAAAAAGAAGAAGCATAAAAAATATTCAGACTAGACATTTTAATTATAATCATACTAATCATTTTTTCTATTTATTCATAAATCAAAGCAAAATTTCGATGTACAATTCATATTAAAAGAGATAATACAGATTGGTATCCATTTCTTATAAAAGAAACACTTAATCTCTTTAATTTATTAATATTAATATTGATATTTCATTAATTCATTTATTTAAACTTTGTATTAATAATATAATTTAGATAAATCTCAAACACATTCTCACTTTGATTGATTTGAAAAAATTGTTTTCCTATATTAACCAGTTAAATCAATATTAAATGAATCAAAAAAGTTACCTATTTTTGAATAGTTAAGGAAATTAAACTCACTTTAAAATATTGATTTGTTAATTCAACTATTTCATTGCAACAGTTTATGATGAAAATAATTTTCTTCAACAAATAAGATAAGCTCAATTTAATTTTCTCGCCGGTGAAAAAGATCTACAAAAAAATGTCGCTCATATTCTGATGAGTACAATTATTGACGATAAAATTTTGTTCGTGATTAGCGTCAGTTAAATATGATCGCAGAATTGATTTAATTTCAGATTCATAATCAGAAATCGACGAACTAACTATTTGCATGTCTCCATAACAGTTGACACTCAAACTCGACTCCATTCTGGTTTTGTTTGCCATTTAAGACGATTTAAACACCACGAACTCAGTCTGGTCTTTCAAAATTAGCAACCTTAATAAAGCAAAAGGCTTCATCATTGATAGAATGTTGAACGACTCAAACATGAAAAACAGCACTTCTCCAGATACATCGAACTAGATCGTTTAGAATCTAACCTTCATCAAATTACCTAAAATCCCTCTCCGTCACTTACTCTTGATGAAATAACCTGTGATCATTACCCTTTCCACATCAGCTTCAACCTACAGAAACTCTCAAATAATATTCCTCAATTTAAATCTTTATTACCTTCTAATAGCCAACCAAAAATCCCTCTCTATTATTGTATCCTCCATCTTTATACACGCGGCGGCGCCTTACAAGCTGCTTAGTTACTCAATAAACATTCAAATGTTTTGCAAGTGTGTTTTGAGCGTTTCACATCAGAATAAATATTCCCTGTTTTTATTTGAGAATTGGCGGTCAATTTCTCATTTTGTTTTTAAATAATTGTTCAAATTTTTGTTGATATTCGTCTAATCATGTCAGTAAAGCTTAAGGACAAAGAAAAAGCTTTTCTTCAACTAATGATGAGGAGTAAAAGTTTAGTAAAAGACCAAGCTTTGAATTTATGTCTCAAAATGGAACTTGGTAAGTATCAATTTTTAAAGCTATCTTTTGATATTTGTTATCATTTTTCACTCACCTAATTTTACTAAAATTAATTTCGTTTTTCTCACGTATCCTTTTTTAGCATCAAACGACAAGGAGTTGGATTCGCTGATTCGAAAGGTTAACAAACAAATTAAAGAGTTTCGTTTCGAAATACGTAAATTTATTGATGAAGAAAGTGGAAATGTTCATTTTGTCTTTATCAATTTAATTGACAACCATATCAGCCGATTGTCTACTCTTTATACCAAAGCTCAATTAGAATATTTCAAGAAAGTTATTTCAGCCATTGTTTTGTCACCTTGTGGTTACGTTGATTACAATAAAGCTCTCAATCTCACTTCTCAACTGGTAGACCATAATGTTAAACTGAGAGTTAGTGAAGCAGATGAAATGTTGAAACATTGGAACCAAGAAAAGTATCTGGCTACAAAAAAGGATCAATTTAATATATGTTTGGGCATTCGAAGTCTCACTGAGTTAGATGTCTACCTCAAGGATCATTTTCCAAATAATGTAACAAGCTGTGATATGTGTAAATCTATCTGCATCCAAGGAACTAACTGTCCACATTTGGGAGTAAAGCTTCATGCCCACTGTGCTGATAAATACTTCAAGAACTTTAAAAATTGTACAATTTGTAATTGTTAAAATTCAGAGATAATTTTCTTCGAAGTGTAAAAGCTACGAACTCAAAAATAAGTTTACGATTCCCTTAATTGCTCAAGAACAAAAACTAATACAAATCCATGACTTCCATTTTGCTTTACTTACACTTATTACTACTGCTTTAAAATATTATTTTTTTCGTTAACTAAACTCATGCTGCATTTTCAGTTTCAAAAAAAGTCCCAATAAAGACCAAGATTATCCTTGAACATAATGGTGGTGCAACAACAACCAACATTCCTGGAACAACGAAGACAAGATCGAGATAATTGATTTAAAACAGGTTGCTTGTTTGTAAAATGGCCTCTATTTAAACAATCATCTGATATTTGGAATTTCCGATCAGTTGATTTTGATTGTAACCAAGATTGATTTGTTATGATAAATATCCAAAGAACAAGAGAACGATCTCAACCATTGTTATCAATAAAAATTGATTGTATTATAAAATACTAGCATTAAATTACAGTAGATATTAATTTCTGTGTCATTTTAATTATCAGAAATTCTGTAAAATAAAAATGTAAAAGTTTCGCTAGAACTACGAATTTCTATGCTAGTTTTTTGAGACTTGAAATACATCTTAATGTACTTGAAGATCTAACCTGATAAATTGAAAAAATCATTTGAAATTTTCATCTAGAAACTTACGAATACTCGTTAGCTTTTTACTATTAATAAAAAGAAACAATAACACAATCATAAAATTTAATGCACGAATCGACACAAATTGACGAAAACGGTTAAAAATTAATTTCTTTCAAATTTTTACTCGGTTAGTTTATGAGGACATAAAAACTGAGTCTATTTGTGTGTTTCTCTGATGAAAAGTTTTCGACAGCATCGCGGTCAAAGTTGAAACTTCGATAGTCTTTTATTCATTCATGGAAGCAGACTTTTTCATGAAACTCATTTCCCTGATGTGAATTTCAATGGCTAACCAGAAAATGAACTGATTTTGAGCAAAAAAATTTTCTATTTTCTGTAAAACGGATAAGTTCGATTTGCACTCAAACCGACAGCATTCTGTGACCATAAGAGTTAGTGAGCTTAAACTTAGTATTTGTCTATAAAAGTTGTTGGTACACATTATGGATCAGATACGCTTACCAATTGAGCAGCAGTTCTCTAGATTCTGATCCTTGGCCTTAAAACTTTGTGGCTCAATATATCGAGCCAGGCATCACCTTTAACCATCAATCCTTCACCAATACAATCCTTTACTAATTAATAATTTAGCTCATAACAATAACTTTCCATTAGCATTTTGGATTTAGCGAGATACAATTTACTTAACAAACCAAACTCATCTCAATGCACATCTTGGTGAATAAACCAATTTTCTGGTTAAACTTACAAATAAAATGCAAAAGTTGCTGCCGGAGACTCGAGCATTTGAGTTGAGAGTTGAGACTTAGTGGGTTTGTAGGGACATAAAACCTGAGTCCATTGGCACTCTTAAATAGTTTATATGATGGACTGTTTTCGATAAAATTGAGGTAAAAGTTGAAGCTTCGATCGCGTTTTATTCAGCTATGAAAGCAGATTTTTTCACGAAACTTATTTTCACAATTATCCATTTGATGAACAACTAGAAAATAGTCTTATTTTAGAAATATTAACATTCTCCGTTTCTGTAAAACAGATCAAGTTCGATTTTCTCTCGAAACCGTCTGCTTTTTGTGACCATAAGGGTTGGAGAGCTTAAACTTAATATTTGTCCATTTAAGTTGTTGGTACACATTATGGATTAGATACTTTTACCAATTGAGTAGCAGTTTTCTAGATTCTGGCACTTGGCCTTAAAACTTTGAGCCTCAATATATCGAGAATGGCATCATCTTTAGCCATCGTTACTTCCCAAAAATAATCCTTTACTAATATATAATTCAGTTCAACTCAACAACTTTCCATTACCGTTTTGGATTATGATTTTTGGGCTGTAAATAAACGAGGAATAGCTTATTTAACAAACCAAACTTATCTCAATGCACATCTTGGTAAATAAACCAATTTTCTGGTTAAACTTACAAATGAAATGCAAAAGTTGCTGCCGGAGACTCGAGCATTTGAGTTAAGAGTTGAGACTTACTTTTTATTCGGCTATGGAAGAAGATTTTTTCACGAAGCTTATTTTCTTGATGTATCATTTTATGAACAACCAGAAAATCGTATTATTTTGAGAAATATCATTTGCTATTTTTGTAAAACAGACCAAGTTCGATTTTTAGTCAAACATTCCACATTCGGTGACCATAATAGTTAGAGGGTTTAAACTTGATATTTGTCCATGAAAGTTGTTGGTTCACATCATGGGTTGAATGCTTTTCTCAATTCAGCAACAGTTTTCTTGATTTTGGCAATACATCTAAAAACTTTGAACCTCAATATTTTGAGAATGGCATTTCTTACACTCACAATTTTTTCACCAAACATTATTCTCATTATGGGCTATAACAATATATGACTGAATACTGAATGAAATCCGAGCTAATTCATTCAATAATGAGTATCCTTCTAATGTATAACATTTGTTCTTGTTAACCATCCAACTTTATAAAATAAGTATAAAATCTTACAGCATAAGTAATTCAGTGATATTTTTTGTAGGAGCTTAAATGATTTAATATTTTGATAGATTACATCCCATAGTATAATCTAATGTTTTCTCAAGAACGGTTATTGTAGATGATGCCATTCTCAAAATATTGAGGTTCAAAGTTTTAAGGCCAAGTGCCAGAGTCTAGAGAACTGCTGCTCAATTGATAAAAGTATCTAATCCATAATGTGTACCAGCAACTTTTATATACAAATACTAAGTTTCAGTTCGCTAACTCTTATGGTCACAGAGTGCTGTCGGTTTAAGGGAAAATCGAACTTATCTGTTTTAAAGAAAAAGAAAAGTTTTATTTCTAAAAATAAGATCGTTTTCTGGTTTTCCATCGGAAGATTCATCAGGAAAATAAGCTTCATAAAAAAAATCTGTTTCCATAGCTGAGTAAAACGCGATCAAAGTTTCAGCTTTGGCCTCGATTTTTTCGCAAACTTTGCATCGTATGAATTATTTAATAGCGCCAACGAACTCAGTTTTTATGTCCTTACAAACCCACTAAGTCTCAACTCTTAACTCAAATGCTCGAGTCTCCGGCAGTAACTTTAGCATTTCATTTGTAAGTTTAACCAGAAAATTGGTTTATTTACCAAGATGTGCATTGAGATGAGTTTGGTTTGTTGGATAAGTTATTCCTCGTTCATTTACAGCCCAAAACTCATAACCCAAAATGCTAATGGAAAGTTATTGAGTTGAGTTCAATTATTCATTAGTAAAGGATTGTATTGGTGAAGGAATGATGGTTAAAGTTGATGCCATTCTCGATATATTGAAGCTCAAAGTTTTAAGGCCAAGTGCCAGAATCTAGAGAACTGCTACTCAATTGGTAAAAGTATCTAATCCATAATGTGTACCAACAACTTAAATGGACAAATATCAAGTTTAAGCTCACTAACTCTTATGGTCACAAAAAGCAGACGGTTTAAGGAGAAATCGAACTTGATCAATTTACAGAAACGGAGAATGTTATTTCTAAAAATCAGACTATTTTCTAGTTGTTCATCAAATGATTAATTGTGAAAATAAGTTTCGTGAAAAAATCTGCTTTCATAGCTGAATAAAACGCGATCGAAGCTTCAACTTTTACCTCAATTTTATCGAAAACAGTCCATCATATAAACTATTTAAGAGTGCCAATGGACTCAGGTTTTATGTCCCTACAAACCCACTAAGTCTCAACTCTCAACTCAAATGCTCGAGTCTCCGGCAGCAACTTTTGCATTTTATTTGTAAGTTTAACCAGAAAATTGGTTTATTCACCAAGATGTGCATTGAGATGAGTTTGGTTTGTTAAATAAGTTGTTCCTCGTTCATTTATAGCCCAAAAATCATAATCCAAAATGCTAATGGAAAGTTATTGCTATGAGCTAAATTATTAATTAGTAAAGGATTGTATTGGTGAAGGAATGATGGTTAAAGGTGATGCCTGGCTCGAAATATCGGGGCTCAAAGTTTTATGATCAAAGACCAAAATCAAGAAAACTGTTGCTAAATTGAAAAAAGTATTTAATCTATAATGTGTACGCACAACTTTTATGGACAATTATTAAGTTTCAGCTCATTAACTCTTATGGTCACAGAATACGGTCGGTTTAACTACAAATCGAACTTATCTGTTTTAAAGAAGATAGAAAATTTTATTGCTCAAAATAATAGTATTTCCTCGTTAGTCATCAAAATTTGCATCAGTATAATGTGTTTTATGAAAAAATCTGATCCAACAGTTGTACAAAATGCGATCGAAGTTTCAACGCTGATCTCGATTTTCTCCAAAACTATTCATCACAGAAATTTTTAAACCTCGCAAATGGATTCAGTTGCAACGTCTCTACAAACTAACCGAGTTTAAATCAGAAAGAAATCAATTTCTAACCGCTTGCGTCCATTTGTGTCAATTCGTGCATTAAATTTTACAATTTTATTATGGTTTCTCTTTAGTACCACCAAAACTAACTTCAAAGTCAATGAACATTGTTCTTTCTGCAATAAAATGAGTTTTTATGCATCAAAATACTTCTTTATATATTCTAGGCTAACCTTCGAAGCTTTTTTGGAAGCACATGGTATTATTAATGAGTGTAATCGTAGTTTACCAGCTGAATGTTTGCAAATATGATAATGGAATGATAAATTGCTAACCTTTTTTGAAGGATGGTTTTATAAATACAACTGGTTTTAGACGGAAAAAAAAGAATGGTATTTTAATCAAGGGACGAAAAAGACCCAAAATACACCAGCAATTTTGTTCGCGCACAGATTCACACCTCAAATGGGTTCTAAATCTCACTAATAGTGCGTTCTTTTCTGAACCACTGGAACTATGATATCAAAAAGAGCGCAAATCAAAAAGGATTGCTTCATTGCTACGAGAGGGAGTAATTTTTATAGCAGTTAAATCAACAAAGTTTGTTGATCAAATATTCATTTTAAATTGACTTTATCCACATTAGTTATTAACATTAACTAGTTTAACTCAATCAGTCCCATTAACTAATTCATTCTGATAGGCATAGATTAATAGTCTTAATATTCTTCGAATCGAAATCGACAAAATAGCTTTCCTAATTCATTCGAAATGATTATCACCAGAAAATTCAGCTTTATTTTGGTGTAAATTATGATATAAAAACTGACAAAATTGTAAGTTTAAAGGTAGGAAGAAGAGCTGTGTTTGTTTTCAATATACACGTAAGACAAATGAATGGATTTTCATGTTTATCTCTCGAATGTCAATCAGAACTGTTATTAATTTTAAGGTGTGAAATCAGATTCTGAACAGTTATCTGTTACATAATCATTATATTGTTTATTAACTACACATGTGCATCAAATTTGTATTGTAAATGCTGGTAACATAAATTTGACTTCGTTATTATTGACAAACTTGATACTCTCATGATGAACATCCATCATGATAATCTCAACAACTTATTGTATTAATCCAGTCTTATTTATTTTGTGAACTTTATCCTAAATCTGTTAAAGTATTTAGTTGATAAAAAATACTCTATTGATATTAAATCCAACTTTTCCAGCTTGTTCATGTAAACTTTTACTGCATCGATAGGCTGCTAACACAAATTTGTGTTTAATTACTTGTAAGCTGATGTGATTACATCCTGATTCATTGGGTTTTCAATTTTTACTCTGAAAAGTCAAAATATTATCCAGTTTCTATTGCCATCATCATTCCCAACTAAATTTATTGAGAGGTAAAGATGTTCCAATTATTCATCATTTGTGCTTTGTTTTACCAATTCCCATTAACCAACCAAGCCAGTCTCACCGATGGCTGTATTGATGGTTCAAAACTATGTTTCGGTATACCAGGCGAATGTGCATCTTCTGCCACATTCACTTGTGATATGTTGGTTCTCATTAGTGCTAAACCTGATTTAAAGGATGGTTTGGATGTAGACCTTTATGCTAGTAATGTCGTTGACAGATGGTATGGTCTTGGTTTCGTTGAAAAGAAAGGGATGTTTGATGCGACTGTTGTTTATTGTGATACACATAATGGTATATCCGTAGGTGAAGGTGTTACAGTCAAATGGGCTCTGTCTCCTCTTCCAGCCAATACTTTGATCTCTTCTTCATCAGGCAAACTTGAAGATGGCCTGGTTCATTGTAAATGGGTTCAAAAGGCAAGTGGAACTGCTGGTTCTACTGGTATTGAATACGATATAAACAAACCGTATCACGTACAACTTGGCTATGGACCTATGGAAAACGATGGGAAAAAAGTAGCAAAACACTTAGTTAAAACAATCACTCCAAATCCTGTGTATCTGAATTCAACTGGAATCATTGTCCCAAGTTCCAAAATTCCTCTTAAAGTCAGAATTCATGGTTCATTCATGACTGTTGCTTGGTTGTGTTTGGTTAGCATTGCTATGATGATTGCTCGTTACCATAAAAATTCTTGGGGTGAAACAACCATCGGAAATGTTAAAGTGTGGTTCGCATTGCATCGAGGTCTCATGATTTGTGCTCTTATTTCTGCAGCCGCTGGAATGATTAGTATTTTAGTTCATGTCAAAGGATGGAGAGCCGATACTCCCCACCAATACCTTGGACTTTTTGCTAACATTTTAATGATCTTACAGCCCATTGGAGCTCTATTCCGTCCATCACCTGATCATGAAAATAGAGTTTACTTCAATATTATACATTTTCTTGGTGGCAGTATTGGTCACACTCTGGCTATCTTGGCTTTATTTTTCGTTCTCAGTATTTCTTCTGTCAATTTATCAATGGCCTTTTTATGGTTGTTAGCTAGTTTCGTGTTGCTACTTGTCGCGACCCATATAATACTTCAGTTTCATCCACATCTATTGGCAACATTGAACATCATTGAAGACATTCAAATGGGTGATCCTCGAAATAAGTTTGCTGCCCCATCCCCATCGGTAGTTGAGACAGTTGAACGATCTAAAAAACGAGTTTTGACCATTTACATTCTTCTAGTCCTCATCATAACCATTTCTGTACTTGTTATCGTTAACAAAGGCAAACCAAATTAATTTTATTTTTTCCATTCCATTTTATATTTCTATTTTTAAATAAACCTAAATTTGATTTTTCACACTTTAAACCATCTTAACAGTTTATCAATATTGGAACTGACAAAATAAGCATTTAAAAGCTAAAGAAGACATCATTATAACGCTTATGCGAATGAACTCATGTCCAAAAATAAGCCCATAACATGAAAATCTCTCTTAATAATGAACATTCAAGTTTCAAGACAATTCCTGAATAGATCATGACCTGAGTATAATCTCAGATCTTGAATAGTTGAAGAGCTGTCAGTCATAAAAATCTAACCAAACCTTATGTTGGATAACTGTCAAAATTGAAGTCTATGCTGGTCAATTGTTCATTCATATTTAAGCATCATTGACTATTATTACCTCACCATCAATAGTCCAACGTGAGCCGGTATAGTTTGAACGAGTGTTCAAAATTCGAGCATAATTAAAATGTTCGAAATGCACTCCTTTCGGTCAACAACTGCTTCGGCCGCAATCGTGAAAGAAGAAATTTTTTTGAAACTTAGTCTTCGCTTGCTCTGAATAATTAGCTTGCGAAATTGCTAGGCGTTCATAATCAAAAAATGATACTTGATAATCTGTTCAATGAAGAGCAAAAATCCCAACAAATATTTTTATCGCATGATCATTGAATGAGATATGAAAACAAATCTAATTACAAAAATAGTGTTCGTACTTGATTTAATAAATGTATTTCTTGAATCTTCACGTGTGATTTCAGGTTCAACCTTGGACAAAGAATACATTTTTATATGAAAAAGTCAACTGGCAACCACCAAGCGATAACTGATAATGATAATGTTAACAAATTGAATGTCGATAATGTTTATTTAATGAAAATGAAAAACTCTGTTTTCAATAACAAATCACATTAAGATTATAATGCTAAATTATAAGATCTATATAATTGCCGTTTCTCGGATTCAATCAATTGCGATTGTTAATTCTGTCAACTTTTATTGTTTGATATGGTTATCGACCCAAATTGATATGAGAAAATGATTTTTCCCATCTCAAGTACGTAACTTCAATCATTGCAAAAAAATGATTGCAATTGATTTTCGAAGCAAATTTACATAGTGTCGAAACAATCTTGATTATGAGGTTATCCAAAAAGTTAAGTAAATATTAAGGTGATTATGGATATTACGTCAAGTTAAGATTTTATCGCTGTTATGCTAAGTGTTACTTTTGTCCGAGAAATAGGATTTTTCTGATCGATTCTGGTTCTTGTCTGTTTACAAAATGTGAGAAAACTCAACCCATGAAAATGGTGTTTAATCACACTGGATAAGGTAAATCATGATTCATTTGAAAATTGTTGCAACCCACAGAGGCTCAAATAACGATAGTGAAAGAACAAAGTAAATCGAAGGTGAACAACAGGAAAAGTTCATGTTTTCATGTTGGTAGAATTTTGTAGCATTGTTGTGAGTTTTTCCTTTTATGGTTCAGATTCAAAGTCAACTGTTGAATGCGATTGTTATTAAAAAGACACAATTAACATGATTGTCACATTTATACATCAGACTTGTACACAAATGGGCAAAAACGGTTAAAATTTAATTTCTTTCAAATTTGGACTCTTAGTTTTGTAGGGACATAAAAACTGAGTTTATTTGTGCGATTCAAAGATTTCTCTAATGAACAGTTCTCGAAAAAATCGGATTCGAAGTTGAAACTTGCAAAGCTTTTTGTACAATGATCGGAGCAGATTATTTCATGAAACTCATAGTGCTGATGCATCTTATGATGAACAACCAGGGACTGTATTCATTTTGAGAAATAAAATGTTTCTTTTTCTTTAAAACAGATCAGTTCGATTTTTAGTTAAATCGATTGCTTTCTATGACCTAAAGATTTAGAGAGCTGAAACTTATTATGTGAGTGTAAATATTGTTGTTGCACATCAATGAGTGAACTCTTTTTTCAATTTATCAATAGTTCTCTTGATTTTGGCAATTGGCCTCAAAACTTTGAACCTCAATATTTTGAGAATGGCATTTCTTACAACATCCATTCTTTCACCAAACATTATGTTTATTATGGGCTATAACAATATACGACTGCATGCTGAATAAAATGAAGCTAATTCATTCAAAAATGAAGATACTTCTAACGCATAAGATTTGTGATTTACTTTATAAATCAAATATCAAATCTGAAACATAAGTAATACAATGCTAGAACTTTTTTTGTAGGATCTTGAATGATTCAATATTTTAGTTTATTATGGCCATAATTATTTAGTGAACGAATGGATGTTGTAAGAAATGCCATTCTCAAAATATTGAGGTTCAAAGTTTTGAGGCCAATTGCCAGAATCAAGAGAACTGTTGCTTAATTGAAAAAACAATTTGATCCATTATGTTAATCAACAAATTTCATGGACAAATATCAAGTTTAAGCTCTCTAACCCTTATGGTCACAAAAAGCAGACGGTTTAAGTGAAAATCGAACTTGATCTGTTTTACAGAAACGGAAAATGTTATTTCTAAAAATAACACTATCTTCTGGTTGTTCATCAAATGATTAATTAAGAAAATAAGTTTCGTAAAAAAATCTGCTTGCAAAGCTGAATAAAACGCGATCGAAGTTTCAAGTTTAGCCTCGATTTTTTCGCAAACTTTTCATCGTATGAACGATTTACTAGCACCAATTGACTTAGTTTTTATGTCCCTACAAACCCACCAAGTCTCAACTCTTAACTCAAATGCTCGAGTCTACGGCAGCAACTTTTTTCATTAAGTTTGTAAGTTTAACCAGAAAATTGCTTTATTTACCAAGATGTGCATTGAGATGAGTTTGGTTTGTTAAATAAGCTATTCCTCGTTTATTTACAGCCCAAAAATCATAATCCAAAACGGTAATGGAAAGTTGTTGAGTTGAACTGAATTATATATTAGTAAAGGATTATTTTGGTGAAGTAATGATGGCTAAAGATGATGCCATTTACGAGCTATCGCGGCTCAAAGTTTTTAGATCAATTGCCAAAATCAAGAAAACTGTTGCTGAATTGCGAAAAGCATTCAACCCATGATGTGTACCAACAACTTTCATGGACAAATATCAAGTTTAAGCTCTCTAACCTTTATGGTCACAAAAAGCAGACGGTTTAAGTGGAAATCGAACTTATCTGTTTTACAGAAAACAGAAAGTTTTATTTCTAAAAATTAGATCGTTTTCTGGTTGTTAAACAAAGGATTAATCAGGAACATAAGTTTCGTGAAAAAATCTGCTTCCATAGCTGAGTAAAACGTCATTGAAGTTTGAACTTTTACCTCGAGTTTTTCGCTAAATTTTCATCGTATAAACTATTTAATAGCATCAATTGACTTAGTTTTTATGTCCCTACAAACCCACTAAGTTTCAACTCTTAACTCAAATGCTTGAGTCTCCGGCAGCAACTTTTGCATTTCATTTGTAAGTTTAACCAGAAAATTGGTTTATTTACCAAGAAAAGCTGTTTAGATGAGTTTGGTTTGTTAAATAAGTTATTCCTCGTTCATTTACAGCCCAAAAATCATAATCCAAAATGTTAATGGAAAGTTATTGAGTTGAGCTCAATTATTGATTAGTAAAGGATTAAATTGGTGAAGTAATGATGGTTAAAGGTGATGCCATTCTCGAAATATCGAGGTTCAAAGTTTTATGATCAAAGACCAAAAACGAGAAAATTGTTGCTAAATTGAAAAAAGTATTTAATCCATAATGTGTACGCCCAACTTTTATTGACAATTTTTAAGTTTCAGTTCGCTAACTCTTATGGTCACAGAATACGGTCGGTTTAACTACAAATCGAACTTATCTGTTTTAAAGAAAAAGAATTGTTTTATTTCTCAATATAATAATATTTCCTCGTTAGCCATCAAAATTTGCATCAGTATAATGTGTTTTATGAAAAAATCTGATCTAACAGTTGTTCAAAAAGCGATCGAAGTTTCAACTTTGATCTCGATTTTCTCCAAAACTTTTCCTCAGAGAAATTTTAAATCACTCAAACGGACTCAGTTTGTTATGTCCTCATAAACTAACCGAGTCTAAATTTGAAAGAAATTATTTTCTAACCGCTTTCGTCCATTTGTGTCAATGTTCGTCATTTTATGTATAAATGTGTCAATTGTTTTGATTTTGTCTTTTTAGTACTATAAAATCATGAAATGCCATTGTTAAATTGCTTCAACATAGTAATTGCTTCAGAAGAGTTAAGTTTCCTAACATTTAAAGGTAAACCCGATAAAAATATCTTTAACATCGACGGTATCTTCAGTTTGGAAGACATTGTTGCTATTGCAAATAAACTTTAATAGTAGTCTTAAACCAGTAACCACAGTTAATTAACGCCAATTAGCCGTCAAGTATTTCAAAGCTTAACTCGATCACGTTTTAATATGTGGCAATGCAGGGGACAATGGTGTGAATAAAATTCTCAGCTATGAAAAATTAAAAATACAATGTCACCAAAGCGTAGCATCAATCAATTCTGATCAGATTCACCGATTGAGTATAAATATTTTACGTCAGATTACGATACGATTTACGTATTAACATCCGCACGTATCCTGATTCCCCGTAAAAGTAATTTTTGTCACCAAGATAAGCCCACTTAATGATTAAATTAATACGCCGGTTGTACGTATTAAATGGTAAGGTAGTGAAGCCAATAAAGACATAAATTCAAATACAATATGAATGGCTGGACTTAAAGGCACCATTTTTTCAGGTATCGAGCTAGTAACCTAACTTTACCCAATTGTGAAGCCAATTGATCAAACATCTTCCAATAATAACTTCATGCAGTGAACTCGAAAAACAAAAAATATTTGAAATCAAACACAATCAATTGGTAATAGAGTAAAAAAATTCGGTAAAAAGTCCACAAATTCCCTGCGATTGCCCACACACGGCTCTCTAAGATCATCTCGAAATTTAAGGAGATCACTAACATGGACCAAATCACACAAAAAACAATTATGTAAAATTTATAATAAACTCGATCGCTTTAAATCTTAAAGAGGCCAAAGAAATATTTCAAGACTAAAATCCGACATAAAGCTTACAACTTTAACCCCAAAAATCTAAGGAACCACTTCATTTACAGATAAAAGCCACCAGTCCGTTGATATGGGAGCTTGGCCCTATCATTTGCGCTATGTCTCATCAAAATCCCTCAGGTAAGGTTGAGGACCTTCCCTTGTTAGTGTAAAAGTATTGGGAATTGAACATTCGTGAATTTTGGCTTCGAAACAGAAAGATCACTCGATAATCATTATTTATTTTCATGGCTTATTTCTTAAAATTATTTAGACCCGATTTCAATGTTGTTCTTGTTCCTGCTGTGAGGTATTCATGATTCAGTTCATGAACACTTGAACTTCATTTATGTCTCTATTTTTCTCTATTTCTATGTTAATCATCTAAAATATGGCAATTAACTTATTAATAAAGAAATCTTAACAATTAACTAATTAATAAAGAAATCTTAACTTGAAAATTTCTATTCAAATTGATTTGTGGAAAGGAGTTAGCAATTTGTGTTTGTGCTCAAAACTCTGATAAATGTATTCAAATCGTCATAATTCATAATTAAAATGAATTTTCCCAATGCTTTTGCACTAAGCTTTATACAGCTTCATTGTATTGATTATTTTCTTCGATTTTTTCATGAGATAATCTGTTATTTAAAATTATGTTACAGCCTATTCAATGGGAAATTCTGGGGGAATATTAGGAAAAAGACTGCCAAGCATTTCTGAACTTCGAACTCGCGTTATTTTAAAAGCACCTCAACTACCCTGCTGTTTCTGAACAGAGGCCAATCGAAACATATTAGAGCCATTTTAAAATGGAAGAGTCCAGTTTCACCTAATCCGGAGTCAAATTTAGAATTTATATTATTTGGGGAAACGGTAAAAAGTAGTCAGTTTTCCCGGCGAAAACGGATTATACTTTATCCAATTCAACCTCTAGCTACAAACTAACATTTACCGAGGATAAAATAATGATGAAAAAATTGCCTGAGATTTATGAGAATACTCTGAGATACGATGAGATTACTTTCAAATTTGATTAGTAGGATACATAATAATAGTAAATAACGAATCAAAGATCGAATTTAATCTGTGTAATAGATCAATTAAATTTTATTGATATTCAGTACTGATTTTTCATATTTACACCAAACTATATTCATCAGATGTGTATTGATCTAAACTGAAAACTAATGGAATCAGGCTATTTAGTAACTGATGAAAAGAGTTTAAACGCAGGTTTTAGGCGTTCTTGATTCATTCATTATTAAACCAATACAACAGGATAATAAGACTTAATATAAATTTACAAATTTTTAACTGCAAGATTCTTCAAATAATGAGAGTGGATCATTTCTTCTTTTGTCCTCCCATTCCTAGCATGGCTAATATTCTGGTGAAAATGTTAAGGGTATCGATAAACACAGCCATGGAGCTAAAGAATGAAGAAAAAAATATTAAGAGATTAGGATTACAAGACAGACTTTTAAAGATTTGAACTTACTTTTGAATAGGATCATAAGGACGAGTACCATATAATGGCGTATGTTCAGCTCTTTTGACTATCTTTTGAACATCATAAAGCAGGAAAGCAGAGAAAAGAAGAAGACCACCGTATATGGAGATGGAATATGCCGATGCACCTATCGCGGAAGTTGGAGCTAAGAACATTGTTGCTGAAAAAATAAGAGATACAGTTAGAGTTACTGTTCTGAGTTGCAATCAACAGAGTGCGTTTCAAAATAGATATGCGTAATAGGATAACCTACTGTTTACTATTATTGTAATAGTAAACAATAATTTCATCATTGAAGGATTTTGCCAGCTATTTTAACTGCGACTTATTGGGTGCATTGATTATAATTACCTAGTGATGAAGCAAATACTAAGCCAAATCCCATGGCCAACGGTCCTCCAATATTCAAGAATTTCTCACTTGGAGCACAAACAGCTACCAAAGAAAGACTTGAAATCACACCAGCAGTGATCAAAGCAGCTCTCATGATAAGAGGACCTCCAACCACAGAAATAGGTGCTATAATTGCCCCAAGCAATGAGCTATGAGCTAACCAAGCCATCTGTTTAGAGCCAAATCCAGGAGAATAAGGTATGCTTGCAGAAATACTTCCTAAACCAATCAAAGCTGCAATAGTCACTCCAAATGCCTGAAAATCAATTCAAAATGAGAAAAAATTAATGGTATGCTTTTTACTTGATGAAATCTTTAAAAGACTTACCAATAGTGAGTTTGAAGAAACCAAACGCATCAACGCTGGAGTTCGAGTTACAAAATAAGCAGAAGTAGCAGCGACTCCAATGCTAGCCCCAAAGTAAGCGAATGTAGCATGGATCCTATCTTGGACATGCTTTGGCCAGGCTCTGAGTAAATCAAATCAAATTGAATACAATATAAGTAAAATGGAACAAAAATACAGAGCAAAATGTAAACACTTACAATGATTTATCAATAATAGCATCTTGACGCGAAGCAAGACCATAGAAACACAAAGCTCCAAGACCCAATCCAGATCCAGCAGTCACAGCAGCTCGACCAAAAGCGAAAGGTGCTCCAGATGTAGGCTTAAGAAGACGCTCTTTCAAACTTAACTTGGGCTCAGTTCGTACACCAAAAACACCTTTTACCTTTGGAGCCTCATTACGTAAACCACATTTTTGAACAAGGCTGGTTTTAGTTTCTTGAAGAATCCCACGACCCAAAAATGAGTGACAACTTCGCAATAACATATAAGACATTTTTCACTAAAATCAGAAATCAATTTAATTCAGCTGAAAAAATAGTTAGCAGTGTAGCAATTAATAAACAAATCTGTCAAAGCACTCTGAAAATTCTAGAAATCACAGCTAAAAACTCTGATGAAATGCACAACTAGGGACTGTTGCATAATTACAAACATCAATCTCACTTTCTATATTCACCTCAAAACTTAACAAAAATTACTGTTTTAGTGTTTAATTTAATATTTTATCAACTTGGTAAATTGAATCATTGATTAAAAGCCAAATATATTGTAAGTTTCCCAGAGCAGAAAATACAGCTTTAATTGAAAATAATCCCATCGATACAAACTTGGTCATCTGTCAAATAAATGTGACGGATTAACTGTTAAAATGATTGTAACATTGTTTAATATTGTCGTATTAATACCGTATTTCGTATTTACAGAAGATTATCACAATTAAATTTTATCACACCGGCCGTTGACATTTCGTTAAAATCACATTTTAATTCTAATTAAATCAAAAAATAATGTTTCTTTTAGACAAAAATTGAAATATTATAACTTCCAGGAAGTTATTTGATCGTTAAACAATCTTAATGTTGTTGATCAATGGTTACAATTACAACTGATAATGATGATTTGTTTATTTATTATCAATTTGAGCTCAATAAGAAGCTTTTGAATTTAATTTAACAGTCCTAATAATTTCCTCTTTTCAGGGTTTATTAAATAATGTCTCAAGTTGAAAATTGCCATTTAAATTAAATGACATTCATTTCTTCACATAAACAAAATCATTTTGATAGTCATTATAGCCGACAAATAACCATTGTTTTAATCACTGCAATAACAATAAACCTAATCAAGTGCAGTTAGTGGATTTGATCGTGATCATGATTATTGATTGTAAAACGAATGATGTTTATTTCAAAGAAATACGGACAAAACTCTGACATTTGAGTTGAAAGCTGAAATTGTCAAAATAAGATTTGAAGTGAAGACAGTCAAGAAAACAGGATTAGATTCATCATGTTCCTGGTTTTCCTCAAAGAATTCTCGACTGATAAAATTGAATGTTAAATGATGTTGAAACCTGGGATGGGATAATCTAAGAAGCCAGTTATTCATCAGTTTAAGTTTTGGGCGACATGAGCAAATCTGTTTTTACTGGAATTTTAAAATCGTGAAACACACTAAAGGATCAAATACATGAGAAATTTGATTTTTACAATCACAGGCACTACAATGAGCGGAATGGGAAATAACGAATCAGTAAATTGAATCATTAATATGAACGAATGAAATTGTTTTAGGTGAACAGCTCATCAAATTTTTAGTACATCAGTGACACGGACAATTAAATCACATCGCGAGGGTCTTATCTTGGAACCGGTTTTTACCTTAACCGGATAATTTGTTTAGAACCAAAAAGGACAATATGATGATGAGGAAGAAGCTGTTCAGAAAGAGAGAGATAGAAAGAGACAAAAATCAGGAAAAAAAGTGAGTCAAGACAATCTTTTGAACAACTCATCTTTTCCTATTCTTCATTTTATTCATTAGCGAAGATTTTCAATCAAATCAATGTTTTCTCGGTGTAATTGACTTACCGTGTGTTTATTATATCAATATTTTTTAATTGTACATTCAGTGACATAAGCGCTAATGGTTCTCTTGCATTCTCAATACAACTTTGATTGAACCTTGATTAACCAACAAATCTACCCTACAAATCTCAGGTAAATATGAGGTCAATCATCCCCTAACCTAATCTGTCCTTAACCCTGCTTACCAATTCGCCTAATTACTGGATAAAAGTGATAAAAGAAAATTATTTAAATAAACAAATTATACGTTAATTACACTGTCAGCTCATAAGGTTCAACTTATCGGCTAAAAATCGTAATGATTTGGGTTTAATTTAGATTGTATAATTGTTTTCATTTTGCCAATAATATATTTATGGATATTAGCTTTATCAGATTGATTAAGGTCAGATTGTCGAAGCTATTGGTTAGCTTTCCTAACCCTGTAACCATTTCACTAATCAAACCTCTCCTTTCAATTTTGTCAAATCGTTCAAGTCGCCCAAACACCGAAATTTCTATTGAAACAGAAAATGAATGAACCATTATGAATAATTGGACAAATGAGATTAATATGATTGAACAGAAAGATTATTAAAGTGTAGACATAAATGTACTTTACCTGAAATAATTGTTTTCATCTTAATTAGAGACAAATTAATATAATAACAAAACAAATAGAAATTATAAATATATAACTAAATCTAAACTGATAAACTAACAACTGTAAGCTGAAGGAGTAATCAAATAGAGAAAATAATTGAGACTAAGAATTGTAATTCTGCCAGAAAAAGCTCAACTTAATCACTGATTGTTTGCTGATTGAATATTATAATATTAGCTACTTGATTGTTCATAACAAAAGTATATGACTATTGTACAAAATTAGGGAAATACTTGTAAATCGCAATATTTCTAAAACTAACAACACGCAAGTTTTCGATCAATAAGCTTTAATGTTGAGCTAGGAATCAATTTTGGGAAAATTGAGTGTCTCATTTTGTGATTAATTTCATGCCTTGAACTCCAGATGAATATTGCGATATACCAGCAAATAAATAAAGAACAGTCAATTCAAACCATAAATATGTTAATAAACTCAACAACCGAAGTGAATAGAAAAGTCAATTGAATAAAAATTTCAAAAGATTTAAATTCGTAATAAGATCTCGATTTCTCAATTAGTGTTATGAGAGACAAAAAAGAATGAACCATCTTCACATGAAGTCATCTGATCCGTCACTGTCATTATCCTGAAATAAAAAGATAAACATGATTTAGTTGATTTGGCATAAATTACAATATCACAGTTCTTGTTACTTACTTTGTTAGTTTTCATTAATTCAGGCTTAAAAATGGGCTCATAGGAACGAGCTTTAGCAGCCTCTTGACGCTTTTTGGCCTCTTCTTTCTCTTGATCTCTCAGCTTTTTCAGTTTAGCCTTTTCCTTGTCCCTCTCTTGTCGATCTCGTTCTTCTTTTAGAGCTTGTAAATCCTCTTCACGAGTCTCTTTGGTTTTATTGAGTCGATTCACAATTGCATTGCACCGTTTTTCAACTCTCATTTTCCGGACTTGTTTTTCACTGAAGAAACCAACTTGACCTACGTCCATGGATTTAGTTTTTTTAAGATTCGACCACATAGTGTAAACTATGTCAACATCGTTCATTTTATTTCCCTCAATTGAATTGGCTTTAACTAGTTGAGCACAGTCATCAAGAACACTACTAGGTACATCATCCAAAGTTTGACCAGGCCTTAATCTAAGGTAAACATGAGCTGATGATACTTTGTCCACATGAAACCAAACATCTTCAGGCCAACCCCATTTTATCAGTTCTTCATTTTCATACTTGTCAACACCCATGTAAATGACCATCGGCGGAGAAACGATTTCACTTTTAAAGTAGATAACCATTTTCAATAGGAAAACCAAAAGTTAATCTGAAACTAAATTACACAGCTGCTAAAAACGAGTACGTAACAATGATTATTACCAACGTAAAAAAATTGATAGAATTTAAAATAGATGGTTCAAAACAAATTGGTAAATTAATTCAACAAAAAATTATAACCTTGAAGTGTCAAAAATAAACAATCGATAAATTAAAATAATAATTCAAATAATTGGGAATCATGTTTTAAGGAAAAGCCGCTGAGAAACAGATGACTGTGGAAGAAATAGCAAAGTCTCTCATTAGATGTCATTACTTTAGGAGGTTAGCTTATCTTTACTAGCAATTCTCAATAACTAACATTGAGAATAATTAAAATCTAGTGATCTTTTAGTTTGAATTAATTTGAATCAATTATTATTTGTTTATTAAGTTGTTCATCCGTCTACTAAATGAAAAGAGAATATTTTAATCACCAGTTAAATCTAATCATTTGTTTATGTCTTTAGTTAAAGTTCAAACAATATTATCATATCATATGTTTTTTCCTTTGTCGGTGTCAGAATTTATCATTTTTTATTCTGAATAATTTACTTCAATTACTTTACTACCAGTTTATCAAGACTCGTCTATAACAATGGCATTAAGGAATCTTGTGGACAAGGATTGTGGAGGCAATAATCCTTTGGTCAATTTAACCCAGCATTTCAATTCAGACAAGGTTAGTACTATTTTTTTTAAATCAATCAATAACTTTTTCACCAACACTAATGTTATAATAATTACATGCATTTATGTATTTGTTACTTAATTTGACTAATAATATTATTTTATATCATTAATTCAATTAGCTCAGTCTTAGACTATCTATCGCCTTCTTTTGTTGATTTCAAATGACAACTGTTATATTTTCAACTAAATGATAGTCTTTTTGCTCGACTATCAAAAATTATTAACCCAGTTGATTGTATATGCTCAATTGGTTTATTTAATTAGCGTGTGTCAGTAGTCAAACCAAAGTGGTACTCGTGTTGACTGCTAATTAATTTTTTTCACTAAATCAGTATTTTTATCATTATTGAATTCAACTTGACTGATTTTTCCATCTGACAAATTGAGTAACAAAAAGTAAACAAACAATAAATAACGAAACAATTTTACTTTTTTTCCTTATTCTATACATAAAATTCAGATAAATCATGGATGGAACAATGAAAACTTGACAGAACATGGTCAAAATGGTCTTATTCCTGAACAATTAGAAAGGTCGGAAAGATTCAATATGGAATCTTTATTACAAACTTTAGGACCTGTTCATAATAAAAATAATCTAGAGTCAATTAACAGACCAGAATTATCTCTCAATAATCATCAAGTAGCTCCTAACAGTCATAGTTGGCTGGATGACTTTTTATCAGCATCTTCATCATCAACCTCCAACATGGTCTCATCCTCTTCAGCTCCTATCTTGAAACAATCATTTTCTCAATTCAAGAGTGATAAATCATCTAAATCAATTAGACCAATGCAAGTAAACTCATTTCAAAGACCTTCTCTTGAACAATGGGGACCATTTAGAGGTGGACCTGGATTTAATGGCGGCTTCATGAGACCACGATTTATGTCTATGCTCCGACCTTCCACCAGTCTATTCAATCAACCACAATTAGGATCTAAACCAGCCAAGGATTACTTAGAAGATTTCCATAAAAATTTAGAAGAAGAAAAGGCAAAAGCTAGGAATGCCGAGACTGCACGAAAAAGTTATGATACTTCAACTTTGCCTGAAGAGGCGAGGAAATTTGTGGAGTCCATGAGAGATGACCCAGAAATCCAGAACACTGACTTTCTCAATTTTATCCAAAAAATCGGCAGTGGCGAGTATCAAGTAACTGATGAAGGAATAATTTCTAATGATACCGATAATTTATCTCAAGCTTGGGCCCAAGAGTATGCAACTGCTCAAGAAGTCTGGGAAGATAATGCTGTTCGCGATGACCAAGAATTTTGGGACTCATTAGCTACTGATTGGGCCACTGAATTTAATCAGAATTCAATCCCTGACATAACCGAATTGCCAACTGAATTTATGCCCGATAATGAAGTAACCGCATCCACAACAGAGTATAAATTCAACTCTAACAATCCATATCAAGATTCTGTTGATCCTTTCGCAGAAGGATTGAAAAAACTGGAAGAAGGTGATATACCATCAGCTGTGCTTCATTTTGAAGCAGCCTGTCAAAAAGATCCATCACAAGCGCTGTATTGGCAATATTTGGGGACAAGTCAAGCTGAAAATGAGCACGATTCGTCGGCAATATTGGCTTTAAAGAAATGTTTACAACTTCAACCGGATAATTTATCTGCTCTAATGGCTTTAGCTGTGAGTCACACAAATCAATCTGATGCTCGTGAAGCTTGTGAGAATTTGTTCCTCTGGATTATCAGGAATCCACATTATTCATCTTTAGTGCCAGAAGAATATAAAACAACCACTTTAGAAGTAGTTACATCAGAAAAGTTACGCCGAGTTCGCGATATGTATCTACAAGCAGCACGTTTATCACCTCAACCATTAGATGCTGATATTCAATGTGGTCTTGGAGTTTTACTCAATTTAACCGGTGAATACTCAAAAGCTGCCGATTGTTTTAGAGCAGCTTTATCAGCTCGTCCTGAAGATCCAACGCTATGGAATCGATTAGGTGCTACTCTTGCTAATGGTGATAGATCGGAAGAAGCTGTGGCTGCATACGAAAAGGCATTATCCATTTCTCCAGGCTTTATCCGATCAAGATTTAATTTAGGAATTGCATGTATCAATTTAGGTGCTCACCGTCAAGCAGCTGAACACTTTTTATCCGTCCTTAATCTTCAACATGCTGGTCATGGAGCTGATGGTCAGTCTTCCCATAAAATAATGTCCGCTAATGTCTGGTCAGCTCTTCGATTGGTTCTTTCATTGATGAGTCGCCAAGACTTGTATAAATATATAGAATCAAGAGATTTGGAATCTCTTAATCGTGAATTTAATATAACTCAATCAGAATTTTTGCAAAATTCTTGAAAAAAAAGAGGCATAAATCAATTTATTATGCAAATCTAAGAGACTGTTATTTTAAAAATTTTAACATTTGTTCCTGAAAGGTGATTTTCAATATCAACAAATCAATGTGACTGTTTTGTACCATATAACAATGGATTTTTAATAGATTTCATCCAAAAAACCAATTAAATTGTTATTTTTTAATATGTATCTTATTTTTATTGACAATATTGAAAATTGATATTTTGCCTGTGATTCCTTATAGATGGTCAATAAAGCCTTAAATTGTTATTGAAACAAATTTTTCTCTATTCATTATAAATACCTAATTAGAGTAGGAATAAAATTGCCTCGTAATATACTTAAATACATGATTAGAGAAATAATTAATAACTGTCGGATGTTTGAACAATTGAATGTATTTACTGTCAATTCTTGATAAATTAATCACGCATAACAAACATAATTCAAAACTTAATTTTAGAAAAAAGAAAACAGTCTTTTGTAAAATAATCTGTATGTTGTTGGTTCGACTCGTTGATGTAAGGAGACAAGAATCAATTAGATAATTATTTGATCGATTAATTTCATCGCCGTCTGACTTTAAATTACTATACAGGATAGAAAGCCAACGACATCGAGCTTCCTCCCATGAATTTAATTGTCACTAAACTGTTAACGAAAATATTGAAAGAGCAAAAAGGTACAAATTACAAAGTGCGAAAGTCAACTCCTTCTCGATAATTGCGAGGGTTTTTCAACTATATAAGGACGATGGTTTCAAGTCAATCAGCATCAGTTTCCAGTCATTCACTGGAGTAAACAAATCAACTTACTTGAGTTTTGAATATTTATTTTGTGATCAACAGTTACATTAAAACAGCCAGCCATGAGGACTCTTGTCTTGTTGCTTTTGGTTGCCGTTGTAGCCATCGCCTTAATTCAAGTCACCCAAGGAGACCACTGGGGTAGGCAATCCAATACAATGACTGATCCTAGTTAAACTGATTTCACCATTTGATGAACAACAAAGCTTCTTGATCATAGATCACAGTGTGGTTACAAGTGATATTAGTGTGTGTTAGAGTATATTTTGCGGTTCGATATTGAATAAGATTTTTTGATTATTAATCCTTGCTTAATCATTTCACAAGAAACACAAATGTCATACAAAAATTGACAAAGTTGCAGTCTTTTTGCCGATACTGACCTAAGTTTAATATCGAACCGCAAAATATATTCGACATACTAATAGTTTGTCAGTTTTTAAAACAATAAACAAAATATACCATTATGGATTAAAACACTTAATTGTGATCTGCAATGAAACGCTTACCGTTATAGATTTATTTGAAATCAATTTTTACTCTGATCATTTGCGTGCCTGCATTGGAATGACAAAAGTATCACAAAATTTTGTTGTTTCAGACAAGTTTTAGTTTTTAACTGACTTTTACTCATTGATTAATAATAGGTAAAAAGAAGGTGCAAAACTTATGGCATCACCATCGTCACGATCATCATCATCACCATCACCACAAGCATAAGCAAGATCACAAACACGGTCATTGGCATGATCACAAGGTAAGTTAAAACACTCAAATTGTATTCCAACAAATCCGAAACAAAATCAGCACCAAGAGATAATATTTGATTCTCATATTGTTACTGGTTGGATTGATTGAAACTATCCTTATTTATTTATAAATATCATCTTCTAATTTTTCTAATTTTTATCTCTTTTAGCACCAGCACAAGGCTGACAATGAACACAAACACGGACATTGGCATGATCATGGACACAAACACAAGGTAATCACACCTCACCTCGCTTGCATTTACTCAATACTAACCAATTTATCTTGTTTATTTACAGCACGGACACAAGCACGAACACTGGAATGACCACAAGCACAAGGTAAGAAATTATTTGACTTGTTTTATCCCTTCAATACAAAAACTAATATCTATTTTACTTTAAACTCAGCATGGACACAAACACGAGCATTGGGGTAACCACGATTACAAACACAAGCATGAACACAAGCACGAAGACAAATGGGACGGTTGGCATGGAAAGGCCTAAATGATCTCACCTCTCCGGACCTTGGTTAATATCTGATTAACGATTAATCAAACAAAGCCACTTTGAAATCACCAATTGAATATTTCAAAATGGTTGACACAACACTTTATACTCTTGCAATAACTCATAGTCTATTCATCTCCATTCATCTCTTCAAAAAACTCATCAGCTACTTACACATTAACATATCATGAATATCATTCAAAATCTGTTAATATTCCCATAAATCCCTTGCAAATACACTTGTTAACTTAGCAATTATAATAAATTTAGTCAAATTTTCAAATCAATCTGACATCCTTTGTCACCATGAAACCCATGCAATTTCATCATTCACCATAAAGGATTGAAAAATTGTTCAAACCAAAGTATTAGAAACCGTTTAAATTGTTTAAATAATAAATTGTACAATAAAAAATTATTTTTGATTAATCAAGTGTCTTATTTTTATTGAAAATTGATATTTTAACTGTGATTCCTCATAAATGGTCAATGAAGCCTAAAATTGTTATTGTAATTGACTATCTCTTTATAAATACATTATGTATTTGATTAAATTAGGAATAAAGTTGCCTCGTAATATATTTATATGCATATAATTATGAAAAATTAATTACTGTCGGATGCTTGGAACAATTAGAATGTATAAATTGTCAATTCTTGATAAATTGATCACGCGTAACAAACATAATACAAGACTTAATTTTTGAAAAAAAAGAAAACAGTCTTTTGTAAAATAATCTGTCTGTTGTTGCTTGTTCCGGCTGGTTGATGTAAGGAGACAAGAATCAATTAGACTTGAATGCCATTCCCATCCAGAATAATAATAATCATCATCATAATCAATAGACATTCGTCACAACTGATCGGTGTTTAAAAAGAGATCAACTGAAAAGGAAGAGAAAAGAAAACGAAATTAGCAGATTCAGAATGAATTAAGAGTCAATCAACATGCATTACATAAAATTAATTTGTGATGTGATACATGGTCAATTGATTGAGAAACTGAAAGTAATTTCAATTAGATTTTTGCTCAGTCTTTAAACGATTAAATTTCATATCAATTTGCCTATTTTATAAGCAAAAACCGAGAAAACCCAGCAAAAATGATTCCAACCATTGATTAGATGAAAAGATATCAAGAAATGGCAATGTCAGGGAAATGTGTCATTATATTCAGAGAGTAGAGATGATATTTGTTATTTGTTGCACCTAATCGTCAATCGATCGGGAACTTGTGGACTTATTCTCGATTTTTTAGAGACTCTTTTGTCTTGCAGAGCAAAAATTATGATGACGATGTTGTTGCTGATTATGTTGATGGTTATTCCTAACGATTATGATTATTCCTAATGAAAAGTAATTCATTTAAGATTTCTGTTAATTCAATTGTATGATTAATTTTGTCTCTCCTTTTCTCTTCTTTCTTTTCCTTTCAACTTATCTGTTATTCAGTTTAATTAACCGAGAAAACGGGAACAAACTGATACTCATGATTATTCAAATTTCACGCTCACTTACCTTTTCATCTCTCACTATTAATCACAACTAATCACACAATCAAGACACCTTACTCGATACCCCTTTCCGATTAACTACCGTTGTCAATAGAGAGTAAACAAAATATCTCAACTCACCAACCTACCAATCATTCATTAACAAAAGTGTATCTTTAAAGTTAATTTCATCGATTAATTAATCAATAAGTCCTTCCCCATTACACTTACTTTCATTTTTTTGTTTATGGGTGATTACAGCTGTAAAACCATGTTAATGAGTACTCCGCCTGATTTGATTTGAAAAAGTGAACCCTATGTTTACATTCAATTTGTAGCGAATGACTTTCCCTGATCAGCTTTTCGTGTTACTGATGACGCCTTCTTGGTGATGATTGTTTATCCTCTCCTCTCTTCAAGTCTTGCCCTCTCCTTTTGACTGTAAATTATTGTGCAGGATAGAGGGCCAACGACATCGAGCTTCCTCCCATGAATTTAAGTGTCACACTAAACTGTTAACGAAAATATTGAAAAAGTAAAAAGAAACAAATTAGAAATCGCAAAAGTCAACTCCCCTCTTGATAAGTGCGAGGGTTTTTTTCAACTATATAAGGACGATGGTTTCAAGTCAATCAGCATCAGTTTCCAGTCATTCACTGGAGTAAACAAATCAACTTACTTGAGTTTTGAATATTTATTTTGTGATCAACAGTTACATTAAAACAGCCAGCCATGAGGACTCTTGTCTTGTTGCTTTTGGTTGCCGTTGTAGCCATCGCCTTAATTCAAGTCACCCAAGGAGACCACTGGGGTAGGCAATCCAATACAATGACTGATCCTAGTTAAACTGATTTCACCATTTGTTGAACAACAAAGCTTCTTGATCATAGATCACAGTGCGGTTACAAGTGATTGTTTATTTGTTGCAAAACAATATATACCATTATGGATTAAAACAACTCGTGATTTGTGATTAAGAATAATAACTCTTACCGTTTTAGATTAATTTGAAATCAAGTTTTATTTTGATCATTTGGGAACCTAACCAAAAGTGTCGTCTGATACTTTTGGCGGTTTCTTCCAAGTCAAACTTTCTTTTTTAACCGCTTTTTTCTTTTTTACTCGTTTATAATAGGTAAGAAAAAGGTTCAACATTTATGGCATCACCATCGTCACGATCATCATCATCACCATCACCACAAGCATAAGCAAGATCACAAACACGGTCATTGGCATGATCACAAGGTAAGTGAAAACACTCAAATTATATTCCAACAAATCCAAAAAACAATAACAGAACGAAGAGAGCCTTTCATATTTGATTATCATAGTGTTATTGTTACTCACTGGATTTATTGACACAATTTGGTGTCAGATTTCTCCTCGCTCCTCTACTAAATATCAGCTTCTAATCGTTCTGATTTTTATCCCTTTTAGCACAAGCACAAGGCTGACAATGAACACAAACACGGACATTGGCATGATCATGGACACAAACATAAGGTAATCACATCTCACCTTAGGTGGATTCATCAAATACTAACCAATTTATCTTGTTTATTTACAGCACGGACACAAGCACGAACACTGGAATGACCACAAGCACAAGGTAAGAAAATATTTGACATGTTTTATTCCTTCAACACAAAAACTAATGTCTATTTTTATTTAAACTCAGCATGGACACAAACACGAGCATTGGGGTAACCACGATTACAAACACAAGCATGAACACAAGCACGAAGACAAATGGGACGGTTGGCATGGAAAGGCCTAAATGATCTCACCTCTCCGGACCTTGGTTAATAACTGATTAACGATTAATCAAACAAAGCCACTTGGAATTTCATCAATTGAACATTTCAAAATGGTTGACACAACACTTTATACTCTTGCAATAACTCATAGTCTATTCATCTACATCTCATCTCTTCAAAAAATTCATCAGCTACTTATACATTTCACCAAGATATTTCAAAAGACAAAAAATATCAATCAAAATCTGTTAATATTCCCATAAATCCCTTTCAATATAATACTTGTTAACCCAACAATTATATTAAATTCTGTAGTCAAATTTTCAAATTAATCTGACATCTTTTGTCACCATGAAGCCCATGCAATTTTATCATTCCCCATAAATGATTGAAAAATTGTGTTGTGGGAATCGCATAACATGAAAAATTGTTAAAAAAAAGTATTAGAAACCGATTAAATTGTTAATATAATAAATTGTTTTATTATCAAAATTGCACTTCGTTAATTTCAATAACAACCATTAACCTCATTGTTTCAACCGAATTCAAGATTTGAACCTGCTTCATGATTAGGTCAAATATTCAATATAAATTGTCATTGATTGATTTTGTAAGTACCGTCAGAAATACAATAGCCATAATAATCAAGCCACAATAACTAACCAAAAGTCTGAGCAAGTCCATACTCTTCAGAGTTTCTCAATTGAAATGTTAAAAAATTACAATAAAATGTTGATTTGATTTGAATTCGATTGATTGAATTTGATTCCGGTAAAGTAAAGAAGAGTACTTTTACCAATATTACCTTAACATTTACTAACTGTTCGTAATTGCGCAGGAAAAGTATTGGCAATAAGCTAAATGCTTTGATCTACTCTAACTTGATTGAATTACAAACTAAACTAAATTAATATATTCTAATGCAAGAAAAACTCAGAATCTATTGTAGACCAACTTGGAAATTCAACTGAATCTAATTTACTCTTATCAAAAGCTTTTGTAAGCATCAAACTGTGAAAAATCTTTATTGGGTAAAAGCATCAGGGATTGTCCTGCGTCTTTTAATGTCCACTACACAATCAACTCTGTCTAAAGTCATTTTTTGTTGAATTTAGTCTTTACTAGATTCAGGCTGATTGTACTATTTTATTTCTCATGAAATTTGAACAAATCTGCATTTACACTAAATTGCTTAGCTTCACCTGAACGATTAATGTAGCGTAAACGGATTTCCGATTATTAGTAATTTCCGATCTCATCAATAATATCAGCAATAAATATAAATAATCAAGAAAATGGTTAAGCATGATAAATATCTGATAAATAGCATTAAATGGTTCAAGATAAACCCATAAACTCTTAAATTGCAAACAATGACACTTAAAGATTCACATAATTGATTAGTAACTGCTAATGGCCACAATCAATGCATATTAATATTAAACAATTTTAAAACTCGTATTTACTCGTAAAAGCTTTTTTACTTTGATCATTTTTTTGGTCAAAGTCATTCCCTTTGTCAAGTTGATCAGGGAAAACAATAAATCTTGTTGATTTCTCAAGAGTATTGAGTTTCATGTTTTCCTCCACAATTCATGGCATTTCAGGACAATGAATCAAAAGTAAACTTAAAAGTGTTCCTTAATCGAATGTTGGGAAAATCGATTGATGATAGAAGTTGAAAAAACACAAAATGTCCATGTAAAACGTGTTGGACTGTACAACATTCAATTTACATTGCCATTTTATATTGGATTAAGGACAATTGTCATTAATGGGGAATATCATTTTACACTAGGTTAATATAAAATGAAACTGTAACAATTTTGGATATCATATTTCACATCGTAAAATCGGACAATTTAATTGTTATGTACAAAAAAAGAGATTTCAGTGATTTTATATAATCAAATCAATCTTTATTTACATTATTCACACAAACATAATTTTACAAATACTGAGAATGAGAATTGCTTTCTATTGAACTGAGCTTGTATATTTTTGCCGTTTGTATTTTATTACTTTGGATTCCTCTCTGTATCCATTAATTTGACCAGTTTAATTTACTTTGGTAAATCATCCCATGGTTATTGATTATTGTTAAAGGTTCATTTGTTGATGATGGAATAGTCAATTGCGTGTGTCTTTCTGTGCATAATTAATTACATATATCCATAGTTAATTAATCACTGAGTATTTTGACGACGATTTTCCCCACTATCACATTCATTTTCATCGATACTCTTCATTTTCAGCGGTCTTTTGTCCAATTCCTCCTTTACTTCAACAGTTTCATCAGAATGAACAGATGATTTCCTTCGTTGTTTTTGATAACCTGGTAAGCATGAAAGAAAAAAAATGAGAACAAGAATTAGAATTAAAAATTTAAATTAACAAGTGAAGTAAAAGTATGAACATGAGCCAAAAATAAAGGTAAGGAAATCCACTTCAATGTAAGCAAAAAATGTAAATCAAGAGTCAAATTAAGCAACATGAATTCATCTCTCAACATGATATATTGAAACGATAACACTGAATAAAATTATCATTACCATATTTAATACAATATCACACTCTAAAGAGTTGAACATGAAAGGGAAAAGCACCAACAAAAGCTAAATAAGACATAAACTGTCTGAGATTTAGATAAAGTAAAAAGACATTAAATTGCAATGGTTTATGTTGAATCCAGCAATTTCAACAAGAATGATGATGATAATGGAAGGATATTTCTCCTTCTTTTCTTCCTCAGTTTTCTATTCTTCATCACTTCCATTTTCCTTTTCTTCTAGAAAAGTAATCTTCAGATATATTTGCAGTTGTATTATGAAAATAATTTTGTCAGTTACTTAGGATGACAGAAGCACATTGGGTCTTTTTTTAGGAAAACAGTAGGTTCACTGGGTTCACAGAAAAAGTCTTTCACAAGAAACAAAATTTTCATTTCCTTTTGATGATGATGATTATTATAACAATACAATAGTTTTATGAATTTTCTGATGATAAGATTGAAACTTTACTTTTAATGTTATTATTAATGTTTAACGAAAAAAATCATTTGTTTTTTCAACTCTCTCTCACCCCATCTAGGGGTAGTTTAATTAAACCGATAAAAAAGCCGTTAAGTTATGGCGTAATGAAAGCTTTCATTTAACGTTTTCAGAAATTTGTTAATTAATTGTTCTATTGCTCGACTCTTTTCAATTTATTTTACATTTAGTGAATTTGATAAACTAATTTTTCACATACCATTGTAAGAAGGTGATGATGATAAAGGTAATGGCGGTTGTAATGAGGAAGACTTGTGAACATATGGACCAGTGGTGTGTAAACCCTTTGTCTGGGTTATTTGTAAGACTAGCGATTTGAGATCTTCTGCTGATTTATAACGACGAGGTATTTTGTACTCTTCCGGTAATAACGATGATCGACGAGATGGACTGACTAGGAAAACTGAATTTAAGCGTGGTCGTTGGAAATTACCCGTTGAGGTACAGTTAACCAGTTCAAGCGAGTCGCGAGAATCACTGGTATGTACTTGAGGTATATTGGCTCCTCCAATGGAAGTGAATCGAGTTTGTTGAGAAAAGGAAGATATATCAGTATCAGTTCGATGTCGAGTTGGCTCAAGTGTCCTTATTTTGCCCCATTTTTTAATAAACCAAAGTATTACCAGGACCCAAAAGATTAAGATGAATGAGACTAAAATAGCTTCACCTGGTCGGACAATTATTTCAGGATCAACATCTAGTCTTATCCTCAATGGATTCATTCCTCCTCGGACAAATCGATGTGGTTCTATTGATGAAAAAGAATGGATAACAACAAAGGATAATTAATTAGCAGTCTATTCTCATTTTAAACATGAAATATTGACCTGAATACCGAAATCCCAAGATGATAATCATTCAATAACCTCGTCAAAATTTAACATGAAAGTTATCAAAATCATTATCTGGTTAGCTATTTACGTTTCACTTTCTATCACCAACAAATGATTTTAAGAGAGCATCAAAAATATCCAAGGTAAAGTTAATACGTAATCGATATTTTTTTCTCACAAGCTCAAACGATCTTGTGGATTAATTTGTCAAAGGAATCATTTTTAATGCTCTTAATGCATCAAATCGATATCAACTCATTCATTAATCTTCTTATTAAAGATGAAGACAGTTTTGGTTGGCGATAAAAAACATTGATTAACTTCTGACTATTCTGGCTGACTAGGAGTCTCTAATGGTGATAATCAATCGTCTGTGATCAAAGTTTCAAGTGAAAAAAACCCAGAACCCTAATCATAACTGGATGTTGATCTTTAGAGTTCATTTGAAGCTTTCCTTCAAAAGGCGTAAAATCAATCAATAGTTGGTAAAGAAATGGACTTACCTCCATCAGGTGAAACAAAACGGATGAAATGACTCGAATTTCCTATCAGATCTGAACTAGAGACAACATTAATGAGAAGTTGATATTCCGTGTTTGGCACTAACTGTTCAATGGTAACATTTCTCATGTTTATAGGCACTTCCTGAACATATCGTGTTCTGTAAAGCAAAAACAAGCAAAAAAAGATGAAAATATCATTAAATAACATTTTCAAATAATAGATTGTTATTGATAAATGAGTCTTTAAAGTGCAATATCAAAAAAACGTGAATTGAATCTTTCCATGTTGAAGGCAAAAACCTATTGATAAACCTTTACCATCAAGTTATAAACTAAATCTCAAAACTGACATGAAATTTACAATTAGATAAAAAATTTTACAATTTAGATGAAAATGTCTCATTTTTGGAAATAAATGTTCAAAAGGAATCAAGAAGATTGAAAGTAACAAGTTTATTGAGGTATATTTAAATTGATAGGAAAAGTGATTGTCATTAAAATTTGGTAAAATTTGAAGCACAAAAGTCTTGCTAATATTAATAATAAATGCATAATTCAATGGATTCTTGAGAGCATTCAATTATTCAAAGTTGAATGAGCTTGTCAAAAAGTAGTTTTCAAATTGCATTTTGATGGCGATGAAAAAAACAACAATAACAAAAATGTTAGATTGATAGTTACAATTGAATGGTTGACAGCAGCATAAGATAATCAAATATTTCATCATGAAAGGCAGGCAAGATAATAAAATGATGAAAAAAATTCAATTTACAATGTAAAGCACAAGATACATCAACTCATCACGAATCTTGCCTTTTTATCAACATTTTCACTCCCAAATAAACTCCCAACAAATCGACTTCCGACATCCTTAGCTTCCTAACATGATAATTATCCATTGAAAATGATCATATTTTCCTCATTATACACTTTCCTTCATCTGGCAATCCTTCATCATTGGTCTCATTTTAAAGTTTATATTAAAATTACTGTTTATGTTGAATTTCATTGGAAAGTTAACCTGTTTTCAGTTCAACTTGTTTCTGTTCAATGATTGACGGATATTTACCAGGAGGGAAATTGGAGTGAATTGCATTTGTTTGCTTTCTTCTTGTTGATAGTTTCATTCATCTTCCTCCTAAAATCAATACATGATAATCTTCTTTCCTTTTCTCTGTTTTTTAAGTCATCATCTTCATGATACAATTTGAAATGATCGTGACCTACAAATCGATTAATAGCTTTCTACTATTTTTGTTTTCATTTATTTTCTTCTTCAAATGATTCTCAAAAAGTGAGACCAGAACTTTCTGCAATTTCTATCTCTTTAAAACATGGGTTCTGTTCAATGTACTGACACATGAAAGCCAAATAATGATGAGCTTACAGAAAATAGTTAAGAATTGAAAGAGTGTTGAAAAATAATCTCAGCTTTACGGTTAAATATAATGAAATTGGATTGAAAATTGCTGCTTCATTTCCTTTATTATTTTTGTACACATTTTGTGTTTTCAAAAAAAAACTAGAAATGATTTAACTTGAAACCCTTCAGGCTCTGTTCATTTCAGTTCTGTGCAAACAGTTGCACCAATCAAATGGGATAAATCAACAACCAACACTCTGGTTTACTTTAAAAATATCAGATTCAGAAAGCCCTCAAGTAATTCCACTATTAAATGTACACTTAACCTTGACTCAACCTCAATCCAAGTTAATAATAAATCTCAGCATTTGTTTATTTGTAATAAAACATAAAAAATCTAAACATTTTTTATCAAAAATCATCTCTGCTTTGAAAATATTCATCTTATTGTTCAAGTTATTGTTTTATTGTTCAAACAATCAATAGACTGAATAATGAAAATTTATTGAATTCAGAACATAAAGCACAATTAATCAATTATTTATAAAGTTAATTAAAGAGTAAAAAACTATTTAATAGTTTTTACCAACAGCATTTTTAATAATTCATAATTAATGAATCTAAATTATTCTGTGATATTAAACAGCTTATTATGGTTTGCTTCATGAAATGAAACTTTATTTCTTAGCATTTCACTTGTAAGACTTGGAGATGATATTATAGTTTGAAGGAAATTTACTGAGAAAGATTATCAACCTTTTATCTGACAACTGAAGTTGTGAATTTTATGCTATTAGCTGAACAATATCATGGGTTGAAATGTGCCTTTATTGTTACCATGAAAAGCGTCACTATTTATCCTTTGATTGATCGTTCAATTTAATGATGAAAATGAATGAAAAATCAAATTGCAAGCATCGTCATCTTCATTATTATTATTAATCACCTTCAACAAGATTGAGATCAGATTACAGTTTGAAAGTGAATCAAGTGAAACTTGAACCATCGTTATGTTAATAAGATAATGATATTCAAGATGATTGAACTTAGCAGCACTTGATTAAAGTGGACATTTGCGACTTTTTAATTTCAACCAGTTTAAACAATAAAAGTTGATTAAAGTTTTTCCTTTTGTTTTGATAATTAAAATAATCGCACATCTCGAGTAATTTACATTGACTTAGCAATTACTTTTGATTAGTTTAAGTCTTCTAATGAATTATTCATATCTAAATGATATATGGTTTTAATAAACCTGTTAATTAAAACTAAACAAATTAATTCAAAGATCAACAGAAATATTAACTTGTTAATAAGCCTATTAATCAGATTTTTTCCAGCTATTCAATGCAAAGATGAGAAATAATCTGAATTTCAGTTTAATCGTAACAATTTGAAAAATCGATGAATATGAAAATTAGATCATCAAATATAGCACTAATCAAGGATCGAATTGTTTGGTTGAAAATTAACTAGATTGTGAGTTGAAATGTGCTTTTTTGACCTCAATCTTAATCTTAAATACAAATATTATCAAGTGTTCAATGAAACAAGAATTGAACAATTCTGCCTCTTGGATGGCTAACGTTGAATTAGGTTATCCTTTTATTAATAGCATTATTAAACAAGGATAATAATGAACCAGATTTAATGGCAAATGCTAATCTGATTAAATTGTTCAGTTGAAGGTTCAACAGTTTACTGATCAAACTTATTGAATTAGATGCAACTTGAAGAGCAAATTGAAAGGCAAATCTATTGTATAAATAGATTGAATTAAGAAGCTTTTGAAACATTTTATCCATAAAATAGCCTCTGAAGGAAATTACATTTAAAATTGAACTCAAATGTGAATAATTATGAGTTAATGGAATTGCCAGGTAAATGTAGAATTAACAGAATAGATTCAGCTTTTCATGATTAACATGATTTAAATTTCCCAAATTTTGGAAAAGCTTCTTAAAAGATTTTGTAAAATTTAGATTAAAACAATTGATCAACTTGTAAGTTTGAAGACTTGATGATTTTGTTGATAAATGTTGACATCAAAGTTATCTTCAAGAGTTGAAAGATGAACAAATTAACAGTTTAAATGCAATTGTAGTTTATTGATTGTTTCATATAGATTTAGATGAACATTTATAATAAACAGAAACTAAAGTGAATTCAATGGAATAGGAGTTTAGTATTTGCTTTTGGACAAGTAAAGACAAAACATGATATTGGTTTTTTTATTTATTTGAATAAGTTGAAAGGAAAGTCAACATTGAATAAGATAAAATTCAGTACCAATTTATCTGAATTGAAAGACAATAAAAATTGATGAGATATCATAAACAATTGAAAACAACTCCCAGCCTTTATCGGTATACAAGATAAACGAGTTTTTCCGTTGGTTTTGTTGATAATTTTCATGATAATTTTGTTGACAACAGAGAGCAAAGTAAATGATGAAAAGCCATTAACCCAAAACATGTAATACACAATGAGATTGGACAATATAATGAGATAACATCATGAATTGGTAACAATCTTATCAATTTACCATGAAAATGTTGCCCAAAAAAAGAAGAAGAAGATTGTAATTTAAGGTTGACTTAATCTGTTTCTTGACCATTCACTTTTGGTCATTGCTGTCTTTTATTTGCACATTTTCATCTTAATCTTCATCCTTTTATTGTTGTTCATTTCAAAGGTTAGGTTTACGTCTTATTAGATTCTGAAGATTCTGAAGATTTACTCTGAAGACAATTTAGTTTCAGTTTCTAGTTTTTTTGTTGTTGTTGTTGCTACTTACTGAATGTTCACATGAAAATGAATCTCATTTGATAAACATTCAACTGAAAATAACTACTTATTTCTCTGTGTTATCTTTTAGCATGATACAAAATTTCGATTCACAATACACTTTATCACTTGTTCCCTGAACAGGAAAGAGATAAAGTTGATGTATCATGAATCTTGGTTCCATTTGCCTGAATCCGTCAACAACCATTGAAAATGCAAAACATTCATAGTTCTTATACTTTGTAAGGAAAGTAGTTAAAGTAACAATGATTAAAGTAAAGGTTTAGAACCAGAATTTACAGAGCAATCTTGACTGTTTCATGAAGAGAAAACATTTAAAAGAATTTCAAGATTTCTTGAAAAACGTAAATCAAGTTCACAAGAGTCAATTTTGACAGTTATGTTTCAATATAACAAATGGTTGTTAACAGTTGTAAAACATTTTCAAGGTAAAGTAAATCAATCTTGATTAACTTGAAAAAGGTAAAAGAGTTGAGTATATAAGGTAAAATGAATTTTTGCTAATCAATACTTTACTACCTTTCTTTGTTTTCATTTATTTACCTTTTCAATAATCAAAGACTGAGCCTTTCTGGCAATTGAAATATAAATCATTATCATTAATGGTTTTGTAATAACTATGTAAAGAGATGAAAATTATTATAAAAAAATGCAAATATCCACTAATATGCATGGACTTGTTATTGTACCGGAAAATGGTGAATATTTTATAAAAGCAACAATTCTGATGGAAATTGATTCTTAAATGAGATCAAGTATTACATGATTGGTGATCTAATGCAACATTGAATAGTTTTTTAATTTAAAGATTTAATTATTTCCAATCATGATGATTCAGTTGATTGAAAATGAATTTGAAAATGTTTCAATTGGTAAATACTCAAAGGTAATGAATGTATCGACACGACTTTAAGGTCAATGAATGTTAAACAAACTGACCAATCATTTTAACAACTGCAGTCGTAATGTTTATCATAATCAGCAGAATCAGTAAAAGTCTTGGAATGAAAAGAAAAGAAAATCATTTCCAGTTTCCTTTTTATCCATTCCTTTTCCTCCCTGAACAATTGCTTTCAATCTTTTTTCATCGCCATCAATGGGACTTTTACTGACTCCTTGCTCTTCCTCATCTTCATTATCATCTTCTCCCTCTCATCGATTATTGTGTTAATATCGATTTAAAGGGTGTTCCATTGATTCAAAAACATAAAGATAAACGTTGGATTAACAGTCAACCTTCCAATGAATAGTGATAATCTGAGAGATTTGGTCAAGATCAAGATCAATGTTGGAAACCAGATTATGTTTTGTTTCTGGCATTTCTTAATAACTCAATGATTCTGGTATTTTCTGGTAAAACTCAGATGAAACACCCTGTAGTTGCTTCACTTATTCTTACCCTTCTTCATCCTCCTCTTCTTCATCCTTTCACTTCTTATTCCTAACTAATCATTTTCATCTCCTCTGCATCCTTTTTCACCTCTTTTTACGGCTCAATGTTAACTCATGTCAATCGCAGAAGTTAAATGTTACAATTAATGGTTGCTAATCAAGTTATTAACAATAACGACGCAATTTATTAGATTAATGTGTTGATCAAAAATCAATGTTAAAAGAAGTATAAAATCAACAGAAAAATGAAATCTTTTTGTATCTTCAGTATTCAGACAATCAATGGTTCATAATGCTTTTTGTTCCAATGGTTAAAGCTAATTTTGACAGTCCAAGACTATCAAATTGTCACAATTTATTTGATGGAAGAGAGAAAAAAAGAACTTATTTTTGCTATTTTTGTCGATTCATTTTTTTGGTCACTTTTCTTTCCTCGAACAATAGACCATTCAATCATTTCCAATGATTTATCCAGACTCTGATTATCTTAAAGCATGAATGGAAAGCCTGAAGCAAAGTCCAACTCAACTAATAACTAAGAAACATGAAAACTCATCAATCTTTTTTTGCCATTTTTTCTTCTTCTTTCTACTTTTTCTAATCTTTCTACTCAGTTTGTTTCCATCATATTTATCTCATGGATTTAAAATAATTGACCCATTGATGCAATTAATGGATAAGTCATGTTTCTCTAGCCCTTCATCCATCTTGTGTATCATTATTTTATAGCAAAGAGGTAAAGAGTGAATAATAAAAGTGCTAAATGAATAGGGAAGGAAATAAAGGATGATAAAGATGAACAAGATGAACAAGAAGAGTAAAAAGATGAAACATTTTGCCTTCAGAAGCGTAAGTTAATCTAATATTAGATAATAAAATGATTCGCAAATTGAATGAGTGATGAACACTATGATATACAAAATTAAACTTGATTTAGATTGAGTGATGGAAATGGAAAATGCCATTTAATCAAATTTTCAAACCTAAAATTGACAATTTAGTCAAGTATTTGGTCAAAAAGGAAAGTCTAATCTGATTGAAATGGAAAGATTAATTGAATTAGAGGAGATTTCAAATTCTGTGCATGTAAAGTTGTGAAAAAAATGGAATAGAGTTGAATATAAACTTACTTGGAACCAACAGGAAAGTAGACAATGCGAAACATTTTTGATAGTTTAAAAGATTTATCATGGTGACTAGTTGATTCAATTAAATCGGGCCCAGGAGTGAAAGACCAGGAAACCCGAATGGCTGGTGGAAGCCATTGGGTTAGTACCACTGAGATGTTGTGTGGTACCGATTGCATTGCAGTTAAACCAGAGCTCTGTTTAGCGATAATTTTGGCAAACTTGTGTGAGGCGAAAAAAAAGATGAAAAACTGGATCACAAAATATTGATGAAACAAAATACCAATTGAACCAAATAACTGGTAAAACAAAATGTTAATTAACCAAAAAGATGTAAACAAAATAAGATGTTCACGATGGTAATGGAGTTAAGAGGAGAAGAGGAAAAAGAGTTGACCAGAAAATCCAATGGCAGGACACAAGCACAGTTTTTGTTTTACAGTTGTTTCTGTTAGTGGTGTTGGTGTATCAAGATGAATGTTGTGTGTGCGTTTATACATATACATTTATATTCTTGATTCTTTTCCCTCCCAAGAAGCAGGAGTAAAAGAAAGAGAAGATTTTAAGATGAAAAAAGTAAGTGAAGATAATACACAGAGTTTAATGGAAGAAAAGAGAAGAAAAAATGAGAAGTAAAACAAGATTGAGAAGTTGAAGATAACAGGAGTGAGAGTTTAATGTTGAGGCGAATCAGGAGCAACGTAAAGAAGCATTTATCAATACACCATTGATAGCTGGTTGTTTCTTTTTTTCATTTTCAAATGATAATAAATATGTATGTTTATCGGTGAGAACTGAACAAACTGTAAACTCAGTAGAAATATCAATTCCTAAGAAATAAACAACAAAATATTCTAGTTTTTTATTGTTACACTAGATTACACTAGTTTACTGTTGATTAACAATTTCATTTCAAACAAAATCTCCATAGAAAGTGGCTCTATCTGATTTTTTATACTCTAATTAATCTGGCAACTCCATCAATTTCATTCTGGTAATTGTCATTATAAATTGTTTTCATTTTTTTATGTCGACCAACTAACTCTTGACCATATTAAATTAAGTGACTTTTTAGTAGTTTTATAATAGTCTTTTGTGCAAATGTTCAAAATAGGAAAAGAAACAAATTGATCCAAACCAGTTTAAACTTAAACATGTAAAAAACAAAATTACAATCCATTGGATCATCATTAAAAACAGTTTATTATATTCTTCTCATATTCTTGGTCAAGTCTGAATATAAGATTCACTTTTACTGACCCAGTGTGTTGTATTAGTTTGCAGTTAAACTAAAAATTCAATTCGATTGTAAGATTCAATACCAAAGTTTAGATACAAATTATTTTGAAAGCAATACATTGTCTAACCATTTTCAATGTTGGTTCATGAATACTTTCATCTTTGTGTGTGTCTAAAGCAGTGTACTTTAATTACTATTGATGTGTATTGTTAAAATATTCACTGACATAGACCATTGTTTTACCTGAACCCAGTAATTTGTTTTCATCATAACTGTACCTCAGTTCATTGTACTTTTAATTTTGTGTTAACTGTACTCTGGTAAGGCAGCACTGGATAGACTGTATTGGGCATGTGTTAACATGACTTTTTATGAGAGGACTTTCGTTAACCTCACTTTGTTTAACTTGTTTACTTTTGACCTTTTTCAATTTTGCATAAGACGTATCTTTTGTTAGAATAATTGTTGTGACTTTCATTTTATATTTTTACACTTCAATTGTTGTTTCTCTTTGAAAACCAATGTATTTTTGATATTGTTGTTTACTGTTAACTCTTCTTCCTTCACCTTTTTTCCCTCCAATTCTCCATTTTTCTTCTTCCTTCCACATTAGTGTTGGTGTCTTTATGCCTTTCTCTCTCTTTTCTGTTTCCCATTTCCTTCCGCACTTTCATTTTCTTCAATTGTTATTTGTGATTTAATCTCAAGAAAATTAACTGTCACAAAGTAATGAGTGATCAATGTGAACCTTATTAAATTTGGTTTACATCAAACATTTACCAGGTAACTTGTAGCTTCTAAAATAGCTTTTTCTTTTTTTCACCCCTCTGTTCATCTCTGAATATTTTTGCTTCAACAATGGAAAAATGGTTTTTTATTCTTATGGTTAATGATGGTGATGTGATGATGATGTTAACATTCAAATATTTATCAAGGTGTAAATTAATAACCTTTAAATTATTCCATTCTATCCCTTTTTTACCAATTTTAGTTTTTGCGTAATTTTCCATTCTACTTGTTTATGCTTAATCGTTGTATACTTATTGCTTATGCGCTTTTTGAAACTTTTGTAGAGACAATTTTGTTTTCGAGTTTCCTTCCAGTAACAGTTGTGTATCTCTGATGCTTATTTATCTGGGTCGATAGAGTTGAAGTACATCTCAAGGCACAATCTAAACAGCTCAACCTTGAATTGAAGCCAACATTACCGATGATTGACCTTTTTTCTAGTGGATGTTCACTAATTTAACTCATGATTTACTTTACTTTTCAAAATGTTGATTACTACCCTAAAGCCTTGAGAAACCAAGTTTCAATTTAGTATCCATTTTTTCGTTCATCAGACAATTTGATTGTTGCCATGCTCTCTAATATCTCTTCCTAATTAGAGAGGAATCAACACGGATCTGATTGACTTCAACGAGTTGATTGCAAGATTAGCAAATCCTGGATATTAAATTAAAGCGAAAGTATTGAAATTTAGTTTCTGAAACTAACAGTTCAAGCTGATTTTACAAATTGGCATCAGCTTAAGGTGCAATACAAAGTCTTGTAATTTCTAGAATCAAATTAACTTGTTGTAGAAATTTTCAATTTTCAAGTTTCCTTGATAAACAGAGAGACTAGTAAGACTCAGTATTTCAACTAAACTGCAACTCTTAATTGTTACCAAGTGTCAAATCTAACAATTGTCAGTTTCCTTTTTGATTTCGATCAATAACTTATTGGTTAAACCTTAAAGATGGCAACTAAAAGCATAAGAAGTGAAACAAAAGTTTAAAATGTTACTTTCTTGTAAATTGTATCAACTTTGAAGATGGATGACAAGAATCAACCCTTTGTCATCGTTTAACAAAGAAACGGTGGCTAATCAGATAAGCTAATCAGCCAATCACAAGAAGCAATCAACAATAAGATAAGCTGTTAAAACAAACAAAATGAAAAACCAAGGAAAATATTATTGTAAGAAGAGTTGAACTCTTATGAACCTTTAATACCAGAATCTGTGTTACCAGAAAGCAGATTAAACCAGAAAGATTTGTCTATCAAATGTCTAATTAATCTTTAAGGTTAACTGTTAAACATTTCAATTAAAGCAACAGTTAAATATTTTCATATTTCTCAAGGATTTGCATAGCAATCAAGTCCTTGTTTTACTGGTTCAAAACAAATCAGTCAATCAGTTGATTTAAAACGTCTTTCCCATAACCATTTCAAGGATAAATAATAAATGAATCAACACCTTAATGATAATTTTTGAACCATTTATCATCTTGATATTGTTGACAATTTCATCTGTTGAACAATTCAGCACAAAATGTTTATCTCTCTACGGCTATTCAAGATTACATTTAATTACAATTTATCCTCTTACATTTAACATTTGAATATTTAATCAAATGATTAAATTGTATAAACTGATGCCTTTCTGAAATTGGTTAACTTGATAGTTAACTAACACTGTTATCATAAGGGTTAGCCTAAGATTAATACTTGTCAGTACATTGTGTTAATTCAATGCCACTGAATCAACATTTACATTTATCTGGCTAAGAAACCTAAAATGAAAATAGGAAAACCCATTGAAAGCAATGGAAAATCAAGACAAAATTGTGTCTTGAAAATTGAAAAAAAGTGTTGAGATTAGATTACATAGTGGTTTAAATCAGTTAAACCACAATATCTCGAAGCTATGAGATAAAACTCTCGGGCTTCGCCCTCGAGTTTATATCTCATAACTTCTCGATGCAGTGGTTTAACTATCACTTATCCTCTTACATTTAACATTTGAATAGAGCCAATTGCTCGGTTTCAATGTTAACAGAACCTTATATTTACAATCAAATCTAATCACAAATACCAACTGTTGGGGAAACCGTTTCATAAGGGTTAGCCTAAGATTAATACTTGTCAGTACATTGTGTTAATTCAATGCCACTGAATCAACATTTACATTTATCTGGCTTGAACTAGAATGATTAATCATCAATATTGATATTTAAATTAAATAGTGATATTATGTCACTGATATAATAATGAAATGGTTTGTCTTTTCAAATGTTGATCCATTTTGATTAAACACAGACAACGTTTGAACATTTCATTGGCAAGGACAAAATTGATACAAAACAGAACTGAAATTCCTTTCACTCGACAATAGCAATTCACCAAGCTAACTATTCACTTTGAAATATACATTTGATTAACAACTAGTTTTAATCAACTGATAAAAAACCCAAAACAATCAACCTAAAGACTGAGCTTTTTTTGTCTAATCAACAGGAAAATACTAACAAGGTAAGGTATGATTGAAAAGCCTTTTACGCTTATGCAGCATTGATAGATGAGCTTCATTCCAATCAATGTTGAATAACAATCAATTATTTGTTAGAAACATGATTAAGTTTAGGTTAAATATTCTATTAGCTGTAACCAAAGAGTAATAGCTTTGCTCGTTGGTTGTAACAATTTAATTTGTTAACCAAGTAGGTGTTAACCTTCCGGATCCAACAAGACAGCTTCTGGTGAAGTTTTTTCAGAATCACTTAACAGAGTCTAGGAAATGATTTACCACAATTTACTGTTGATTAGTTAACTTTTTTTTGTATTGATTTCTCTTGTTCATCTTAATCTAAATCAACTACAATCAAATATTAGCCACAACAACTACAACATAATAGCAAATTCAACATAAACTGTTACTTGGTACATTGAGTTAAAGAGTAACACTTTTTATGTTTGTGTGTCTTCCTGCGTCTACATTAATTACTAGCAGCACCGTCACTTATCATCATCACTCAACCATCATCTTCATCTCAATTTTAATTGTAACCATCAAATAATATCTTCACTGATCATTTATAACTGATTCATCTTTTCTTTTATCCTCAGATTTGCTTGATCAACAACTACTTCAACTACAACAATCTGTGATCAACATTTCATTTCCCATTTCTTATTGCATTTAATTGTTAACCCAAATTTATTGTGTTTAACCAAACTGTGAAACGGTTATGGCGCCTAATTTGGTTGAAGCAGACACTAAACCATTGGATAATCTTTCCGAGAAAAGTGTCGACTTTTACTCAACCCAATATCTAGGTAACTGTAAAGTTGTCATTGGAACGTCAACAGTTGAAAAAGATTCACATTCAATAAATAATGGATCCACAATCAATGGAAAGGTAATTATTTAATTTTGATTTTAATTTTCAAATTTAATAACAGTTTGCGCTTTCGCCTTTCCCATTGGTTAGACTCAATCACATGATACTGGTAAAGTTACATTGCCATTGATTTTAGGCGCTATCTTTGCTCTTTTAACCTGTTCAATTCCTTCTGGTTATAACGTTGGTTCTGTGAATACTCCTCAAAAGGTAAAACAATTTATTATCATTAAATTAATTTGTTGTTTTAAAATATTTTTATCATCTAATGTTTATTGAATTTATACTCATTTACTCAGGTTCTCTTGTTTTTTTGTAACTCAACTCTAACTGAACGAGGAATCACTTTATCAAATGAAAGCCTAGCTCTTCTCTGGTCAGTTTGTGTATCCATTTTACTCCTCGGAGCCATTGTTGGCACATTTTTCACCAATTATCTTGCCAATTCTCTTGGAAGGTAAGTAAATCCTTCATTACATGTGACTTTCAATGTTTATTGACAATCTTTCAAGTTATAACAAGTGTAATTACACAGCTTTGAGTTGCAAATTGCCATGTTGCTGCTGTTTTGAAAACAATTTTTTAAAGACAAAGTTCGTAGTGGTATAGCATGGTAAATCTTGTTGTAACTTAAAGCTTGACTGCTGAGGTTTATTCCAAGTTTAAGGTTACATGTACATATGTGATAGACACTATGGTTAAGTTTCTAAAGGATTAACAGTTTCGAATCCACTATGGTCAGTTAACTAGATTGATTATTTTCAGTTTTAGTTTGCTCATTTGATCTGTATTTAATTTATCACTCTGATAGCAATGAAGTAAACATTTGATACGCCAAACTTGATGAATTTCACATAATTTACGTACTACTGGGTTTGATCCAAAGACCATCGATTTGGCTGGCGATCAATTCATGCATTTATCTCATGTAATTTAAATAATTAATTTTTCAGCTTCATTTGATTAAACCTAATCTTTTCAACTTTCACATATGTTATCGATAACTAAGGTAGAACCAGAAATTTCGATCCTCAGCCTTGCTCGAGATTGCCAAAAAGCTGATTTGTTTGTCACATTTAACCCAAAACTTATGATTTTTAATTTGCTCCAACTTTTGTTTTTTTTCATGATCATCACTGAATGCGTGCGTAACAATACAGAAAAGGAGCTCTTCTTATCTCTGGTCTTATTGGTATCACTGGTTCCATCCTATTTTTTGCATCATATTACTTCAGATATGTTGAGCTTCTCCTTCTTGCCAGGTTCATCTCAGGGATCCATTCAGGTAAGAAATTAACCTTGAAGAGTTGAAAAATGTAATTTTGTTCATGTAAATCAAGAAACAATCAATTTTCATTTCATACTTAATCCTCTCACACTATTAATAGTCTAGAATATCTTATTACAGAATCAGAATGAATGAATCGTTTCTTTATCTAATCTCTGATTTCGCTAGATTTTGTATATCAATATATCATTAAAAATATCACACAGTAAGGTTTGAGCATTTCACTTACAATTTTAGTGGATAATGAAATAATTGAAACAAAATATAATAGTGAAATCATTTGATTATAATCTTTAAGCAGTGAACTTAAACTTGCATGAAAAAACAAAAGTAACCCGATTGATTCAATATAAGTGGCACATTTTGATCTTGAATTCTTATTAATTGAGTGGTTTCAATTAACTGTATCTTGATCTTGCCAGATAGCATTTTCTGATTGAATTCTTAACAATTGACCAGAAATAGGTTATAATCTAATCTCTATCATTCAATGAATTACCTGAATTTGGGCTTACAATAATTTTGCTCGATAAAGAAATATAAATAGATGCTTCTGATATCATTCCTAGTCATTGAACTGTTTCTAAACTGACACACCTTGATTCACAAACATTGATTGCAATTATTTGCTCAACTCATATTATTGCCTTTGTTTTAGGTCTTACTTCTGGCTTGGTGCCTTTATATATTGCTGAAATATCACCTGAAAAGTTGAAAGGTTCAATGGGAGTTTTGCATGTTTTGGGCTTAAATTTTGGCATGATAATTTCCCAGATTTTGGGTCAAGAAAATCTACTTGGAACTGATTTTTACTGGCCAATACTATTATCCTTACCATGGGTTTTCATTATAATTGGTATGACTATTTACAAACCTAGCCCTTCTAGTCCAGTCTATCTTTATATTGTTAAAAGGAAATTTAGTAAAGCAGCAAATGGTAAGCATATTGATTAACTCTTACCTGGGCATAAGTTTTTTTATTAAATTATTTTAATTTTTTCTCTTTCTAAAAGCATTGGCTTACCTTCGTCGGTGTCATGTATCATCAATGGAAGAAGAGATTGCTTTATTACAAAAGGAACGCAAAGAACAAGAAAACAATAAGTCGGGCTGGACATTCATATCCTTATTGAGATCACCTGAATATCGTAAATTGTTTTTGCTGGTGCTTTTACTTCATATCGGTCAACAATTTTCAGGAATCAATGCCGTCTTTTATTATTCAACGGCCATTTTTAGTGATCTTGGAATGACTATGAAACAAGCTCAGTATGGCTCAATTTGCGCTTGTGGTATCAACGCAGTCTGCTCACTAATTGTTATCCCAGTGTTGGGAAAAATGCGTCGACGATCCTTACTCTTTACTAGTCTTTGGGGTGGAATCATTTTCCTTATTGGCTTAACAATCACCACCAAAATGAAGGTAAACTCAACTCAGAATAATTAACATCACAGCGTTTACTAATAACAATTTTCACTTAATTTCTCACCAGGATTCACTTTCTTGGGCTCCATTCGCAACCGTGTCTTTCTTTATGGCATTTGTTTTCATTTTTGCTATGGGAAATGGTTAGTTAAATAAATTATGAATACGCATTATCTTAACTTTTATATTGAAAAAGATTTTTAATTTTTATTTTCTTTTTGAACTTTTTCTCAGGTCCAATCCCTTGGATGATTCCATCTGAATTGCTACCCCAATCAACTTTGAGTGTTGCTATGGGCATAGGTGGCTTCTCAAATTGGGCTGCGAATTTTGCTGTTGGATTAGGTTTTCCAATTGCTAATAGCTGGTTGGGTGATTCCGTGTTTCTGATTTTTGTCGCATTCGGTATTTTTGAAGCAGTTATTCTGTATTTCTATCTTCCTGAAACAAGTTCGAATGTTGATAAAACATGTTCAACTGAGGCAATTTTATCATATCCAAGCTTACCCTCACCCTCAACTTCATCAACTTCAACAGCAACATCATCGATATCAAAAGACAAGAGCTTTTCCATTGAAGAGAGTTTAGAGAATGATTGTAAATTTACTGATAATAATTTACAAACTAATTCTGCATTACAAAATTCATGTTGAAACACATTTTATACAATAATTTTTCACAACACGTTCATCTATTCATTTTCACTGAAGCCTTTCTTATCCCACTTTGTATAATTATCATTTTTATCATTGTATACCTTAGATTGTTTCATGCGAAACGTATTTAACTTGTTTATATTCAATTGTGATTCACTGTTGAGTCTCAACACTTGTAATTTTGAATCAATCTTTTTTGTCATGCATTTTCATAATTTTCTTGAACACAACAGTCAGACTTGTCAGTGACAAACAATGTAAGAAAGTGTTTTTCAATCGTTTACAATTTTATTTACGAAATGTATTTTTGAAAGCAAATAAAATTTACTAAAAATATTTCATTTGTTCGTTTCAATCGCAAGCAAACTTGTAAGCAAATAATTTACAATTTTTTCAATAGCATGATACAAGTCAATAAATCCCTGAAACTTTATTATAAGGATTGCTGACAAATTTCACCGATTGGAGTTCATATATTTATTTGAATTACTGAATTACTAGTTTTTCGATTACCATAAATCGAAATAAGATTTAACTGCAGACATAATTTTCGAGAAAAATCCTATTATGGGATTGCCTGAATCATGCTTCTGGTTTTCATTGACGGAGTCATGTTGATTCACAGTGCCTGTTGAATTCATTTCAATTTTTGGTTCATCGGTCGAATCTTGTTGATCCACTGAGGATATTGAAGTTGTTTCAATTTTAGGTTCATCTACAGCAATAGAATCAGACTCAAATTTTACCTCTTGTATTATACTATCAGAGCCATAGCCTTAAAAACCAGTTTCAATGGTGCATCATTGAAAGAAAATGATGAATGTTAGCTTTCCATTTCGATAGACAAAGAGATGCCACATCGAGTCCATCAATATTCCTTTGACTCGAAAACTTGACATCAAACAACGAGAGTAAAAGTAACAAGAATACTTTGAGAATCATTTTGAAACAATAACTCAAAGTAAAGCTCGAGAAATCAATTTTTTGTTCAACTGGATATTGAATAATTTTTCATAAGCATATTTATATTGAATCTGTTGGGGAGATATCAAATGGAATGTGTTGATTAATACATTTATCTTTACCACTTTGCTCCTATTGTGCAGAAATCATGCGATCTCACGATTGTCAAAGACCGATCTGATAAAATATTCGCTCTTTGAGTACATTGTACCAATTATCTGGATTGAAAATTTGTGATAATTAAATTTTAAAGGGCAAAAATCAAACATTCCTTGTGTTTTGTTGCTATTATAATTGCCATTGTTCATTGTAATATCATATCTCAATATTCATAATATTTTTGTTGATCATAGTCATGATATTTGCAGTTTGAATATAAATATTTACTCAGATCGAACCAAAATTGAACTGAGCTCTAAATACAATCAATCGAATCCAGACTTTTTTCATTAAAATCTTTACTCGAAAGACAATTTGCATGTACTCTCAATCTAACAAACATCAACATGAATAACCCAAAAAGTTTTATACCCAAACACAATGTATCAAAATACGGATTCTGAATTACTTCCCGAGCCTGTTCAAACTTAGTAACCTGAGTTCAAACTTGAACTCCATTTTTTCAGGGATAGAAGCAGATTTATTTCATTTTTTAGCTTTTCTCATTGAAGATATTTTATTCATTAAGAATTTCAGTCTTTTGGACAGAATTTATTGCATTTTTAAGTTTCTTATTGTAGATGGGTCACTCATTTTTAAATACGGATAGAGTTAATTGTATTCAGTGAAAACAAATTTTTGATCAGTAATGATTGCAGCCACTAGTATAAACTATTGCTAATAACAATTAACCCATAATTAATACCTTTATTGTTAGTGATTTGATGATATCAAATCTTGTGAGTTGTAAGTAGACGACTCAATATTTTACATTTTATCAAATCTATATACACGATACTGAATAAGCACCTTTACATTGCTTCAATTGTGATAACCAAGTTAACACAAAATAAATTAATTGTTTTACTTCAAGTAGATTGATGGTAATCTTAAATCTCACCTTTTCACAAAAATAAGTTACCTTGTAAGGAAATAATCCAGCAACTCTCCTCAATTATTATGGCAAATTGGTGATAAATTATTTAAAAATAATAATTATCGCAATCGAAACAATTAAATACCTTATTTAGAATATCTGTGAAAATAAATTTCGATATCATGAAATTACTGTTTATAAAACCGTGTGAGAATTACCGTGTTTCCGCACAAAGAAGGCCAGAGCTTATTAATGAAAACTTCACTTATTCCCCCTTTTTACTCTATTTGAATAAGCCCAGTTTTTTTTTCAATAGAGTTATAGCATTGCGGCTAATTAATGAGAAAATCCAAGGGCTAATTAGTGAGAATTTTGATGAATAAGCTCTGGCCTTCTTTGTGCGGAAACACGGTAGTATTTTATATTGATTTGTGAAATATTCAAGTTGAACAAAATGTTCAAGATGAATGTCTTTTCCGTTGCAGTACCGTTGGAAAGATGGAATGGATTTTTTCTGATCAACTGAATCTTGAAGGATCACCCATATCCTTGAGCCAGTAGGAGTTATGAACATGTAGATAACACTATCGGATCAGTAAAATTTTGAGATTTCAGAAACTGGTCTTTCAATGTCAATTAGAGGTCAAATAAAGAATTGACCTTGAATAACCTTGAGCACTTGAATTTATCGTTGTGCAATCTGGATAAGCTTATAATATAAGTCTGAAGGCTGTAACACTAACCGTTCGTGAGTTATGCCTGCATGAAGGCGTAAAATGAAAAAAAACGCCCGATATATGAATAATATTAATTAATAATTATATTATTAGTAATAATAGTAGTAATTATAATACTAGTAGGAATGAAAATGATATCCAAGTCAAGTTGCAATCAGAATTTTAATACAGATACAAAATTGTCTTCATTTTTTTAAAAACAGATTAATGACTTTCGTACAAATGTGAGGTGAAAGTTATAAGCTCACTATGAACTCCAAATGATGCGCCGAAACTGAATCTTCCAAAAGAAATTAATTTTTTAGTTTTACTTCCTAGAGATAAATAGCTTCTTTGCTTTTCATAAATATCAGCATTTCATGATTAGTTAAACTTGGAGTTAAAACTACATCAGCAAAATGAAATGTTTCAGTTCGCCGGCTTCTATCTTTTTTGACGTAAGCTTTTTGTTAATTGTTTAGAAGCATATAAATGCTTTTATTCAGCACCATTGCATGATATTGATGTTCCGAGTTCGCATATTTTTAATCGATACAGCCAATAAATGGTGACCAAAATTTGAGGTTTGTTCCATTGATGTAAACAGAAATGAACTGTTCGTCAGTTTCCAAAAGAGATCCTGCATTCGAGAAAGTTTTTTTGAGCATCCTCTTAGCATAAAGCTCTCTAAAATTTTGTGAAAAATCATTAGAATCATAATTATTAATACAAAAAATGAATGAATAAGTGAAACAAATGTCAATTGGAACATTAAAATTGAGATGAGCAAAGAATAAAGGAATCGAATAATTACCCTTGACGACTCGCAAAAAAATTTCAAAGTTCTTTGGTAATTTGTAATATCATGCATCGATACTTTTCGTTACGCCAATTTATCTGTATTATTTTCCTCCCAGATTCGAAAAAACATCAGAAACAAATTCCGAGTGAATCAAATGCGTCTGCACTGATTCATTTGCTCGAAATTTTTCATCTATCAGAAGCAGAAAATTTTCGTCAAATACTTTGACTTTCAAATCTGTATCACTCGATCTTTCTCTTTCTATGGCGATATAGTAGTTTTTGTTTAGTGCGAACAATTCAGCAATTACAATTAGGTTCGTTAAGAGAACATGGTGATTTGAATTCAGCAGATGTTACGATTTCATACTTCAGTAATTTTTCTGAAACTGTAGTTTCCAAATTGCACCAACGAACTAAGTGCAACAAGTCTTTAATTAGACCATTTCTAGATTTTATGTCGAATTGAACCCATCTGATTAATGCATCGAAAACTTGCGCAAAACGATGAATTCAAGTGCTTAAGGTTATTCAAGGTCAATTCTTTATTTGACCTCTAATTTACATTGAAAGGTCATTTTTTGGCATCACAAAATTTTTCTGATCCGATAGTGTTAGTTACATATTCATAACTCATACCGTTGGAAAGATGGAATGGATTTTTTCTGATTAACTGAATCTTGAAGGATCACCCATATCCTTGAGCCAGTAGGAGTTATGAACATGTAGATAACACTATCGGATCAGTAAAATTTTGAGATTTCAGAAACTGGTCTTTCAATTGTCAATTAGAGGTCAAATAAAGAATTGACCTTGAATAACCTTGAGCACTTGAATTTATCGTTGTGCAATCTGGATAAGCTTATGGTATAAGTCTGAAGGCTGTAGCATAAACGTTCGTGAGTTATGCCTGCATGAAGGCGTAAAATGAAAAAAAACGCCCGGTATATTTCGAAGTTTACTCAGATTTCTTTAGTTACAAATCAGGTAAGAACACATTGAAATTCTTGTGATCTTTTAATTTTCTTAAAATATTTCCAGGAATATATAAACGGACTGCACGTAAGACACGCAACTCATGCTATCAAAATCATTGGTTGGGGAGTGGAAAATGCGCTCGAATATTGGCTGATTTCAAATTCATGGGGCACTCAATGAGGTGATAAAGGTATGAGTTTATAACCGCTTCTTTCTAATTATTATAAAGAGATGCATAATTTATTTCAATACAATTATTCATTCAATTTTCAGGTTTCTTCAAAATTTGACGTGGTGAAGGTGAGTTTGGAGTTGATATTCGTTCAGTGGATGTTTCAATCTCAAGTGGGAAAATGCCAATTTTATACGAGAGATATCAATTGTTTTACCAACAAGCAGATTGATGACAATCTGAACACTCTTATTTCATAAAAAAACAAGTTACCTTGATTTACATACAACATAAAAGTCATGACCGTGAATCTTGCGAATAAATTGTGTCTAAATTGGGCAAGCTCTAAAGAAAATTTTTATATTGAATAAAGAAATGATTAAACAACAATCACAATTCATATTCAGCTTACAGAGAAATTCGCCGTATTTTGATACATGGTGTTCGATCACTGTCACTTCTAGTCAATCATTCGGATAAAATTCAGCACTAAATTATGAAATTATCATTCAATTTTAATTAAAATTAGAGAGAGGTTAATTTAACATAGGATCCGTAAGATTGTTACTGGATCCTTACTCTTTACTAGTCTTTGGGGTGGAATCATTTTCCTTATTGGCTTAACAATCACCAATAACAATCATCATTTACTAATAACAATTTTCACTTAATTTCTCACCAGGATTCACTTTCTTGGGCTCCATTCGCAACCGTGTCTTTCTATATGGCATTTGTTTTCATTTTTGCTATGGGAAATGGTTAGTTGAATAAATTATTGGTACGCATTATCTTAACTTTTATATTGAAAAAGATTTTTAATTTTTATTTTCTTTTTGAACTTTTTCTCAGGTCCAATCCCTTGGATGATTCCATCTGAATTGCTACCCCAATCAACTTTGAGTGTTGCAATGGGCATAGGTGGCTTCTCAAATTGGGCTGCGAATTTTGCTGTTGGATTAGGTTTTCCAATTGCTAATAGCTGGTTGGGTGGTTCCGTGTTTCTGATTTTTGTCGCATTCGGTATTTTTGAAGCAGTTATTCTGTATTTCTATCTTCCTGAAACAAGTTCGAATGTTGATAAAACATGTTCAACTGAGGCAATTTTATCATATCCAAGCTTACCCTCACCCTCAACTTCATCAACTTCAACAGCAACATCATCGATATAAAAGACAAGAGCTTTTCTATTGAAGAGAGTTTAGAGAATGATTGTAAATTTAATGATAATAATTTACAAACTAATTCTGCATTACAAAATTCATGTTGAAACACATTTTATACAATAATTTTTCACAACACGTTCATCTAATTTTTGAAATCAAATAAAATTCACTAAAAATATTTCATTTGTTTGAATCACAAGAAAACTTGTAAGCAAATAATCAATCTATTCAAAAGCATTTTAAAGTGGACCTTCTCAAGTGGACGTTCAAATAAATAATGAAAGAGTCACATTCATGCCTTAGGTTCCCAGCTTTGTCAATGATCATTGAAAGATGATCTGAATTTCTAATGAAGGTTGATTCACTTTTTATTGCTATTGTATTAATAATAAATTTTCATTTAATATTCAATATCGACTTACAAGGCAATGAGGATTGCTAAAAATTTCACCAATTGGAGTACATATGTTATTTGAATTACTATTTTTCGATTACCAAAAATCGAAATAAGATTTAACTGCAGATATAATTTTCGAGAAAACTCTTATTATTGGATTGAATTCATTTCAATTTTTGGTTCATCGGTCGAATCTTGTTGATCCACTGAGGATATTGAAGTTGTTTCAATTCTAGGTTCATCTACAGCAATAGAATCAGACTCAAATTTTACCTCTTGTATTATAATATCATAGTCATTAGCCTTATAAATCAATTTCAATGGTGTATCATTGAAAGAAAATGATGAATGTTCGCTTTCCATTTCGATAGACAAAGAGATGCCACATCGGAGTCCATCGATGTGCTTTCTAAATATATATTTGTCCAACACTGAAACTTCCTTGGATCCAGTCTTAGTCGAAACAATGATATCATTTCTATCATCATCACAAGAGATCGATATTGAACTGTTTTTTGCATTGATCAAGGTTACATGTCGAGGTTTCTTGTAATCGTACTTGGTCAAGCGATAGATGAACAATTCAAATGAACTATTGTCTTTCTTCAAAGTTATCATATCGCCATCAATATCGTATATTTTCTTGTTATATTCACAGTATCGAGCGTAAGACCAATGATGTATCGGAAGAGGAGTTAATTTATTTGCAGCCACAGTCTCATCCAGATGCGAATTTGAAAGCGTAATCTCCACTTCCAATGGATTGGTGATGATGGTTATTGCTGATGTTTCAATCCCTTTTTCATTTTCCATCAGAAGATCCATGCCAACTTTTAAGAGCCACTTACACGCATTCGTGTCTTTGTTTATAACGCAATTAGATGTTCCTTTTCTGTCAGTAAAACCAGAATTGCAAGTTGCTTCCTCAAAAGGATATTTAATACAGTTGAATCTATAACGCTTGCCACTGAATCCAAATGAAAAGTCATTTCTAAAATATCTATCGTATGAGTAAGGTTTATCACCAAATAGCTCCAAACTTAATATTGGCTCAAAGGCATTTGTCGATTCCATTTGGAAAACAGCTGTTAATTTAATATTTCCATTACCATCGAATAAACGATATTTAGTTGGTTCATATTTATCATTACAACTGCTTTCAATGATCGTTTGACTCGAAAACTTAACACCAAACAACGAGAGTAAAAGTAACAAGAATACTTTGGGAAACATTTTGAAACAATAATTCAAAGTAAAGCTCGATAAATCAATTTTTTCAATTGAATATTGAATGATTTTTCATAAGCATATTTATATTGAATCTGTTGATGAGATATCAAATGGAATGTATTGATTAATGCATTTATCTTTACCCCTTTGCTCCTATTGTGCAGAAATCATGCGATCTCACGATTGTCAAAGACCGATCTGATAAAATATTCGGAATAAAAAAGAAATAAATTATAAAAATTTATATCAACTATTAGCACCAGAAACTGATCAATTGAAATTTCCCAATCTACTGAAATGTACTCTATTTGAGTACATTGTACCTATTATCTGGATTGAAAATTTGTGATAATTAAATGTTAAAGAGCAAGAATCAACCATTCTTTGTGTGCTTTTGCATGCATGATGGCATTTTTATGCAATGGCCATTGTGTATTACATATCACATGTAAAATCATATCTCAGTGTTTATATTGAAAGGTTACAATTTCTTAATCGTTTGAAAACGTGAACACAATTAAATCTAATCACAATTAAAGATGAATTCACCAAAAACTCAGAAGATTTATTCAGCCCTTCAAATCCTGAATATTCAGGTTCTTTTAGGATCACAGTTTCAAAACTATTGAGTCAAACCAAAGTCAAACAAAAGGTAGAATTTCTAAGCTAGGATTAGCTGAAACCAAAAACCACAAATCTGGTCAAACTGGAAAATGTTGTCTTAGGACAGGAATGTTGAACTGGACAGTCACAAGACTTGGACTTTATTAGCTTTAGAAAGCTTTTGCACTGTTAGTGTTCTTGTAGCGAGATTAAGCTTGAAAGCTTCTAACTGGAATAGTCACCAAACTGGAACCAGAATAGACTCAAAACGGAAGCTTCTATCTCGACCCAAAGTATCAAAATTATCACGACTAACTCGATAGCTTTCAGTTCAAGCATCACTTGAAATTATCAATTTAAGATAAATAGACTCAAGTCTTAGAAAGCACAATTTTAGAGGAAAATTAGAAGCACAATTGAAGTTTTAAAACTAGAAAATTAACAAAATTTATTTAAACATAGAACTGAATTTGATGAAGTAAAGGTTTTATAACCAGAAAGAGAGATTATCACGTTAAGTAGAGTAATCAAAATTAAACTAATAAAAAGACAATTAAACTGAGAATTATTAACCCCTTATATATGTTACATAACGGAAGGAAGGAACAAGGAAGGAAGAATAGAATAAGGAAAAGGAAGAATTGTGAAAGCTTCAAAGCTATGGTCACCATCTCTGTGACAACAGTAAACAATCTTATGATGTCATTGTTAGGGATTAATACAAAATTACAAAAACCAATTTTATGATTATACCAAATTTTAAAGAAAAGAAAGATAAAGCTTTAAAGCTAAACAAATGAATTAAATGAATTTAAACAAAATGATTAATGGGATTGTTCTTGGGTAACTCTACCCTTCAATATTTATAAAATTATCTGAAATTGAAGTCAATTATTTATGAAAATTGAACATGTCACTTCGATTCTTAGGAAGACTGACCGCTCCTGATCTGATCTGACTTATCTGTGGCTGTAAAAGTTAGATAGCTGCAACTTATTCGAAGAAGGAAATCGGAATTATTTCATATTCTGATGAACATCCTTCCAACACATAAGATTTACATGTATGTTTGGAGTAACCATTTATTTTCATTAATCTTTTACTAAATACAACATAAGTTCGGTATGATAATAAATACAAGACATTGTTATGAATTTGTCAGAGCTTAATCACAATTGAGTCTACTAAGAGATTCACGTTGGGTGGGAAATAATGAACAGGGTACACAATAAATAGGGTGGGAAAATGCAGAACCCCACTTTTGATACATTGTGTTGGGATATGAAACCTTTTTCAATTATTCATGTTGATGTTTGTTGACTTACGTTAGGAGTATATGTGAAAATTAAACTTTATTTTATTCAGCTGTGAACCAAATTTTTATTTCAATTTTTTTAGCTTTTCTCATTCATGTTTTTTCCACTAAGAATTTCAGTCTTTTGGAATTAATTGTATTCAGTGAAAACAAATTTTCGATCAGTCATGATTGCAGCCACTAGTATAAACTATTGCTAATAAAAACTCACTCATAATTAATACCTTTATTGTTAGTAATTTGATGATATCAAATCTTTTCAGTACGCGATACTGAATAAGCACCTTTGCATTGTTTCAATTGTGATAACCAAGTTAACACAAAATAAATTAATTGTTTTACTTCAAGTAGATTGATGGTAATCTTAAATCTCCCCTTTTCACGAAAATAAGTTACCTTGTAAGGAAATAATCCAGCAACTCTCCTCAATTATTATGGCAAATTGGTGATAAATTATTTAAAAATAATAATTATCGCAATCGAAACAATTAAATACCTTATTTAGAATATCTGTGAAAATAAATTTCGATATCATGAAATTACTGTTTATAAAACGAGTAACCATGCGAAAATCAGTATTTTATATTGATAAACAAAATGTTCAAAATGAATGTCTTTTTCGTTGCAGTGATTTTGGGCTACACAGTCTTTGGCATCCATGCATTCATATCAGAGGATTTGGAGCCATTAACAGATGCCATTATTAAGGCGATCAACGACTTGGAAACAACATGGAAGGTAATTATTTTGACCTTTTTTGAATGATATTAAATTGTGATTTGTATCATTAGGCAGGTGGAAATTTCAATGGACATAATTTCAACGAAATAAAGAATCTCATTTCTAATGTCACTGACAATGAAGCTTTTGAAACGAAAACGTTTAATGGAAAGAAATTGCCTGAAAATTTCGATGCTCGATTGGAATGGCCAAACTGTACTTCCATCGGAAAAATTTACAAGCAAGACTCATGCACACCATCTTGGATCTATGCTTCTGTTGGTCAAATCGCTGATCGAATCTGCATTCGTACTGGAGTCAAAATTGACGTTGAAAAAACAGTTGACAAATGATTAAACATTATGGCAATTGTAACTACAACAGTGCAAATTTTTTCCAAGCCTTCAAATACTGGGCTGCCAATGGCGTGTTTACTGCCAAAACAAATGGATCTGAAAGCTGTAAAACACCGTTTGGACCATGTCTATTGGACAACGAGATTGTAAATTATTTTCAACTGGATCCTATAGAGCCAAAGACCTACATTGATAAGATGCACGCCCTGTTAGATGGTCCGATAACTATATATCTCGATGTTTACTCAGATTTCTTTAGTTACAAATCAGGTAAGAACGCATTAAAATTCTTGTGATCATTTAATTTGCTTAAAATATTTTCAGGAATTTACAAACGGACTTCAAGTAAAAAGATGGGAACTCATGCTATTAAAATCATTGGTTGGGGAGTGGAAAATGGAGTCAAATATTGGCTGATTTCAAATTCATGGGGCACTCAATGGGGTGATAAAGGTATGAGTTTATAACCGCTTCTTCCTAACTATTATAAAGAGACTATTGCTATTACTAACTATCATTTCAATACAATTATTCATTCGATTTTCAGGTTTCTTCAAAATCCGACGTGGTGAAGGTGAGTTTGGAGTTGATATTCGTTCAGTGGCTGTTTCAATCTCAAGTGGAAAAATGCCAAGTTCATATGACAGATATCAATTGTTTTACCAATAAGCAGATTAATGACAATCTGAACACTTTTATTTCCATAAAAACAAGTTACCTTGATTTACATACAACATAAAAAGTCATGGCCGTATATCTTGCGAAAAATTGTGTCTGAATTGGGCAAGCTCAAAAGAAAATTTTTATATTAAATAAAAGAAATGATTAAACAGCAACGTTAATCAATATTCAGCTTACTGAGAAATTCACGTTTGAACGTGGAGAAGTAATGCGATATCCGTATTTTGATACATTGTGTTCGGATGTGAAACTTTTTTGGTACGATCGAATTTATCAAGAGTCACAGCTTTGAGGCCAATGGCCAAAATCATGAGAACAGTCGTTCGTTGATGTGTATCGACAATTTTTATCGACAAATAATGTGTTTCAGGTCTCTAGCTATCATGGGGACAAAATGGCTAAGGTTAAGTTTCTAAAGGATTAAAAGTTTCGAATCCACTATGGTCAGTTAACTACTATGTACAGGTATTAATATGTATAATAATACATGTATAATACATGTACAGTAAGCTACCAGATAATGAGAATACCAGATAATGAGAATCAATTTTTCAACGACCCCTCAATAGAAGAGTTAAATCAAATTCAAATTTCCTTTAGATTTCTTTGATTATTAATTAACTAAATCTAATTTTCTTTCGCCGAATATCAATGAAGAAAATCAAGAAATCAGTTTGAAAAGGATCGATTCAAGGATCGGATCGTAAGGCAAAACTTCGATTCAGGATCGAGCTTTAATAGAGCCTAAACGATCTTTACTTACTATTGGTTAAGATAAACTAATTTTTCAATTTTCAACAAACATTAGATGCACGAAAAAGGTTTTTTCGCAAAATTTCATCGAATTGTAACTCGACAACGAATTGAGTGATAAACATAAATTATACAGGGTGTAAATGTCAAATACGCGGTTTTGAATCGCTTATAACTTTTTTGTCCTTTGTCCGATATCATGTTTCTTTCTGAAAAAAGGTAGGAGTAGTAATAGAAATACACAAGATAGCACACTTTTTCGATAATCGATAATAATGATTTATAACTTTTATACCTTTGTTAATGTATACCTTTGACAATGCAAATATCGAAATGACCTTAATTATACCGTTATAATTAACTTACCTTGTTCAATACACTCGTACCTTTGATAATAGATAAGTTTGATTGATATTAATGATTATTGTACCTTTTACAATGTATTCTTACCTTTGGTAATGCATACAGCGATTAACCTTAAATTTTCCATGATTAATGATGTAATGCAATTAAATAAGTTTATTGCCTTGCATTCACTTATTTTTAACTTTAATCTTCAATCAAAGCATACCTGCAAGGCATACTGTGCTTAACTTAAATTATCTTTAGCAAGGATCAAGCTAAAAGGAGATTAACTGCGATCGTCAATCAAAACTTATTCAAGAGGGATAAACTTCTTAACTTTAATATCTTTTGTAACTAAGAAAGTTAAAGTAACTTTAACGATCAACATTAATCAAATTCTGTGGGAAAGCCCTGCAGGGAAGATTAAAAGAGGATGGTCACGCTGGGGCAAACTAAATTTTCGTTTAGTATTGTAAAGCTTCTCAAAGTGGATCGTTATAATCAATCATGGATATCGTTGCAATTTTGATACAGAACGAAGTGACAGTTTGATTGCATTCTAATAATTAATTACCGTTTATTCGTGTAAAGGTACACTGTGGAATGATAAATAACAAGAAAAATTGGTTTTATGAAGATAAAGAAGGGCGGGCGAATGAAGAGAAAGAGAAATCAGAGCGTTATTTGCTTCAGTTTTAATTCATCGTTCGGCCGAACTTGTTCGAAATTTCCATCTTCAACTCCTCTAATCATATTACAGTAAGTGTAAAACTTTGTGATTCCTTTAATAACGTTTGAACTTTTTCTTATCTTTGCAGGCTAAACCAACTTGTTGATTCCATAAAGGTAAGTTAAAGGTAAGGAGTTTCCAAGTACAAACTGTTTCTAATCTTCTTTTTCTTTTTGTGACATCGTGTGACTTTTTGTGACTTTTGTGAACCATTGGATTTTTTGACTTTTGTGACTTTTGTTCCATTGGATTATTTACATCATCATTGGTACACATCAGCAGCCACCAGCATCGGAAATTAAGGTTCAACACAACCAGTATCAACGATCGACCAGTTACAGAATCAACCAGCAAAAACCGCCGCGACCGCCGCCAACCATCAACCTTTAACGTTCAACCACCAAGCATCAACCACCAACTGAAAAAGTAAGTTTGTTAATAATTTGTTAACTATTATTAGAATTACTGTAATCAGATATTAATTCACAAATTATACCAATCATCTAGATGAAAAATTTGTGATTAGTAAATGTGAAAGAGCAAAAATAATTTATATACATGTATTTACTCAGAACGAACCGCAATCGAACTGAGCTCTAAAAACAGTCAAAATTTTATTTAACACAAAAATATTTTTCCTCAAATCCCAATCACAATCATTAATTTGTCATTGATAAATATTCAACCATCTAAATTTGTAACCCATGAAATGTACAAATCATTAAATTTTTGAACGAAGAACTTTTGGTGCATCTTTTCAATTTTATCTTTCAAAGTTGAGCTACAGTCTTAAAAATAACTAGCTTTCGTGTTGCGACTTTCTGGTTTTGTATCGTATAAAAAGGTGTCTAGTCCAGTTTACCTTTATTTAAACTATCAATGATCAATAATCATGATTGAAGTTATTGGTAAATATTACTTACCTAGCGAGGCATATTACTCTTGAATCAACGAATTCACCATCATTATAGCTACTCATTATTTTAACTTGATTACCAGATCATTTTTTAGCAAAGCTAATGTATGTTTCTTATGAAGCAAATGTATCAGATCAATGGTAAATATGCTTCTTAGAGCTAATCTGTTGTAGTCACGAGTTCTTATTACAACCAACAAATCACTTAACAATGTTTTAAAACCCTTGTGTCATTGTGTTTTGATCAAAGCAATATAGTTAATTGAAGAAGGCACTTCATCGTGAAATAGCCTAAGCAAATTGAACGCAAGATGCAAAATGGAGTATTGTTGCGATAAAGTAGATTTATCTCGACACTCAATTGGTAACAGGAGCAAGAAAAGCCCTCTGGAATTATTTTGAACAGAAAAATTAGCCTTGTATCTTGCGGATCTCATTATGAAAGGTCCTATTGAATAACAATGAATCAAAACACGAACAAAAATACATGCCTCGCGATGTTTTACACACCGAAATTCTTACGATATTGTCTGCCAGTTATTTAAGATTACTAAATTTGAGAATGAGCTTGGTTGACAAAGAAATAAAAAAGTAATTCAAAAAAACAGGCTGACATGTTTTGTGGCGGGTCTCGTAGTTTGCCCAGGTATACTAATATTTTTCTTTGTATATTTTAGGCCTTTGTTATACATTTTATTATTGCCATTCAAGATAGAGTATGGCTATCATTGAATTCATTTAATCAAATTAAATTTAATAATCATTAAAAAGATTTGTAAGCATGAACACAATAAATTTAGCTATCCCATTCAGTTTGGTATTTTGTTAGGTTGTTTTTAGCAATAAAATTGCTATATAAAGCGATAAATTCATAGCTATTCAAATCATTCATTGAGGTTAGTAGTTCATTACAAACTCTAACTTTGAATCAATATCAGCGTTATTGTAAAACAATGTTCTACCTATTTTTGTAATGGATTTTGACAATCTTATGTTTGGTATCGCGCGGTACAAAAACATTGGCCAATAAGACGAAATCTATCAGAATAATAAGAACCACTCAAGAGTCTGAGATGATAAGAAAAACCTGTAGCATTGCTGAGTATCGATCTAATGATATAGCAGGCAGATGGAACATGGACTCTATGGTTTGCGACTTAAAACTAATAAGCTCAAGAAGTTGAAAGATTTATTTTATGATCAACATCGACAACTTTTGCAGTTCTACTCGAAAAAGATAAGGTTTCTTGAATCATGCTGAATAAAAAAAGATAGAAGATATCCTCATCAAAATAATTCCAGCTATAAGTTTTATATAGATTTCTGTATGCAGAGTGCTATGGCCCTCATTGCAGTCTTGCAAAATGTAAGAAAAAGGGTTATTTTTCCAATGACATGTAAGAAGTGCAGCCAGTGCTACTAACCATGAAAAGACCTATTGAGCGCGTTACTTTTACCTATACCTTTTCCTTTTCCTTTACATTTACCTTTACATTTACCTTTTCATTTACTTTTACCTTTACCTTTACCTTTACCTTTACCTTTACCTTTACCTTTACCTTTACCTTTACCTTTACCTTTACCTTTACCTTTACCTTTACCTTTATTTTTACCTTTACCTTTACCCTAAAATGTCCTGATTACATGCATTTTTCAATAAATTCAAAGATTGTGCAAATACAAATGATTATAAATTAGAAATAATTTAAATAAAAATACAATTTTTTATATTTAGCGTTTTCTTTTATAGAGTGTCTTTAACTTTTGCTTCTAATATTCTAATGTAATTTTGAAGACCTAATGAATAGCTTTTTGCAGGCCGTAATATTTATCTGCCATGTCTCTGAATCTATCAGTCAATATTTGTCTTTCCTTTCTCATGCGGATAACCTCATAAGCTAATGTCTTCATTTTCACCTTGCATGCTTTAGCCTGGTTATAATTACAACCAACTTCTCGCGATACGACCTTCAAAGCAAGAGCCATTCTATCTTTGTCTTTCGGTATTTTTATTGGAGGCAGGTCCGTCTGACTAAATTGATCTTTTGTCTGATGTTTGATAGCTTTTATCTGGCGCTTTTTGACCAATGTTGATAACTGGGATGCGGCTCTTCTTTTCATTTTTACGATATTCCAGTAAACGAATCTTTGTTAAAAGAGAGATTCTTTCGTTACGTAAATGATTCAGTTCGTTTTCTTCACGTAGATATGCCGCGTAGTAAGTTCGCATACTAAAATCTAGGTAATTCCTTTTAAAATTTTCAATTTCTATCTCTAATTCTGCTGGCTTCATTTCACTCATACGAAGCTCTTGTTTTTAATGTTTAAATCCAAGCTTGTTGGTCGGGTTTGCGTACTCTCTTTTAACATGAGCTCGGACTTTACGAGATCGTAGATTGTATCGCATTGAATCTGTTAATCGGGT